CTTCCATTTGCAGAGCATCCGTTGTGGAAAGATCCACAATCGATACTCAATATTGATCCAAAACTTGCCAGGATGCCTGACACTAACTGGGAAGAACGGAATTTAGTCCCATGATGTATAACTGGCTCAGAGCGATGATTCTGGTGGAGGATTCCAACGTGGATCCCAGGTAGATTGGAGATGATCAGGAAGGGGAGTGGTAATTTTGGTAATCTTGAAACGATGCCAGGGGAGATGCGCCGTACAGTATAGTACAGTACAGTAAGGTAAGGTACAGTGCCTACGGTATCAACAAGTGCCCATCATGCATGTCGATCCGCGGTCGACTGTCTAAGTATGTAACTACACTGGCATCCCCATATGTGGAGTTCCAGCTATATCCTCTTTCCATCTCGGTCCAGATTTCCGCAGTCTGGACCCGTGTAGTCGGTTATACGAAACTGTCAAGCCACGCTGACAATCCTTCTTATCTCCCATCTTGCGCAACGAAGCGGTGTCGCGGAGCGTCCCCTTGGGTTGAGATGGCAGCGTTCGTTAGCACTACTGGACAAAGTGTAACCACCATTTGGATAGGCCCGGTCCAGTTGAAAGCCTATCCAGCCAACGGACGACGATCTATCAAGTCCGTCTCCTATCACTTCTTGTGGACAATCTTCATCGGCTAGCACTGGCGGCCGGTGGGGATGGAAATTCCTTGTGCCAAGCTCAAAAGGGACCATCCGTCTCGGCTTCGATGATTGACGGAACCATGGGTGGAAGTTGGGTCCTCAACCATGGGTGGTATCCTCCCCTAATCGCGCCCTCGGGTTTCCCTAGTCCGTTGCCAAATATTTGTTATTCGGATCTGCAATTCACTGGGCGGCCGCCGCAATGTTTTCCCTCGAGCTCAAAGCCTCTCGGTGAAGGATTGGTTGTCGGGATCGAACGAGTATCTAGACCTCATTGCTGACGGGAGGAAAGTGGAGGGCCATGTGGGTAACGGCGATGGAGGGAATGGGGAGGGAGGGGAAGGATTATCTAGCCTCTTCAGCGTTGACCATGCTTGTCACCGCCACGGGATCCACGCCCATCACCTCTAAATATCGATTTGCTTCACCGACGTTCGAAGGGAAGGATCACGGATTGTGGAGGGCGGAGAAGAGGGAATGACGGGATTGTCGCGCGGTGACTTGTTGAGGATCGTCCAGCCAGTCGTTGTTTGGTCGTCAGCAACCCTTTGTAGAAGGTTAGGAACCACGTGGTTGGGGAGGAGGAATTGAGAGCTCTCGGCTTGATCCTGTTCGTGATCATGGATCTGGGACCTTCTCGGGAGAACTTCAAGGGTACTTACTTCGGACTAGCGGTCGAGAAAGTTACCTAGTCGTAATCTTTACGGACGCGGACGCGGACGGGGAGGAACCGTAGGTATGATCGGTATTCGATGGGTTGCTGCAGCAGACGACGAGGAGACTCCTTGCCGGCGAGGCCTATCTTTGCCTAAATGCCCCGGGCCTTATCATCTGTCTCTGCGGTTGCGTGCCTTTCACGGCATGCCATTCTCCAATCATTCGATCTGCCCTCTGATCGTGGAAGTTTATGGGATGCTTTCAAACGCCCAACGAATGGCGCAAACGAATCCAGACTACGCCGTAGTCTTCTGTTAGCCCGGGATCCAATCGATGATACATTCCTGGAGAAGGGGGAGGGGGGGTCGTACAACCGTATGATGGTACTACTCTACCTTAGTGATACCTACCTGTAGCTGGTGATACTTAAGGTAAATCTAACTAGACCGATGAGTGGTCATCCGGGTTAGTAGGTAGTTACCCCTGGAAGGTGTAGGTCCGGACGTACGGTGTACATAGATCCATGTACTACGGTCATGGTCGCGTACCGCCCAAAAGCGTAGCCATCATGCAGGAAGCTAAAGCCACTATCGGCCTAGTGGATTTCTTCCAAGGTCAGGCTACCCCCCACCAGCCCAGGATTGGTCGAGCCTATGCTCTAACTCCTAAGGCACCGACGGGTGGAGACCTCTGATTCCCCTCCCCAAATGTCTCTCCCATCCTTTTATTTATTTTTCCTTCCTTTTCTTTATGGCTTCTACAATCTCTTAACTCCGGCAGCATTCGACCCTGACAGATAGACCGGTGTAGATACTGTAGGTGTCTGTCATGGCTTACAGTAGGACTCGCTTCCCTCTGGCACATCTGTCGCAACAGCTGGATCGGACCAAGTCGGTTACGAGGTGGTAGAATCCCAACGACCAGGGTACCTAGAATAGTCGGACTAGTTGGACGCAGGACAATAATGATGCTACCTCTGCATTGCTACTATGGACAGGGTATATCCATCTTCTGTTCTGGATTAATTATCTCCACCAGTTTACAGTATTGATCGTTTCTCCCTTTCTCCGAGGCCGGGATGCACTTCCCATCCTTTGCAGTCCGTCGAAGCGGTGGGAGGTAGGATCCAAGATATACGGCCTTCTGTTCATGCTTATGTGGAAGTGAAAGAATAACGGGGACAGGATGTATGTATGTATGTACATACATTGCACAGCTGTTTATGTACTCCAAAAGAAATGATAATGAACTCAACCAGTTCCAAAGCGGATTGGATATACGCCCCTCTTCTTCTCGCCTTCACTTCTGTTTCCAGTTTCCACCGCCATCCGCCAGTCTTCCGGGGTAGGGGTAGGGGAGGGGCGGACAACTTGCTTCTAACCATCTCTGGTTACAGATCTGTACGGTGTACACCGTAAGTATCCCTACTCCCTAGTCGAACCGAAGGCCGGAGTGTAGCTGTAGGACTACCTACGAGGTGTAGCTCTCGAGTCCGTACTTGGTACTCCGTCCCTACCGGTATTCTGGCCCGTAAAATACAGATGAAGTCGCAGATGATTATGAAAATATGAAAATAAAAGTAATCCTATACTAGTAGACAGCACCATAGATTGTCAAGGCTCAACCAATATCATACTAACAACAATAAATCAAAGAAAAAAAAAGAATTTTTTTTCTTTCTTTAAAAAAAGAGAGAGAAAACGAAAACCAAGTTTTTATTTTCTCGTGCTTGTCAGCTCATTTTCGACTGCCTGGTTATGGCAGGAATCATCATTCTACCCTAGGTCTCGTTGATTTTAATTACAATCTTTCCTCCTGTCCATCCTCATCTTTCCATTTTATTTTTGATTTTCCTAATTCCATCTTTCCACCCCTCCCCAGTCTCCAGTCTCTCTGAGAAGTTTCTTTGCGGACTGTAAACAGCATAAAAGCGCAGCATCTTCCCGTATCACTGGAACTCCACTCGGCCCCAACAGCTTATTTATTATTATTATTATTATTATTATTATCTGGTTGACGTTTCCCACCTTCCCCCCTTCTCGCCGTCTTCGAAATTCTTATTCACATCGACTCCGGTCTAGAGAGGGAATCATCACCGACCGCCATCTGCTCACCTTCTTAGTCTCTTTCCCTTAGTCTTGGGACAAGCTGACCGGCTTGGCTTTTTCCTAAAATAGGAGGCAACCGAAGAGAAGATAACAAAATAAAATTTCCCAAAAAAATTTAAAAGGGAAGCGAAGGTATAGAGACTATCATCCATCATAATAATTTCCATTATTATTATTATTATTTCTTTTCTTCCTGTGCCTCTGGCTCTCTACGACGGACTTCGGACCTAGACTCATCATCCTCGTTAGCCTTGATGTTTCTGTCATTATTATTTTTCTGATCCTCAGGATATCCGAATAATAACAATCGCGATAATAACCAGGGTCAGAAGAAGCCCGCATAAGCAGCGCTACAGTTGCTTTCCCCCATTCGACCCATCGGGCTTCTTGTGACTCGCTGGGCCAGACTTCCAATGATTGACGAAGCTGCACGTCTCGGATTTAATTTACCTACGGTGACAGTCGACTCCTCTCCACTTCGACGCTGATTTCTTTTTTGTTTCGCCCTCTCGCTCACTCTTCCTTCCTTCGATCCACCACCCCATACCCTCTCCCGAACCGTTGCTCTATTTAGTATCTATCTACTCCGTACATCATCTCCATCTCCTTGGCTTCCTTTTCTCTTTCTTTTATTTTTTATTTTTTTTATTTTTTATTTTTATTTTTATTTTTTTTTTGCTTTCAATTTTTAAAAAACGTCTCTTATTATTCACAATTCCCAAATCTTTCCCGAGCTTTTTTTTTTATTTATTTTATTTATCTGCTCCCACCCCCCCTGTCAAACACCTTGACAGTCTAATCTATTCATTTGTCTATTTTTACCTGGGAAGTCTTTTATGCTGTCTTACTTCCATTGCTTTGATTTCCCTTCTTAAACTCCATCCTTCTTGTTCCTCTCATCCCCGCCTCCTTCAACGGTTTGCCTTTCTCTTAAACCATCCCACCCCCCGTTGGATTGCTCCCCGCCATTCCACCGCGCTCTGTCCCACTTTTTTTTTTTTTTTTTTTTTTTTTCTTTGTTTTTTTGTTCTTCGTTATCATTATCACCATCGTGTCGATATCCACACGTTAGTACCGTGGCCATGGCGCCTGGCAATGGACGCGATTTCAACTGCACGTGGGAGCGTTGTGGCAAGGTATTCATTCCTTGAGGTCCTGCTATCTACATCGGCCATTGATAATAACGATATCAAATGACAGTCTTTCAATCGCAAATCCGACCTCTGCAGACATTATCGGATACACACCAATGAACGGCCTTATCATTGTACGGTCAAGGACTGCAACAAGAGCTTCATCCAACGAAGTGCATTGACCGTCCATTCGCGAACCCATACTGGGGAAAAGCCCCACGTTTGTGACAGTGAAGGGTGCCATAAGGCGTTCTCCGATGTACGATTTGAGTCCCCATTCCTGCTTCAGGGCCGTAGCTGACGTCGTCGACCAGTCATCAAGTCTAGCACGCCATCGCCGAATCCACACGGGCAAGCGCCCTTACCACTGCCAAGAGCCTACCTGTGATCGAAGGTAAGACTGCCAGTCCCTAGTGGAACCCGCTGTCGGTCTAATGAGATCCCCCACCAGCTTTTGTCGCAAAACGACCTTGACCAAGCATCAAAACAAGACACACCCGTCCGGAACCATAACTCGACCGCCATCGGAGGATACGATCTCGGAGCATTCCTACCAGACGCCCATCAGCACGTCCGGCCCGAACGATCACTATCTTCTTACCCAGCAACCTTACTATCCCCATTCGTCCACACCCACGCATGACTTCTACCACCATCAAAATGTACCGATGACGCCGGTTGCCATGCAAGAGGGGCCACCAATTGTCGCCCATAGCGTGCCAGTCTCGTCGCCGGTAGAGATGCAGCATGCGCAGCAACAGTACATGCGGCAGCTCATGCAACAACGATACGCACAGGGTCGTCCTGGGTACGTACCGCCAGAATTCCAACAACACTTTGCGGGCGTACCGGCGGTGGAGAGCCAACCGCTCGTGGTCACATATCCTCCGAATATCCAATTCAAGCAGGAAGAAACGCGGCTACTGGATCAACCCGAAGGAACTGACTGGGGCTTTCTAGGGGTCGGCTGACGGACGAGAAACGCGCCACCTGGATGCTGGAAAGTGACGACGGGAAATCCTCTACTTGGACGCTGGAAGCGGACGGCGGAACGTTTGCCTTTGTTTACTTTTTCTTCATCTATCTCTTTTTCTTTCTTTACTTGAACACTCAGATTGAAAAAGAAGGAAGTCCCTCCTAGGAGAGATGATTCTTATGTGACGCCTCTTACGACTATCTTTCCTGGGCGGGTGTTATTTGGTTTGAATGCCATGTCTTGATTGCGAGCGTGCCGTCCATTTTGCGCTTGGACTGTTTGCGCTGTGATCTGACTGCTGAAGTCACGTTTTGCTTCGCCAAGGTGTGACGTTGGCTTGATTTCCCGGTTTACAAGGGTGAGGCGTTCAGTTGCGATACCTTGATACCTGATGTGATTGGTCATCCTCGATCTGTTATCGAAGTCTGTTTTCTCTTTTCTCTTTTCTTTCTTAATGTCTTGGATCAGTTATCAGAGCTGTTGTTATGCGAGCCATATTCCGAGGATGGGACTTACATGTTGATTTGCGTGTATTTATCCGTCAATTCCTTTTTATTTCCTTCTCTCTTCTGTCTTTCCCGTCCTCGCAATCTAATCTTGTCACTTGGTGCTATTGGTCAACGGACCACGGAGCCACCTACCTAGTTCGAAGTGACATATGGCGAGACCGCCGATCTTCGCTTCTTTGCGGCGCAACGACGGGCCATGCTATTTTAATATCTCATTTCTCTGCATCCTCGCCCGAAATCTAACTGCACGACGTCGGATAGCCTGGCGAACCAATCTCCTCAGGCAGCGGTGACTTTCACCAGCGCGGCGTACAGTAGTGCTGAAACGATGTGATTCTTGTTTTCTCTGACCTCACCGGACATGAATGGGGGTAGAGTTTAGGGGTGAACAAAGTCGTCTACAGCGGCTAAGTCGAGTGCATAACCCGCTAACCTTCTCTGTACATAGTTAGGTTAGTAGTTAGGGGTGATGGAGTTGGTTAGTCGACAACGTCAGCCAAGGATCAACAGTCAACACTCAACAGTTTCTTCTTGGGCGGAAACTCCACTTTGGAAGTACACCGTACACCGGACGAGGGTCCATCTACAACTCCTGACTATGTAGATGTATTCTACATAGCACCCAACAGTAGATACACAGTAGGTCCATATAGTGTAGATTCTACCCAGATCAAATCCCAATCATCTCAACCAAACCAACCCATACACCCTAGCTATGGAGCACAAATAGTGCATGTAATCACGGCGTAGCCCGATATGAGAGATTAAATCTCCTGGCCCTCGGGGACTAAGGAGATAGTCTCCGCCGGACTAACCACCGGGTCTCCAATAATCTTCATCCTATCCCTATCCACATGCCAAATCGTGGAATCATTAATTCAACCCACTCGGCCAATTGTGAGGAGGAGCCGGTAGGGGGTACGTAGGAGGGAACTAGGATCGTAGGATGGTTTCACGTTTTTTCATATCCGTACTCCCCTAACTAATCCCTAGTCTACCTACGGAGTAGTGTTAGTGAATATCTAGGTAGCATCGGCGTGGGCGGATAGTCGATAATTTTTAATTATTTAGATCATAGACTAAGAGGGTCAGAAAAAAGAGAAAAGCGAGAGAAGAGACGGACGCGCGCTTCGCCTGCATTTACTGTAAATTAAACCCTCCTCGACGTTCTGTTAGCCTTAGGTCGATGATGCTAACTGCTAGGTACAGGATGTATCTCCGCCACTGCCATCATCGTCGTCACTTTCACATTCACTTCACGTTCATTTTTTTTTTTCTTTTGTTTGGGTTATTTTTTTTTTTCTCGGGCTAATATACATACATACGTAGCCTACCCTACCCTAGTTACAGTATATACTGTACCTACAGAGAGAGACTAACGAGTCGGATGATGGAGGGTACGAAAAGATTTTCTTTTTTTTTTTTTCTTCAAAGAGATGAAAAGAAAAGAAATTCTGAAGGAGGGGGACAGAAACCAATGAGTAGACAGGAATTGCAAAATGAAACCACCTCACCTCACCTACTAGTACGAGATGGTCGCCACCGTCCGCTGCATGACTTGATGGATCGACTGTACATACAGACAGGCAGACAGACAGGTTGACAGCTGGTGGACGCGTGTCGGTATGAGGGACATTACTTTACTACGGAGTGCTGCTCTCATACTAGAAAGCTATCTACTAATACATCTGGAGTACTCAGTAGACTCGATATTTTCCAGTTGTATACCTGGATGGGTTATTACAGTACGACCTGTACTGGTTTATTACATACATTACCTTACGGAGTACATGCTATATACCTAGGTACAAGATACACCGTCTGGACTCTCATGAATTAACCCTATATCCTAGGTAGTATACCCCGACAGATACACAGACGAGTACATCCTTGATACATCGCCAACACATCCCGTCAGCGAACAAAGAAAGCGACCAGGATCCGAAACAGAGACCGCAGCACGGCAGTTATGTAGACCGTCAATCGAACCGGTCTAGATTGCTGGGTTCCCCTCTTCCAGGTCGTACGCTGGATAAGGTCTGTAGTGTACACCGGTGTATGTACACTGTCCATCCAGCATGTCCTCCGCAGATAGATGGATGCCTAAACTGTCAAGGGACGGGTCGTTGGGAACCCGCCAGCACGGAGATGACTTGCTCTTTGGAATCGGGGACGCAGGGATGGAGAGACAGAAGTACGATGGATGGATGGATGGTGGCATGGCATATCTACACATGGCGGGATGGAGTGATACGTCTCAATCGAATGACGGCTCAGTGCCACCGGATCCATGGATGGAGTTATGGACACATGTAGGTAAGTAAGTCCTTGCTAACAGTTCTGTCTGTCTACCATTATTACATGTACATGTACATGTACCTGTCGAGTCAGGATCCCCTGCTCATCTGTATCTGTACTCTAGTGTACGGTATAGTTGCCTTTCACCCTCAGATCCAACCAACCCGACTAACAAAAAAAGAAAATCACAAAAAGGAAGATCCTCCTCCTCCTCCTCCTCCTCCCCACTTCACACCCCAAGTGGAGCATTTAATCTCCCCCAGAAGACACCAGTGACGGAGCGTGGACTTAATCCCCGAGGGAATACAATTTGGCCTCGATCAAGGCACGAAGGATTGCGGTGGGGAACTCGGGACAGGATGATCATGGATCAGATGTCTTGAGACCTGTGTACGGACTACGGAGTTAGTGTGGACAGGGGACAGGGTTGAATTCTGGTTTTCTTTTTCTCTTCAAGGGGGGGGGTTGATTTTATTATTTTCTCCTGGATTGCCGTGGATGGGGAAACGATCGACCGTCGACCGTCTGTGGGAAGGGCATGGCATGGCATGGCATGGTCTTTCTTGGTCGCCATGAGAGAAAAAGGGATGGGATGTGTTGGCAGGGAACCCTGTTCGTTGTGACGGGGATATTGACTGGGATGGGAGGATGTGATGGGAAGAGACGGGATGGAGATGATTGCAATTAAATTCGGATTACTGTGAATGATGTATATCGTTAGGACATAACTTACATTCTGAGCGAACCACAGGCGCACCAGAACTCAAGAGTCAAGCTTGGGCCAGACCGGGGTCGATGCTAGGAGTTTAAATTCAATTCCTGACATTCAACGATTCCATGCCATCGCGACCCGTGGATTCTCCTACGGATTGAGTTTGCCTACAGTATGTCGGCTGTACGTTCCGTCGGAGTGACAGGGCAGATTCCACGAAATTCCCATCAGGCACTATAGGCATACAGCCCCGATAGGTACTCCGGGTGTCATCCGATTGCACTCGGACCTACTACCCCAGATGAAGACCAGATTGATCGATCCTCCGATATGAATCTGTTTCTGGTTCTCCCATCGCAATAAGCAGAAGAGGGGTTACCCCCCGTCCTACGTTGCACCCGTTCGGGGCTTTCATCCGAAACTCAAGTGAGTCTGTCTGTGTGCGGATACACAGTAAGGATTTGTGATATCATATCTGACTGACTGACTGACAGAGAGATAGGTACTCTGGTATGTCGATGTATACCGATGTATAGGATACTATCCCCGCGGGAAGACAATGTCTAGCTAACAACTAAACGTACATATGTATGTGCCTCCATACACTGAGTACAACGTAAGAAGTACACATACATACCAGATACTTCTCTTCCATTAGTGTTAGTGCCACAACTAACAATTAACTAGTATACATGTACTCCGTACATGTAAACAGAAGATCAATCTCTACTGTGTGTAATGTGGACCTCCTCGTATTCATCGGCACTGTCCGCCCCGACGGAGCGAGAGTTTTTGGCCCGCCTGTCTGGCCCCCTCGACGAGAGCCTCGCTCGCCAGAGGCCCCAGAGTATCGTCCATGAAGTATGAACCCAGAATCCAGAATCTGGAGTCTAGTTTCACAATGAATGCACTTCCACGGAGAACCCGACCCTCAACGCGAGACTCCGATCGAAAGTCTATTGAATTCCCATGATTTGCTCGTCGCGTCGATCGACGACTGGATCTTGTGGATAGCCTCAATCTGCCAGACGTGGGCTTTAACTGATCCGGGTAATTTTAAACGAATGGACCCGCCTCGCTAAGGAGTTAAACTTTGATGGGCACTGGGCACCTGGTACTCCGTGGTTTGCTGGAGAAGATTAGAATGGAGGTTGGAGATGGAGTAGGTCAGGGAGCAAAGGTTCATAACTAGAAATGAAAAGCCAGAGGGACGTAATGTACTGATACTAATTACTGGACTAGTTGGATGCAGATGCAATCCACTACGAAGTGTCACTGCCATACCGCATCTATTAAATGTAATCTGGAAATTGATCATGATCGGATCTATAAGTGTTATCCTCTGGAGCCATATAGTATATACCAATCACCAACTAATCAACCCCCTCTCACGATCAAACCCACCCCTCAACTGCTCCTTCGGCTTAACCACCTTCCCCTGCAGCACCGTATACCGGATCACATTCTCACAATCCTCCGGTCTCACGCGCGCCAACCAGATCCCCTGCGCCGCGCCCTCGTCTTGCTCTCCAGTCTTGGTCTCGGTCTGCTTATACCATTCGAAGTCCCGCCGTCGGTACACAATCACGTTGGCAGCATACTTGTGTCCCCCGACGTGACTGATGAAGTAGATGCCCACGCCGCCCGGTCGCTCGTCGTCCAGATCGCGATACAGCCCTAACGGTCGCAGGTGCCGCTCGAATTCGCGCTTCAGGAGCGGCGCCGACTGTCCGCATCGTGCGTCGCGCGTGCGTTGCGAGCAGAGCAGGATGACGGCTGCGTGCGGCGACGGACGCGATTGGAGGGGTGTGGCGGGGATGGAAGGGCTTGTTACTGTCGTCTCGGACTCGGCGGTCTGGTTCTGCGAGGAAAACCCCTCCGCTACGCCGGCCAACGGCGTCGTGGTGGTGGGCGCCGGGTTGACAAAGTGTGTGATAAGATCAGAGGCCAGCGCGGGAGTGACGTGGTCGACGATGGTGAAGCTGGGGAGTAGGAGGACGGTGGTGGGTTGCTGGCCGGCTTCGTGGTAGTGGTATTCATCCGGGACGGGGATATTGGAGGCGGAGAGTTTGAGTTTCTGTTGGTACCGCATGATTAGCTTTCGCTCATGGACAGTCATGTCCTCTTTGAGAAGAAGGTAAAAGAAAAGCATACCCCGTTCGTAGGCTCAATCCCCCCCTTCTCGATAGCCTCCATTACACTGCCCGACTCATCCGCCACATCCCGCACCCAGTCGGTCTTACCAGTGGCGACGAGCAGATGCGTCGCCCAGCCGTTCACATTACCGTACATCTCATCCTCGTAGTCGACGTCGAACTTGGCCGGGTACTTCACCGTGCAAGATGCGCAGTCATGCAGGCAGTCCTCGCCGTCGACGGCGGGGTCGGTTTTGCGGAACAGGGCGTCATGCGACGGCGCTTTCGAGAAGTCCTCGGTAGAAGTGACGGGCGTGGTGTCCTGCGTCTGCTCCCGCTCCGGAGAGGAGTCGGTGGGCGTGGAGCTGAAGAGCGAGGTGCCTTTGCGAAAGAGAGCCTGCATGGTGTGTGGGATGAAAAGGAGAGGAAGAAAAGGTGGAAGAGAGTTCCAACGTCCAAAGACAGAAAAGTTGGGGACAAATCAGGATGGGAGGGCGAATCTTATCAATCGCCGCCAAGAACGGAATGTTTTCCGAACATGTGGCCTTGATGCCTTGCTTACTCACCCCTTGCCGATTGGCTGCTTCTGAGCCATCTGGTTGTGTCTAGTACGGAGTATATCCTACAGTTGCGATTACAGAGTAGGTAGCAGTCCGGTCTTTACTCCGTACTTCCCAGCACTACACCGTATTCCTTCGACTATGACCTGAAACAAGTCCAATCAGAAACCCATCCCGCAAGATGACGACAAAGCACACCATCCATATCCAATTTCATTGTCTATCGACCTATCTATTGCGACGGCGTGTATGGACGATTGCTCATATTGAAATTGAATGTATACGGCAGATCATTCGGCCCGCGAGGATCAGCCAGACGGATGACGCTGCCTCCTGAGCTCCCCGACGTGTTCGATCGCACCTGTCGAAGCGAGCGCATTGATGGTGTCCGAGGGACGGCCAGCGTGTGCTGTGGTTCCCGGTATCGCGGCCCGCCATTCTGTCTCGGTGGAGTACTGTAAATGGAGCGCTCCTCCCAGGTTGACGCGTTCGACGGCCGCGGACTGTAACTGCGACCACGGGACAGCGCCTCGCTACCGGGAAAGTCCATCGTGTCCGTCTCCCCCTCCTCGTCCGACGGGCCGATGACGGACTCGCTATCTCCGCGAGAGCTTTCGGCTCGGATTCCGCCCAGGGCCTGCGGATCCAAGAATGCCATCCCGCGCAGCAGTTCTGCAAAGACTCGCATCAGCTCTTGGAATTCGGCTTCGTAGAGTTCGCGGGACGAGAAGCGGGCGCGCTCGTAGAGGGCAAGGAATTCGCTGCCAATTTCCGGCGGCTGAATCATGCCAAACTCGGCCAGGTGCTGGAGATACTCGCGCAATCCCATGGACGCCGGTCGCCGGAGGATTTCGACCACGCGCGTGTCCGGCGGCGAGGGGTCCATGTCGGCGGAGGCATGTTCGAAGGGGAAGTAAGGGTCCGGGGGCGCTAAAGAAACCGCCTTGGCTTCGATCAGGTTGGGGAGTTCCTGGAGGACGGTGCGATAGGGTAGATCGGGCAATTCGGGCGACGACGGCGAGGACCAGCCTGGGTGTTCGACGTGGTCCCAAGGGGGGTGGTCGCGGTCTACCACGAGCATCTGGTAGTCGGCGAACCGGTCCCCGTCTGCGTCAATATCTCGCGGTCGAGCCTGGTAGGCCACGATGGCGCTACGAGCCAGTCCCTCCATCACCAGGCGCCGGACACTTTTGCCAACATCCTCCTTTTCGATGGGAATCCACGCCTTGGGGATTCCGGAGAGAACAGTTCGATTGGTATAGATGCGTGTCGCATAGATCAAAGCGGCTAGGATGATGGTCACCACGTATCCGCCGGTGATGATGAAGATGTTAGTGAGTCGTGAGGTGACGTAGCACTGGTAAATGGCGTCGGCCGGGGTCAAGACGACCAGGCAGAAAAGGATGATCGAGAGGACGATGAAGACGGTGTGATTGAGGACGCGATACGGATTCCAGGCCATAGTAGCGAGCGCACCATCCTGCGCGTCGCAGCCTGTGCCGGTACCAGCACGAAACAAAAGGGGTGCGAAAGGTAAGCAAGCAATGATGCTCCGAGAAAGTCTGAAGCTGCGACTCCAACAGGGGGGCTCGCCGACCGGGCGCACGTGACCCCTACGGTCCACGGCAGGTCCGTCTCATTTAATTCGGTCTATTCTTAGAATCTCTTTATAGATTACTATTCCATTCAGTGGACAAGCAACCCAGGGCATAACGGCATTATTTACAGGGCGGGATCTGACTCCATCCTGCGAGATCTATAATTCTACGCTCGGAAACATGCTCAGGCTCATCCTCTCTCAGTCCCCCATCTAATCGTCCTGGACGGCAACCTCGTCTTCCCATTGCTGCTTGGCCATACCACGAGCCCGACGGATCACGCGCTCGATACCGTCCAGACCCATCTTCAGCACGTCCATCTTCGGTCCGTAACTCAGGCGAACAAAGTGGTGGCAGGGACTGTCAAACAGGTCTCTTCTCTTGGCCGGGTTCAGATCGAAGAAGATTCCGGGCACCACGATGACCTTCTCGGTGAGGAGGGCGTTAAAGAAGTTCAATCCGTCGGAGATGTTGGCCTCCTCAGGAAGAGGAGGGTCCAGAGAGGTCAGATCCAGCCAGATGTAGAACGTAGCCTGCGGCACGTCCTGCACGCGGAATCCGATCTCATGCAGGCGCTGGAGGACAAAGTCACGCTTCTCCCGGAAATGCTGCTGCAGAGCCTTCATCTCGGCGTGGACCAGAGAGGGCTCAAGCATCGGGATGGCGGCTTCTTGGAAGGGAGCGTTGGCACCGCCGTCCAGATAAGACCCGGCGGAGCCCAGGGCATTGACGAATTCCTTGGGTCCAACCACCCAAGCGATACGCCAGCCCGGAAGACGGAAACGCTTGGTGAGACCGTCAATCAGAAGCACATCTGCCATTCAAGTTAGCCGGACGGGAAGAGAGAGAGATAGGATCGCAGACGAACCGTCTTGGTTGACATCCACCACGTTGGAAGCACCACTGATTGTGGTGCCGTCACAGTCGGTGGTGTAGTTGTATCCTCCGTAGAACTCATCCAGAATCAGAGTGGCACGGTCACGGCAGATGTCTTGGATCCGAGCCAGCTCCTCGTGCGAAACAAAGTGACCGGTCGGGTTTCGGGGGTTGGAGGTCAACAACACCGACGTTCCACGAGCGATTTCCTCGGCGATCTTATCGGGGTGGATGTGGTAGTGGTCATCCTGGGCGAGGGGAATGGGGATAGGAGCGATCTGAAGGTGGCTGTTAGCCTAGAGTAGATGATGGCGGTAAGTACGTCACAAACTCACGTTCTTGAATAGGGTCAACATCTCCGAGTAGGCCGAGTAATCGGGGATGGGGAAGGAAAGGTAGGAATTGCCCAGGATGGCGGCAATTCGAATCAAACCCGCGCGACCACCGGGGACGATGCACACGTTCTCCCAGGTATACTGACTGGCCTTGCCTTGGCGATAATGTTCATTGTATAGACGGGCGACAGCGGCACGAAGGGGCTTGATACCGGCCGTGGGACCGTATTCACGGGCAGCGGAGGTGATAGGGATGGAGGTGGGCCGGGGAAAACTGCCCTCGATCTCGTCGTCGGCCTCGGGGGCACCCTGACCTAGGTTGGCCCAGGACGAGGGATCCTCGGCGTAGCCATGCTCCGTTGCACGTTCGGTACACCACACCACACCGGTTGAGGCACGCGAGGCATCGAGACCGGCATGCGGACGGTGACCTTCATGGGCGGTTCGGAATTGACGATGCGTTTCCGATCGGAGTTCTGACAGAGGACGTTAGTTTAGCTGCGTCAATGGCGCATGCTTAGTGGCTTGGAAGGGGGAGTTTTCTATTTTAATTTTAGATGTTTGAGAGGCCGCGGAATCAACACGACGTCTTGGTTTTGTGCCCAATCCATCGTGCAAGGCCGGTAGTTTCAGGGAGCAAAAAGTTGAAGAAAGAACAGTTCCAATAGATGGTATATAGATACATCGACTCGAGAGGAATACTTTGTTTGGAACGACCAACAAGAAAATAGGAGTGAAATGCAAAGATCAGGCGGAGGAAAAGGCGACGTACCATTCTCCGACAGTTCCTTGCCGGCAGAGAAACGCCGGTTGGAGGGACGCAGAATGCTCACACGACGTCCAGAGAAGGACATGATGGGCGAGAGACTTAGCGAAGGTGTGAACAAGAATCAAACAACTCGAGCGAGAGGAAGATCGAAAGACGGTGTGCCTAGTCGAGCATAAACAGCGTCCTGAGGCGGGTTAAATAGCAAGAGGGGAAGAAGAAGAAGAAGAGGAAGAGAAAGAAAGACGGTAAGGAAAGATAGACAAACTGGCGGCCTGATTCTGACGGACTCCAACTCCAAACCTGCCCCAACTTCGACTTTTCCACTTTTCAATGAGAATCCCTCAGGATTGGTTCATCCCCAGGACATGCCAATGACAGCCAACACTCCCTCCAGGACGATCAGGGGGCGCGAAGAGAGGCAGAGAAAATGCCTCATCGCACCTGTCAGAAGCCTCCTGCTCTAGACTTACTCTCCGACCGGAACATTCGCAACTGAACAAGCTCATAAAGCAATACCTAATGAATAATAATAAATAATAAATAATAATAGACGCAACTTTCGGCAGACCCGATCCACTTCCGAGTGGGCCGCCGCTCTCGGATCCCATCCGACTTTCTACTCCATATGATTCTACCGATACGCTGTACTCCGTCTGAGACAGTCTAATTTCAATGCAATTCCGTCGCAGTCTCTCCTGAACCCAACTATCCAAACTCCGACCAGGCCAACCCCAGCCGGGCAAATGCAAACAAAAAAAGCAGGGGAAAAAAAAAGAACATGTATCCAATATTCGCTCACTCCAGGCATCTCAACTCTCGTATCGAACGGGGGAACAGAATAATCAGATAATAAAAATAGAAACGCAATCGAATCGGCTCGATCAAAAAATAGCGGTATACATACATCATGCAGTCATGGTCCTCGGACGTAGGGGAAAACAGCAGCCTAAACAAGACAAGACAAAAAATGACACTCCAGACGCATCCATCATCGTCGCCGTTCCCCTGGCCATGGCAAGAGAAGATCGGTTAAATATCGGCTCCTAACTCAACAAAGTAGAAGGTAATGTGAAAAGGAAATGCAAAAGAGAAAAGAAGAAGAAGAAAGAAAACCCTGTACCATCCCTGTTTTTATTTCCCTCTGTTCCGGTTTATTCCCGAGAATATGATCAATGATTCCCCAACAGTCTCAAGCCAATCCAGTTGGAAATGAGTTGTCGAACACCTGGAGACAACGCCAGCGACTTTCCTTGAGAAACCCTTCTCCCCGGCAATCTCTTCATCCTTCGGAGAGAGAGCGACCAAAGGGAGGGGGAGAAGTAGGATGAAGATGAAAAAAAAAAGAAAATGAGAAGAAAAGAAAGGAAAGGGAAACGGATATAGAACCAGATGAACCCATAGATGGTAATTAGATGACAATGGTGTCCATTAACATTTCAGTTCTCCACGGCCTGGCAATATAGCTGGATTTCTCCGACTTGGCCTCGAGAGAGCGCGTCCCGATGCTGCTCGCGCCATTCCATGAATGCGAGCTGCACAGCCTCGTCGCTGTCGATGGTGACGAAATCCCCGTCCTCGTCGCGATAACGCAAACGCACCGACTTATTGCCAATCGACCGGTTGGTGAATCGAGCCAGTTTGGCGTCCACCCGGTCCGTGAGCGAGCGGAACATGATGTTGCTGGCAATCACCAGCGTCACGTAGTTATCGTCAAAGCTCACCTTGGCTTTGAGTTGCGTAGGCATGAGAGGGTCCTCGTCGGGCTCGTGGCTCAAGGGCGATGTCGGTTGGTCCGACGTCGACGGGGTGGCTCGAGATTCAGAGTACTGGGGTTCATTAAACTGGGTCGCGGGCATGTGCCGCGAGTCGTGGTGCGAGGTGTTGGAAAGATGGTTGGCGTTTCGAATCGGAATGTTACCGTTGGTCGGCGAATTGTTCTGGCTTCGATTGACGGGGGCCTTCATGCTGGCCATGTGTGCCGGAATGGGTGGGACCGGTACGTTGTCAACGGTCTGCATCGTGTGCGCCCCCATGTACCGACGCATTTCCGGGTTGTGGTTGTGGATGTCGGGACTGCTGGCGGATCGCATGCGTTGGGCCATGCCGTTCGAGGCTTGGCCGGACATGGGTGGCAAGGAGGGTCGTTGCACACCTCGTCCGTTCGGGGCGTTGTTGAAGTATGAGTTCGAGCCGTCTCTGGATACCCCACGAGACAAAGCGGGTGCCGTGTATCGGTTCGACTCTTCGGTCCAGTTGGCGGATGGCGTCTGCCGCCCGTAGGAGAAACCAGTCGACTGAGAACTTGATCGCGTTGACGGCGTCTCGGCGACGGGCGAGAAGTAGGACGGCGCGTTTCTTTCTGCAGGGGACATACCACCACCGGGGAACTGAGTATGCACGGACAGGTTGGGGTCGGGCATTGGGAAGCGTGGCGGACGACCCGAGGAGAGTGGAGGTCCAGAGCTCCCACTTCCTCCTGTGGCAGACCGGGTTCTCAAGCTCGTGCTGGAGGCGTTTCGACTCATGGGGAACTCGGAAAAGAAGCCGGCTTCTTTGGTGGCTTCCTGTTCGGCATCGTACTCCTGCTGGTAGGGATTCGGCATGTTTGCCATGCCCTTCATATATGTGAATTCTGTTTCAGACGTGCCGGTACTCCGAGCACTGCGATGATCGGCTTGGATGGCCCGCTGGTTGTCAATGTCCTTGTACCATTTGCGCATGGTATCTTCATTCTGATAGCGAATGATAAAGTTGTCCACCACGCCGGGGTCACCCTTCCAGAAAATTTGAATGCGATAAGAGCCTACAAAAAGGGACCGGTCAGCACCTGGAAACCAGCATGGGGAAGGGGTCATGTTATTTTCATACCCGGCTTTTGAATGCAAACGATATCGGTTACATTTGCCATGTAAATGCGGCCTTTGAGCTGAAGACGGGGCTTTCCCTTAACCGTAGTGGCAGGCTTGTCTTTGCTCACCATCAGTTTCGTCTTCTGTTTGTTCGGGTTGATATCCTTGCAGCAGAGAAGGATGCGCTCAAAAAGATAGATGTGGTACTAGACTCGAGAATCAGGGAAACATGCCCCAGATCAGATTAGCAATCAGTTTCTTTTTAGAGCGTCATGCAGTGATTATGTTGGAGCCTGAGTCGGAGGGAATATTCGATCCCTCCCCTGCACGGATATCTAGGGCTTGGGGGCTAAGGGCTGTGGGTAGTGTAGCAATGCAAAGTCTGGCGATAGGAAGAGCTTCCATGGAAATCGATCGGGGAAATGCACTCCGTTTGTCTCCTGGGCCCTTTAACCACAAGGGTCATCGCAGAACGAGTCCATATCCGAGAGGTTCAATCGCATAAGCAAGCCATGTTGTGCAGGGGAAACGATGTTTGCGGGCCAAAAGTCTTCATAGCAGTGGGTGATTAGAAGGGTACAAACCTCTCTTTCCGAATCCTTGCCGTTGTCGCCTTTCAAGACCGTGAAGGTTCCAAATCGTAGCAGATCCCCGAAGGAATCTATCTTCAGCGATTTCCAGTCGTCGACTCGCTCGTCGAGTTCCTTGAATGCCGAGGCGAGATGTTCTTTGTCAATTGCATCGTTGGCAGAATCGAGGACCGTTTGAATCGCATCGATGGCCCGGGTTATATCTGTTTGAAGGTCTGGGTTTTCTGTCTGTTTGCGGAGTTCCTGTTGGAAGGGTTAACAATGCGCCCCGAGAGAGAGACGCTTGGTATTTGGCGCTGTTGTCCCTATGACGGGGGAACAGTGTGGAGAAGGAGAGGAAACTCACGCTAAGCATCAACGGGTATTTGGTGAGTCGCTGGAAAGGCTTGACAAAGAAGCCATTCAACGTTGCGGGCTGGGCCACCATCTGTTGCAAATCCAGGGAGCGCGGGGCAATCCGAATCTTGTCCCATTCTCTCAGGCAAACTTCGTCGCAACGCATCTGGTTCGAGATAAATGGCTCGTACTGTCGGAAAGCTTCCTCGTGCTGTATGAATAACTCTCCCCAGTTCTGCTTCTCCTCGGGTAACGCATAATGCTGCTCGATGCGGATCAAAAATCGCTGGGCGAAATCAAGGAGGTTGTTCAGATTCAGGAAAATCTGATGGCTGAGGTCACCGGTCAGAGCGCCCGTTTCCTCCAATTCCTTCTTGAGTGCCTGCAAGTTCTGTAGGTGGTGGACATAGTCGCGTTCCGTTTCTAGCAATTCCTTCAAGATGTGTTCTCGCCGGGTCAGTTTGACAGCCCCCTTTTCAGGTGCGTGGGTGGTGTCGTCCGCTCGTCGCTTGAGCTGACCCTGCATTTCCAAGATGTCCAAGACCCGGTTGACCATTTTTATGACCTTGATAAAACCAGTCGTGCTGTCGCCATAGAGATCGGTGATGAGGAAGCAATCCTGCTGAGGGAAGGCCAGTTCCTTCAAGGAGGCCTGTAGGAATTTGAAGGTGGCGGCTTTCGGACGTTTGGCCTCGGGGATCTTGGCGGGGTCGACTTCGAGATACTCCTCGGGGCTGGAGGCATTGTAGATGGTCAGGAGAGGGTATCCATCCCGCAGGCAGTTCCATAGCGAGGCCACGGGGTCGGTGTTGGCTTGCGCTTCGTCTGCTTCGTCCATCTCCCGCAGGTGCGTTTCGAATTCGGGCAGCTCCGTCAGGCGTTTTTTTTAGGTTGACGCAGCTCTGATAGATCGACTCACCGCCGCGGCGGTTGATGATGTTGTCCTCGGGGATGGGACCGCCATTTACAACCACGGTCTCGGCCATTTCGACAGTCCGTCGACTGGGGCTGCGAGACGAACCAACGGCGGGATCTCAGGGGAGGGGCGGCAGAGGAAGGGAGGGGTCTCGGGATCGGAGGAGGGGGGGCTCAAATCTGCGCAGCAGATGGAGAGAGTGGGAGAGTGGAAAGGACAGACAGGCGTAGTTGTACAAGAAGAAGAATAATGTCGAGCATGGATCACTGAATGCGAGCCGGTGGACCGATGCGGGATGAATGGCGCAAGCGAGCAGCTAAGAAGGGGAGTGGAGATAAAGTGGTACGTTAACTCCCTCCGAACGCTGAGTCAAGCTGGTCTCTGCCGTGTCTCGACTCTCTCAGGAGTCAGGAGGCTTTGGAGGGGGGAAGAAGTTCAGTCCGCGAATGAGCGAGAAAAAAAAAGGGGGGGAGGAATGAAAAATAACCACAACCCACGGCAACGAGAACTTGATCAGAAAGAAGAAGAAAACGAAAATCAGAAGCCGAAAAGGAGCAAGTAAAAAAAGCAGAAGAAAGAGAAGAAAGAAGAGACCGAAAGAGCGACGGTGCGTGAGTAAATATGCAGGTCGAGATCCAGTGACCGTGAATTTCTCGCCCTGTCCTTGTTTCTTTTTTTAAACCCGGACAGTCAAGCAATATTGCACTTTTCCTTCTTCTTGCCAAAGAGAAGAATGATAATAATGATAATAAAAATTAAAGAAAAAAAAATTCTCCGACCCTTGCTGGGAAGTAGTTCGTTAGACCAGCCCCGGGATTGGGAGATCGAAGAAAGGGTGTGAATGTGGGGTTCGACCGCTGCAGCCAGGCAAGCGTTCAGTCCAGGGTAGCGGTACTTCTGGGAGGGGGGCAGGGACTAGGTGACAGATTATAGATGGAGGGATGGAGGGATGGAGGGATGAGATCGAGATAGAAATAGAAATAGGACGGTCCCAATGGTGGAAGGGGAGGACAAAACCCTTTTTCTGATCCTAAATATTATTGCCTTCAAATCGGGCAGATCCGCTCACGAAGGTAGAGGAGATTAAATCAGTTGCAAGGCGATGTCTATCAAAAAAGAACAACTAGTACCAAAAGCCGACAACTAAGAGATGATGAAACAGCAGAGCAGGGAGAAGGGGAAAGGGAAGGGAAGGGAAGAAAGAGAAGCAGAAGAAGGGAGGAGGAGGGGGCAGGAGAAGGAATTCCGTAAGGCGCCTGAGGTTCCCCTGCCGATTGTTCTTTGATTTCTTCTTGTCCCCGACGGTATGGCTGGTAGGGCCCTGTGCTTATTTCTTACGGACAACTCCGTATACTTCGGGGTCTTCGAATCCTCATACATTAAGCGTTTGAGGTTCGGACTAGTCCCTTCTGGTGCCGGGCTAAGGCCTCGTAGTGCAGATGATGACCTTGGAGGATGATAATATCCACGAACCCCCACAAACTGCAGAAATAGCCACTTTACCCCCGGGCTTCTGGCGTTCGACAACCTTAGAACACTCAACGAATAGCAGGTATCGAGTAAATCAGCGATGAGGACTATCGAACCCTACGAACTTAGCGCTCTGTAGCAGGATATCACTCCGCGGGGTAGTGAACAAGTAGCTCGCTCATATAGCGGCCTAGAGGCAGTGACAGGGAGCTGATATTCTAGTACAATGCCTTCATTGTAGTATATTAACGATGATAATAATACAGAGCAACGAGCGAAAGCATCTTCAATTTTCCCTCCAAGTGGTGTTATGATTTTTGCCCACCCCCCCGTTTCCTTCACTGCTCCAAATCTGGCTGGACGTACAGACCGAACCTCGCAATGAAATTGTCTGGTGTCAGCATCCATTCGGGAAAGTGGCCCCAGTTGTCATAGGAAGCCTCGAGGCCCAGAGTTGCGTTGATTCCAGGGTTCGACTGACATATTTGATTACTTCCAAACACCGATTGAATGCCTCCACGTCGGTTTCGTGGGGATATGCAGTGCGTAGTCTTGGACGCCACAAGCAATCCCATTGTGGCAACTTGATTCCCAAGTCGCGCTCGAAAAGATATCGTTCGTGCCCATTCGAGCGGACCAACGCTTCTGGATGGCCATTATTGTATTCGAAAAGCACTTTCTGCTGCATTCTGAATATGGCACGTGCAGTACGGAGATGCTTATGCGTCTCCAGTCTCACCGGATCATTACTCTGAAGGGGCCACTTTTCGTGAACGAATGCCGGACTCATAGTTGCCATATACTCAATGAGCTCCTTATTTTTTCATGTAAACATCAAGAGTCATGCGCTTGTTGTGTTGCAGGACATGATGTATAACTGTCCTTAGACACTCTAAAACCGGCCAACAAACAGCGAAGTATCTCAGAGCCTTTATGCTTGGAAGTCCCAAATAGCCAGCTAGCTTAAGCTCCTCTCCAACGCGATCATCCTTATCCTCGATGTCCAAAAACGACTTCGGGTCTCCTAGAACCCCGGGTCTGAGCTGCTCAGGAGGCCCCGCGGTGCCCCATGCGGTCGTTGGCCCGGCCTTGAACACGAGTCAGGAATTGAGGGATTGAGGAATATGAGTGGTTGTTCGAAGCTCACTGGGACTAGCTGCCTCTCTCCAGACTGGGCCTGCATCCTCCCTGTACTCTTGCTGGCCCTTTCCCTCGCCGTGTCTCCAGCGTTCCCTGAGCCCTCGGCCTTCCTCTTCCCCTTCGCTTGCTTTGGTGGCATTGATTATCTCGAGGTGAGAGCTAGGAAGTATATGGTACTATCGGAGATAACACAGTGAGATGCAAGGAGCGAATATGAGCTTCTACCGTAGAGAAGGTTGAAGTAAACAGAGACACTTTACTTCTCGAGGGAGTGTGAAGGCCCTGAGAAGGTAGGAACTACCGGGGAAAGGTAGTCCTCGTACACCGGCCCCGATAAGGCAACCACCTCATATACAACCATTATTAGGAAGCCTGGCACATATATAATTTATGCGAAAAGTAGTAGGAGGTATGATCATTCTTATCAAAAGCTAGGTAGTTATGTAGGCACTTAGAAACTCCGAAAAGCTATTAGCGTAGTATATACTGTAAGATATTGCTAGGCTGGTTATGGAGATTAGCTTGGGTAACAATTACTCTATGCAAGATTATTGCTTATATGGGGTCCTAAGTAGCGATTACGCTGATAGGGCAGTAAAAGAGGCGTAAAAGTGCCTGTTTATCTCTGCCCCGACTGTGGTACCACCTCTTAGATGGTTGGTAAGGCAGTTAGTCCACGAGAAGTGGGAGCGTATATAGATCTACGGAAATAATCCTGTATTATTCACAGCCAGGCTTATATGCCAGCTAATCTCTCATCCTAATAGGTACATCCTATGGCTTTATCGGGACATGTAGAAGGCATATTCTTCTGCGCTGATATGGATCCGGACAGGGTGTATAGCACTTAACCAGTTTCTTCACTCGTTTATCGCGGTTTTATCTCCTGTCTGTCGCTGCAGTGCAAGTGCGCAGTCTATTAAATATGTTTTTATTTACTACATTTGTTATAAACGCCTGCGTTATTACTTTTGGGTCCGGGCTCGGCAGATATTAGTAGGTGTAACTACTACTAGTCCCTTGTACACCAACGCGCAAGTTCTGTGTAGAGCATCGCAGATAGTTTAGGCAGACTAGGCGCGAGGCAGTAACTGCCGTGATCTAGAATAAACACAAATGAATCAGTAGCAGACTGAATGATGTCGCAGATCTTATCAAAATTCCTATACTTCCTCGGCGGGAGGCCGCTTTAACGGGCGGCTTCAGGCGGCTCGGCGGCAGTACCCGAAGAAGCAACCGCCATCCCAAGCATCAACTGTCAACTGTCAACTGACCTGCCAGGGCGATTCATTCTCTCTTCTTCCTATTCCCTCTTCTTCCTGTGACCACCGGACGAGTCAAACTCCCATCTTTCCTGTCGACTTGGCCCATTCCAACAAATCCCGCCAGACTCATGGCGAGGGAGACTCCCGCCCCCGAATCTACCATCCCTCGTCTCCTTCGGCTCCACGCCGCCAACGACTCGTCTTTCGCTGCCCCCTCGTTACCCACACCCTTCAAGCTCGACGAGGGCTACTCCGATGAGACCAAGAGTCAAGCAGACAAGGATTTTCTTCTAAACTCGCCCGCGAACGATGTGATGAATCTCCCGGACTGGCTTCTTGCTACGAGCGAGGCGGAGAAAGCTGGTAAGTTGCTACCGCTGGGCGCAGGTCGCGATCCCATACACCTCGGCCTAGGCACTGACCTTCATTCCCTCAGAGTTCGCCTACAGCCTCCTACGGTCCATGAGTACCTCCACCGTAGCCGCCTTGGTCGACCGACTCGCGCCTCTGCTACACATGGACCCCGTTCTCAAGCTTCCGCCCGAAATCACCTCCGATATATTCTCCTACCTGGATCCGCACACGTTAGCAACGGCTTCGTTGGCATCCCGCGCCTGGCGCAACCGCATCGCTGATTCGCGCCTATGGCGAGGTCTCTACATTCGAGAAGGCTGGCGTGTCGACGTCGACGCCGTGCGCAGATTTGAAGAGGAAAATTCCGGTCTACTATCTCCCCAAAGTCGCAAGTCTCGATCAAGATATACAGACGCGGACCTGGGAGAACCAAAACAAAAGAAGCGGGTACCACCAAGCTGGCTGAACTCTCGGGAAAACTCATCTTTGGAGGCCCACGAAGTCACGCAGGCGAATGGACCGCCCGCCCCCGTGGAGGCTGACCCCGAAGGGGATCATCTCATGAGTGATGCCTCAAACCAGCGGAGCAGGTCGGAATCCGGGAGGCAATCTTTGGTGGACTGCAGTAGCAGCCACAGGTCTTCCTTGGAGGCCGCCTCAACCAGGGCGGCAGGGCAGATTTCTATTCCTGCTAGGGTTTCCCTGACATCCTCTCTCTTCTTCAGAATGCCTAACGGGTCGGTGAAACTGAACTGGATTTATCTGTACAAGCAACGCCGACGGTTGGAAGAGCGGTGGGATAAAGGTTGCTACAGCACATTTCAGCTTCCGCATCCGTCTCACATGGATGAATGCCATCAGGAGTGTGTGTATTCGATTCAATTTTGGGGCAAGTGGCTGGTGAGCGGCAGTCGAGACAGGAGTGTGCGGGTATGGGATTTAGACACCAAAAGGCTATGCCATCCCCCCCTGTTGGGCCACTCGAAATCGGTGCTTTGTCTGCAGTTCGACCCTCGTCCGTCTGAGGACATCATCATTTCCGGGAGTAGCGACAAGAGCGTCATCATCTGGCGATTCTCGACGGGCGATAAAATCCATCAAATTGTGGACGCCCACGATGACTCCGTCCTGAATCTGCGATACGACTCACGCTATCTAGTCACCTGCTCTAAGGATAAACTGATCAAGGTATGGAGTAGACGCCAGCTGACGCCGGCCGATCAAGAATATCCAAGTATTCGCCATGGCGCCGGAGTTAACTATCCCTCATATATAATCGACACCGCCGAAATGCCATCACCCGTCCTTGAAGCAGAGATTGCTCGGAATCACAATCTGACTCTGGCGCCCTATACCCTTCTCATGTCGATGGAGGGTCACGGCGCCGCCGTCAACGCCATCCAGATCCACGAAGATGAAATCGTGTCCGCCTCAGGTGACCGATTAATCAAGATCTGGAACATCCGCACCGGCGCCTGCGAAAAGACGATCATCAGCCACGAGAAAGGCATTGCATGCGTGCAATCCGACAGCCGACGCATCATCAGCGGGAGCAACGACAACACGGTCCGCATTTTTGATCACATCTCCGGCGCAGAAGTTGCTTGTCTCCGAGGCCACCGCAATCTCGTCCGTACTGTCCAGGCCGAGTTTGGTGATCCCCCGGGCGCCGAAGAAACCATGAGGCTTGAAGCGTTGGCCGTCGACAACGAATTCTGGAATGCCCAGCGCACCAGTGCGGCTGTCGGGCTCGGCCCCAGCGCTTTGCGAAGGTCAGGCCATCTCCAGAATACCGCCGGATCGCGAGATCCTCGGGATATCAAGGCCTTGGGGGCTCGAATCCCCCCTGGCGGAGGTGGAAGTCGATGGGCCCGTATCGTCTCAGGCTCGTATGACGAGTCCGTCGTCATCTGGAAGAAAGATAGTCAAGGGAAATGGGTCGTAGGCTTAGAACTCAAACAAGCCGACTGCGCGCAAGAAGCGTCCTCGGTAAACGGGAGCTCAACGACCCGAAACCGTCACCCCCGAGGCCATCCTCTCGCTCATCCACAAGGTGGCCCTCATCATGCGCCACCGATGCCAAACCCGGCCCACGGGCCTCATTTCAACCATTTTGTCCCACCCTTCCATCCTCACAATCACCCTCCTCGACCGATGCAACCCGTGCCCCAGCCCGTCTCCCGCGTCTACAAACTCCAATTCGACTGTCGAAAAATCATCTGCTCCAGCCACGACCCTCGAATCGTGGGGTGGGACTTTGTAGGTGACGATCCGGAACTTAACGAAGCGTGTCAGTTTTTCAGCGGTTTATGAATTGATTCCCTGGATTTTCTCCCTTGTTTCTTTTTCCATCTCATTGCTAGGTCTCTATTCTTCGGTCTGCGTCTTTCTTCTCCCTCTCTATCTGTCCGTCTCCTCAAATCTGTACGTGGAACCTTTTCCTCACGTGGAAATGCATACATGGTGTCGGTAAAAACACCTAGCTATTTTATCTTAACTCCCCTTCTGTGCTTGACATTCATCCACCGACGACTATTCTTTCGCTGGCTTCCCTTAGCCAGAGTCCATCCGATCTGTCCTCACTCCCATTCTCATTCTCACTTCTCGCTTATTTCCACTTTCTCTTCCTTCCCTTTCGCAAATACATCTACTACCTATGGCTTCATTCGTCACTTCCCCCAAGGTTCTTTTCTCGCATATATAGGTGAAACCGTGTTATATCTTGTCTGTTAAAATTGTGGAATATTTTGTCCCATCGAAGAGAAAATCATCTGATTGCTAATCTGCGTTGGGACTTGGTCTTTGCTGCTGATTTATAACACCTATCTTGTTTTCTTTTCTGTGGTTGTTACTTCCTAGCGACTGTGTGGCATCAAGAGCAATGGAGTTTGCTGGTTTCAGGTTCAGGTCCTAGCCAATATAGACACATATCATTTATTTGAAAAAGTCCCTTTCATCTACTCTGTTCATTGCTGAAAATGATGGTGATGGTGATTTTGGATGGAATGAAAAATCATAAGAAGAAAGACCCAGAAAAAGAATTTGGGGGAGCGAGCTGTAGTGTGGTAGAAAATACTCTTAACAATTGTCATCGGGATAATATGAATGGACAGATATCTGCATGACACAACTCTCTGGCAACAAAGAATAAGAACACTCCCAGCATGTGCGATATCGAATACCCCAGCGCACCTAGGCCTAGTACAGGACGTCTTGAATATCCCCGGAACGCCAGCCTAACCGAGCATAGGTTCCGTGACAAGGAAGTTGCGCGAAGCCAGACCCCGAAGCGATTTCCATGTATCCGAGCACCACCGCAGGAACTGCTGAGATTGCTTACCCAGACCAACCCGGTTATGCGGTTGCTCTGTTGTACTCTCATCGGTTACTCGGCTTCTGGCTGTAACATAAGTGTCATGGGAGCATGTATTAGAATCCGTGACGGTATCAGACTCGTTGCCCATTCGTAGGCAACAAAAAAAGCAAGAAGCGCTTGTCTTCACCTGTTGTAGCCAAGTCACAGGCTTGTCCTCCCCTCCAACATCCAATTGTTGCACGTTACTTATCGTCGACGTCTGTGTCGAAGCGAGAAGACCCCCAGCAGGGTCACTGGTTCTGCTATGAGCCTGCAAGCCTGATCCGGGGCCTTCTCCGGGTACTTCAGGTGCGTGCGGCTGGCCGATAGAATTTTGGTACGACGTACGTCTGGAGACATTACGGAAAGTGTTCATGGATATTGGTTTTCGTGGCGGGCGAAGGACAGCGTTGCGCGGCCGCGGAAGTGCATTTTGAAGCTCATGATTCCCAATACTTGAGTCTGCACTCGATGCGACAGAAGTCCTTTGATCCAGGTTTGCTACACCGACAATTGATCGCGCATCCTCATGAATTGTGTTATCATCTGCGTTGACACCATCGCACTGAGCCATTGTGAGAGTTCTTCGATGGAAAGGGTGCTCATCTAGCCGTCTTGCGGCATTCATGCCATGTCCGCTCTGTCTGTATGGAAATCGACCCAGGACAGCAGTACCATCGGCCGCTCTTGCAACGGTACACACTTGCTGAGTTGGTTGGTTGGAGGGAGAAATGGAGGCGAAACCAAGGCGCCTTCGCCATCGCTCCCCGTAAGATAAAGCACCGGTGTCCTGTGCAGTCTGACGACGAGAGTTTTGGTTACGGTAGAAACGGTCATGCAGCTGAGGCTGTCTATCAACAGTGGAGGACTGTACAGGGAATTGGGCGGAGTAGCCAATGGCGTCCTGGGTGCCAAACGATGGAAGACCGGGGGGTGTCGGGGACCTGACCGGAGGGGGGTATCTTGGTAAAACCGGCTTTGCAGGCGAAAAGAGATCTTTTGACCATCTCGGGGTCGTCGGTCGGCGACAAATATCGTTGAGACTGCTCACTTCCCGCTGTCGAGCCTGTTTAGCTGGCGGTGGTTTCGGAGTAAAGCTGTCGGAGAGCAAATGCGCATGGCGTTTGCAGGAATTGGCTTCCTGGCTCTGACAGTAATCTTGTCTATGCAACGGCGGGTTATGAGCGGTCTGTTCGGGTGTCAGTGGAAGCAGCATGGCGATATTCGCTGCCATCCTGCTGTCCAACACGTTCGGCTCGTCAATTGAACTAGGACCACAGGTGTTGACATCGTTTAGGGAGCTTGTTCGAACGGCATCATAGATAGAGCTCTCGTGGCTTGATTCATATGATTCTTCTTTTACGCATTGCGAAGGCTCTTGGAATATCGACCGTGCTGGTGGGACGGCCTTTCGTTTGGCACGAGGTTGGCATTGGTTTGGCATACTGAGACAACGGATGAAAGTGTATAATATATAAAAGAGAAGGGCTTCAGATGAGCTGAGATAATGCCAGAATTGCGATGGCGCCCATGGCTTGGAGGGTTGTCTGTCATCCATCGTGCTTTCCAAAGTCGCCGAGTCGATGAGAGAAGGCGCGCAGTGAGGCCGAGTCACCAAGAGCCCAAGAAAACAAAGAATGAATATTCATCCAAAAGCTATGAAACACCCGGAGGCAACGAAGTGAATTATATATAATACAAGGCTCCCCAAAATTGTCTATGTGCACACTCAGATAGAAGAACCGAGAGAAAGAAATGATTCGCCCAAAGAAAAGAAGACAGGCAGGGCGGTTAAGGGAGAAGAGAAAACATTAGTATGTACTGGGAATGGTATATCCAATGACACCGACCAAGATAAGGCGATGGTTTGGGGAAGGAGGCTCAGAAAAATCAATCAAAAATCCAAAACGCGTCTTCTGTCATGATCATAAAGCCGTGACGCTCTGGTCAACGCCGGGTTTGCCGGTGGCATTTGCTTGCTCCTTCTTCAAATCTCGGATCAAAGCCTCGAGTCTGCGACGTTCTTCGTGTTCCGCCTGTTCGTTCGCGTTAGCTTGGATTGGTCTGGAGCCAAAAGGGCTTGGGATAAGATTGTACCTTCAGGATCTTCATGTTCTCAACTCGAGTGTCCCTCATCATCTTCTTGAACTCATTCTTCAACACCATGGTCGAAGTAGTCTCATAGGTGCCGTCGCGTCCCATAGAGGGGTTGTGGATGCCCATCCAGGTAATGCGCTCCTCGTTGAGCTGCGTCTCTAGCTGCTCGCAGCGGTCACGGAGGCTGTCAATGTGGCCTTCAAATCGCTCGCGCTCCTTTTCGAACTCAATGCTGGCCTTGGTCATAGTCTCATAGTCATCAATGGTTTCTCGGAGCTCCCTCTCCAACGTATCGGCACGGTGCTGCAGGTTGCCGTTATGACCAGGCTTGCCGGCCTTCAGACTTGCAAGCTCCTGGGCCAGTTCAAAGTTTCTCGTATGTAGTTCATCGAACTCTTTCTGGATGGCAGGGTTGGCGGCGATGTTCGCCGCGCGTTGAGAACGCGAGCCGTATGCGCCATCGAGCTCGGCTTTGGCCATCGTCAACTCTGTCTGAACTCTGACAACCTCTCCTTCCAGCTCGGTCAGCTCGCCCTGCAAGCGTTGAGCATTCTCCTCGGCATGAGTGCGGCCTTCGGTTGCCTCCCGCAGCTGCGATTCGATGTCGGCGCGAAGTTGATTCATAGAAGCTTCCAGCCGGTCGATTTCATTCTCGGCTTGTGAGCGCTTGTCCGTGGCTTCTTGGACACGAGCATCAGCTTCGCTGCGGATCTGCTGCATCGTATCCTCCAGCTGTGAAATCCGCTGTTCGGCGCGTTCGCGAGCTTCCGCCGCTTCTTCCGCCTTTGCATCGGCGTCCCGATGAAGCTGATCAATTGCGGCCTGCAAACGCGCCGTTTCAGCATCCGCCTGTGACCGCACCATACTCAGCTGCTCTTCATGTGTATCAGACCCAGACTGTAGCTGTTGGAGGTGGGCTTCCAAGCGAGTGACCTCTGCCTCCGCGCGGAGGCGCGCTTCGTGAGAATCGGCCTGCGCCTCTCTTTCGTGATGGAGATCCTGCATGGCACCCTGCAGACGTGCGATCTCGGCTTCTGCGCGGAGGCGCGCTTCTTGAGCCTCCTCCTGAGCTTCCTTCACATGCTGAAGCTCTTGCGTGACGCTCTGTAGACGTGTAATTTCGGCCTCGGCACGAAGACGAGCCTCATGGGCGTCTGACTGAATATCCTTCTCGCGCTGCAATTCCTGGATAACTCCCTGCAGTCGCGTGATTTCGGCCTCTGCGTGCAAGCGAGCCTCTTGCGATTCTGCCAAAACTTCCTTTTCATGCTGCAGCTCTTGGATCACTCCCTGAAGGCGTGCAACCTCGGCCTCTGCGTGCATGCGGGCTTCGTGAGAGTCGGCGAGAGTCTCCTTCTCATGTTGCAGTTCCTGAATGATTCCCTGGAGGCGCACAATTTCCGTCTCTGCCTGCGCGCTGGCTTTGTGAGAATCTTCCAGGATTTCTTTTTCACGCTCAAGCTCACGCAAGACGGTCTGCAGACGGGAGACCTCAGCCTCGGCTTGTGCGCGAGACTCTTTTTCGGATGTCAGAGCGACCGAGTGTTCCTCCGGGATGCTGCGCATTTGCTGCTCTGGCTGCTGTCCACGCGCCGCCTCCAGCTGCTCCATGGTAAAGTTCAACTGATCCCTTGATTGCTCGCCCTCGCGTTCCGCCAGCTCGAGGTCTTTCTTGACATGGGCCAACTGCTCGATCAAATCGGCGATGTGTGCGTCTCTTTGCGCATCCGACTTGGAGTTCAGCTCACGCTGCTGCTGGATCTGCGTCGTGAGGATGCTCTTTTGCTCCAAAAATCCTTCCATTCGCTGCTGGATGTTGTCCACGCCCAGACTGAGATAGGAAAGTTGTTCCGTCAGATCTGCATTAGATGACTGGGGAGGCGGCGGTAATGGTTGCGCCCGAGACAGCCCGGACTGGCTTACAATATGGTGCAGCTGGGCGTTTATTTCCTCCAGTTTTTGTTCCGTCTCGTAGTCACCTTCTTTTGAGGAGGGTGCACCGGCTGGCTGGGTAGCGAGGGCACCAAGTCCGTCTTCAATGTAAGCAAGGTGTGCTTCAACCATTGCCGTCGGGTTTACCGGGCCACCGTTGTTCGACGGAGGCGGGATTGAGTGAAAGTCACTATTGGGGTTGGATTCCAAAATCATGCCGCGCATCCGTTCACTCATCTCCTCCAGTCGTCTCTCCATGTTGTGCAGCGCATCCAGACCACCGGGCATCTGTTCGGTACCGTTGGCCGTCCCCGTTGCACGTGGACCCTGCCCATTCAGCTCATGGACATGATCGGACGGTTTGTATAAGCTTCGATCGTCGAATTCGTCCACGCTATCGCGGGTGTTGCGGCTCGAGAGACTTTCCGGGGTGTGCGGGATATTGTTGTTGTTCTTCTTCAAGCCCTTATGGGTCATCTGCAAGATACCAGCCGTGTGCTCCAGCAGTCGCTTCTGGATCTGCTGCACCCTCCGTTCCAAGTTCCAGATTTCCTGCGAGAGGTCCTCGCACTTACGCGCACTCACAGCGAGCTCGCCGTCCGACTTATCCAGCGGACCAGAACCACCGCTGCGGCCGAAGACACTTCTGCGACTACGGTTGGACTTCGGGGAGCCACCGGAATCATACTCGTCGCTGACCCGAGGACTCTTGGAGTTGTACAGTCTACTCAGAGACATCGCCGCATCACGGAGTTTCGTTTCCAGGGCCAATTTCCGCTTAGCCGCATCCAGACGACCCGACAGGAACTTGTGTTCTTTCTTCAGGCCTTCCACCTCCTCCAACGACAATATCTCATAGTTCTTGCTGTCCCCCATGGCGGTCTCCGTCAATAGATACATGGCGACGGGGTCATTGGTGTTCAGGAGGGCGGAGCTCTGGGGATGCGCCGGGTTGAGCTGTTCAGGAAGCAAGACGTTAGCAGCCCATTCATGGGAACTGGGATGTCTGGAACTAGACTCAGAGGAAGCATACTGGATTGAATCGCGTAGTCTCGGCATTTTGATTGTCGAAGTCGCCTCGATAGCCGTCCACGAGAGTCTTTGGGGGCGGCTGCGGAGCGCCAAAGGAATTGGCGGAGTAATGCCTTGGGTCGCCATACGACGACTGGCTTGATCGGAGATCGAGACGGTTCATTGCGGCGGAAAGGATACGAGAATGGGTTCAGGATGTGAATTCGAGCGGAAAATCAAGTTAAGGCCACTCCAATTCATGCGAGCAGCACAGAGAATCACCAGGCAGCGGCCATGCTGGGGGCGAGAATGGGGTACCGGACGGAGTAGAAGAAGAGGGAGAATGGAGAAAGAGAACGGGGCTGTGAGAGAGATAAAATCCCCGAGACAGGTTAGGAAACCGGAGAGAACAGGGAAAACTAAGATCGGAAGAGAAGTCGAGGTGCAGAGGAAGTTAAACCGGAAGAAGAGAGAGAGAGAGAGCGAGAGGAAGAAAGAGAGAAAAGGAAGAAACGACCCCAAAGAAAGGAGATCACGGGGATCTGCGAGGGCTGAGCCGACCGAGAGAAAATGTGCAGGTTGGCTTTGGATGCATCCACCTTGCTGGATTCGATTCCTCGCTTTCCTTTTTTTGCTTTTGGCTTTTCTTCTTCGCTATTCTGTTCCACCTTCTTTACCAGCTTTCCGAAGATCGCCCACCCCAAGTGGAGGCAGGTCTCTGGATGAACTGCATGTATGACGACGGTGTTGATGTTGATCGTATCCCAACCACCGGGTTTAGGAGAATTTTGCACACGAACCAGTTCGTGTAGAAGATGATAGTGAGACAGGATCTGATTACAGTGTGACTGGTCTGTCGGCCTTTGGATTTTATCTCATATTTCACCGTCCGGAAGAGGCGAGGCGATCGGAGGAGTCGAGTGTTATATGGGGTAACTAACTATGCATAGAATGTGATGCCATCATCCAGCATTCTTCTCCCTAGACATGTCAAACCGTCTGACGGAATTCCAGAGTCCACAGTCCACAGTCCACACTAAACCCCCGTACTCCGTCCGTCCTGAGTACGGAGTCAGCCGATCACACATGGTCTGAATAATGAGGTTGCAACGGGATGAAACGTCGAGCCTCGGATGGGCGCTCGAACTCCTCAATTTCCGGGGTAGCAAAGTGGTTCATCCCGTTCCTTAGCTGCTGCTGGTCCCAACTTTATGGTGATCATTTAATATAAAATAATTAAGGCTTCTTCCCCTCTTGTTTGACCCCCTCTTTTCCTCCTCTTTCCCGTTGTTTTCTTTGTTGTAGACGATGGGACCGCCAGAATGACCTCCAAGACCACCGAACAAGATCCCCCGGTGGAATTGCCGCCCGCTGGTCGTGGCTATAAGGTCTACAAGCGGCGGTTCTGGGGACTGCTGCAGTTGGTACTGTTGAATATCGTGGTGAGCTGGGATGTACGTGTTCATATTCATACTCATGCCCTCACATCGTTCACGTATCTCGTATCCACTGACATGAACATGCTGGACGGAATAGTGGTTGACCTTCTCTTCCATCTCGACCACAGCCTCAGAGCATTTTGGGGTCTCTGAGAGTGCCATCAATTGGCTGAGTACAGGCTATCTCTTCGCTTTCTGCGTCGCCAGTCCGTGAGTCCCCCCGCCCCCTCCCCCTTGGTTCCCTTCAAGCATAGATACTCGGTCAGAGCTAATGTCTTACCACCAACCTCAGCGTCGTAATCCTGACTCTCAACAAGGGTGGCCCTAAGCCCGCCATCATCACCACGTCGACCCTCTTGCTGGTGGGCAATTGGATTCGATATGCCGGCACTCGCGCCCGCGGAGGCATGTTTGGCGTCACCATGTTCGGCCAGATCCTCATTGGATTCGCACAGCCATTCTGTCTGAGTGCCCCAACGCGATATAGCGATCTGTGGTTTTCAGATCAGGGACGAACCAGCGCAACTGCTCTCGCAACGCTGGCTAACCCGCTGGGAGCAGCACTGGGCCAACTGATCGATTCCTTCTGGGCCGAAGAAGCGAGCGAGATCCCAGACATGGTCCTCTACATCTCCGTCATCGTAAGAGTCCCCCCAGCTCATCGAATCTTTGGTTTCGAGACCACTGACAGCAACAATCCCCAAGGCCACGATCGCATCCCTACCTTCATTCTTTCTTCCCGCCAACCCACCCACGCCGCCGAGCGCCTCGTCCGCCGCTACCGTGCAGACACCCCTCCTCCCGGCCCTCAGCCAGCTGCTGCGCACGCTGGAGTTCTGGCTCATTCTGATCCCCTTCTCCGTCTACGTCGGCTTCTTCAACAGCGTCTCGTCACTGCTCAACCAGATCCTCTCGCCGTATGCCTTCAGCGAAACCGAGGCCGGCATCGCCGGCGGCATCCTCATCGTCGTCGGCCTGATCAGCTCCGCCATCATCTCGCCCATCACCGACCGCTTCAAGCACTACCTCGGCACCATCCGGGTGCTGGTCCCCATTGTAGCGATCTGCTACATCGCGCTGATCTTCGCCCCGTCCAGCCCCTTCGGCATCGCACCCTCGTACGTCGTTCTGGCCCTCTTGGGCGCCGCTTCGTTCGCTCTCCTGCCCGTCGTCCTGGAGTACCTCGTCGAGATCACGTATCCGTTCTCGCCTGAGATCGGCAGCACCATCTGCTGGACGGGTGGTCAGCTGCTAGGCGCTATCTTCATTCTCATCCAGGACGCCTTGAAGGCGGGCGAGCGGGCTTCTCCGCCCTTGAATATGCAGAACGCCCTGATCTTCTCGGCGGTCGTCGCTGTCGTCGCGGCGCCGTTTCCCATCTGTATCGGGCTGTTCGGGCGCGATGTGCGCCGTCGTCGGCTGGATATCGACCGCGGTGTCGATTTAGATGCAGCAGAGTTTGGTCGGGAGGACATGCAGCAGATGCAGAGCGGGGAGGTCGGCGAGTCCCCGGCGAGGTCGAGATTCAGTACCCTGAAGTTTTGGTCGAGATGAGGTCCGCGGCGGCGAAGGTTAGTCGGGACCGTTTGATGATATATATGATATGCCAATACCCTGTTTTCAGTTTCAGTTTCGTTTGTGTTAGTTTGCGTCTTGCTGTTGTTTGTCGAGAAACCCCGGGCTTGAAGTTAGTCAGGTTCCATATTCATAAGTGCCGAGTTAGTTATATCTTGTATCTGACACTCATCGGCCAAAAAGCGAGAAGCACACCGAGTCGAGGAGAGTAGTAACATTCCGTTCTAAACACAAGAGAGAATTAAGAAGCACAGTTCCAACAGGCGAAAAAACCAGCTATCTGTACATACACGGCGAAGGATCCATTCCATCCCATCCTTCACATGTTTTATCAAAAACACACACATACACACAAATCCCACACCGAAGAAGGAATCCTATTCCTTTTCTATGCTGGGTCCCCAAAGTAGAGGCGAACGCTAGAGGACGATGTCGTAGCCACCGCGCTCGGATGTGAATCCCCATCCACTGCTCCTCTTTTCGTATCGCATCCAGATGGTCCATACGTGACACGCGCCGTTCGTTAAACCCGATTTTGTCATTGAACCATTAAGAGAAACGTGGCAGGAATCGTCACGGGAGCGAGACGTTTAGTTGAGGGACTTCCAGAGCTTGGGGGCGGCGCACTCGGTGGCACAGTGGGCGAGGTGGAAGACTAGAGAATAGAAATTGCTTGTCAGTGATGGGTGTTCTGGCATGACGCAGAGCCGTCCACAGAAAAGCGGATGGCGCATTGATGGCCCCGACACGATGGCACCCAATTGAGATAACGGGATTCACTTACACTCCTCGACGCAGTCCTCCTTGGGGCCCTTGTAGTCCTCATCTTCTTGCTGCTGGGTAACACGCTCAACACACTCGTCGAAGTGGTGCTTGTAGGGGGCACACTGGGAGGAGTTGGCACATTCTATCGGACCACAGACGTCAGCTTCCAATCCGTACATATCATAACGTAGGCAATTGGTCATTTGGTTTGTCCTGCGGCAACGACATTGACTCGGCAATCCCAAATGGAACAATGCGAATTGGACAGTGGGAGGCCGTCCGCCAGACCGACCGCCTATCCATTACATCGAGCAAGATGCCCATGACGCGCAAACCCGACCATGGGGGGAAAACGACCAAAACGAAAACAGGGCGACTAAGCCAGAAGGGAATTGAGCGACTCACCCTCCTCGAGCTTGGGCTTGATGTCCTCGGGCTCCTCTTCCTCCTCCTCTTCCTCTTCCTCTTCTTCCTCTTCGGCCTCTTCCTCTTCCTCCTTCTCGGGCTCCTCCTCGGAGGTCTCTTCGGCGGGGGTCTCCTCGGCCGACTCCTCGGTCTTCTCGGAGCTCTCGTCGCCGGTCGATTCCTCGCTGGCGGCGGACTTCTCTTCGGGCTGGGCCTCCTGGCTGGGGGTCTCCTCGACGGTCTCGGCGGGAGCCTCAGCCTGAGCCTCAGGGAAGCTCAGGGAGGAGATGATGTCGGAGAAATAATCGGCGAGACCCATCCTGGAGCGTGGGGAGGTATCAATTGGGATGATTGGGGAGGTGTGGGGGGTGGAGTGGTGTAGGGTGAGCAGCGACGAGGTTTTGATGAGGTTTTGGGTTTGGTTTTACGAAAGCCGCCCGGAAGCAGGAAAATCGGAAGGCCCCGGCGAATGTGTTATTGTCGCACACGTGATTGGTCGACGCTTCGGCAGGGCAAATCGCCCGATCGTCTACTTTCTACAATCATTCCTCACTAAATTCTCTCAACTCTTTAGATGAAGGGTGATTCTTCTCTCTCATTAATTGCTATTTCAAGGTTACTGTACACGAATCGAAACCCCCCTTCCACCTGCCAGATGCGCACGCTTTAAATCTGAAAACATGTAGACCTCCGTTAGCTCGCCCGGCGGAGTCTCTCCTCGAGTTCGTTGGCTACACTCTGTTGCTGAACTTCCTCATATCCCGGCGGTGGTTCCATCGGTTCGGGGCCTGAGGTTGCTGCTCGATCAGCTGTCGGCGACTGTGAATTTAGCGACGGACCGCTTGGGTGGCTGTCGAGGCCCGACCCCGTCGGGACCTGCGATGGCCCAGTGTAGGCAGGTAACTCGTCCAGGTGGATAGCGGACATGTCGACGTTCCTGGTCCCCCTGCTGCCTTCCTGGGACACGTCCACAGCCTGCTGGAAACGCTCCTTGATTCGTTCGAAATGGTTATGGAAGTCAAACGCTCCCCCTTCTTTAAAAGTGACTTTTAGCTGCACGGCGGGCAATGCTGGCGGAATTCCTCCACCGGGGACTGGCTGGACCAGCGCCATCCACTGATTTGGACCAAAGAACGGAGCCGAGACATGAGTGTCGTGGACATTGAGCAGTGGCACGGAAAATGATTGAAACTCTTTGGATTTCTGTGCTGGAATATAGACGACCTGGTCGTGTACGGTTAGCATCCGAGACAATTCACGACCGGAGAGGACGGTAGCAATGTATTACCCGTTGATTAGTGACGGAAATGTGCCCGGCGCTGCTTTGAATGGACAACGTCTCCTTGCCCTTGTAAGAACCAAGCGGCTGTAGGGATAAGGAGGTACGAGGAGGGGATGTGTAGATCAATTGCTCGTTAGGGAGCCGAACGAAGCCTTCTCGGTCATGAAGCATTACCCAGCTGCGCAGTAGGTTATTAGAATAGCCCAACATGACACAAGTTTGCGGGATTATATAGAGAAAATGGAGAATTTATCAATTGAAGGAGAAAAGGGAAAGAGGCGTCATTTCATTGCACGGTGACAGTCACACGTAGAGCAAGCTAGTGTCAAATGAATGGATAAGAGAGCCAGGGAGCAATCACATACTTGACCGACATCTTGTTATCGCGATACCGTATGGGGTCAGAGTGATAAGATCCTTTGGTAAAGCCGGCAAATCCGCGTGCTACGGTTGACAGATGCCCAACCAACACACGGCAACACTCAGACCGCGGTCAAAGGGGAGCCGAAGATGTAGACAAGAGGGAATCAAGGGGACGACCAATTTCAACGGCGGAGTCGGGAAAGGCCGAAGTTGGAAGACACCAAGAGGCTCGCTGAGACCCTTTGGATTTGAGTTGGCCGTATAGTTCGAATGCGATGATACAAAGCCCCAGTTTATCGGGGGTCAAGAATAAGGTGGGTTAGGAACCCAGGAGAAGACCAGCTAGTTAACCTAGTGGCGGAGCGAAGAGAGGCGAGATTGTCAGCACAACCGATAACAAGCAGGGGGCAGCAACGACGATTATTCACCACTTCACACTTAAGCACGTACAAAATGACAACAGCGGAATAATTTGGGTTCGGGTTTGAAAACAATGGTGATGGTTCCAGGGCGGATGAGAGAAGGAGTTGGGGTCACTTTTTTTTTTTTTTTTTTTTTTTTGCCCGCGGGGTTCAGGCGGGGACGAAAGGAGGAAGAAGAAAGAAAAAGAAAGCGGCCCAGACCTTCTCTCGACTGGCGGAACTAATGAGACATTCTGTTCTCCCTGCCATTTTCCTCCTGGATGCTTGCACATTTCAGCGACCTAATTATTAATAATCTTGTATTCACTTTCTCGTTTTCACCTGAATCTCTGGCTTCATTTTCTGCTCGTAGTGTGAGTACTATCTGTGTACAGTACAGTCTGTCTCTTTCTCTTCGTATACCTCTGATTGCCATTGTTTACCCGTCTTTCATCTTCCTTGTCACCCATTATGAATGCTGTTCCCTTTTTGTTTTCAGGCAACAAAGGACAAACAAGAAACCCATAACGCGGATAATAAAAGAATCTCATTCATCTGTACCTGCCCCTTGTTACCTTCTGTTGCTGTAACTGGCGATTCGTCGTATATAAACCGAGTAGCAACCCGCGGTTCTCATCGCCGGCAGCATTGTTTTCGCCCTTGTCCTAACCAGTTGACTACTTGAATCATCCGCTATATGTTATACTTTCCGTTTGGTCAAGATGACTTCAATCTTCAACCTTCCCCTTGAGATGCTTTGGCAATGTATGGATTATATGGATCCAACAGGTCTCAGTCGATTTGCGCGAACGTGCCAGGGTGCTCACCACTGTTCACGAGAGAAGTTGAGGCAGACAGCAAAAACATACGCTCTCCCATCCCAGGATGTCTATGATGAATATCTGACGAAGGAGCAGGATGGTAGATACTATGCACATATCTTTGGCGACCAAGAGAATCCTCCCCGGGAACCCATGGCCCAAACGATCATAGATGGGCGGGTTGATGCCCTGAAAGGATTCCTCGATGCCGGCGTAAGTCCCGATTCCTACACCATCAGTGGACATCGAATGCTCAGCGTGGCGATTATGCATGATCAAGTTGACTGCGCCAACCTTCTTCTGCAGTACCAGGCGAATCCTCGCCTACCAGACCTCACCGGCAACATCGACGTGGAATGCAGGGTACCGTTCTACCATGCGGCAGCCAGTTGCGGGATGGGAGGCGAGGTGATATACTCTTTGATTGAGGTCGGAGTCAAGATCCCCTCCATGAACGTCTTCCGCTTGATCCGAAATCGTCCCGATGCTCTAGATATCTTGTCCTATGCCGTTGAGTACGGGACGGATCTTGGGAGTCTTACTGGACGGGACGGATCGACAATACTGCACAATGCCATTTACGATTGGATGGAGTTCTATCCCTTCGTGCAGGAGGACGGGCGGCGAGTTTCCAAGCCCTTAGTAGGAGACCCTGAACTGATAGAATACATCGTGATCAACTATCCGGAGCTTATTGATGAACAGAACCTCATTGGCCAAACGGCTCTCCACAAAGCTTTGTGCTATACCAAAAACAACCCCGGGATTGCCGAGCAGTTGATCGAACTGGAATGTGCGGTTGGCATTCCGGACGGATGGGGTCGTCAGGAGTTACACTATGCAGTCCAGCAACTCCAGGGCGATGCCGAGATTGTGCGTGCTCTGTGTAGGAGGTCAGAGGTCGACGTCAACGCAATTGCCAACATCATTCCGTACGGGAGAGTGGAGCCTTTGCGAATGGCGGTTTATAATGGTAATTATGAAATGGCGAATGTATTGCTGGAAGATCCGCGGGTGTCTATCCATCAAGAATGCCTCGAGTTTGTAAAATCATTGGCAAACGGGGATTTGTGGACTCATGGGGAACAGACTTACAATCAAATCTCGAGGTTGGCGTACACATGTATGGCAAGTGATCAAATAAACATGACATTATCTTGAGATCCATCTTTCCGCAGAGCATCTTAGGTAGTAGTGTGTACACACGTTCAGGTGGTCATTGAGGGAGGGTAGTATTCAGACTGTGATATCGGGTACGCACTGATCTCGCAAGGTGATGCCCCAACACTCCACCGCCGACAACTTATCCTGCATATGTTGAACTGTTGAATGTATACTTCTTACCTGCCCTTGTAGGGATGTTTGCTCCAAAAAGCATGTCTGCCTGAGGATCGGTGATAAGGACTCGCGCTTAACTCCTTTGGGAAGCACCGGGGAATGGCTCTAGACTTCTCGGCCCTCGACGTTCGCCCTCTTCTTGACTCCTGCAAAACTCTTGACACAAAGCATCAAAACCTTCGTGGAGCTCTCGATTCAAATCCAGTCTCAACACTCACGCCAGATTCAACAGATCTTTGTGTATCATCCAAGCCACGTCGCTCCTTCCCTGCTTTTGGCCATGACGAGCTAAAACTAGATCATGATGATGTAACGCAGCCAACGGGCCCGATACGATCTCAATGGACGAAAGGGACACGCGATACCACGACGGACATTAGCGCGCCCGTCCGGCTCCTCTTCTTCCCCGCCCCAAAAAGTGCCCAGTCCATGACAGTAACGGCCCTTTGTCACATGGGCCAGCCGTTGGGATTTTCTTCTCTCTCGCATCGACCTTCCCTACTGTTGATTCGCAAGTCTTCGTTTGATATCGCAGGGAGTTTCCTCAAAACTCCTCGAAGACCGGTGGGTTGAACCATTCTAGCTCGACTAAGTCGAGTTTGCAGCCTAAGCTGCCCATGCGCCGCTTGGTTGTGTTGTGTCGACGCGTGCTTTTCACCCACTCTGTCGGAGGATAACGCCACTCAATCCCATCGCCTGCTCGGTCCTCTTCGTTGTCCCCCTCCCCCGCCCAGCCGCCATCCCATACTCTCCCCTCCCGTTGACTCTCCAGAAATTTGCGACCAAGTTGAAGTGAATCTGCGGGTAGTGTTAAGTCCCGCAAGCAATACCATGGCGAAGCAGCCGCACATTCCCCCCTTAATTGGGTGGCTGTATGACCTCGTCTTATGGACATTCTCGGTGCTTGTAGACCTTTTTTTCAGGGAGGTGCACCCGCGAGGGTCTTGGAAGATTCCTCGGAAGGACCCCATGATTATTGTCGCGGCCCCTCATGCCAATCAGGTATGATTCCCCTTAATCGCATCGCCTCCGCAGTCTTGAGCATTGTATATACTGACAAGGGGATCCACCGTAGTTCGTCGATTCGTTGATTCTTATGCGTGCGTTGCGCAGCGAAGCCCATCGCCGCATCTCATGGCTCATTGCGGAAAAATCATTTCGGCGCAAGTTTATCGGTCTACTAGCTAGAGGTATAGGCACAGTCCCCGTCGCCCGAGCAATGGACAACATGAAGGTCGGTACTGGAACGATCTATCTGCCGGATCCTGTGAATCAGCCAACCCTGGTGCGCGGCGTGGATACCAACTTCGAAGGACCCGGATTCGAAAAGGATGGCACAATCTCCCTACCTACTATCAACGGAACTTCACATAGTGGAACAATTGCGGAGATTCGAGGACCGGAGGAATTGGTCTTGAAGAAACCCTTCAAAGCTAGAGATCCCTTATACCAACTTACTGGGCGGAAGGACATTACGGACGACGGGCAGTTTACGGGAGATCCGTCAGGCAAAGATGTGGCTGGTTTCAGGGGCTCCAAGTTCAAGGTCTCTCCTCATGTCGATCAAACGGCAGTCTACGAGGCAGTATTCGCTCGGCTTAATTCTGGTGGCTGCGTTGGTATTTTCCCCGAAGGTGGTAGCCATGATCGCACTGAACTTCTTCCCTTGAAAGGTGGGCCCACCCCGTTAGTTCTGGCCTGTGGCATCTATTAACTTCCATATCAGCTGGTGTCGCTTTAATGGCTCTTGGAACGCTGGCGGATAACCCGGATTGTGGCCTGAAGATTGTGCCCTGTGGAATGAATTACTTTCACGCCCACAAGTTTCGTTCCCGCGCGGTCATTGAGTTCGGAACTCCATTCGAGGTTCCCAGAGAACTTGTCGAACAGTATAAACGCGGAGAAAGAAGAGAGTCGGTCGGTGCGCTGTTAGACACTATATACCAAAGCCTGGTCGCAGTGACGGTCACTGGCACTGACTACGAAACTCTTATGGTTAGTTATCCATGGCGTTTCTTGTATGACATGAGAACTGAGAAAAGTACAGGTTATCCAGGCTGCTCGCCGTCTTTACAACACAAAGGGCAAGAAACTTCCACTACCCATGGTTGTTGAGCTGAACCGACGTTTGGTCAAAGGGTATACGCATTTCAAAGATGACCCCCGTATTGTGCATTTGAGAAAGTCCATTGCGGATTACAATCGCCAACTGCGTCTTCTGGGTATCCGCGACCATCAAGTCGATTACGCCAAGTTTAGGTTCTTCCAAGTGATCTTCACATTGATTTCCCGCCTGGTCAAATTAGCCTTGCTTGCCATTGCAACGCTCCCCGGTCTGCTTCTGTTCGCCCCCGTTTTCATCGCCACGAAATTGATCTCCATCAAGAAATCAAAGGAGGCCTTGGCAGCCTCCACTGTCAAATTGCAGGGGCGAGATGTCATGGCGACGTGGAAGCTTCTGGTTGCTCTCGCCTTTGCACCAGCTCTTTATGCATTCTACACGGCGGCTTTCACCTTCTGGGCATACCACAACCGGATCCAAGGAATCGTACCAGACCGGATGCCACTGTGGCTGATCGTACCTATTGGCATGGTCCTATTCCCGACCATCACATTTGCGGCTCTTCGCATTGGAGAGGTTGGCATGGATATCTTGAAATCTCTTCGTCCACTGGTCTTATCGTTGAATCCATCCTCCGCCAACACCCTCGTTAAACTTCGACAACGACGTGCTGAGCTGGCTCAGCAAGTTACCGATGCCATCAATACTCTGGGTCCCGAATTATTCCCAGACTTTGACGCGGCGAGAATCGTGACGGATCCGTTCCGCGAAATCAACCGTAGGCCGGATGAAGAGCCACTTCCGATCCCTGAGATCCGACGAGTGAGTACTACGGAATACGGCGAGGGTTCGCCAACCCAAGAACCCCTTCCCCGCAATGAGTCGTTCCACAACCTGGCCAACATCGGCTTCTTCTCGACGCGACCCCCAAGTCGCAGTCGCAGTCGCAGTAGCTCTTTCGGAGGTCGGCCTGGCTCGTCTGGACAGCAACTGAAGCCGCTCAGCCAAGTTGTCACCAATGACGGCTTCGAAGAGGTGAGCATCAAGATCCGGGATGCCATGCGAGAGCGGGGAGAGCGACGGCGTCGGCAGAGTGAAGATAGTAGTAGTTGGGACATGGCGGGCTCGGGGCCCGGGACGCCGTCGGGGGATGAGAATCGGAAGAATATATAATATTAGTCCTAATCATAATTATGTTTTTGAGCTTATCGGGGAGCACCGAGCGTGATGTTTTGAGCCTTGAATTGATTGTCGTTGAAGAGCGGACGGTATTGGGCGTTGTATGCGTTGATAGTCGGATCGTGTGTGTGTATGGCGGCGTGGTTTTCCATTTGACTGCAGACCCCGAGTAGATCAAAGTTCAAGAGAGCAAGGCGAAATCAACGTGTTTCCTACGGATCTATGGAACTGGAATGCATGGAAAGGCGATGGTTGGGAAGGTGGAAAGCTTCCACGTGGACCCACCGAGAGTCTGGCTGTTACGTCGCCCTTCGCATCCTCGCCCATCTTTCTCTCTCTGTCACCGACTTGCTCGCTCTGTTGCTCGGCCTGCCTTCGCTCTTTTTTTTTTTTTTTTTTTTTAACTTCGGACTCCCTTTGCTATATCGCCTAGCTCCTTGGCCAGACTCCCGTTTCGCCTCCCTTCGCTGTCTGACCGGCCATCGTCGCCTTTGGTTCGCCAAAATTAGAAAATTTTCTGTCTTTTTTTACGTTTAGGGGTGAAACGGAGAACAGTGTAGCCTGATGGACACAGCCCTACCATCCAGGATCTCCGTCGTTTGCTGTCCCTAGTCGACTGGCCACTCTCCGAACCCACTCCATCTCAACCGCCCCGTCTCGCCTCCCCCGTTGCTCCGCATATCCTCTTCCTGACACCGCTTCCGTTCCGTCTCTCAGTATCGGTGACACCCTCTCAACTGCCAGTTGTCGCCGTCGCCCTCGTTTTTTGAACGCCATGTCGACGTCAATGCACTTGTCCCGTCTTCGGAAATGGGTCCTTGCATCTCCGCCAATCGAGTTCGCTCTATCCAGACTCCGAGAGTTGCTGGTTGGAGCACTCAAGCAAGGGCCAGTTCCACAACATATTGCTTTTGTGATGGATGGGAACCGAAGGTTTGCCCGAACACACGGGATCGAAACAGTCGAAGGACATAACCTGGGATTTGAGGCACTGGCCAGGGTGAGTCAAGCAATCCGTCTGTTTCTTGGGGGTCTTACTGCCACTCGTACTGCTCCGTGGCTTCTCTTGCATTTTTTCCATCCTGAGTGCGGTGTCGCGGGATATCCTGTTATTGACCAGCTACTGTCATTGCATCGGGGTCGCACAATAAACCCCGTTACGAATGCCCCATCCCTACGTTCAACTGCTGACGAAGTTCGCTCCGTAGATCCTCGAAGTTTGCTACCGAAGCGGAGTGAAAGTGGTCACGATCTATGCATTCAGCATTGAGAACTTTAAGCGATCGAAGTTCGAGGTGGACTCCTTGATGGAAATGGCTAGGGTGAAGCTTGCTCAGATGGCCCAACACGGTGAAATTCTGGATCGTTATGGCGCCAAGGTCCGCATCTTGGGTCGGTTGGACCTTCTCCGACCGGACGTACTCGCCGCGGTAAGCAAGGCGGTCGACATGACCGCTAACAACGGCGATCGAGTTCTCAACATTTGCTTTCCCTATACCTCTCGCGACGAGATCACCGGCGCCATTCGGGATACCGTCGCCGAATATAGCCAGCCGCTGGACTCGGCTCACGCGGCGTCCGCTGGATCGCGGACTCCCTTCTCGGAGACTCACATCGCCTTGAATATCAGAGCGCAGAATCATAAGACGGAGGAAAGCAGTAGTGATGTCGACTCCTCGTCGGAATCTTTGTCTCAGGGCGAGGACGGGCCGCCGAAATCAGATCGTTTGAACAAGGTCTACGAATCGGGCTCTTCCTTCTCGTCCTCGACCACCCTTCACCTCGGCGGCCACCAGGAGGCAGCGAACGGCAAGACTGCCGTCGTGAATGAGTCGGGTCGCTCTGTTTTCAAATCACCGGAAACCATCACGAGACAAACGTTATCAGAACATCTTTTCACGAAGGACACCCCCCCTCTCGATCTACTCATTCGTACATCCGGCGTCGAGCGCCTCAGCGATTTCATGCTTTGGCAGTGCCATGAAGATACGGAGATCGTTTTCCTCGATGTGTTGTGGCCTGAATTTGATCTGTGGCAATTCCTGCCGGTCATGTTAGGATGGCAACGGAGGATCTCGAAGTCGCGCAAGAATCCCGAGGCCGAGGGCAATTTTGACGGAGACTTGTCAGGATCTCCCGAGGAAGACGAGAAGGTCAAGGGGTTGTAGTTTCTATATACCTCGCATTCTACCAGCCGGAGTTTATTCTCAAGAGTTCTCATTGCTTTCTTTTTCCTTTTTTTACTTTTTCCTTTTTTTTCTTTTCTCTTCAAAGTGTCTTTCTTGGAGTTCGTTTGTTCTGGACATAACCATACGACCGATATCCCCCTCTCGTTCTTGTTGTACATAGCCTCTCTCATACATAGCCGCATTCTTCTAGATGGATAATTATATTCGCAGCGTCATGATTTGTCTGATTTGCCCTCCGATACCGCAGCCCCACGTGACCCCCCACCATCGTTGGGGTGTTGCTTTCTTGACTCACGCCCTCTTCTCTTTCTCTCCTCTCCTCTCAATCACATCATTTCTCCCCTTCAATCGTCACAATGCCTAACCAAGTCGCTGGTTCCAAGGTTCTGCTGCTGGGCTCGGGTTTCGGTATGCCGTCTTACTCTCTTTCTGACAGCCCTCGTTCCCCTAGGGCTTCCCCAGTCTCATGTTTCATCCGGAGCCCCGCATTCGGTGCCAGAGCTCCCTTTCTTCTTAGTCAATGACTGACCTTATTTGCGTCTGTTTGTAGTCACCAAGCCCACCGTCGAGGTTCTGAGCAAGGCCGACGTCCATGTCACTGTCGGTACGTTCAATTGATATCACAGCTCGGGATGGGATGATGTTGCTCCACCGCACGCACTCTACCGTTGCTGCCCCTCCATCACGCCAAAGAACCCCCAATGAAAGGGCTGGGCAAGGATTCGAGAGGCTCATGGTGGGCTAACACTTGCTCCTCTCGTCCATTGCAGCTTGCCGAACCCTTGAGAGTGCCCAGAAGCTCTCCGAGGGATTCAAGAACACCAAGGCCATTTCCCTTGACGTCAACGACCCTGCTGCCCTGGACAAGGCTCTTGAGCAGGTCGACCTGGTCATCTCGTTGATCCCCTACACTTTCCATGCCCTCGTGATCAAGTCCGCCATCCGCACCAAGAAGCATGTCGTCACGACGTCGTACGTCTCTCCCGCCATGATGGAGCTGGACGAGGAGTGCAAGAAGGCCGGTATCACCGTCATGAACGAGATCGGTCTCGACCCTGTATGACGCATCTCCATTGTTGATGTTTGCGACCTGATCGGTCTCTAATTGTCTGTCTAGGGTATTGATCACTTGTACGCCGTCAAGACCATCTCCGAGGTATGTTCCTAGTTCTAATTCCACCTGGCTTTCCAATCTGTCTGACTCGAGCTCTTTCTGGCATAAAAGGTCCACGCCGAGGGTGGTCAGATCACCTCTTTCCTCTCCTATTGCGGTGGCCTCCCCGCCCCCGAGTGCTCCGACAACCCGCTCGGCTACAAGTTCTCGTGGTCCAGCCGTGGTGTGCTCCTTGCGCTCCGCAACGCCGCCAAGTTCTACCGCAACGGCGAGGAATTCAGCGTGGCCGGCCCCGACCTCATGGCTACCGCCAAGCCCTACTACATCTACCCCGGATTCGCCTTCGTTGCGTACCCCAACCGGGACTCGACGCCCTTCCGTGAGCGCTACAACATCCCTGAGGCCCAGGACCTCGTCCGTGGTACCCTCCGCTACCAGGGATTCCCCGAGATGATCAAGGCCCTCGTCGACATCGGCTTCCTGTCCGACGAGCCCCGCGAGACGCTCAACTCCGCCATTCCTTGGAAGGAGGCTACCCAGCAGATTCTGGGCGCTCCCTCGTCCAGCGAGAAGGACCTGGAAGCGGCCATCTCGTCCAAGACCGCCTTCGCTACCAGTGAGGACCGCAACCGCATCATCTCCGGTCTGCGCTGGATCGGTATCTTCTCCGACGAGAAGGTCACCCCCCGCGGCAACCCCCTCGACACCCTCTGCGCCACGCTCGAGAAGAAGATGCAGTACGCCCCCGAGGAGCGCGACATGGTCATGCTCCAGCACAAGTTCGGCATCAAGCACAAGGACGGCACCCAGGAGACTCGTACCAGCACCATGTGCGAGTACGGCGTTCCCGGCGGCTACTCCGCCATGGCCAAGACCGTTGGTGTCCCCTGCGGTGTTGCCGTGAAGTTGGTTCTTGACGGCACCATCAGCGAGAAGGTATGTCCCTCCCCTACTTGCCCATCCCTAGTGAAAAGAAGAGAAAACAGTTTTGGCTAACGCTCTCAACCAAAACAATAGGGTGTCCTTGCTCCCATGACCTGGGACATCTGCGCTCCTATCCTGAAGACCCTCAAGGAGGACTACAACATCGAGATGATCGAGAAGACTCTGTAAATTGATCTCTCTACCTACCTCGATGGCGGGTCTTCACGATTAAGGAAAAGTAAAATGATATTTATGTAACGATTTACTCTATCTATCTATTATTAGAAGGAACTGTCCATGGATTAGAATCACGTGTCCTCGACGTAGAATAGACGGTGTTCATACACTTGACATCAAAGGCCTTGTATCACTTAAACCTCTATCCAAAATCTACTATGTTACTGTTCTTGAATATGAAATTTATTTTTATATTGGTTCTAATCGTGTGACCTTCTTCTATCGTGCAATCGTCGAAACCATACCCTCATAAGCGCCAAAAGAAAAATACGAGCCAAACAGACTCAACCTGCGAGGAGTGTATATGTACGAAAAACGTCCATCCGAAGACTGGTCATTGAGAAAATATATCAAGTTCGTCTAAAGTCCGGCCTTTGAACAGATGGACGAGTTGTGACGCATATCGAATTCCAAGGTGCTTCCACATCCCAAAACCGTGGCATTGTGGAATCATCAGATTTCCAAAAATTTGCGCACTTTATCAGAGAATAGTGCCAAACCTACACCGAGAACAAGTACAACAAAAGAAATCAGCAGCTGTCTCCGAGAAAGCAAGCGCGATCTGGCAGCAAGAATGGTAAGGAAGCAAATTGGCCAGTAAACAGGGGAGAGCACATACCCAAAAGTCTGTTTGATGCTGCGGACGTAGTACATCTCCCAGTTCTGCTTGGTGACGTCCTCCTGGCCGACGGGGACGCCGGTCCAAGTCACGCGCATCTGGGTAACGCCATCGGCGTTGTTCTGGTCGAACTTGATTTCAAGGGTGCTGAAATGTCCCTCGGGCCACTGGGCCAGGCGCCACTTCTGCTCAATCAAAGCGGGGGCCTCCAGCTTAGAGAATTCTCCGTTGACGTTGCCATCAAAGATAGAGAATTTCCCTCCCACCTTGGCACCATCGAACTGACGAGGGGGGCCACGGGTGAAAGCGGCAATGCGCTGAGGGTCGGTGAAGGTGTTGTACAGCTCCTCCGCAGTGGTACGGAACTCATCCGAAGCAGTGACGGTAGTAGTGTTCACGGAGACTTTATTGGTAGTGGTGGTGGTGGTGGGCTTGGGAGCAGGGGCCTGTTTCGACGTCTGAGGGTGGTAGGTAGGGGCAGCAAAGCCACTGGAAGGGTTGACTCCAGGGGCATGCTGAAGATCCTTGCCGTGCTCGGCGATCAAGGCCGGTGCAAGCTGGACCAGCTGCTGTCTCAGCTGCGGCACAACCTTGGAGCGAACGAGGTCTTTCACGGGCTGCTTGGAAGAGGATTCCGAATGGATATCGATTTCAAACTATGTATTACCGGCGTCTACAGTCAGTCACCCTATACCCAACGACAAAGCACTGAGAGGGGACATTATAAGGGAACATACAACGTACTCATCTTCCTCTGTGTCGTGGGCTACCTCGGGGATCGTGATGGTGCCGCTAACAGACTCCTCGTCCTTGGTCTTACCTGTCAAAAGGATTTAGTTGTGCCCCAGAAGGATGAAGCACTCATTATTCACGAACCTTCATACTCGAGTCGGACCTTGACGTCGAACAAGGTGATGACCTTGTTCTTTCGCTGGCTGACATCTACGTCGCCATCAACGGTCAGTACATTGGAGATCTTGGCAGTGACACCATCTTCCTCGGCAGAGATCGAGCAAAGGTTCTTGGTCAGGTATTCCTTGGCCCAGCCGGAGGCATCCTTATTGACCCAGTGCCAGTTGTTGGGGTTGTGGAGAACCATGATGATATTGCTGGTATTATAATTGTTTATTTGAAAAAAATAATCTTGCTAATTGTTCTTGCTGTAAGAGGTGTTGTACTCTAATGCAGACAACGGCACGTATTATCTCCGGGATTCTGTAAGAAATGCTGCACAACGCAGATTCTTTTCTTTTCAATGAAAGTTCTGTCAAGCGGAGATCCCAGTCAGCGTTGAATCACCAGATAAAGTGGGTATAAAACATGATTATTGTGACATATTTCTCAGGATCTCGGGTAGCGTTCCCGGACCGCAGCTACTCAGCAACGAAGCAAGATTTTTTCAAACCAAGCTCCTTTCTGACTGGTGCCAGCTATGTGATCTCATCATCAAGGGTGGAGGTACATCCCATCTGCAAGGCAGTGGAATGAAGCCAATTGGTACCAAGCAAGTGTGCGAGGAAACCAAAAAGGAGGGGTGGTGTGAGAGACAGGGGAAAAGAATTACTCACAGTTTGAAGAGCAAGTTTCAAGCACTGGAAGGCTGCAAAAATAGATCAATCCGGGATCCAATGGAAGAAGGGAGATGTTCAAGGGTACGAGGGAAGTACCGTGGCGAAGAGGGGGGTTTGTTAGTTAAATAGCATCGCGTGTTGGAGAGGGAAAGAAGACGGAAGAAAGAGCGAAAAGCGAGACTAAAGAAAAGGAAACCTCTAGAAGGTGGGTCACGTGGCATTGCTGACTAAGGGTATCTTGCAGAGCATCGCCTGTTGAGTGAAGAGAAGACTCGCTTCGGTTCTCCACCACAGCAGCGGCTCGGAAAACAGAACAAAAATCATAGAAAAGAAATGTAAAAAGACAAACAAGTCATCAAAAAGGCCATGTCATTTCGGCCCGTCATGCCTCTTCCAACCGCTCCAGATCTTCCCACCCATTCTCCTCCATCAGTTGCTCCTTAGCACGTTCCCGGAGGCCCTGAATGGCACTTCCTAAAGCCTCGGTCCACTGTCCTTCCACCGTAGCCACTTTATCCTTGAGGTCGTTGGTCAAGGCCCGCTCTTCATCTGCGCGGGAGTTTTGCATCTCCCGCCGCACGGAGTCTTCGGATTCGCCTTGCCGAATTCGCTGTGCCTCCATAAGCTTGCAGTTGGCTTTCATAACCGCGGATTTCACCTCGTGCAAGAGGCAGAAAAGGTTAATCTGCGATTCAATGTATTGGTAGCTGGATTTCTCAGCATGTGAGATGAGTGTGTACAGATACTGTAGTGGATGGCGGTGATAACTTGGATTCTCTTCGTATTCGTTGGCCGGGATCTGGATCTGAAAGCCATCGAGATCTTCGGGAACTTGTTGAACCAAGGTGAGAAGCGACGGTGCAATATCCCAGAAGGCAGAGAGCTGCAGCTCTACTCCCCGAGCCGCGTTCTCTTCGGTCACGGCCAAGAAAGACTCAAGGCGGGCCAATGCAGCTGCTTCGTAATTGACCCGCCTGTCCTGAGCGTCCTTGTTAAAGAAGGCATTGGTCTCGCGCACCTTCTCCTCGTTAAGCTTCTGCTTGTAAGGTAGTAGGACCACGACTTTGTATTTCTCGTCCCGATCGCTAACCAAATCGTACATCTCCCGGTGCAAGTGCTCCCGCGCCTCGAACAGCCATTTCAACTGCGTCAGCTTCTCCAATAGTTCCGGCTTCTCGTCGCCTTCCTCCTGGGTCTGGTCAGGGGTTTCATGCTGCGCGTCGTCAAACATCTTGCTGCGTAGTTCGTTGATGCACGTGGTAGCTTTGGTAATTCGATCATTTAGAATCGCATGCATAGGTTTGAGTACGGTATTTTGATAAGCATCCAGCTCTTGTTTTGCCAGATCCCGCTCGTGTTTATTTTCTTCCTCAAGCAGAGCAGCCTCAGCCTCTGCAGCTTCCGCGAAGGTGATGCTCCCTTGTTGAATCTGGCTCTGAATATTGGCTTTGAATTGTCGACGACCTTCCTGAATTCGTTCCTTATGTGCCTGCGACAGGGTTTCGACTTCTGCGTTATGCCGTTGCCTAGTGGTCTTGATATCGGAGAGATCGCTGATCGACCGGACTAGTGTACGGTATGCAACCAAGTCCGGATGACTGTTATTTACAGCCGGGTGATGGCGGGGATAAGGAGGCGGCAAGGTGATCAACCTCGAGACATCCATTTTTTGCATCTCCCTAGGATTACTGTGACCGGCGGTGCTAGAATACTCCGAGGGCGCGAAATCCTCATGCCACCCGACCTTCTCAGGCGGATATTCTTCAGGGCCATAGGCGCCAAATTGGTCTGCGGACTCGAAAGCATCGCTCGAGTTGCTTGCTTCGACAGAATTCCGCCCCTGCGGCCATTGCAAAGACTCGCGGGGCAGGCCCATATACTTTGACTCTCGTTTGGACCGCTGAATCCTTCGCTCGCCACCCTCGCTGCTGGATTTGGACTCCCACCAGCGGCTTGGTGCGCGACCCCGGGAGCTCATCTCGTCATTGCTCATACTGAGACTCGCTATCGGCGACAGGCAGGGTTTGTAGTTACTCCACCAGGCAGACTCCGGACGAGACTGCTGGGGAATATCTAGTCTCGGGGCTCCTCTGGATGGCCGCCGAGACAGTGAAGGAGGAACCATTGGCTGAGGAAGTGGAGCAGGCTTGGGTGGAAGCTCAAAGAGCTTCCGACGTACCCCGTCCAAGTCCAGCGGATTTGAACCCCAAATCTTAGAGTACCTTTCTCGCCGAATTTGGGATTCCGCAATGATGAAATCGGTGAAAATCCTCAAAGCTTCCGCTTCATCCACGGCGCCAGCCTCCTTCTCGACAAACTCTTTATGTCTTTGGATTGCTTCTTTCATAAAGGTTGCATCTTGGTTCACAACAGAATTCAACGAGGGTCCCTGCTGCATCGGAACACGCCGGGGAGACAGTGTTGAGACAGACTGCAGATGATCGTTGGGCAAATGCAAGATGTGCGAGACCGGACGACCTTCTCGAGATTCAGACCGAGACGGTGGTTGGACCTCCTGGGTGGATTGCAACGGAGGTGTTGGGAGAGCTTTCGGTGGTAATGCCGGGGAAGTCCCCTTAGGGAATGTAGACGGCTTGTCTCCGTCAGGCGAGAACGGCGGGGTCTGCGCATAAACCCGAGATGGTCCTTGAGGGCTTGGTTCGGCTCGAGGAGTCGAGAACGAGGAACGATTGGAAAAAAGCCCGGTTGAGGAGGCTCTGGAGCGCGAAGTGGGTTGTTGGCCATCAGACCCGACGCTGTGATTGCTGCGCGGCGTGGCTCGTGTAGTAGCCGGTTGTCGAGCGTCCTCAGGAGCAACGTTGACGTCGTCCAGGACTAGGTTGGACGGCTTGACTTGCTCCAAGGCATCAGCCCAAGGATTACTACTCATGGATACGGCACTGAAGTCGTCCATGACCTGACTCTGCCTATTCCGACGCTCAACTCGCCTCTCTCTAATACCCTTCGTGCTCGTATCTCGAATGGCTGGGCTGCGGAAGAGGCCGCTTGTCGAAGAGTTCTGAGGATGGGCGGAGATCCCCGATCCAGTCCCGCTAGATTCAGGATGGTGGGCAGGAACGTCTGTTGTATTGATATGCAAAGGTGCTTTGCCCCTCTGTCGAGCCTCCGCAGACCCTTCCTCCACCCAGTCAGCGGGGGTGGGTGGGACAGTGTCCAGGCCGGTCCCCAGGACTGGGGGAGGCCGAGTTCTCGTCCTAACTGCAGACTGCGAGTGGCGTAACGAGGAGGAGGCATCAGACAAGCCACTAACGCTTTGTGATCTCGTGGAGGAAGGGGGAGGACCTGGAGGAGGTGGCGGAAGGGGCATTCCTGGCTCCCATCCACCTTCCTGCGGCGAACGACTTCGGGACTGACTCGTAGCCCTCGAAGTGCTCGCACTACCTACAATGGGGCCCGCCGAGACAGCGCGTCGGGAGGCTGGCGGCCGAGACATGTCACCGTACTGAGCAGTAGCTACCATGTGGCCATTGTGGGCACTTGGGAGTGACGACTGTACACTCGCCGGGGAAGCCGTCACATACCCCCTAGAGCTCGAAGCGAACGAGGGTTGCTCTCGGTATACTTCGGTCCTGTTTTGCGAGGAAGACCGGGAGCTTGGGATTCCTTGGGGCAAAGGAGGAGGCGGAGGCAACGAAACTTGCCGAGTCAGACCGGCGTCGCCTACCACGGACAGTGGACGAGTACGAGGGAGAGTTTGCTGCCGATATTCCACGGGTGTCTCGGCACCATGGTGCACCTGACCATTATAAGTAGAGACGGCGCCAGGCGAGGCAGAGCCGGCTCGTATGGCGGGGGCAGCGTTCACATGGTCTCGATGTTGCTGTTGCTGACTAGGTGGTGAATAAGGAGGCGGGGGCGGCGAGAGGGACAAATCTTTGGAATACTCTAGTTAGCACTTTGTTTCTGCGTCCTAGACACCTGCCGAAGGCGATCGAACCTGAGTGCGGTCCCGTTGGTCTGTGGTGCGACGCTACACGAAGCATGTTGCTCGGCTGCGTATACGAAGACTGCGCTGCATGCATGTGAGCCCCATTCACCGGACCCCAATCCTGTGGATTGTACGGGACAGTATACTGCCTCGACGCCATAGAGGAAGATGCGGCAGGGAATCCCCCGGGGGTTGTCACGGCAGGGGACTGGCTTTGCGTGAAAGGGCTGGACAGAGAGGTCGTCGAGAGCGGCGTTGATGCGTAACCGGCACCCAGGGCGACTCCAAGTCCTTGGAACTGTTGACCACTCAAAGCTGTTGTTAACGGAGGGGGCTGTACGGCATGATCTCGACGACTAGGGGAAGGTTGATTGCTGGAGCCAGCATGGGGAGTCGGCCAGCCGTTGCGAGGATAAGCACTGGACGGCGGCTCGTCGCCAGCATTACTTGGAGACCACCAGCTATGATGCACAGCCCGCGATCAGCACGATGAGGTTCTCACAAGCAAAGTTCTCGTGGCAAAGAATGGCAAAGGGACAATAGCGGGTAAGAGGGGCTCGCGCACCTATTCATACTGCCGCAAAAGATTAGGAGCCAACCGGACGTGAAGCCATGGCTACCGACCGCGCGTAGAAGTGGAAATGGGATCGAGAGCAATCACAATGACCCCGAGCCTACCAGACGCGACAACAGAGGGGCAAGTGAGAGAGGGAATACGAATTTCTATTCTTTGCAACAGCTTTGCGGGCCCACGACGCACGATGGCGGCTTGCATGTCTCCAAAAGGAATCGGCCGTTCGACGGGCATAACTCGTTGTGGATCCACCAGCGGTGGCCATGGGATAAAAATAAAACACCAAGACACCGTCGGGCTGGATGAGAAGGAGACGTCGGCGAGGGTCTGCAGAAGTGCAGAGTTGGGACGGGGTGAAATGCAGGCCAGCGACCTTCATCACGGCCGGCGTCTTGTTGGGGCCGCCGCCGCCGCATTTGCGCGCCGTGACAGGCTGCCACCCCGGTCGCCAGCAGCGAACCAGAGCGCTCGTCACACTCCAACGCGACCAGTCTTGCCCGGTTGCATCGCTGGAAGTCTGAAAGATAATCATGGACGCTAACGGAGTCGACTAGGGGGCCATTTCCCGCGGGGTCTCGTCGTCTGATTGGGAGAATTCATCTGCCACAGGCGCCTACACGGGGGAATACAATCGGCGTCAACCAACGAGAAGAGGTCCAGATCAATCGTGTTGCTATTTTGAGGTCTTTGGATTTCATTCTTATAAGCTCGCACTAGTAACTGCATATTTTCTAGATCGTCCTGCCGTCAGAGGGTGGTGTCACCCGGCGGTCATCGTTGAACGATCTACCACCATCTGTCTCAACATCCATTTCCTGTATCACTGGAGTCATATTAGCACGGCTCCGATGATTGTCATATCGTTTGTAAAGACAAAAACAAACAAGTCGAACTGCCATTTCAGATAAGTGCCCTGTCACAGGCAGTGGTCATCAAGGTATATATTTATGTTGACCGTCGTGATTAAATAAAAGTAAATCATCATTGAATGACATGGCAGAACGAACAAAACACAAAAAAGAAGAATCAAGAACTCACATTAGTGAAAGGTCAAAGGACCCTGCCTAAAGACAGGGCCCTCTGCTCTACATGAGTGGGAGCATCCCAGCTACTGTACAAATCAATCAGCATCGAGCACTTATTCCAGATTCAACAAGTGAACGGGCATGTATGATTGATCAGTCATGACAGTTCTCGTCTTAATCGGCAGAGCCGACTTGGACATATGCTTGTCTTTGTAGTGTGATGTCAAATCATCATGGTGTGGTCGATGGGCAGAAGGAACGAGAGCGGAGAGCCTACATACAGGAATCTCCGACCGAGACAGTCGATGGGGTTGTCTCTAACCAAGTCCTAGCAACGCTTCGTCATGTTAGCAAAATTCCTTAAATTCTCAACAATGCGATTTTGCTCAAAATGCGAGTCAGATTTGCATGAATGGTAAAAAAAAAGATGGTGTCAGCATCGATAACTCGAATAAGACTCGTCATCTAGGTAATCATCATAATGCTAGTGGGAAGTTCGGAATCACAGGTTCAAATGTACCTTTTGAGGATTGCTAGAACAAACTCTGCCATAGCTGTCTAATGAACTACTGATTCTTTTCTGACATTAGCCTCAAATCAAGCCCAAGATGAATGAAATGTTTGGCTGCAGCTAGTATCTCAGTGGGCGAGGTTTTCTAGGCCTGCCGCAAAAATGGCATCTCCGTCATGACCGGTCGTTTTGTCTAAACGCCGTCGGAGCCCAGTGCCGCTTCATCTTCGAAAGTGTCTTTGGGAAGAAAGATGGTGTCGAACTCCTTACCATTTAGAGAACAAGCCGGGTATACAGAGGGAAAGGCATGAATGAACTGGAAAAGCAATCTTCTTTCTGTCAGCATTTGGAACACCAAGAGGTTTTCACGACAAAAAAGCATAGAGGACAAGCAGATCAGAAATAGCCATTGAGATATCGCCAAGGACCCGAAGGTCTCAGTCGGTAATTTCCAGCGTATATATTAAAGAAAGCATCATGCTAGGGTGAATGAAAAAGAACATGACAGATAAAACGTACCTTTCATGGGTTCCTGTTCGCTGCAGGCAAGCTGTGCTGGGTTGATTAGTTCTGTACTCAAAGTCAGCAAACCGTGGTCACACAATCGAAGCGAGTCAACAGTGCAACAATGCTTGCCAAGCATATCAGACTGACGTGCAAAACAATCGAGTTTTCATGCCCAAAAAGGTCAAAGACTCTAGTTTGTATGGTTGTGGGTAACATCATGCAAAGGAAAGGGACGAGTCCAAGGTGGTCGGTACGTACCAAGATCATCCAATGGCTGAGGATCGAGATCGTCAGTGGAAGAAGATCAGAGTGAGCAATTCTGCAGTGGAACTACGACGCAGACAACAAGACGTGGATTCTCAATCATTTTTGAGGCCATCATCACCGTGTCGGGACAGGCTCGAAGCCCTGGCCGAGTGTGTGTGAAAGGAAGGAAAAGCTGAAGGAAAAGCCCGCGCGTCGAACTTTTTCAAGCTCACTTTTTCGGAGCTAATTTTACCGAGAGCGCTAGGCCTAGCCCGGCTAGTGGCAAAGAAGGCGCGAGGTCGCTTATGTAAGCTGCCAAGTGACGGTCAGCTGACCCCGTGGCCGCCCGAGGGATCGACGGGGGAAAGAGTCCCGAAGCAGACTGGGCGAGACCCGAATAGTTCACGATAGTTTGAGGTGGGCATCCAAAACTCCTCATGTCTGGTGACCGGCCAGAAAACCCACCCGCAGAGCTAGTTGTCCGTCTGTCTTTGTTCCTTTCGTTCCGTGTTCCAGCATGGTATCTATCATATGCACGGGTGCTGCTGCGGTGTTTTTTCCTGGTGTTCAGGCCGTGTCCGACACCCGACACGTATCATCCTTATGTAGTGAACATACGGGACTCTGTAGATAGACTGTGTAGGACTACAAGATGAAAGATGATTGACGGAAAGCGGACCGGAAGAATTGTCAGCCTCGATCGGCAGCAGTCGGGAGAAGAAGGGAAGGGAGGGGCATCTCTTCCTTCCTCCTTCCCGGGCGAGTGCGGGGATTACGTACCGTGACCAACCCCGTGACATTGCGTCAGCCCAAACCGGTTGGTCGCTCTGACGTTGGAAGAGCCAAACTCTCGACCTGCTCTCTGTCGCACTTCATCTTGCTGGCTGGTCGATCCACTTCCACCCCATTTCTGGCTCGCTGCTAGAACATGATGTAAACTGCCTTGCATAAGGGGGGTCCTGCAAATCCTTAAAGGGCTCATGTCTGGCCCCCTGCTCTTGAAAATCATCTTGTCCCTGATTTGATTCATTTATCATTATTTATCAGTCTCCTGCAGGCAGACCCTAGTCTACGAGAATCTACCTCCCTTTCCTTCTTCCGTCTTCCTTCCTGCTTTCTCCGTTGAACCGAGGTCGGCCGTTGCTTTAAACTCCCCTCCTCTCTCCTCTTTCCGTACTTGTCAATTGACTCTTCTGGACCCTTATTCCTTCCCTTTCCATACCTTTACTATCCACATCTACTCATCATGTCTAACGGCAACGGCGGTGCTCCCCCCGTGGGACAAGAAAACATCAACACCGACATCGTCACGCTCACCAGATTCCTGACTGAGGAGCAGGCTAAGGTGCCCGAGGCCACCGGTGACTTCACGTAAGTGTCCACGCTGCCCCGCTTCCTCTTTGGCGGGGGAGTTCACCTGGACTAACGGCGGGGAAATAAACAGACTTCTGTGCCACGCTCTCCAATTCGCTTTTAAGTCCATTGCCTACTACATCCGTCGTGCATCCTTGATCAACCTGACCGGATTGGCCGGGTCCTCGAATACCACCGGTGATGACCAGAAGAAGCTCGACGTCATCGGAAATGATATCTTCATTTCCGCCATGAAGGGCTCCGGCAAGTGCCGCATTCTTGTCTCTGAAGAAGAGGATGAAGCGATCTTGTTCGACGAGCACCCCAATGCCCGATATGCTGTGGTGTGCGACCCCATTGACGGTTCCTCCAACCTGGACGCTGGCGTTTCGGTTGGAACCATTTTCGGTATCTTCAAGCTCCCCGACTCCCTGTTGGGCCCCGGCAAGAAAGTTACCGCCAAGGACGTGCTTTCCCCCGGAACCGAGATGGTGGCCTCTGGTTTCACCATGTACGGTGCCTCCGCCCAATTGGTGATCACCATGCGCAACGGCGGTGTCAACGGTTTCACAATGGAAAACTCCCTCGGTGAATTCATCCTCACCCACCCCAACATGCAGATGCCTGCCAAGCGCGCCATCTACTCCGTGAACGAGGGTAACAGCATGTACTGGGAGGAGTGGACCAACGAGGTCTTCCGCGCTATGAAGTTCCCCGGCGAAGGCAACAAGCCTTACAGCGCACGGTACATCGGTAGTATGGTGGCTGATGCCTACCGAACCCTGCTGTACGGTGGTCTCTTCGCCTACCCCGCCGACTCGAAGAGCCCTAAGGGTAAGCTGCGTATCCTGTACGAGTGCGCTCCCATGGCCATGCTCTTCGAGAACGCCGGTGGTCTGGCCATCAACTCCCGAGCCGAGCGTCTCCTCGAAGTCAAGCCCGAGCACATCCACGACCGCAGCGGCGTGTTCCTCGGCTCTAGGGACGAGGTGCAGCGGGTCATTGACACGTACAACAAGCACAAGAAATAAATGATCTAAATCATGCAAATCATTTGATCTCGGTTGCATTGTTCTCGGTCGGTGTCCGGTAGGGAGTTCTTGTGTCGTTGTGTTTTCACAGGGATTATTTATTAATGTTGTCGGTACATAAAACACCGCGGGTGCGGAATATCGCCCGGTTTCTACTGGCAAATAGTTCACGATCTTCATGTATCTAAAATTTATATCAAGTCCATATGAGAATTGAATATCCAAATTCAAATAGATATAAATCCTTACCATACCCGTTCCTCTTTCCTGTTTGTTTATAAGCCGCGTGCTCTTCATGTTAGCAGCCAAGCCCCAGATGCAAAATATATTCCGCAACCACTCAACCAGCACAGTCAATGGTCAGCATCGTGGATGAATTGATGCAGGGGACGATCAAACTCAATGCTTTCTGCTGTTCTTAGAATTCATGAGCAAGTAGATGCTTATAGAGAGACAAGAGGTCCTCCAGGGCGTTGTTGCACATTGCACATGGAGGGGGGAGCAAACGCGGATGCTTGGCATATTACCTCAGGCATTCAAACATTCATGATAGGGGATTGTCATTTATATGAGGATGCTACCTCCTTTCCTCAGACACCGTGACTTCATCACTGGCAAACTCACCCATCCAAATGTTGTCTTCATGCTGATATACCACAAGTCGACGAGCTCATCGACTAATCGACTCGACCCGAGTAATAACAGCAACGGAAGGAAGAAAGGAATTCAGTTGTCCGAGATGAGCCTGCTATAGATTAAGTGGCATACTCAATAAATTCCACAAGATCTCTCGGTGCCTCCTCAGAATAGCTACTCCACGGAACCTCTTGTATGGTGAAGTTCACCGGCTGCTCTTCCTGGGGAGTATGCTCGCGCAAAATATCCTTGAAGAGGGTGCCAAAGTAGTATTCGACATTTAAATACCGGCTGTCCTTAGGCGCGTCACTGAAGACCGGTTTAACAGTCGCCAAAGCTTTGAATGCATTTTTCATCCGTTGCCCACCTCGGAAAAAGTTGGGTTCATCCGCATCCACTAGACGGCTACAGCACAGTAGTGACGATGATATCATGCTATTCTACAAGGGTTTGGTTGAACGATCGATCGAGTGCACATTCGCTACCGAACTGGCAACACCAAGCTGGCAGGATTCGGTTTTTAGGATTTCCGTCTGTGAATATGTTTTGAAGCCTCTGTGGGAGAACTGTCCGCCCAAATACCGCTGATCTTTTCCGTTCTGTATATACCTTAATCGTTCATGTCCCCTGCGGGCATCTAAAGCACCAATATCAGCAGATTGATTGTGGATTTGGGAGAGATCCTTGCTGGGTATCTCAGATGTGATATGGATAGACAGCCATATATCACTATTTTTCTACAGTAGACATCCAGCCAAGACAGAACAACAATACAAGGTCTAAAAAATCCAGTTGATTGTTTCTGATAAGTTACAATACAGAAGGGATCCAGAAAGATGGGTAAAGGAAAAGAGATGAGAAGAAACGAAAGCGAAGCCTCATCATCGAGATCAATCGACGGGATCCTCCTCCAGAAGGGTCTTGAAGCTGAACGGCGCGAACGGGATACCGTCACCCATGAAATGCTTACTCATGGCTTCGACCCAGTGCAGACGAAGAGAGTGAAGCATGGCACTGGTGCCTTCCATGACACAGAGAATGGCGATGGTCAAGGTGAACCACATGTAGAAGGTGATGACGATCATGATGACGCGCATGCCGTTGGATTCCTGCTCGAAGGCGCCGCCGAGGGTCATGTTCCACAAGACGATGGACAGCTGTTGATGGGCCAGGGAAAGGGCCCACAGACGTAGGTAGGAGGCTGTATGGGAGATACAGTTCAGGCAGAACTCGATGGTATGGATGACCTGGTGGATCATGATCTCCGAGAAGTCGAACTCTTCGTGTTCCTCCTCCCCGAGATCTTGGGCGATCATGGCAACGCCCTCGCCATCGCTGGCCATGCTGTCACGGGCTCCGGAGGCGTGGCCATCCGCCTCGCCATCGTCGAGTGCGCTGACTCGAGACGGTTCACCGAGGCCTCGGTATCCAAGGCCACGGGCCTTGTTGTGCTCCCAGCGGAGGTAGAACGGCTTGAAGAAAAGCATGATCGGCACTTGGATCAAGGCAATAAGTAGCAGGATAACTTGGACAGTTGCCTGGTGCGGGTACAGTTCTTCCTCGACGCTTCCGGGAGAGAGAAACATGAAGATCAGCATGTTCAGAAGACCCGGAGGCGACTGGCCCCGGGCTCCCCAATCCACAAACCATTTGTAGACAATGGTGAGGACGAGGTAACCGAAAATGGACTGGAAGAAGAGCATGCTTGGGATGAAGTTGCCAATAACATCAACCTTCGACTTGAAATGCCGAGCGTTGTTGTATTGCAGGCAAAGGGCGTAGGTCATCTATAGGACTGTTAGTTTCCGTGTCCCAACCCAAACATCACGATCTACTTACATGGGCCCAACCCAGGATAATACTCATTTTCATTTTCATGCTGTTCGTGAAGAGCAATGAGTTTTCCGCTTCATGCCAATTCCAGTCAAGACCAATAGGGAACCGGTAGTCGTCCTTCAAGGTGGCCTCATAGCTGTGACCCTTCTCGATGTTGTCTGGCCACTGCCACTGACTGGAGAAGATGGTAAACGCCTTCGAGAAGATATCATTGTAGATGATACCGGTGTACATGGAGAAAAGACCCATCATCAGCATGATGTAACGACCATAGAAAGCCATGTACGTCAATTCATCCAACTTGGCCTTCAGAAGCTTTCTCTCCCAGAAGATCATGGCGCTGGCACAGAGAGTCATCAGAGTACCGTGACCGAAGTCACCAAACATGACAGCGAACATGAAGGGGAAAGTCACAACCGTGTACAAACCGGGGTTGGCCTCGGTGTACTTGGGGATACCGTATGCGTTGACAATGGTCTGGAAGGCTTCCGTGAACTTGTTCGTTCGGACATAGGTAGGCGGGGTCTTGTTGGTCCGAATCTGGTTGACGATAGTAGGCACGCTCAGACCAGCACGGTCATTGACGTCCTGTAGGGTGGACTTGATAAGCGGCAACGAGCTCGTCGGACACCACGCCTCCGCAATGAGAGTCTTTCTCGCTTGGTCGTAAGAAAACCGATTGAGGGTGTCATAGACGGCCTTCTCTTTCCGCACGATAATCATCCAAGCAGCGAGAGAGCGAGCAATCTGGGAGAGTTCCGCATCCAGAGTATTCTTCGTGTTGCGCAGAACGTTGCCCACATCGCCTAGCCGTGTGTTCACCTCGTGGACCTGATCCCGCCTCAGCTCGCTGTTCTCATCCACGCTGTACAGAGAAGCGCCGAGGGACTCAGAAATCTTCCTGATCTTGGCAATGATGTTCTTTCCGTGGGCGAAGATCACGAAGCAATTCTTGTGGGTTTCTTCGTTGTTGGTCGGGTCGACGATGGGCTCCGGGATCTCCGACTGGTTCATGTACAAGTTACCGCGCAGCGTCCGCCAAAGGATCCGTTCGAAAGCGCCAATCCGGTCCCGAGGGATCACACCGGCAACGAAGCCGATGTTCATCTCAAGGAACGACTGCTGGCCTTGCGCATCACCGTTCGCCGCGCCCCGACTGGGCTGCTGCTCAACGTCACGCAGAAGGGGAGCCTCATCGTTATCAAAAGACTGGCGAATTTCCTCCGTGTGGCTGTGAGCACGGTCAAAGAAGCCACCGGTCTCCCTCAAAACCCAGCGCCATTCCGTGAGCTCGACCTCACGCTTCTTCAGTGTTTCGTAGCTGTCGTTCAGCGACGAGATTCTCTGTTCGAGGCTCTCGCTGCGCTCGGCGAGCTCATCGATCTCGGAGGCTAAGGGAGCGGCCAGCGTGTCCGAAAACTCAGCCGAAGATCGCATCGGAATGGCCGCCTTATCCATCTGGGCATGGAAGTAACCTGTCGAGAAAGTAGGGATGTTTAGTCGACATCCGAATCGATTTGTGACATCTCGGAGCTTCAGAACATACGCAGTTGTCTTTCCACATTATCCAGCCGACGGATTTCTTTAGTAAAGGTACGCTGAAAGGCATTGGTGTCGGGATTGAGCTAGATACGACGGAGCACAAGTTAGCACCGGGACATCTGAATAATGATTGGACCTGTCTGATGCGAGCTTACATCTCTGAACTGGACCGAACCAAGTTCTCCCAGGGCGCTGACAACCTCTCGTCCGATTTCGTTGGCGATATAGAGCTGGGTCAAGCTCATATCCGACGAGCGGAAGAAGGTGTCCCTTGGAGCCATGGCGGGAGGAAGGCTGCTTCGAGCAGGTTCTTTCCACCAGAGGGACGAGAAGGTAATTATAAGAAGCTCGGCAGTATCCGAGTCTAACGGAGTAGTGATATAGTAGCCAGGAGCTGGCGTGAGAGCAGTCTGCTGAAAGAGAGAACCCCTGGGAGTCGTGATGCGGCTTGGACTGCCCGGAAGCCGCGTGGCTGCTGAAACGGCACGTGACCTGACCTACACACCCTTAGTAAGGGTCCATTCCACCTTGCCGCATTTGGCTGCGTTGCATCATACGGAGTAGTGCACTCTTGTAGTCGAACTGCCTATTTACAAGTCCTACGATTTGAAGTGTCCTCAAGAGAGTTAAGGTAAACACTCTAACCAAAACCAAGATACTGATTAATACAATCACTACTAAGGAAAACCTCTGTATGGACATCAACATTGCCTCCCAAATCATGACTAGTAGCAGACATCCTCGCATTATTTTAACCAAACCACCCAATTTGCACATTCCCGTGGCCCTGCAGGACATAAAGATGTCAAGACCTCACAGGCACGAAGCATGCACAGTGTTTGTGCCATTGAAAGCAAGATATTAAAGGTAATTTTTGCCCATAGCAAACAGCACAACGCCCATGCTAGTTGTGCTCTAATCGCCCTCTATCAGTATCATTAAGCAAAGTAGCTCTTCCAAAGAACACCCGAAAGATCCTCCAGTTGATCCGGCGTAAAGGCCTAGTCGCAAGCAGTTAGTTCGTGTACTCTCAGAGGCATGGAAGATGTCAACTCACTTTCGCATCGATATGCCAGGTATCCTGTCGGGTTTTCTTGAATTCACTGATGATAGATTTGACACTCGATCCTACAATGCCCGGGTCATTCGCAGCGCGAACACTCAGGGTTGCCAAAGCTTCAGGCATCCATCGTGGCGGAGGGCTATTGTATGGGAATGCCTGAATGAGCGCGCCAAGTCCCAGAACCGCACCATGACGGGTGATGATGAGCCGCGTGTGTTCAGGAGTCGGAGTCCCCGGGCCGGAGGAGACCGGCGAGGCGATTCCCGATCTGAAGTTCTTCGGTCTCTTGGGAAGGGGGTTGTTAATCAAAATCTTGCTGAACCGATCCAGGAAGCGTTTGATCATTTCTTCACGCAGGAAGGCTGGCGAGCAGCGGATCATTCCGGACAAAGTGGCTGATGCCCCGGCTCTCACCTCGTGTTGCGGGTCTTCCAGCATGTTCGCCACACACTCGAACAATTTATCACGATCAGCGACGGAGAGCAAGAATAGGCGACGGAAGTAGATAATCTGAATATTGATCATCACTCGCAGACGCTGATGCCACGAGGGCGAAGTCTGGCCAATGTGGATGAGTGATTTGATGAACCCAGAGCTTTCCTCGGCAGGGTATGGGATGTTTGGTAAATGCCGGAAAACGTGGTAGGCGAGAGATTGAAGTTCTGGATCTTCCTTGACGTCCATCATGTGCAGAAGTTGCCCCGTGAATACGTTCGGGAAAAAGGGTACAAGTTGCGTGCATTCATGGGATGAAAGAGTCGAGTCAAGCCACAAAAGGACGGTCTTGCTGCCTGAAGTATACGACGATGGTGTATGTTGGCCAGGAGTTCTTTCATGACGCCATTTCTCAATCCGGTTAAAGACATTTTTCATCATTGTCGTGAATTCCTCGGAAGGATAATACGGGTATGTGCCCACCGAAGAAGATGATTCCTGGGCTGCAAAGAGACGCTGAACATCTGCATAGGACTCGTGGTATCTCGTGCGATAGATCGTGGCAATGGTCTGGCCCATGGCCTCGCGAACACCCTTGTACGGGTGATCAAGATGGGCAAGGAAGTCCTCCACAATCGGCTTCTCTAGTTGGAAATGCCACCCTGCATCTATGATGGCCTGGTGTAGTAGATTGATCTTAGAGCTTTCCTTGAAGGCAGCATTCGTGGTCATATCCAGTCTGAAGCTTGCAAGCCAATCGACGAGCGGCCAAGCCCTTCGAGGATCGCGACATTGGAGAATCATGTGAAGGAATGTAGTCCAATAGCCAGAATTTTCGGGGGTCAACCCATCGGTGAAGACCTTTTGCACGATTGGGAACGCGTACTCCCACACCAAGGTCCGCTTCTCTACGCTGGAGTCCGCAACGGAGCTTATAAGGGCGCCTAGGATCTCAGCAGTAGCTCTATGTTGATGCTTGTCACTGCCGTCTTCAAATACGGCCGCCACTTCTTCCTGGATATCTTGGAATGTGGCAGCTGTGAGTCCATCCCGAAGCATCAATTCGAAAGCGTAGAGCAGCATCATTGCACAGGGCATCCGGAACTTATCAGCAGAAGGGTCGCGTGGCTCTTGTTTCAAGTACATGAAGAACTTGGTGAACCATGCTCGGTTGAACAGGTTGCCCATGTGAGTTCGCACTTTCCATTCAGTTTCGTCGTATTCAATATCGCGCGCGACATTCGACTTGTACGCAGGCATCCTGTCTCCCCACACAAGCCAGCCAGGGAAATCATGATCGACGTAATACTCTGCCTCTGGATTGGCAAAGCTAGACAGGTATTCCTGGGTCCAACCCTCCTCGTAGCGCTTGGTAGCCACGTTGATCTTTGAGGGGAAATGTTGGTTGCCCAGAATGTAATTTTTGTAATCATGGCTGCAGATTGCACGCACATCCACCATGGTGAAAAGCGCAATGAGCGCTTGGGAATACATGCCACGCAAGCCAGGATGGTCATCGATGGATCCTTGCGTCACGAGGTCTATGAGGTTCTCGCTCGCAATGTAGTCGAACCTGAGACCCATTGTGACCACTATAGTGGCTGCTCGGCTGGCGACCTTCCAATGAGACACCCTAGCTAGATTCACGAGCTCTTCAGCCAGATCAGCCTTCTTCTTCTCAATGAGGGCCCGCTTATTGTTGATGGCCTTGCGCTTTTGTGTGATTTGATCTTGAACATCCTCCTTTGGAGCGATTGCTTCAACACGGTCTTGACTCAAGATAGCCATCCTTTCCATAGAGCGGCCGTAGTCCATTATCTGGAACACAGCACTGGAGCAAATCTTCTGCACGGAGGGCTTGTCGACCGCGCTTGCATCGATGAAGGTCCTGATCAAAGTGGGAGCGTACTTCCAGTGTCGTCCGACAGTTCTTGCAACGCTGCTTAACAGCAAAGAGAACAATGCGCCTTTAATCCTCGCGTGGTCGTTTTCCTTGATGCCCTTTTGTAGCGCTTGGAGCAGTGGTGGGATGACGAGAAGCCGAGAACCCCAGACAGCTTTGAGGGCCGACTCCCCTGCACTTTGAGCGTTGCGACGGGTTTCTGTGTAGAGAGACACACATGATTCGGCAATATCCAACAGTAAGATCTCGTCCAGCCGAGACCGAGGTCGCGGTGCTGCATTGTGTCTAAGTCGTTGCAAGTGATACACATTCGCTCTTCGAACCAGCAACGGACGCGGATAATCCTTACGGACGCCGCTCATCTTGTAAGGATGAATGTCCGCGGCAAGAAGACGTGTAACTCTGTCTAGGACATGAGCGGACCTCTCAATGCCGACATCGACAAACCATGACCGATATGCAGAGTACAGAGCACTGAAGCAAGGAACATCGTCCTCCTGTTTGTCGGACAAAAATCTATGCACTCCGTGAAGGATCCAGCCAGCCCTCTCTCGTATGCCGTGGATCGTGGTGTACATGGCGTCATCTTCCTTCAGTGGATAGCCGGTAGGGTATGCGAATGACTCTCGGACGGTAGATTCGTCAGAGCTATCGAGAGCCGAATCTTCACTCTCGGCATCCGTCTCGGTAGAATTTGCCAGGGCGTCTGCCATGTCGACATCGCCCGGTGAACCATTTACTCCGCCTTCCTTGGTCTTCGAGGCTGCTTTGGGATCAAAGAGCACGGAGATACCGGAAAGGATAAGCCGCAGTAAAACAAGATTCCTGATGACTTCATCCGACCAGTCCTTCCCGCTGCCATCCCGTTTCACACTGGACGTATCATGAATCAATGCAGTCAGCCGTGTAAGCGCAGTCTCTGCTTGATTTTGGAAGAGGGCCACGGCAAATTCGAGTTCTTCGCGCGTGGGAATGTGCCATTTTACGGTCAAACTATGCGGGTCAGCTCTATAGCTCCAAAGCCCAGGATGCACGCCACCAGCAACTGCATCGGGTTCATAAAGCGAGTAATCGGCGGTATAGGTTCCCGTGAGGTTGAGGAGTAGATGGTGGACGAAGTTTGAAATGTGCACGGTCGGTATGCCCCGACACTTTTGCTGCATATACACGGCAATGTCGAAGAGCTCTTTCCTGTGAGCCAGCACAGAGTCTCCGACGTGGACGACACACATGCTCAGCATGCTGATGTTCCATACCAAGCCGCGATCGCGGGGAAGAACATCTGTGCCCGTCGTTCGAGTCGAGCCCGCACCGTTGTCATCGATCTCGGTGCGAATTGCCTGCGTTAACACCGGAATGAAGCGTTTTAATGCCTTCTCGGGATTAACTTTGCACATCGAATTACAGATGAAGGCCATTGCATCGCGAGCTTGGTGGATCACATGATTGGATACGAAGTCAACAACCTTCGTGAGAGCAATGTCATAATACTCGGGGGAGAGAGAAGACAGGAGTGGCATGAAGGTTGCAGGAAGCGTGTTCACGATATTTTCCTCGGGAGATCCATTTCGGACCCTGGTTGCATCGGGAAGGTTCTCCAAGAGCGTAAAGACACGGCCCAGGAATGAGACAATAAAGTCAGCAAAGCCACAGGTTGACGAACGAAGAATCAGTTCCTCGGTCTCATCATCTAGGTCCTTATCATAATTTAATTGAACCTCGACGCCTTCTTCTTCCATCCGTTCCATTTCACCCGTGATCCATTGCACGGCGAGCATATTGGAGTTGATATCTTCTCTTCCCTTTGTCAAGTCGGCCATGGGGATGTTATAGCAGGCGGATTGTATGAATGACAGCGCGTGCAAGGATTTCTCCAGATCATTGGCATCGACACCTGGCAAAGCGAGTCCTAGTAAAGTCGTCATGTGGCAACGATATCCTCTAGTCCTGGATATGATACGTGACAGGACTTGAAGAGCACGGAGAGATGATGTCGTACGGTGGACCTCGACGAGACCCTGAAGAGATGGGTAGATTCTCTGCAGAGCACCTGGTAGAATGAGGTGTGGCTCCAGGTATGCCAAGCTCTGCAGCGTGGACAACGAAAAGCTCATCGCCGTGCCACTCTTAGCGTAAATCCCCATGAATATCACCTCACGTAGACACAGAACAAAACGACGTTTAAGCGGCTCCGTCAGTCTTCGTTCTGGTGGAACCTCCATCTCCCCACTTTGCTCGCGATTCCAGCGCATTATGAAGAAATCAGAAAGATAGTAAACCAACTGGGACAGAGTCTTGGTCCAACTTCCAGAGTTAGAAGGATGGAAAAATGTCTCCACGGCCTGAATTAAACCTTCAAGTTGGGTCAGGATCGACTCCTCAGCGTCAAGACACGCCGGCGAAAGGGACATGACTATCCAGCGAGCAATATGATGTGCCACAGGATGCTTTCGAGTGTCTCGATCAAGCATGATACCAAGCCCCGAAGAAATATCCACGAGAGCACTGTAGGGCGATGTTGACTGTCCTACAGGGATCTCCAGTAGCCGCAGAATGGCCGTGAAGATGAGGGACGACTGTTCCTTGGTATAGATTCCATACTCAGAAAATGATATATGAGCGGCAGGAAGCGAATCTCGTGCTAACCGAGACAGGAAGTCCATGAAAGTTATGTCAAAGGTTTTGGAACGGCTGACCAACGACCAAAGGTGGAAATATGTTGGCATGAAGTGTTGGGGCAGTAGGTCTTCTCGGGACTCCGGCGGGGGAGACGTAGGAAGTAGCAGATTGATCAGACCAACGACCACAAATGCACCTTCTGAGAATGATGTTGTGTAGTGGGGAAGGAACTCCTCCAACATTGCCGGCAGCTCGCAAGGGTCGATATAGAGTTGAACGAACGCACAGAGCTTCGTTAGTGTTTTGACGTTCCGTTTCAAATTGGTCGAGTGCACAAGACCCGATTCCGTGGGTAGAACGAAAGCCTTCAATTCTCTGTACAAGGGTTTCCAATCTAGAATCAGGTCCTTGACCGGTCTGAGGTAATGCTTGCGCCTGCGGTCATGTTAGTATTCCAGCGCGATGGCAGAGGGGAGCATCCCAGATCGAACTCACTTGGTAAGAAGCATAAACATGCTGGCAAACCGCTCCGAGACACCGGGATCAATCCCCGGAGCAAGACAAAGCTCGTAATAAAGTCTCACAAGATTGATCCGTTCCTTGCGCGTTGGATCAAACTTGAGTGACAGCCATCCTCGAAGCTCCCGCGTCCAGTGCACAGCACCTGGGCTGAAGTCGCCTGCCTCCACCGCGATATACAGCTGGTTCAAGATCTCTCGTAGAGTTCGGTCTCTCTCGGTGTCGCTCTCGAGGGAATACGGTAGGTACTTGAAGTAGGGGTACGTCCGAGGCCGGACACGAGCTATTGGTTCGCCATCGCCGTTGGTCCCTGCGGGCTCGCCCCCTGGAGAGGTTGCCCTCGAGATCTCATGCACATTGTGAAAGTTTTCGGGAGTTAGGATCGCTTTTGGGCCTGAATTATCCATAGTCGTGCAGTTCGTCCGACGATTACTGCGGTGGAGAATGTGGGAATGTGGGAGAGTCCTGGAACAGACTGATATCAGCTTCAGCGTCGAATCCACGCAGTGATGAACAGAGAACCAAGAACAGAGAGTACATACGCTGGACATGAAGCTTGTAGCTAAGTCTCAGTAATGGATGTCGATGCGAAAAAGTAGCCTGCTATCAGTCCCGTTCGCATGAGCGACTTAGTCGGGTTGAGCTAACAAGCGACCGGAAGCGACGATCGGAGCTGTGGCTGAGAGAGAAAGAATAGCTGAGAAAGGAGGGCTAGCAAAACGGAACCTTCCAGAGATTGATTTTTGTTGAGTACAGCGGGCTGTATGGAACGAGAGCTACAGAATTCTGATTTAAAGCTCTGAGGTTGAGGACAGACGGGGAGGAGCTCATGCGTAGCAGTCCGACGGGTGAAGGTATCATTGGGTTTTGTCAGATCACTGATGACATAATTCCACACGCAATGACGCCGCAGCCTAATCGGGCTCAGACCCAGAACCACGCCCGATGAACGCGATTGCTCCACCATTCATTAATGTAACGATCTTTGACATTTAAAGAGATAACCAAAAAATGATTTATCAAGAAGAAGAGAAAAAAAATACAAGTTCGCACATAACAACCCGGACTTGTGAATACCATATGTAGGATAATATGCTTGGCCTTAAATTGAGTAGGAAAAGGATGAGAAAGTAAGAAGACAACGCACAGAACACATGTGAAAAGCAACTGTATGTCTACTTCCTAAGCTGGTGGGAGGAAAGAGCCGAAGAGAACCGCTTGTATGAGCGCATAAATGACTGCTCCTGGCACAGCGAGCGTGAAAATTCGGCTATGCTTCACCCCAGAATCGCCAAGAATTAGGTGAGCAAGGTACCAATACCACACAGGATACCCAGAGGAAACCCTGTTGATGATTTGCACATGGTAGTTAGTAATTGCCAGTCCCGAAAGCAGGGCTTGCGGGACGGCGAGTCGCATCAGCAGAGAAGCCTGCGTCTTGGACGATAACACTCGTTCACTGTCGGAGGCTTCGTGAGGGCTTGACGCCAGGAATGCCTTCAACCCCCACGTAGATGATCGAATGAGGATGGCGAGCATGGGGAGAGCAAGTAGGAATAAGGGGATATTCGAGACAGTCCAGTATCGAAGGAAGCCCACATTCCTGATTTTCAGGTAAGCAATTGCCGAGACGCAAAATGGGACTTACTAAGGTACGAACCAGTAGTTGTCTTGGACCCAGCCATATATGCTAGGAATCAAACGCCGGCACCACGGCCTCGAGACATCTTCCGTCATACAATATTGCGCATAGGCGAATAATTGGGGAACGACAAAGCCCAGGGCTAAGATGCAGCCGCTGATGACGACAACGCCTAGATGAACAAAAGCATCGACCGATACACCTCGAGACAAAAGTCTTTGGAGTTGAACAAGAGCATCGTAGGCAAACAAGAAACCACTGAGAAAGCCGTTGCTGCGAACTACTGTGGCAGCCGAGAAGACTAATGCCGCCAATAGCAGCTTTGCGTTTCTGAGCACCGACTTACCAACCTCGTTATCCAAGACGGACGAAGAGTAGATATAAAGTCCGGTGATATTGAAGAACGAAAAAACCGGTTCTCCGTACGGGGCCGAGAGAAAAGCCCCCGCAGGAGAAATGATGTGCAACGCGGCAGAAAGAAAGCAAACGAGTCGTTGCGTGGTCGTCTCTTGGCCAAAGACATTAATCGAGAGTCTATACAAGGCTAGCACCGAAAGATAATGGGCAAGATGCGAAAGCGCAACCCCTGCGATTGCGATTTTGGCGGATCCATCCAAGACATTGTCCCAAGGACTCAAGACTACCAAAAGAACACCCATCAGTATCTACATATATGGTTACTCGGGGAACAGATAAACACACCGGAACTGAGGAAAGCGATGGTTTTGCCAAACCCATAACTAAATGCCCACTCTTGTTCGAACACATAACCACTTTCTGCAATATGCACAAAATATATTGAATCCCACCTGACAAATTTCAGGGGTGCCGACAGACTCAACGAACCGACACCCTGCTGGGGAAGAAGGCTCGTGGACGTATCATAACCTGGCCCAGGGCATCCAACAACGACCAAGAAAACGATTGTCTTCCAGAGCCAAAAGACCACCGACAAGCTTCTGACGGGACGACTAGGATTCAGTAGGCCCGGGCGAGCCGAGACCGATTTCGAAGCCATGGTGTCTAGATCGTCCATGCGATACACCTCCGAGAGCAATTCAGCCCCGATTATGGTTGTTGCCTATGATTATCACTTATCAGGCAATGAAACCACCTTGACTCATACTGGTGATTCGTCGACAAAGCCCCGTATAAAGTGGTTCCGAAAATGGAATGGGATGATAGAAAAACGAAAAAGAAAATAATCAAAATAAGGTCATGCGATGGATGGGCCGAGGCAATTGGGACCCAGAGAACGACAGGAGGTCGCGGCTGAAGAGTCGGAGGTTTCGGCAGCATAAGTTCCTCTTATTCAGCAGTTGGGCATGCATAGTGCATTAAGCTAGTGCGATTTCCCCATACGCCGATCCTTAGCGTTCCGTGAAAATCTTGCGATGAAGAAAATTTGCAGGGAGTCATCCTAGTATGGCAAATTGGACTCATCTGAATGGAGTCTGGAGTATGCGAAATTAGTTTTAGTACGCATTACACACGGTAGGACAGTTCAAGAGTCACATGCAGAAGCTCCACATGAGGCCTTTTCCAAACCGTGCTGAGTACATTTCTGAAGTCTCGGGGCCGCAGCAGGTATGAACTTATGAAGGCATAACTGCATAAATCCCCAAATGCATAACCAGCGGAAGTCGTTAGTCATCCCGCAAGTACCCTTGGATCAGCGCTGATCCAGCCCTACGGGAGGTTGCCTCTTTCCAGGGATGGCCCCGTGATGGAGTCATCTCCGAGTATTCCGTATACTCCGTAAGGATTTAGGACATGCATGAGATTATGAGAGATGAAGGCTATTCAAGATACGCTACACAGTACACAGTAGACACAAAGAAAGCATCGCTGTGTGCCTCGTTGAATTGTTAGGCTCCGACATCATGACGTATGCCAACATCGGCTACTAGGACAATTGACTACTATGAGCGTCATAGGAACAAAACTATCCTAAATACCTAATAAATACACGGTACTAGTAAACTTCAATCCTTAAAACTCCGATTTTCTCGTTCGTGCCCACTTGAGTCCCAAACAAGGTGAAAACGGACATCGCCATCCTTGAAGTGGACAAGACCCGAATGAAAAGTGAACGGGCAAAAAGGCTAAGGGTCACGAGTGGGCAGTTGATTTTAACCCCTCAGGGTCCAGCCTTGTTATGGGCCATGGCCTATGTCGGTGTCATCATGTCATGGCAAGTATCCTGTATCCTGTTCTTACTGATTGAGGTAGCCAGGCTAGTAAAAAAGACGATCGGCCGGTTCAAGCCACCGAGTTTACTGATCACAATGCATTCAATTCTTTCCCTTCCGAGTTCCTCCTCCGGTCGCTTTCCTGTATGCAATTGATTATTCCTGAATCTTTCTCTCACCGCAGACACCGGCTCCACGAAAGGGCGAAAACCTTGCTGTCATGCAAATTTTCAGCTGAACTCCGCCGGACCCCACTCCGTCCATCGATTTTTTCTGTTCTTTACGGGATGCCCGTAAGGCTGGCATTACCTCAATAATACATACCATCAATGCCAAGACCGTAAGGCCGATTAGTCAAACAGTCCGAGAGAGCTTCACCCCGCGGGTGGCAACGAAGCCCTTACCTACGACGCCGGGATGACGGTAGGTGACAAGAGGAGACAAGACAGGAACAACTCGGAGAACCTTATGACCTCGATCGGCATCATGGCACCAACCAAGGCCTTTTTAAAGAAAATCTCAATTTATGGCTGCCTGGAGTACCGAGTCTTGGTGAAGGACACCGGCAAGGTACGGGGGGAGAAGCCAAGAGTGGCGCCCGTGGAACACTGGATTTACCGGCGACTCGGAGGTCAGGACCTCCGACCGTACGGGCTCGTATTCCGTGCTGTTGGCATACGGAGACTGGAGAGGCAGTAAATAATGAGGCATCCCTCAGGATTCTCGAGAAAGCGGCTCGGATGGATTTCGGAGGGCGGACGGACTGCAAGGCTAACCTCCGAAGACGACGGAGATAGGCTTTTTCGTAGGGAGTTTCAGGTCAATGTGTCAATCGTCAGGTGTCAGTTGTCAACTATGAGTATAGGTACTACAGGAAAATACCGAGGCCGCGCGGGGCGGAAAGCAAAACGATCCGAACCGATCAGTTACTTACCAACAGGCTACAGGTCGGTCGTGATGATTTCTGGGCTCCGAGGATCGCCCGCTAGACTACTTGGATGCATCCATGGATCGCCTTTCGTAGCTTTGGAATCGTCCCGAAATGATTATTCACACTTACTTTCTAGTTACAGATCCATATTGACCTGCCTGGTGCATAGTGCATACTCATACTGCCATCCCTACGGAGTACAGACAAATCAAAATACTAATAATTATTACTCACTGCTCTTCTTGGTAAAAAAGTGGATTCCCTTTTTTCTTTTTTTTTTACCCCTCTAACTTAAACCTTTTCTTTCCCTCTTAATCTCCAATATAATCTCGTCTCGTTTCGCTCTCGTATTCTCCAACCCTTTTGACTCGAAGACTGAAGTACTTACTTGACCGCCATTACCATCTGACAAGACCACCTCCAACTCAACTCCATTCTTAAGGCTACAATTTACCCCCATTGCTTGCTTTTTCATTCCTTATTTGATTTTCCTTCCCTCTCCTTCCTTCTCTCCCTTACGTCTTCTCCCGCCTTTCGTTGCATATTACGGAGTACGTTCTTACGATATCATTGCCGTCGTGTAGCCTTGGCCATTTTGCCCCCTACCAATTGACGCTCGCCTAGACTTCTCTGCCTTCTTTCCTATACCTCTGCTTGTCCACTCTTCCCTCTCTTTCCTTTTTTTTTTTTTTTTTTTAATTTTCATCCCTCGTCTACTCTGGTCTTTGGCTGTGCAGGTCACGCCAAGCTTCCAAGCTTCTGTTCCCCCTTGATATTCTTTCCCTTCCAGCTCCAAAGTTTCCCCTTTCCTTGCTGTTTGGCTCTGCCTCCTGCATCCTCCTCCCTCCACACCGTCGACGGTTAGGTATTTTCCTTTGATATAGACTGCGGAACTAGTGATCTGCGAGCGAGCGCCACGTTACAAGCTACCCGAGCCATCCGATCGAATTCAGCAGTGTTGTTCCCATCGCTGTCGATGTTGGTCTTGCTGGGCCCTTGGAGCCTCCCGCTTCCTGTCAAATAATGCTCTTTAACCTGGGATTGACGGCGGATGCGGCAGCAGCCCACGAAAACGACGTTGTCGCCCACCAATCTGAGTCTCGACCTGCGCGCCATTCCTCCCCTTCGAATATCTCCTTTGCATTACCTTCCTTGGGACTCGCCAATAACCGGAACGGCTGGCACAAGGCCGCGCAAGCCGAGCTGTCTCGCAAAGGCTCGCGCGGTGCCATGTCCCGAGATGCGGAAGAACCGGGGTCAAGCGACGGAGAGCATTCGACTGTCGGACCCGCCCTCGTTCGACCGCAGATCGCCCGTGCACAGTCGGTTAGGAAACAATCGTCGCGACCTAAGACGTCTTACCAGCTGGCTCATCCGGCCAGCCATGCGCGCCACAGGCGGTTAAACTTCCGACCCAAGCTGGTGTTGCAGCTTCAGCGATTGTCGCAGACTCCGCGCCCCTTGCCGGTCCTCGACGTGTTGCCGTCAACCGTATACCTGCCCCGACTAGCGCGCAAATTCCCTACGATCTTTCGAGGCAAGAAAGGGCTGGGCCCGAATGACCTGATCGTTGTCACGAGCGACTTGTACGAACGGACGGGCGGAGACATCGCAGACAAGTATCTGAGCTCGGACGACGAGAACGGGGAACATCGGGAGGTGGTCGCAACGATATGCCAGCTCCTCCGGGAAGATGCGCTGGCGAAGGGCAAAGCAGAGATCTGCCTCAACCACGGACCGGTGTGGGAAGCGACCCCTCTTACCAACGGATCATACGAATTCGTCGCCGAAACGGATCGCGGCGTGCAGATCCTGCGATGGGTGCTTCGTGGAGGGAAAAACAGGCGCGTTTCGGCTCCTCCGGGCTCGTCGCTCCAGGAGGAATCACGACGCTTCACATTCAGTGTGATCGATCCTACCACCCGTCGGCACCCGGTCATCGCGACCATGACCCGGAACCATCTCGAAGTCTTCGACGAGTATTCGATGCCCACCTCGGGATTTGCGTCGCCAACGTCTGGCATGTCGGTTATCAGCGATTCTTCCGAGTTGGACACTCCTTTAGATCGACCGTTGGATCGAAGGGTGATTGTAACCGACGATAACCTGCGAACGTTGATCATCATCACTAGTATTTGGGTGGCATTCAGAGAGGGTTGGTCGCATAACTTTAACTACAAGGATACCGCCTTGGCTCTCAACCCTAAAAGCCTGTGCTCATCCCGTCAAACTTCTCCGACAGCCACCAAGGCCGAGAACAACCCACTTCCCTCTAACAAAGAAGTCTTCCCGGACGGCCCCTACAGTAGCCCCAAGCATCGCATGTCCGGCTCGCATGCTTTACCTTCTCGAAGCACCACCCCCTCCGATCGAACCTTTGCGTACGGAAGCTTATCCAAGCGCTCCAACTCCACCGGTGCCGCCTTCATTGAGCGCTCAAACAGACGCGCCTCCAGTGCCACACTCCGGCCGAGCCGGCATAGTCTACTCTCGAACCCTCGCGAAGCAGCACCCATTGGGGTGAGCGAAGTCAATGCCCTCCAGGAAGAGCCGGGGAGTCGCACGACCCGGTCTCACCCCAAGAGACCGGACTTCGAAAATGAGAGGGACTTTGTGGCCCCTAGCAGGAAGCCCGGCATACAAAATGGCACGCGGAAACTCGACGCGTCCAACGAAAAGGCGGCCAAATCGCTGAATCGAAATGCAGAGCCGGCGCCCACTAAAGGGAAACGCCGGCACCGGTTCAGCAATATATTTGACTTTCTTACAAGGAAGAGCGGCGCTCACTAACGAAGAAGCCCGGTGCTTCTCCCTTTGGAAATTACCGAAATCTCCGCTGATGTACATACCTATGCATGTTCAATTCGTGGCTCCCTCTTGTAGAGGTGAGGAGTTCCTGTGGAAACCCCACAAGACTATTGAAATTTTCTTATTTCTTTGCACAATTTTTCTTGGGATTGGAATGCCGGACACTGGTGTATGTGGCATATGAATCTGAACAAAACCGATGCACAGCGTGTCTGTCAGCTCTCGTTATATACTTCATCTATCTCTCTCATCTACCTCTCCCCATTTTTAGCGATACGATTACCCAAGACTCAAGAATGGCGTTTCTTTCCCTTATTCCTGTGATCACCTTTGACACACCACCATGTACACAATGGAAGCTATCGTGCGACAACTGCAGCAGCAAATATAACCAAACCTAACCAATATTCCGTATTTTCAACGAAAAACTTAAGTACACTACTACCTCGTAGTCTGTCTACCCAGCGCATCCAACGACTTCGGAATATACCTCATCTCCTTATCCGTCAACTTCACCTGAATACTGGCCACAGCCCTCGTTAACCCGCTCCTTGCTGCTCAACCCCACAATCGGATTCCCGTATGACTCAAAAGACCAGGCAATGGCCCCCTGGACTAAATTGATGTTGATGCCCAGCTTCCTGTCAGCCTGATCGACGCGGTTGACGATCACCTAGGTGGTCGGCCTCGGCCTCGCGGCTTCGGACGACGAGCCTCTTCAGCGCTCCGTCCGTCGACTCCCGCATGACCGGTCGACCGGGAGTTCCACGGCCGAGCCAACACGCCGCGCGCCATCGGCGACCAGGGCATCAGGATCAGGCCCGCTCCGGCGTCTTCATGGTAGGGCGATCATTTCGCGTTTCTTGCTCGTGAGCAGGTTGTGGTAACTAACTAGATTTGCATGCTGATGAAGTGGTGTCAGTCGTTGCGGGCGGCGATGTTCTGGAGGGTCATGACTCCCAGGCGGTCGCCAATGTTTTCAGTCAGTATATATTCTACCACTCCCCATGAGGCAAAAACGTAGAATCTTTGGAGAACCCCCCTACTTAACTCATTATATAGGTATAGTGCCATGTAAATCTAGAAACTCTTCTTCTGCTTCTCCTTTTAATAATGGTATCTCTGTCAACAGATCTACTGACCATTCTCTCGTCCAATCTAAGAAGTAGAATTAATTACCTACTACTTAAGAAAAGGATTTGTGTTTTGGTTCCTTATATACCTATAGTGTTTGCCACATATCAACAGCGGACAGTTTGGCCGAGTGGTTAAGGCGCGCGCCTGCGTACGTTTTCCTTATAAATATTCTCCATCCGAACCCCACACTAACAGTATCACAGTATTCCTATACATCAGTATACATAGTCAGCGCGTACTTTCGAGTGCGCAGGTTCGAATCCTGCAGCTGTCGATCCATCTTTCTTTTTTTGTCTTCTCTCTTTTTTGTTTTTAAAGTTTGTGGAACATCGTCAAAGTGCGGGCGACTGACTAACTAACTGTCTGTATATTTATCGTGAGTAGACAGACACATACATGCTGCGGTTGGATTCCGGCTCTTTCCTGTCTAGCCATCAGTCTACCCCGACACTTTATATCGTTGCTGTACTCCGTACTTGTTGTTGCTTGCCTGCCTACCCGGTAGTCTCGGCTCGGTTGAAATGAGCATTCTTTTCTTGCATAGTCTCTATGTTGATTGGTTTCTACAGTAAGCCGCAAAGGATACCTAGGTAACTCGGAACCCGGCGAGCATTGTCTTCGTAGAAGACTTCTTGATTAAAGCCATGTTTATTCCTATAAGGTTGCCCTTTGCGGTGGATAGCAGGTAATGATATAAATGCATTCTTTCTGATCGATGGAATCAAACAGATCTATGAAGTTCGGAGGCCGTGGAAGTAAAAATGCGAGCATTAGGACAATGGAACTCTGTACAAGTGCGCTGGAGGCAGAAACTAGAAACAGCAGCCTCACGGATCAGGCAGCACCGACGAAAAACCGCTTCGGCCGGGACCATACCCAAAGAGGCAGGCAGGGATCCGCTCAAGGTTCCTCGGGTTCCCGATTAGGCAGCCGGGACGCGGAGAGAAGAGGATCTGTTGGCCATCGCAGGCAGCGTGAAACGAGACTAGAAGGGGGCAACATAATAAGGCTGGCTCGCCTTCCACTTCCATTTCTTTCGTCATTTTTTTTTCATTCCCTTTTTTTTCTTCCTCTTTGCTTTCTCTCCCTTGCGACCGTTTCCAATTTACTGGAGGGGGATCGGTTTCTTTTCTATCGATGATTCACACATTCTCTATTCGAGATCTTCGCTGTACTCATGCAAAATGAGAAATGAAAACTGACAAAAAATGATTATATACTAACGACAGTGATGAATCGTCCAGATACTTCAATCTGTCGCTCACAGGGGGAAAAATTTCAACCGACGTGACACCTTCGCGAATTCGCTGAAAAAAAAAAAAAATGAACAGATGACTCAACCATCCTTCCAACCCCAGAAGAAGAATAAACGATATGACCGATCGCAGTCGATGCCGACCGTGAAAGATTACTCCGTCTTGAACGAGACTAGTCGTGCTTTGATGGCTTCCTCCGTGTCGTTGGTGTCCAGCTGACGAAGGACACCTGAGGCAACGTCGAAGATCAGACCGTGGACCTGCAGACCACGCTCGTGAATCGCGTCCAGAACAACGCTCTTTTGCTTCAACAGCTTCACACCCTCCTCCACATTCAGTTCCACCAACTTGAGCATGGCTTGGTCAGGGGTCAGGGACTGCAGAGTGGACAGGTTCTGCTGACGAATCTGTCGCAGAGGGAGGAGCCAAGGGTCGAGTATGCCCAGCTGTTTGTTACCCATGGCAGCAGCGACACCTCCACATCCCGTGTGACCGCAGAGGACGACGTGCTTGACTCGCAGATGACGCACCGCATACTCGATCACCGCCGAGGACGACAGGTCGCCAGCGTGCAGGACATTGGCAATGTTCCGGTGGACGAAGACATCACCGGGCTTCAGGCCGAGCAGGGTTGTCTCGGGGCATCGGGAATCGGAACAACCAATCCACAGAATTTCAGGATGCTGGCCGACTGCGAGCGTGGGAAAGAGGTCGGGAAATTCCTGAGCGGTCTTGGCCGCCCACTGCTTGTTGTGGTCCAAAGCCGAGATGAAACGATCTGAGGGGACATTAGCACCATTATGCGACCGGGCAAGATGGTCTGACGATGACGGCGCAGAGGTGGAACAGGATCGGAATGTGCCGGCCACACCCTGTGCGACAGGAAAGGAGGGGGAAGGGCTGATTCCTCGGCGGCCTTGCAACTCCCATGCCGCCGTGAAGGACCGGGAAAGTGACTGAGGCCGCGGGAAAAGCCTTGCGACATTCATTTTTGCGCGGGGGTGGGTGCGAAGGGAGAGGGAATTTTATGACTCAAACTTCGCCGAGGGTGATGAGAGGGGACGAAAGCCAGAATGACAAGGAGAAGGAGAAAAACAGGAGGGCACTGAATCGGATCCGTTCGCAGTTTGAGGCAAGTGACGATGCTCAATATGCTCACGAAAAGTCCAGGAGTTGAGGATGGCCAGGATGAAAGGGATCGGAGAACAGAAAAAGCGCTGGGGATGGGGAAAAGAAAGACTGTTGAGGCCGCAGGAAAAACCCGCCACCCGTTACAGCCCGCCAAGCAGAAGGAAAAAATCCGACAGCGTCGCCAACGTACCTGTGGTGGCCATGATGAAGATGGAGAATGACTGGATATGGTCCAAGTATTTTCTAATTACAACTCTGGTGTCTTGGGGTGGAAGAAGTGAAGTCTAAGAGGGAACGAAGGCGCGGTGCTGTGGTGAGGTTTTCGTTATATAAGCACAGGGCGCCCGGTGAGAGTCGGCAACGCGGCAAGTGGCCAGATGTTTCCCCCCCTAAACTAATCTATTCGGGCTTGCTCGATTTACTCTTATCGTCCTCTCGCTGTTCGCTTACCCGGTTGCATGATCGTGGATGCCGTTTGGATATCGACTTGGGCCGTATTTTCCGAGGCAAATTATCGACTCATCGACCCGCCAACGCTGCTTGTCCAGTCATGACGAACCCTGATCGGTTGGGTCGAATGCGGTGGAATCCTGTGTGGGGGAGTTCCCGCTGCCAAAATACGAAGACGAAAAAAAAGGAGATGCGCCATTTGAACCAATCGATATAATCACTCATTCGTTCGAGAAATCTCTCACTCGGGTTTCCCTCGGGAAGTGCCCTGCCCCGTGCGGCTGCTCTATATACACATCCATTTATCCCTTGATTTATTTTTGCACTCACTCTCCTATTCACTATATCCGAATCATCCGAAATTTTTAAAAGGGAAAAGCAGAAATCATGCTGTAACCAGAAAAAAACCAAAACAATAAAAGCACAGGCAAACGCTACCATTTCAAAATACTCATGAAGTACCTCCGCGACCACCGACATTGGCCAAGGCCTGCTTCTGATCGGCGCTGAGCTGAGCGACGGGCAGCGGACGAGCGGTCGACGAAGCGGGCGGTGCGGGCAAGAATCCCACGGCCACGAGGTAAGAGACGTACAAGCCCACCAGCTCTTCCGTCACACCTGCACCTGCCGACGCATCGACACCCGACCAGGCGGCATCGGCACGCAGGGAAGCCGCCGCATACTTGTCGTCCAATTCAGGAGCCTTGGTGTTGCTGGGAAGGTCCGATACCACAAAGTGGAACAAAGGCATGCTAAAGAAGAACAGGATTAACGTTCGTGATCGATCGGAAGCCAAGATGAAGAAACTTACAGTGCATGCTGGGACTCCAGATCGTCATGCTCACCACTGTTGACGTATTCCTCGAGCGACGTGGACCACGGCACGTAGTCGACCTGGGGCACGTCGTAGCCGTACAGCTGCAGAGCACCGAGGAACTGGTTGAATCGAAGCCGGGGGTGACCGGTCACCTGGGCCACTCCGATGGGCTTGCAGGCAGGCTGGAAGGCACCGGCGATGACCACGCGCGCCACGTGGTCCACGGGAACCATGTTGACGGTGTTGTGGATGTTCGGGCGGGAAGAAAGCTGGATACATCCCTTGATCATTCGGATCAGGAAGTCATCCGTGTTCGTAGCTGTAGTAGATCGTTTGTTAGCAATATATTCATTTTGGATTCATTGACTGTCTTTTTCTTTCTTTTGCATCTCTTTCTTTGGAAATGGGGGCTGGAGTTGCATACTTCCGGTCTGGGAGTCGCCCAGCACGTAACCAGGGCGCACCACGCTGCCCTTCAATCCTCTCCTACCGGCCTCGCGGACAAGGTACTCGCTCGCCCACTTGCTCTGGCCGTATCCAGTTCCCAGTCCGACGCTGCTGCCCGCCAAATCGTCATCCTCGCTGATACCCGCTCCGCCGGCCGCGATAATCCGCTCGGATTCTTCAACGTAGTGATCGCTGTCGAGCACGCTGGTGGAGCTAACAAACGAGAACTGCTTGGGCTTGCCGGTAGCGCAGAGCTTCAGGGCGTCGATGGTACCGAGGACGTTGGCCGGCTTGAGGGTGGAGTAGGGGTAGACCCAGTGGACCAGAGCGCCGTTGTGAATGACAGCATCGACGCGCTTTGTCAGATCATCCCAGAGGGCCTCGGAGAGACCCAAGCGGGGTTCTCCCAGGTTACCGCACACACACTGGAGGCGGCTGGTCCACGCCTCGTCCCAGAATCCGTAGGCACGGCACGTGGAGCGAATGCGGTCAAGAGCCTGCTGCTCGGTCTTGCCTCGAACCAGCGCGACAACCTTGGCCGAGGGGGACTTGCGGGTGAGCAGGTCGCGGAGGATGTGAGCACCCAAGAACCCGGTTCCTCCGGTCAGGAAGACGGTCGGTTCGCCCGAAAGGATGTCATCGGTGCGTTCGGGGAAGGACGCGGGCAGAGTGTTGACCAGCTCGCGAGCGTCCTTGGAGTATTCGTCGTTGGGCTGCTTGAGGGCCTCGGATGCCTCAGCGGCGGCGGCGTCCTTGCTGTCGCTGGTGGCGAACGAGTCCAGACTCAGCAAACGGTCGATCTCGGTAGCGAAGGCCCGGAGAGTAGGGCTGCGGAAGATCGCGTTCATGCTGATGTCGATGCCGCGCCATTTGCGGCGGAGATCGAAGAACATTTGCTGGGCCAGGATACTGTGGCCGCCGAGATCGAAGAACGAGTCATCGGGGCCGATCATGCGAGCGGTCACGTTAGAGATGCGCTTAGCCCAGATTTGCGCGAGCTCCTGTTCGGTCTCAGAGAGAGCCTGCAGCACCGAGGAGCGGCGTCGAGGAGCGGCCGCGCTGAGCTCCGCGGTGTCGGGGAAAGGCAGCGCCGGCTTGTCGATCTTGCCGTTGGGGTTGAGAGGCATGCGCTTGAGGGGAATGAAGACAGTCGGCACGGCATACGTTGGGAGCTTGCTGCGGAGAAGCTCGCGAGCGTCGTCGCGAAGAGGTCGGAAGCGACGGAGCATGCCGACCATTCCCTCGGCGGAATCATCGTCCTTGAGGCCCTTTTCTTCCAACCACGCGGCCCATTTGCTCATGTCCGGCACAATGTAGCTGACCAAAGTAGGCTCTTCAAACTTGTCACGACGCACCAGAGTGACGTTCTCTCTCACCAGGGGGTGACGAGACAAGTGGGTATCAATTTCACCAAGCTCGATACGGAAGCCACGGATCTTGACCTGGTCGTCTGCACGTCCCGAGCATTCAACCTCGCCAGTGGGAGTGTAGCGACCAAGATCTCCACTGCGGTAGAGACGATCCCTGGGGCCGACGTAGAACTGCCTCCAGGGTTCGGTGGAGTTCTGCGACTCGGCCTGGTCCTTCTCAGTCCAGACCTTAGGGTCCACAAACCAGTTGTTGATGAATTTCTTTTGGTTCAATTCGGCGGATCCCAAGTATCCTTCCGCAAGACCGGCGGCACGGACGTAGATCTCGCCCACTTCTCCGATCGCGCAGATACGACTGGGCTCGAAGCGGTTGACAACCAACATTTGCACGTCGAGCATTCCTCGGCCAGCCGGAATCACATCTTTCATGGTGTCCAGGAAACCTGCGTGGCTCGAGTAACTGGGGATCTCGTAGTAACTGACGGCACGCTGGGTCTCGGTGGTTCCGTACATGTTGACGATGTTAACGTTCGGAGCCAGACCCTGCAGGGATCGACAATCTCTCTTGATCAAGATATCACCCACGAAGAACGCATGGTGAAGAGCAGGGAATTGCGCAGAAGCGCCACCAACGAGAATTTGACCCATAGCAGGTGTCAAGTGGGTGACCGTAGCTCCGTATTCCTGCATCCACTCCGCAAGTCTCTCGTTCTGGATGTCCTCCCGTGCCGGGACCAACAACTGGGCTCCCAGGAAGAGAGGCGTGAAAATATCTCTCTGAATGGGGTCATGAGCAATACCACTAAGCATAGTGAATCGATCATTGGGGTTAAGCTTGAATGTCTCTGACATCCAGGGGAAGTAGTAGGCCAACGAAAAGTGACGTCCTCGGACACCCTTGGGTCTACCTTCTGAGCCGGAGGTGAATGAAAGCGTAGGAGTCGAGTCCGGACCAACGACAACGCCAACAGATTGAGCCTTCAAGGGAACTTGGTTGGTAAGAACATCCTGGCCCTCGAGCGAGCCACCGCGCAGCGAACCGTCGTCCTGAAGGGCGAGCGCAGGGACCTCAGTCCGCAACTGCAAGTTCTCGTTGATGAACGAACGAACCTTGTCCGAGAGCTCACCGGAATCCTTAGTGGCTTTTTCAATGTTGATGAGGGCCCGAGGGCGGGCAACGTCAAGGTAGATACACTGGCGCTCCGGGGGATAAGCAGGGTCGATCACAGAGAATGTAGCGCCGGCCTTCAGGATACCCATGACGGCGACCACAAGATCGACACCACGGTAGGCGTACACCATGACGACATCTCCCCTCTCAATACCCGACTGGACCAGGTGATGGCCGAGGATGTTGGATGCCTCATTAATCTGCTGGTACGTAAACTCCCGGTGAGGCGATCGCTCAGACTTAGTTTCCACCACGCATAGCTTCTCGGGATGCTTCTTCGCATTCTCAGCGAAGATGTCATGGATGGCACCACGGAACTTGGACCAGTTCAGATCGGCTGTGGGATCCGGAAGAAGCGCCTGTTGGTCCGGAGTCATGAAGTCAATGCGCCCAATGGCCTGTTCAGGGTCACTGGTGGCATTCTCGACAATGCGAGCGAGCTGCTGCAGAACCGTGGCGATCCTTGCACTCGAAAAAAGTCTCTGGTTGTAGAATGCGCCCAACTCCGCGGCCGATGACTCGCCGGACAAAGGCGCAACGTTCACAACCAGGTCGGTCGTCTCGAAGGTGTTGGCGGGGTATTCTTGCGACACGGCGGGGGCATCGTAGGCAGCGAAACGGAAGAAAATGGGCGATCGTTCCGACTTGGTCTTCTCTTGGATGTGAGACCGCAGGCTTCCCAGCGGGACGACATCGGATGACCCTTGGTTGAATGCCTAGCCGACCGTTAGTTGAGGACGTATGAAAGAACCAGAGAATCGAAAGCATACAGCCTGCACTTTAGCATAAAGTTGAAGGAAAGACTCGGAGGAATCAATTGGAACTCTCAGGACAAACGGACGGCCATCCTCGCTGGAGTTCGTGCCGATGGCGATGTCTTCGTCACCGGTCAAACGAGCGACGAGGACCACAAAGGCAGTCAAGAAGACCGTGAACCCCGAGGCCGAGCCGGAGATCTTCTGTAATTGTGATAGGGAGTCCTTGGAGATCTTAAGAGACTCGAAGGCCTCAATTGACCTCTTGGGGAGCTCTTGGTTCTGAGTGTCGGGATAGTCTCGGGTGAGGGGCGAGACGGTGAGGTTCTGTAGGCGTTGAGCCCATCGTTCTAGACGCTCCTGTAAGGAGGCAGATTCAACACCCATGGCTGCAGTGACAATTCCCTTGCGGTGGAATTGAGGGCCGTCGGACTGCCAATGGAATCAAGAAGAATGAAAGGACGGAGAGAATGGATAATGCGACTTGAATAATGGAGAAGCAAATCCATCAAATTAATTAATAGTATGTGAGTCACGAGGGGCAAAAGTTCCGATCTCGCTGCCCCTCACCGCCATGCCTGACCATGCAGGCATGCAGGCATACAGGCATACAGGCACCAAGGCATCCCGGCCGTTCGCGTCGTGTTTCTTTCCCCAAGTCCGGGTCCAGCCAAAAGGCAGCGTCGCACTCCGTCCTATTCTTATCTCATAATCTTACGGAAATTGTACTAAAGCCAACTAGCGGCTGACGTTGAGGCTGGCCATTTCCTTCTTCCGTCAGGTACGAGTACGGCTGCATCTGTCTCTCTCTTTTCTTGTCTCTTCCTTTCATGTTCTTGTACCAGTGTGATGGATTGATTTCTTTCCATCCATGCGGATGTTTATGAATGCGACTTTCATCCGTATTTTGAATCTCATCTTGTTAAAACCCACATTCGTTTTTTGACTATAATACTTGATCCAGAAGTTTATGGTGAAGGGGTTCTAAATTCGACCCCCTTTTATCATTTACTGCTGCATCCCCTGCATCATCATTTTTTCTTTTTTATCTCGTCCCCGACATTCTTCGCGCCGGGGAAACTTATACATAAACCATGATTCCTCACCGCAGCACGGCCCTTGTTACGATCATCGTCTTCGTCGCTCTCCTCCTGGTGATCTTCTCGACATCCCCGAGATCAGTGGACTCTGCATTGGTCGAAGAAAAGATCGCTAGTGCAGCCAAGTATGTCCCTCGCCCAAACCTTCCGTCTCTAAACGACTTCCATCTGCCTTCGTTTCGTCCTACCGTACATACGCCGCCGGAGTTGCAGCCGAACAGCACCAACGGCGATTCGAAATGGTTTACCAACTGGGCGTGGCTCAATCCCTTTTCCTCCGCCATTACACTGGACGAGAACCGATCTGTACTCCCTCCGCTGCGGCACCGGCCGTTCATTTACACCTACTACGAACCAAACAAGGGAAATGATAAGAACGAGGAGAATGCGGATGCTCAGCTGCTTCTTGCCTGGCGCCGAGCCTGGTTTGCTCAGGGGTTCCGTCCTATCATTCTCGGACCCGGGGAGGCGATGAACAACCAATTGTACGAGCTTGTGCAACCGTTGAAGCTTCACCACGATTTGGAATTGGAACTGTTCCGATGGCTCGCCTGGGGCCACATGGGTGATGGTTTGCTTGCCGATTGGCGCTGTTTCCCCATGGCGAGATACGACGACCCGTTGCTCTCGTCTTTGCGCCTGGGTACCGACCCGGCTTTCATCACTAGATTCGACCACATCAACAGCGCACTCTTTGCGGGCGAGAAATCAAGAATCAACGACGCTATCAAGGAAGCCGTCAAGAAGATTGACGAGAACTCCAAATCCATGTTGGACTTGGTACCCTCGGAGTTCTTCAGGAGCGAACAGGCAGGCTCGTTGGCCTTCTACGACTCTACGACCGTCACGACCAACTTTCCCGCGCTGGCTGAGCAGAGCGTTAAATCAGCCACCGCTGGACGACTCGCTCTGGTTGAGTTGATTAATTCCCATCTGCATAGCACCTTTCAAAACTCTTTCCCCGCCGGTATCGCTGTCCTGAAGCCCTTCCCGGAACACACCACTGCGCTCGTCGAACCCTCGCTGCGGCTTGCTAAAGCCCTGGCTCAATGCTCGAAATCCCCCGTGCCCTCTTCGTGCCCTCCCAACCTACAGACGTGCCACCCCTGCGAGTCCGCGAAGCCCATGCAGGTCAGTCAACCGGCGACTTATCGGAACACGACCCGCGTATTCACTATTGGAACTCTCCCGCATCCCTATACTCTTATTAGCTTGGAACAGAATTCTGCGGAGGTTACCACCCGACACGTTCGTCGCGAGACGGAGCGCGATAACTGGTTGAAGGCGGTCACTCAGGAACAGCTAGGACCTGAGCTGGGTGGAGCCTCGCGAGCCGTCGTTTTCAAGAAGGCCGTCGCCGATGACGGCGTTATCGGAACGTCGTTGTGGATGACGGTCGAGTCGATCCCCCCAGAGGCTGGCCAGGCTCTTCCGACTGCGCTGCTAGACGAATTGGAGTGGCAATTTGGATTTCGAATCCCGCGGACGGGGAAGGTGGATGCGAAGCACGAGGGCGACACCAAAGAGTCCATTCAACATTCCAACCCTAGCCTGGAGGGTGTCGAAAAGGAGTATGATCTTCTCCGAGTGTCTCGGGAGGTCATCAAAAGTAAGGAAACCAATCGGATCAACATCAAAGATGTGGCGGAGGCTTGGAACCTGGCGGATACTGAAGTATGGCGGTTTGTGAGGGCGTACCGGTTTGTCATCCCTGCATCTTCAGCCCTCATCTTTGCCCGAGAAGGGAGCTAACTGATATCTATATAGGGCACGCAGCGTTGTCGAACGAAAGAAGTGGGAGGAGGATGAGAAGGATTTCGTCGGGGCACGGGCCAAACCGTGAAGCATTGGGAGGTTTTGATCTATGTTCCTTTTCCACTTTCATTTTCCTGCCCATTTTTCTTTTTATGTTCTTCACTGAATGTAAAAGCCGAGCTGTATTATCATCATCATATCATTGGGAGCATCTGGACCGGCGTTTGACATGTGGCATCCACCCTTCTATCTTTTTATCTCGGGCACTCTGGGGCATCTCCAAGGGCACGTGCCATCTCTCGATGGGCATTACCTAATACCCGACGGGCGGCCAATCCGAGACGGGGGATTGACGCTGAATAGTGCCGTGGGTTTCCGCCTCCATCGGCCGGTGGCGATCCCCGCACATGGCGATAACGATAAGCCGGTCATCAGGGAGCTTTAAAGTTGCTTCCTCCTTCTCCTCCTCCTGCATGGATGCCCTACCTCTTGTTTATATATGACTTGTCTTTCTATTTCCTGTGAGGACTATCTTGTGTCATGATATCTGTCTTCTTCTGGAATCCCTGATCTTATATATATCCTACTCTCCCTGCGTTGGTTCCTACTATTTACATCATCTTGCTCGCCACCCTCCTTCCTTGGCAGGGACCGCGAAACTTTCGACCCTCAAGTTGAAGTATACACAAGATGGCTCCCGGCATCTTAGAGTCCCCAGCGACGGCAATAGTTCCCGAGAAGGTTGGCTCGCTGGTTCAGCTAACCGAGGACTGGGATGACACCATACGGTTCTATCTCAACGGCACTAAAGTCACTCTTGATTCCGTCAACCCAGAGCTTACGCTGCTGGAATATCTGAGGGGTATAGGCTTGACAGGGACCAAGCTAGGATGTGCAGAGGGAGGCTGTGGCGCTTGCACGGTGGTACGTTTAAGCTCACCTTTCCTCGGTATTGCCTGGTAACTAACTGATGGACTTGGATAGGTGGTATCCCACATGAACCCGACAACCAAGAAGCTCTATCACGCATCCGTCAACGCCTGCATTGCCCCGCTAATTAGTGTTGATGGCAAACACGTCGTCACAATCGAAGGGATTGGCAACGTGAAAAACCCCCATGCAATTCAGCAACGGTTGGCGGTGGGCAACGGAAGCCAGTGTGGGTTTTGCACTCCAGGAATTGCAATGGTGTGCTCCTCTCGGTGATAAATGCTACAAATTCTGTCATGGAATCTAACTCGCTTGATAGAGTCTTTACGCTCTATTACGGAGTACCCCCGAGCCCTCGGAACACGCAGTCGAAGAAGCTTTTGATGGGAATTTGTGTCGGTGTACGGGGTATAGACCGATTTTGGATGCTGCTCAGAGTTTCAAGGCAAAGTCTAATGGGTGTGGAAAATCAACTGCTAATGGAGGAGGTGGTTGTTGTATGGAAAAGCAGAACGGCGCAGGAGGATGCTGCAAGGGTTCGTCGAAAGACACGGCCATTGACCGAAATGCCCCCAAATTCACGCCCCCCGAGTTCATTAAATACAACCCCGAAACCGAATTGATCTTCCCACCTACCCTTCGAAAACATGAATACCGACCGCTGGCGTTTGGTAACAAGAGAAAGAGATGGTATCGACCAGTCACTCTGCAGCAGCTCTTGGAGATCAAACATGTTCACCCAGACGCAAAGATCATTGGCGGTAGCACTGAGACGCAAATCGAGATCAAATTCAAGGCAATGCAATATCGTGCGTCTGTCTACGTCGGTGATATCCAAGAATTGCGCCAGTACTCGCTGCACGACGACCACTTGGAAATCGGTGCCAATGTCTCTCTTACCGACTTGGAAACGGTTTGCGATGAAGCCCTGGAGCGATTTGGAGCTGTGCGAGGCCAGAATTTCACGGCGATCAAGAAACAGCTCCGTTACTTCGCAGGAAGACAGATCAGGAATGTAGCGTCGCCAGCCGGAAATCTGGCTACTGCCTCTCCGATCTCTGATCTGAACCCGGTTTTCGTTGCTACGAACACCGTCTTGGTTGCCAAGACACTTGGTGATGAGATCGAAATCCCTATGAGCCAGTTTTTCAAAGGGTATAGAACCACTGCGCTCCCCCCAAACGCCATTATTGCAAGCTTGCGCATCCCGACAGCGGCAGAGAGTGGTGAACACATGCGGGCGTACAAACAGTCAAAGCGGAAGGATGATGATATCGCCATAGTTAACGCAGCCTTACGCGTGTCGCTTTCCTCAACCAACGATGTGAAAAGCGTGAACCTCGTTTTCGGTGGCCTTGCTCCGATGACGGTGTCCGCGCGAAATGCAGAGGCTTTCCTAGTTGGAAAAAAGTTTACAAATCCTGCAACACTTGAAGGCACAATGGCAGCTTTAGAACAAGATTTCGATCTAAAATTCGGCGTCCCCGGGGGCATGGCGACGTATCGCAAGTCCCTTGCTCTTGGATTCTTCTACCGATTCTACCACGATGTTTTGGCCAGTATGGAGGTCAAGGATACGGATGTTGACCATGATGTCATTGCTGAAATTGAAAGAGCGATTTCTTCGGGAGAGAAAGACAACGAAGCGTCAGCAGCATATCAGCAGCGAATTTTGGGCACGGCTGGCCCGCATGTCTCAGCACTAAAGCAGACCACCGGAGAAGCTCAGTATACGGATGATATTCCCGTGCAACAGAACGAGAGGTTTGGCTGTATGGTTCTTTCGACCAAGGCACACGCCAAAATACTTAGCGTTGACCCCACGGCGGCCCTTGACATACCCGGTGTCTATGATTACGTTGATCACAGAGATCTTCCAAACCCGCAGGCCAACTGGTGGGGTGCTCCAAAGGCTGATGAAGTGTTCTTCGCTGTCGACAAGGTTACAACAGCAGGCCAGCCTATCGGTATGATCCTTGCAAACTCAGCGAAAATTGCCGAGGAGGGGTCGAGGGCTGTCAAGGTCGAATACGAAGAGTTGCCAGCGATACTCACCATGGAAGAGGCCATTGAGGCCCAGTCGTTCTTTGAACACTTTCGCTTCATCAAGAGAGGTGACATGGAAGGAGGTTTTAAGAAGGCTGACCACATTTTCACCGGCGTATCTCGCATAGGTGGCCAGGAGCATTTCTACCTGGAAACCCAGGCCTGCGTTGCCATTCCAAAGCCCGAGGACGGAGAAATGGAGATCTGGAGTGGGACACAGAATCCCACTGAGACGTAGGTACCCTCCTTGAATAATTGCGTTCGAAGTTCATTGCTGATTTCCGCTACAGCCAGACATATGTTGCGCGAGTGACCGGTGTGGCACAGAATAAGATAGTGTCACGTGTAAAGCGTCTTGGTGGAGGGTTCGGTGGCAAAGAATCACGATCTGTTCAGTTGGCAGGCATCTGCGCGACTGCAGCAGCGAAAACGCGATTTCCGGTCCGATGTATGCTCAACCGGGATGAGGACATTGCCACCTCGGGGCAACGTCATCCGTTCCTTTGTCACTGGAAAGTCGGGGTGACCAAGGAGGGCAAGATTCTTGCCCTAGATGCGGATGTATACGCCAATGGCGGTCACACGCAGGATCTCTCGGGTGCAGTCGTCGAACGGAGCTTGTCACACATTGATGGAGTGTATAACATTCCCAATGTTCATGTTCGCGGCCGCATCTGCAAAACAAATACGGTCTCCAATACCGCTTTCCGCGGATTCGGCGGTCCCCAAGGGCTGTTCTTCGCCGAGTGCTACGTCACCGAAATCGCTGACCATCTCAATATTCCCGTTGAGAAAGTTCGCATGGACAATATGTATCAACCTGGTGACACGACTCACTTTCACCAGGAATTGAAGGACTGGCACGTTCCGCTGATGTATAAACAAGTTCTGGAAGAGAGCTCGTATGCGGAACGGCGCAAGGCCGTAGAAGAGTACAACAAGAAACACAAATGGTCCAAGCGTGGAATGGCGATTGTTCCTACCAAATTTGGGATTTCCTTCACGGCCTTGTTCCTAAACCAAGCTGGAGCTCTGGTCCACATTTATCACGACGGAAGCGTTCTTGTTGCCCATGGAGGTGTCGAAATGGGCCAAGGGTTGCACACCAAGATGACGATGATCGCGGCCGAAGCTTTGGGTGTCCCTCAGTCCGACGTGTTTATTTCTGAGACAGCTACTAATACCGTCGCCAATACATCTGCCACTGCAGCTTCGGCCAGCTCCGACCTCAACGGTTATGCCATTTTCAACGCTTGCGAGCAAATCAATGAACGCCTCAAACCGTATCGAGAGAAGATGCCCGATGCCTCTCTGAAGGAGCTGGCACATGCGGCCTACTTCGACCGTGTGAATCTTTCGGCACAGGGATACTACCGCACCCCTGATATCGGCTACGTCTGGGGCGAGAACAAGGGTCAAATGTTCTTCTACTTCACTCAGGGAGTGACAGCCGCCGAAGTTGAAATCGACACCTTAACCGGCGACTGGACCCCTCTGAGAGCTGACATCAAGATGGACGTCGGACGCACCATCAACCCCTCCATCGACTATGGACAGATCGAAGGAGCCTACGTGCAAGGCCAAGGACTCTTCACCACCGAAGAAAGTCTCTGGCACCGTGCCTCGGGCCAGATATTCACCAAGGGCCCCGGCAACTACAAGATCCCAGGCTTCCGCGACATCCCCCAGATCTTCAACGTCAGTCTCCTGAAAGACGTTGAGTGGGAGAATCTGCGGACCATCCAGCGCTCTCGAGGCGTCGGAGAACCTCCCCTGTTCATGGGCAGTGCTGCTTTCTTCGCCATTCGCGACGCCCTGAAAGCCGCAAGGAAACAGTGGAACGTTCACGACGTTCTCAGCCTCCAGAGCCCGGCAACGCCCGAGCGGATCCGTGTCAGCTGCGCGGATCCCATCATCGAACGGGCACGTGTGAAGCCCCAGGAAGGAGAGAAGAGCTTCTTTGTGGAGATTTAAACTCGAGGACACTGTTTCTTTACCCTTTGGTTCTGATCGTTTTTATGCAAATGTGTGTAGGAAGGTAGGTATACGTTCACTACCATCACTTTCATGAATTACCAACCTGTATGCTGCATGAATCGCAGCCCCAGCGATAATTTGCGCCTGAGACTGCCTGTATTACCTTTTTTCTTGCAATATCTTTCTTGGCTGTATTTTCGGGACTTTTCTTGCATATTGGAATACAGCATATATCACTAGTTATTTGAAGCACTTCAGCACATTGGTAATGACTATATATAAACGATATCATGTCTATGAATTAATGTGACCATACATCTAGAAAATCAGGGGCATAAAGACGGTAATAGCGAATGTAACTCGTAAATGCTCAATTAACAGAATATGTAAGTTGCGACGACAGAAATATACGTGAAAAAATATGATATAATAACATCAGGCTAGAATAAACAAACAACACATGCGAAGAAAAAGAAAATAAAGCGAAAGGCTCATCATTTGAGATCAAACAGCCCGTTTCTCCATACCATATTCAACATAACTACTTCCTCGCAGCTCAACCCTTTCGTCCACCTTCAGCGCAGACCCATAATTCCTCTGGCCTGCAAAACCCAATTTCTCATCCTCGTACTGACTCAGCTCGTTGCTACTTCCGCTCGCAGCAGCGGAGGGAGAAGGTTCGTATTTCGGTGCCGGTTGGGCCCTCGACGCAGCATAGGGGTCGATGTTGTGAGCTTGAACATTCGGCATCGCCGTCAGCGGCACATCGATGAATCCGTTCTGGTCAGGAGAAGAATGGGATGCCGGCGCGCCACCGCCATCGCCGCGACTGCGCTCTCGTTTCCAAAACAGGGTCAAGGCGCGGATGAGGCCGAAGAGAACGTTGAGGAAATAGACGAGTAGGATACACGAGGCTATGATGGCTTCTGTGCGGATACCTTCCTCAATCTTCTTGATAACGCGGATGATCACCTCGGTGATCTTGTTCGAGGTCGAGTCCCCTGCGTCGGCGAGGAAGCTGGCATCGCCGTCGTTGCCGTCAGAAATACTATCCTGGGCACCGCGCGAGAAGATGTCTCCGGAAAGAAGCGGGAAGCTGAGGTGTGCATGGTCGTGGACCCAGGTGAGGGCCTTTTGTACGGATTCGACTTTCAAGCCGATTAAGCAGTGGAAGACGTCCTGCAGGGGGCCGATGAGAATGGTGTCGCCAAAAGTCTCGTTCAGGACGCCCATAGTCTTCTCAACAAAGGCGTCTAGAGTGTCGTTGACGGCGGTAGTGCTGGTGTTTACCCAGCCAAAAATGTTGGTGTTGAGGTCGTGGTTCATGTCGCCGATGACACCGTTAGCATCTTTAGCCCAGGTGGCGGAGGTGTTCTCAAGCTTGGTGACGACCTTCTCAGCAAATTGACCAACTTCGGTGGTAAGCTCCGGCACAGTCTTCTGAACAGCACGCAGTAGTATGAATTGACAGAGACAGGAGAAGAGACCGGCGATGGCTAGACAGAGAACGAAGAGGGCGGGCGTGGAAGTAGCGTAGGCCACGACCCAACGCACGAGGGTTTGTCGCCGGCTGTTACTGAACCGACTGGCAGCTTTGATTCCTGCGGCAGAGCTGTGAGGGCTGGAGACGATGTAAACGACGTCCATCGGGTCGTGGGCGTCCTTGCGCACGAGCTCGGAGCGTTCTTTCATGGATCGCCAGCGACGGATTTCGTACCAGGCGACTGGGAGACAGACCAACGTAGCGGCGAGCACGAGCACTGCAATGAAGATCTTGCGGGCCGTGTCGACAAGATTGGCGATGTTGTCAAAGAACGAGTTGATGCCGTTGTTGTCGTTGCAGAAGCTCATCTTTTCCTTCGCAGGCACGGGGAGGGCGGAGCGATCGAAAGTGTAGTTGCTCAGGGATCCATTGATGAGATGCTTGACTTCCTCGAAGGGTAAACGTATCATATCCTCGACGAATTTGCTGACTTCGTCAAAGGTGGGGATCGAGCCGTTGATTTTGTCGATGGTAGAATTTATGGACCCTGGGAGCTTGAGATTGGAGAGTTTATCGATATCGTCGCCGAAGTCAATTTTGGGGATGGCATTTCCTCCTCCCAATGCACTCGTGACGGAGTTGACGCCCTCCGAGAACTTATCGACAGCGCTCTGGAACTTTTGGCCTGCCTTCTCGATGTCGTCTCCAATCGACGTGAGGGTAGAGTTCAAGAAGTCGGTAACGTCCTGTACCATGCTAAGGGCAACGTGGGCGCTGCCCCGGACGACCATCGTGAACAGGCAAAGATAGGTTTGATACATGACATTTATAAAGAAGATGACGAGCTCCTCTACTCCTGTGAAGGTGAGCATGAGCATTGTCTTTAGCCCGCTAACGGCTGCCTCGACCGAAGAGGCCGTCATCTCATTGACTCCCCGCGAAAGGTAATGGGGCATAGAAGCCATGGAGCTGCCCATCGACTCAACAGAGGTACAAGCCGATAGGGCTTCACGTTTGGCACCGTCCATGTCTGACCGCACGCCCGCAGCGGCTATTAGGACTCGTGCCAGGACCAACAACAATAAGATTGTCCATCGATTCATCCAAACCTGGGACAGACGAGCCCGCAGGCCGAGGTAGGGTGTCATCCCATCTGGGTGTAGTATTACACGCCCGGGGCCACGGTTAGGATCGTGGGCTCCATATGGCGGAAGCAAGGGAAAGATCGACCGGCCTGGCCTTGAGAAGAGCATGTTGGAAGGAAAAGGTAGGATATGTGAGATGAGATTATAACAGAAGAGAGAAAAGAAGAGCGCCTATTGGGCGATTCTCAAGATGAATCAATCCGAGAACGAAAACAACTTTTGTGGGGGAAAATGAAAATGAAAGGCGACGTCTTTGACAAAGGGCTGACCGGCAGCAAGTGTTATTCTAAGATCAGTAGAATCCAATGATTGCAAGAAGGGTGTAGGCCATATTCAAATGTATGCGATAGTATAGAGAAAGAAGATAATCCACTGGAAAGGGACAGAATGAAATGAAATGAACGTGTAGGTACAAACCCCAGAAAAGTATGGAAACAGATCTCAATAAGACCAAATCCAAAATAAAGGTAACAACCCACCTTTATGACCAAAAGAACAATGGGCCTTCAAGCAAACAAGCGTTAGGCCCACAAAGTGAATGCAGCCAAATCCCAGCAGACAGGAACAAAAGCAACCATTGAGGGAATTGAGCATTGATCCACTTCGACATCGTGAATGCCTAAAATAAACCCTGACTGAATCATCTGCAATGACTCCGTTTCATCTGGTGCGATCCATTTATCGGCATCATCTTCTCAGTGGTTGTCTTCAGGGCGCCTAGCAGGGCCAAATATAGCCTCTCAAGATCGGCGCTTAGCATGCTGCGATGGTGGTTGTTCTGTAGCTTCGCTGTTCTCAGGCTCCATTGTCTGTGCACTTGTTTGAACCATTATGCCATTATTCTAAATAAAAACAACAGGCCCCACAGTCTGGTGCGAGGGAAGTGGGAAGCATGTTGATGAATGGTTCTTTGTTTGGCACTCCTGCAGTGTTTCTTGTTCCATTTGGCGCCGGGACGCTAGAGATTGAATAGTGGCCTAAGACTTGATTGGATTAGAACGATCGGTAGTTTTTTTATTAGTAATTAGCTTGAGAGGATTAACTGCCTCTGGGAGATAGGAATTGTTGATGGGTGATGGAGGGAAAAAGATGAGTGAATTTGCAAGAAGGAGAAAGGAGGAGAACGTGACTCTGTCTCACCCTTTCCCATTTGGGTGCACAAGGACAAGCCCCACACGTGACTGTCATACAACTTGGGCGCCTATGGTCAGCCCTAGAATTTGGTGGGGTGCGGTAATGGTCTGTGTGGATACCCCTAGCGGACTTATGATGCCGTAAAATGGAGGCCAGAACAATGCCCTTATCGGCAGGTCATGTGAATCCCGCGCATCCGCAACTTTCCCCGATTTGTCGCGACAGGGAAATCCTCCGCTCTTCTCCAAAGATCACAGCGACTCGAGTCCACCACCATTCTCCCTAATGCATTCAATGCGCCTCGCCAGCAGGCTTCCCTTCGCGTTTACAGCGGCGCCGCGAGCCCCAACCATCGCGCCATGGCGAACCCCCAGCAGCGGACACGTCCCATCGCAAAATCATGTACGCACTTTACCTTATCGTCCAGCCCAGACCTAAGCTCCAGCTCAAGCTCACCACACCCCTCCTTGCTATCTAATAGAATCAAACCCCTCTTCTATTCACCTCGCGCCGTCAATTCTCCCAAACATCACCCACCTTCTCCTCTCCCTTCCGCCTATCCACCAACAATGGCCCCGCCGAGCACTCCTCGCCATCGCAGGCCGAATACGAAATAAACGACCCCAACGACCCGCTCTCCCAATACAGCCAATACAAACCGAAGCGCCAATGGCCCCCTGACATGTCCAAGCTCTCCCCGAAACACCAGTTCCGGCTGGAGCGCAAGTACCGGCGGCGCGCGGCGTTGAAGTTCGCCCGCCCGAAGTGGATGAAGGCGACTAAGTTGGTGCAGTGGGGTGTTATAGGGTGTAAGTGCTTTTCCTTGCTTGGTTGGGTTGGGTTCGCGAGGGAATGTATATGCTTGTATGTGGAAATGATACTGACTGTTGGTATAGTTGTCCTGGTATATGCGTTGCTCTTTATGGAGTGGGATGACAAGGGAAGTCCATTTGACGAGGTGAGTTCTCTCTGGCTTTCTCTCTCGTGTGAGATAATCGACTGCTTTTATTGGCCAGCACGCTAACTTGGCGCAGTTCCGAAGGACTTTCTTCGCCGGTGTCAAGGGCGCCTTCTCGACTCCTCCCCCTCCAGGACCAGTCCGGAAATCCGACGACACGACAACCAAGGAGCAGTAGAATATATGATACCACCACTCAACCAGGCTGTCATTAAACCGACGCATACTGTACATTACCATGACTCCGCTGTACACTCATATTATTGAAGATGGTCCAAATAATTATCTACACCCAGAATATCAATTCATTCGTCTGTCGTAACGGGGCGGCTCTGAAATACAACGCATCTGTCCAAAAAGAATGATGAAAAAAGCATTTCTGTGTGACATGCACTGGCAAGGAAGAACAAGGAGGAAAAGATAAAAGCTGAACAATCATGATGGTGTGGCCCCGTTCCGTCATTAAGTCATTTCGCCGTGGCCGTGAGGCAACAGGTAGATGATGCACCCAAAACTCCCAAATATAAACGCCGTCCGATACAATACTCCAGAGAAAAGGACTGAGCGGGGGAAATGGGATAGATACCCAGCAATAAACGAGAGAAAATGTGCGAGTGAAAATAAGGGTCCACAGACCACAAACGCCGGTTCATGATCATGAAAAGATTCGACAGAGGGGGCCAATAAAGAGAACGTCAAGAATGGGATAGGCTTGGTGCAGAAACTGCTGCAAGAATTCAGAGGTACGGCCATGGGAAGGCACGGATTGAACATGTTTCAGGACCTAAATCCAATTGCCAACCGGGTCGTTTTTAGGGGACGCTCGACTGTTGGCTGGGAGATCCAATGCGAGTTCCAGCTTGGGAGGCCTTTCATCCACAAGACCCTTGCGTGGACTCCCACCAGCCGCCTTGAGCGGTGATTTGGTCGGGGATCCTGGCTCAGGTCGAGGAGGACCTTCCCGCACTGCTAGATATGGCCATCCGTCTTCAACGGCGGCAGCAACCCAGGTGCGCAGGCAGTCGTGCACCGAAAAGTAGAACTTCTCCTTGCAAATTCTCAAACTGCCTCCCATGACCTTTTCGAAGCCAGAAGCGCGCAGCTCAGCTCGAAGCTGGTTTCGTTCCTCGCATGTCGGAAGGGATGCAACGAGCCCATTCAAGAGATCTATATGCGCAGCCAGATAGTTCGTGGCATCCCATTCCACTCCTCCAACATAGGGAGCGGCGGGGACTGGTGGTCTAGGCACTGGAAAGTGACGTTCTCGATAAGTAGCGGAGGGGGTGTCGGCCTGCACAATGGGGATCACGTTCAAGTGATGCAAGAATATCCAGAACACTTCTTTAGTGACATTGCTAATCTCCTTGCACCAGACTCGGTACGGGCGTGTTTGGTAGATGTTGGCAATGAATGATAGGGGCTGGTTCTCTTCCGGGGGAGTGGGATCCCGCAGATACGAGAGAATTCGATGAGCACGGGAGGCTGCGTCTGAGCCGGAAGTTGCGGTAGAGAGCTGGGTAAAGATAAGGTTGATGATGATGCCACGAGTGGTGAATTCACTCGGGCCCTTCTTTTCCTCGTCGAAGATCATTTTCAGAAGCGCCGGAAAGAGCTCGGCCTCGATCTCAGTGAGCAGCTGGAGCGCTACCGATGTCGTGCACAGAGCTTTCAAGCACAACAATGTCTCATGGAGGAGAGCGTCCTCGTGCTCTTCCCTATAAATTCGTGAGTATGAGTGCCGGATACCCGAATTAGAACAGGACATACCTCCACTCCACCTTCATGATCCTGTATAAAAGTCCAACAATCTCATCCATGCCGCCGTCCGCAATGAACGTATCAACCCAGCTGACGGTCTCGTTTCGCAAAAGAATTCGCAGCTTGTGCACCTTGCCGACCTCGATCATCTCCGGCTTCTGAATTTCCTTCAGGTAGTGCACAAAGTCGGATGGGTCAGCGGCAGTGTCCCGCGAAAGTGACGTCTGGGAAGCCGTTGGGGTCATAATCTTGTAGATTCCCGTGGGCTGAGAAAGGTCCACAGACTTGGGTCGACGATGGGAACTGAAACTCTCGGGCCGTTGTTTCTTTGGGGACGATGTTCCCTTGGAAAAGGAAAACCCGCGACTCCTGGATCGCGATCGAGATCCCTTTCCATCCTGCGCCTGCTGGTCTGCTTTTTGCTCCTTTCCGCGACCCCGACGGCCAGTACTGTCGTTGGTATATAAACTGGCGCTTGCACTATGTGGCGTGTTGCTTTCCGCCTTATCCTTCTGGATGAAATCGGCCTTGATGTTAGTGTCCAAAGACCGCATTTTGTCTCTCATGTTGTGAGGAATGTTTCTCGCATCCTGAGGAATGAAGTTAGTCGGCTTTGCAGAATATTGAATTCGGTAAAGGATGCTAACCAAAAGCTTTTCAAACTCGCTCTCGAGATCCTTGGAGTTGAGCCGTCTTTGCAGATCAGCCTCTTGCTCTTTAGCATTGAACGCCGAGATTGCGGCCTGGACACGGGAAACCCTCTTGGAGCTTTGTTCTCGCTTCTGCTCGGCCTCTGGGCGCGAGTCAGATTTCGATAGCCCACGAGATCGTCCTCGTCCTTTGGAGGAAACCGGTTCCGGCTGGACTTTGGGGGGCGCTCTGTCAAAGGCCATGTTCTGGGGCGATGGGAGCAATTCCTTCGCCTTGCGGTTTCCCGCAAGAAAGTCTGACTTTGGTCGGGGCTTCGGATCCGTGCGGTTCGTGAGCGATGGCTGATGGTAGTCGTGGAAATTACGCTGGTGTGCCGGCCCGTAGCCCTGGGGAGTGTATAGTGAGACCTCTTCCTGGAATGTTCGGCGCCTGTTCGCAGAATCTGGGATTTGCGGTATGTCGTGAAACGAGCCTGCCTGGAATTGACCCCAGATCGGAGAGGGCATGCTGTCGACCAAGTCTGTAGGGCTTCGATTCTCCTTGTCCCGAGTACTTCTGGCGCCGTCTGCTTTTCTTCCCCGCTGGGATCGCTTCAAGATGGCTGACAGGCTGTTGGCTGACTTAGCTTTCTTCGGTTTCAGGTCTGTGGACTCGTCTTCCAGCGACTCCTCCGTTTTATGGTCCCTGCGTTCCATGTAGCTCTTCAAGGACTTCAGCGACACAGCACTCTTCGTTTTCTTGTGTAGTCCGGTCTTCTCGTGTTTGTCGGGCGATTTCTGGCGCGTAGAGCCCGCTTCGGCGGCATCGCGATTCGGCGCGATCTCGGCCAACGGGTGTTGGTCCATTACACCATAAGATTGGTCTACCGGGGAGGCGTAGGAGTCGCCCGATGGCTGACTCCTATGGGAGGCTCTCGGCGAGAACGCTTCGTCGGCGGAGCGATTTCTCCGATGAGCTTTGGGAGACAGTATTGATCTGAAGACGGATTTGGTAGGAGAACGGGTGGCATCGTCAAAAATATTCGGGCCTTGCATGCTGGGAGCCATATCTTATCACCTTTAGCCGGAAACTGATGGGTTGCGCAGTCAGTATACAATCTGAGACAGTCGCCGGGAGAGTAGAGCCGATGACTTACGGTAAGAAAGTCCCGATGCGACAGCAGGCAACTCCCTAGGAGAAGAAAAGGAACGAAGACGAAGCGACAAATACAAAATAACACCAACCACAAGTATCTAGAAAAGCAAAACAGAAAGAACGCCTCGAAGAAACAAAGGCATCGAGGTCAAAGAGATCAGGTGTGGAGAGAAGAAGAAGAAGAAAAAGGACGGTAGTAAAGCAGGAAGACGCCTACAACAACAGCAACAGCAACCACCGGAGCAGGCGACAAGTGGGAATTCCGGGAATTTGAAGGCTTCCAGAGCGACGGAGGTCGAGCAGGCGGCGTAATTCCCACCCCAGGCTAAACTCATCTGACAACGGCCTTTCCAAACGGCCGGAGATCGCCCGTAAAGGGTGTAAACAGAGTGCGGTCATCGGCGTTGCCAGGGGCAACCAGCTGTGGAAGGTGAATCCTGCATGATATTTATTATCCATCCATTGATCGCCCGTGGCTATGATGTATGCCGGTTTGGAATTGCATCCTGCGAACAGGTTTATATCCATCAATCTGCTGCGTGCAAGGCGTCGGAATTGATGTGTCTATCAGATGGTTGTCGGGTCTAGACGTGATATACTTATCCGTCCCATCATAGTTCACGATCCACCGTGAGACAACACTTTCTAATTACCATTCCTAGCGGAATGATGACTTGTAGTTATGGTAACCTTTTGCCACTCGGTAGTGTCTCTACAGTAAAAGTCCGTACAATGCATCCATGCGAGTCCAGGCGGGACTGGGCATGCCCCATGTTCTAGAAATATACTTCCGTATCATGGTCATTATCGACAGGTCGGATTCTCGTAAAAACACAGCATGCTTTCCGCTGGACGCATGAATCCATGAGGCCATCTGATAAACTGCCCCTCTCTTGATAAACAGTAGACATGTACTCTGCAGTAAGGGCGACAAACAAACAAACACAGGGATGGACGTCACGGGATGCCAAGGCAGATCGGCTTTCTTGGTCATTCTTGGTCGTGGGGTGGAGGGGAGCTTCTTCCTTGGGAGACATTGCTGGCTCTTTCTAGTCCTTTAAATGCTCTAGAATCCTCCCTGTATATCGATGCTCAACTGTTCAGTCTCTCGGGTTGATCCTGGTGGTTTATCAGTCTCCTCCCCCGCCAGCTGTCACTATGAATAACGTGACGATCCTGCCCACCGGGGCAAAGTTCCTTCGGCTAGAACAGTCCACCCCCGAGATGCGTCATGGCTACCGAATTCTGGACCACGACAACCCTCATCGATTTGGTTCACGACCTCTCTCCGCCCTATCATCGAACATTAATCACCGTCTGGACACCTTGATTCCGACAACCCCGGAGATTCTGACCAGATAGATCATATCTACAGTCTGCAGTGGAACCCGCGTGCGCCGCCGTAATCGGGCAGTTTCGGGCATTTCTTCCCGCGGGTTTTCGAACGTGGCATTGCGAGTTCGACCTGACTACACCGACGACACAAATATCAAATCGAGGTACACGGTCCGTGCAGGTGTTCCACTGTCTGTACAAAATACTCCGACAGAGCGATCTGTGACCGCCGATCGCCATGAACTGTCCCTCTAGAACGGACGATGACCTCGAACACCCCGATTGGAACCAGAACCCGCCGGCGCTGAGTGCCGATGAAACCACTCGAAATAACCTGAATGGCATTGCGAACTCGAAAGTACATCGGAGACATGCCCCGGGCAATGGAGGAATCATGGGGGACGGATTGACGGCCATCGAGCCTCAACCGTCCGGTCTAGATCGCAACGAGCCCGCGTCCGAGAAGAAGGGCCCCGGCGAAGTGGTCTCTGCCGCCTTGGGGTTTCAACCTCCCAAGGCGGACAGCGGATCACCTCGCCGTTCTTTCAAACAATCCATTACCTCGTCGACTGTGCATCTCGCCCAAAGCATTGTCAAATTTGCCCGCTTTGTGGGCCCGGGTTTCCTGATTGCTGTTGCCTACATCGACCCGGGAAACTATGCTACCGATGTGGCTGCAGGTGCCGAGTTTCGATACGCCCTTTTGTTCATCGTCCTTCTTTCCAATCTGTTTGCCATTTTTCTGCAGTCGTTGTGCATCAAATTGGGCACGGTGACTGGGCTGAACCTCGCGGAAAACTGTAGAGAGCATCTTCCTAGGTGGCTGGTCATTATCCTGTACATCTTTTCCGAGGCGGCCATTGTGGCCACCGATATTGCAGAGGTAGGCTGTTCTTCTCGGCTAGTACTCGAGAACATGTCGCTGATCTCTCATCTCAGGTCGTCGGATCGGCCATTGCGCTCAACCTTCTGCTCAAGATCCCTCTGGTGGCTGGATGTGCAATCACACTTGCTGATGTTCTCTTTATTCTCATCTTCTACCGACCTAGTGGCGCAATGTGGGGACTACGTTTATTCGAGTTTTTTGTCATGGCCTTGGTCCTGGGCGTAGTGATATGCTTTTGCATCCAACTATCTCTCATCAAAGAGCAGCCCATTGGGGCTGTCTTCCGCGGCTTTCTGCCCTCTTCGGCCATTGTACAGTCACAGGGGTGAGTCGAGTCACCCCAATAGTTAAACCAAGCGAGTCTCTAACATTCTGCGTGCTCTTAGCTTGTACCAAAGCTGCGGTATCCTCGGTGCCACAGTCATGCCGCATTCCATGTTCCTCGGTAGCGGGGTGGTTCAGTCACGTTTGAAAGAATTCGACGTTACCCAAGGCTACGTGGATCCATCGGTCTGTTTGGGCAGCACGGGCGGAGAGGTGGAATACAGGCCATCGCTCCATGCCATCCGGGGCTGCATGAAGTATTCCATCATCGAGCTTACGCTGTCGCTGTTTACCTTTGCGCTGTTCGTGAACAGCTCGATCCTCATCGTTGCCGGTGCCTCGCTCTACGGAACGTCTGGAGCCGACGACGCGGATCTGTGGGGCATTCACGATCTTCTCTCGAAATCTATCGCTCCCGCTGCCGGCCTGGTCTTTGCGCTGGCCTTGCTTCTCTCGGGTATCTCCGCCGGAATTGTCTGCACCATGGCGGGACAGATGGTCAGCGAAGGGATGTTGAACTGGAGCATTCGGCCCTGGCTGCGCCGGCTGATCACCCGGTCGGTCAGCATCATCCCAAGTATTATCATCGCCGGGGCCGTGGGCAAGGAAGGGCTGGACAAAACGCTCACGGCCAGTCAAGTGGTTTTGAGTGTCATTCTACCCTTCGTGTCCGCCCCATTGATCTACTTTACCTGCCGCAACCGGTTCATGACCGTGCCCGCCGATCGGATCAGCTACGGCCAGAACCCAGGCGACCCGGTGCCGGAAGAGGGCGTGAAGATGAGGAACAACATTTTCGTGGCGGGGATTGCCATCATCGTCTGGTTGATCATCGTTGTGATGAACGTAGCTTTGCTGGTTCTTGTGGGACTCGGCAAAGCCTCCTAAGAGACACACTGTAGACCGGGGACGAAGGGCTGACTCACTCTGTTGCTAGCAGAAGGCGTAGTTCATGGGACGGAAACAGATAAATTACAGACTAAGGTATACATAGTAGGTCGATCGTTGAATGAAATGTAAGCAGCGTGGCAGTTATGGTTTCAATAAATGACAAGGAAACAAAAAAGAGATAGAAATGAAAACTCCGATGCTGTCCATGCTCGAATCAAACTCCAGATGATCATAATAACCCTCGATCAGAAAGATAAAACAAGAATCAAAAGCACCATTAGCCCAACCCCCCAGCCGGCTCCTTAACCTTAGTTTGCTCCGGAGGCTCATCAATAAACTGCGGCGGAGCCACCTCATCCTGCAAGAAACTCGGCATAGCGCTCTCCCCCATCGAGCTCTCAAACAAGGTATCCTCACCCAGCGCCTCCAACTCGGCATCGAGGTCCGCCTCATCCACATCCTCCGGCACGTCATAGGCCCGCGAGATACTCTCCTGGATCTCATTCCCGACATCCATCAGATCGGCCATCTCGTCCTGCATGCGCTCGATCTTATCGATGTCGATCTTGCCGTACTGCTTCTTCAGCGTGGTCGTGGTCGTCTTCATCGCGTCCACCGTCGTCATCACGTTCTTCAGGTTATCCTGCATCATGCCCGCCTGCTCCATGTTCCAGGATTGCTGCGAGAGCTGGTCCCGTTGCGCTTCGTATTGCTTGCGGCGCTGCAGCACCTTGAGCGCTTTCTGTCGGAGCGCGTTCTTGCCGGGTCCGTCGCGCATCTTGGAGATCTTGGATTGGTAGGTTGAGAGCTCGGAGTTTAGGGAGGCCAGCTTGACGTCGATGCTGGCGATGCGGTTGTCGACCTGGATGTGGGGGAAGAGAGAAAAGGGTTAACCATTGCGGGGTTCATTTTTTGGGGGGTTTCCTCTTTTGAATGGGTTGGAGTTTCCGATGCGGAGCCTGAGGGGTTTAGAGGGACTTACGCCGGAGATGGCACTGTCCAGCGTCGGCTTGGGAGCCGAGTTCTTAGTTCCAAAGAGCCGATTCATGTTGCTGGAGTTGGAGTTGGGGTTTAGACGGTGAAGAGAGGGGAAGCGAAGATGGAGACGGGATGTAGCTAGCTAGTCTTCGCTAGTTGATAGGTAACTATGTTGTAGACTAGGACCGTATGGCGCAGTACCTAGGTAACCGGGGTGGCCACCGTTGCCTAGATCTGACGAGGAGGATCTAGAATGGAAAGAAATTGATTTCATGTGACTTCGGAAGTTATTCAAAAGAGTGTGCAGACTGAGGGATCGAGATCAATGCTCGACAGGAAGAAAGCGAGGGGAGATGACTATCTTGTCTGGGTCTTCCCCACGAAGGCGACACCGCTGCACGTGATCAACAGCCGCGGTAGTAGATGGGATCCCAAAAAGGAGAGAGACGATGGCAGATAATGATAGAAAAGATCATGAATCATGGATTCCCTGGCAGGCAGTTTGATCATCTGACAGGATCAGCAGCAACACGTGTGACGGGGGATGTGCCAGTTCGAACCATTATGGTGTACGAGGTAAGTTAACCGCTGAGGTCTCCGGTACTTGTTCGTCCACCTTGGCGGGTATGGCCAGTGCGGTACCAGATACCAGGGAACAGAACAGCCTCGTGCGGCGGCAAAGGTCAATTCTCGTGGTTCCGTTGATTCAGGAATCTACACTGTAGGTTGTCGCCTGAAACCTCCTTCCCCAGAGTCTGAAACGAATTCTTCCTCATTCATATCTTGAAGACTTGAGCGGAGAGACTCGACCCTCAATCTTAGTCAACAGGACCCTCTTTCTCCCTCTTCCCCCCCCCCCTCTTTCGCGTATCTTCTTTTTTCTGCCCCCCGCCGTCAGGCTTGTTCAAGTTGGGTATTTCCGCCAGGATCAAACAGTCAAACTTGCCGGCCGATCCAGACGCAGCCGCCAGCCAGCGCAACGACTGAACTCACCGATCATCCTTCCTCTTCTTCTCCCTCTCGCCCTTTCCTCTTCACCTGACTCTCCACTCTTACTCTTTCCTCCTTCTCAATAGTTACCACCATCTCTACCGGCTGACAAACCCGTCACCGACCGACAACCGGAGGCTCTGACGCAGACCTCCCAAACTGCCGACGGGCTGGATTTCGCCTGTGCACCCTAAACAGCCCGTGCCTCTGACGACCACTTGGTCTGTTCTCATCTCCCCATCTCAATCAGGAGTTTGGCACGGTCTCCCCTTCTTTGTCATTCCCTTAAGGTCTTGAAGGTATGGTCTTGATCTATTTCCCTGTTTGGTATCTGCGGTTGTTGGTGGCCATATCTCAACGGCGTACCCCCCTGATTTACGTGCTTGTCGATTCCCACATGGCTTCTTCGGCGCCTCTGATGCCGATCGGAGTTAGTCGTCTTCAAGACCAACTCGCCTGCTCCATCACTACGACTTTGTTTTTGATATCTTCGGAACTACTTGAGATCGCATTGCTAACGTGCTGGTTTCTAAATGCAGCGCTAGATCGCTCAGACCGTATTCAATTTGTCAACCATTCGCTCTCCTTTCCTCGTCATCCCCCTTCATCCGATTTGTTTCAGACGACTTGCCTATGACGACTGGGCCTTCTTGGAAATTCACCCTTTCTCACCCACCTCGAAGATCCGAATCGCCCCCGTGTCCTGCTTGCGCCTGGGTGTTGTCCCGTATAGAAGAGTAACCTTGCCCGCAGGAACTCGGTGAACGGCCCGCCGCGCACACGCAAAAGTGCTTGTGATACCCCGACCTTTTCTTCCTTTTCTTTTCCTTTTTTCCATGAGTCATTTCGCCCAACTATATAATTCATCATGTTTTGGCGTTTCGGAGGATATGCAAGTATCTCCAGCATTGATACCCTGCTTGACAAACCCCACGTCAGCCTCGAGGAGCTGTTGGACGAGTCGGAGCTGATCCAGGAGCTCAAGCAACACAATACGAAGCTCATAGAGTATTTACGAGATGATAATGTCTTGAAACGTCTTATGGACTATGTGATCGCCCCGAGTCTGGTGAACGACGATGATGAGGATGAACCCGACGACAGTAATGCTGCGCCCGCGTCGAAGGACGCTTCCGCCGAGGAGGAGAAGCGGGGTGATCCGCTGAAGGACCTTCTGGGCCCGGAGGATCTGGACAAGGCGGAGAAAGACCGCCTGAAGAGAGCCTACGTTGCCTGTGAGATCCTCTCGTCGGAGATCTGGTCGATACTCGAGTCGATTATGCTCAATCCCGGCTACCTTCGGGATTTCTGGGGTTTCGTGAGAAGATCGCCGCCGTTGGATTCGGTCCAAGCGAGTTACTTCACGAAAGTAAACGAGACCCTGTTTGACAAGAAGACGAGCGATATGCTCGAGTTCTTCAAGTCGCTGGATGGCATCATCCCCGCCATTCTACAGCATGTGGACAATCCGATGGTTATGGACCTTCTACTGAAGATCATTAGTCTCGAGAAGGCGGAAGGAGGCCAGGGGATCGTTGATGTAAGTTCATGGGCGACCGAAAAGGCGATAGTCGATCGAAGTGGCCACTGACACCCAACTTCTAGTGGCTGCAAACGCAAGACCTCATACCAATCCTTCTCTCGTTCCTGTCCACCGATCGCCCGGCATCGGTTCAGACCTCGGCGGGCGATTTCCTCAAGGCGATCATCACCATCTCTGCGAATGCTACGCAGAATGACCAGTCGTGTATTGGGCCCAACAGCTTGACCCGCCAGTTAGTCTCTCAGTCATGCGTGGAGAGTCTCATCAAGGCCATGCTCCAGGGAGGAAACCCTTTGACTGTTGGCGTTGGTATTGTTATTGAGGTGATTCGAAAGAACAACTCCGACTATGACCCGGATAATATCAATGGTCCCGACTCGATGCCAACCACGTACGACCCCATCTATCTCGGGAACCTCTTGCGGCTGTTCGCAAAGCACATCCCGGATTTCATGGCCCTCATCCAAAGCTCGAAGCACACTGTCAGTGATGGCGGGGAGGTCAAGAGCGTGGAACGAGGCCGGCTCACGTCAGCCTGGGGTGCTAAGATTGAACCGCTAGGATTTGATCGCTTCAAGACTTGCGAGTTGATGGCCGAATTGTTGCACTGCAGTAACATGGGTCTTTTGAACGAGCCGGGTAGCGATGAGTATGTGCAGCAACGCGATGCTGAACGTGAACGACTGGTCCGGGAGGGTGTTTTCAACCCGCATCAAGAAGGCTTTGGTTTCGACGGCAATGATTCGACCGCTGATTTCGTCAATGGGTCGATCCTCGGCGATGTTACCGCAGAAGACTCCAAGGTGCTCGAGTCCTCGGCGAATACCGGTGAAGATGGATTTGAAGATGTGAGCTCCTCCGGCGTCCTTGTTGATAAGGAAAAAGATGCGTCCGATGAGAAAACCCCCAGTGCTCAAGAACCGGCATCTCAGAACACAACTTCGCAGACAGAAGAAGAATCTTCCTCGGCTTCTGAACAGGCTACAGCCAAGGCACCGGGAACTAAATGCCAGGACCAAAAGGATACAGCCACCACAGACACGACCAAAACGAACACACCTCCTTCCGACCCAATGTCACCTACAGCATCAGGGCTCACAGACCGCATCGGAGAAGTATCCCTTGACAGCCAATCCCCCAAGGAAGCATCGCCAGAGATGAAGTCTGAGGAAACGACAACCGCGCCTCAAAGCGAACAGGGTCAGGAACCGGCGTCCGCCCCCATGGCATCCAACCCCGAGGCCGTGCCGCCGCCTCTTTTTGCTGCGAAGTCTCAGAGTCCCGAAGAAAACACCCCGAGTCCTGATACTGCTGGCCAGGTCGGCGATGCTTCGGGTCCGGCAGAGTCTGCGCCGCAGTCTACATCTCAGGAAACCGAGGAGGAATTCCAGCATCACCTGCACCCAGACGTCCAGGTTGACCCCAGTGGCCGGCCAGTTGTCGGTGATTACCTGAAACTCATGTTTGTGAAGAACCGGGTTGTCCCCACGATTCTGGTGAGTCTCTGGGAAATGCTTTAGCGTTTAGATTTTTTCATATGCTGACCACGTGCTACAGGATTTCTTCTTCCGTTTCCCTTGGAACAACTTCCTTCACAATGTTGTGTATGATGTTATACAACAAGTCTTCAATGGCCCCATGGAGCGTGGATACAACCGAGCGTTGGCTGTCGACGTGTTTGAAACCGGCCGGATAACCCAGGAAATTGTGGATGGCCAGAGAAGAAGCGATGCCGCACAGCGTGCCAAGAAGATCCGACTTGGATACATGGGTCACTTGACGCTGATTGCTGAAGAAGTTGTCAAGTTCAGCGAGCGACACCCGCCGGAGTTGTTGTCTCCAACTGTGATGGAGCATGTATTGAATCCTGAGTGGATTGAATACGTCGAGCAAACCCTGTCCGAGACTCGTGAGCGTGACAACGCCATCCTCGGTGGAGTCCGCCCTGACATGTCGGTTGGAAGTCGCCAGGGCATGCTCAACTCTGGTCAAAGCATGAATGCCTCTTCCGCCCTTGCTGATGCCGGCCTCAACGGGGCAGCTGGAGGCTCCAACTTCCAGGGATTTGATATGAACCAGGGTAGTGTGTCCGGCGGAGCGTTCGGTCTTGGTGCCGGTGGCGGCAGTTCTCTTCTTAGCGGATTTGCTAGCTCCAGCGATGACGACGAGGACGAGGAGATGGAGGACCAAGAAGATAGGAACCCGGGCGAACAACCTGCCGAAGGCAGTTCTGAAAATGTGGGTGATGATTTCTTTACTGATGTTGACATGCACGACCCATGATGATGATGTTGATGTTGATGACTTGCATTTTCTCTTTTATCTCCCCCTTTCGCATTCTGTTCACATCCCCCAAAGAACTCTCCGTCCCTCCGTTGTCTAAAGCTTCTTAACCAATCTCAGCATTCGTCGTTGTTATCTTCCGGTCCAACGGCTGAGGAAGGGATGGCACATGATCAATGACGGGGAGTGGTGGAGGTTCTCCAGGGATCACTTCATTGAGCGTTTGGCTTAAAGCGCCTTGCATTTACGTTTGGATCTATCCATCGAAATCCCTGCTCTCCCCGACGTCGTGTGGCACTTTCCCTCTGGCATTGTTCTCCTTTTCTTCTTCATAGTCATATAAGTAGTCCCTTGGCTTCCTCGCCATGGTGATGACATTGCATTTGTATACATGAAGCATTGCATTCCTCGTTCTCTTTGGGGTTTTTCCTCTTTTCTTTGTTTCTCTTTTGTTCCATGCTGTATAGTTATTGCTACACTTGCATCCCCAATATACCCAAAAATACATTTGTTGCAGGAGTAACTGACTGTTTTAAAACCAAATAGGCCTCCAGCCAGCCTATTCCCATTCTTCCTCCGCCCCCGGCTCCTTTGAGTCTCGGTCCGTCTCGAGCGCGAAGGCAATTGGCAGCCCGACTTGCTCTTCAGAAGCAGCAGGCGGCCGAGAACAGCGACAATAAGGACGAAGACAAGCAAGCGGGCGCCCTTGAGAACACCGACTCCCAGTGGCCGTCGAATCCGTTTGTGATTGCCGGACTGGAGGACGACGGCGAGGGAGCAGACTCACCTGCCAGGTCCGCCTTCCCGTCGACTGATTTCGCCCCAACGCACAAGGACGAAGCGTTCTCGTCGCCTACGTTCCCCGAGTCCGGATTCAGTCCGCCCGACTCCTTGTCAACCAACTCGTCGGATGATGACGGCGAAGGGCGATCACAAGGAGGACGACGTAAAGAGCGGGTTCCTCTGGAGGTTGATGACGATGATGACGACATGGGAGAGATGGTCGGCCCATCGCTTGGGTCTGATATGATGGACTCCGATGAAGAGGACGAGGCCATCATCAACGAATCATTAGGATACCCCAATTTAGGCCCTGGACGGTACAAGAATTTCCGAAGATCGCGCTCCGGCGAATCTCCCTTTGGCGATGATCAGGATGACAGCAGCGATGGCGAGGACGACGGGCTAGTCGAGATTCTGGTTCCCGGGAGGAAGTCCTGAAATGCTTGAATCGTCCCATTTGATACCGCATTGGTTTTCCGTCCAGAGCGCCGACGTGCGGTGAGGCCGGGAGACAGTTCTCATGATGGTGTATACTATTAACTGCATGGCATTTGTATGTTTCGTCTGCGGAATGCGCGAAGCTGAAGTCACCTTGACCGGAGTCCAGAAGGCGGCGCCTCTTTACGCTGGATGGAATCTTTTTAAAAGAGATCCGGGGAAAGACGGGACACCACTAGGTCCTAAAGGAGAGAGAAACAGAGAACTGGTTATGAATCTACAGGCGTTATTGACATGTTGGCACTTTGTTTTTTTGCCGGGGGAGGAAAGATGGTCCAGCTTCAGATGAGTTGGGCTCTTTCAGGCAGTTGTACGATAACCATGTTAGAAGGGTGAATGTTTTATCTTCATTTAAACATTTCCAGCGTAAGACATAATCTATGGGACCGACAGCTAGGAAAATGCGTGGACGCTGAAGATCGAACATCGAACGGGAGACGAACATCAGAAAAAAAGTGGGACATGACGATTTATTCATCTTCCATCCGCCGTTCCACCCCACCTCTCCTATCTTCTTTTCACGCCGTAAAAAAGACAGAGTGGTTGGCATACACACTCCTGTCCATCATGGCTAGTGATCCGACATCCTCTTCTCTGTAAGAACATACAGCTTTCCCTCGGCATCCCACCTTTCCCCTCCCCTCCTAGCCATCTCAGTCCCAGACAGACAGACCATAGTAACTAACTGCATACAGCCCCAACACCAACACCACCCCCAGCAGCCTAGAATCATACACCACGCTGCTGCAATGGATGACCCAAAACGGCGGCCGTCTGCACGATAGCGTCCAAATAGCCAAGGACGAGCGTCGCGGCGTGCATCTCCAAGTCCGAAAGGACTGGGCCGCCGGCTCCGTCCCCACCGGCACGCACATCATCCAGACGCCGCTGGCCTCGACCATGTCGTACTTCAACGCTATTGACTACGCCGGCCACCAGGGCTCCGAGGGTACGAGAACCGCATTCCCCGCGCACGGAGTCCATCTCCCGCGGGCGTTCATGGACGCTGTCGGCACCGAGGAGACGTCGATTTTCTTTCTGATCGGGCAGTTTCTGCGCGGGGCGGATGGCTTCTGGGCCCCGTATTTGCGCACGTTGCCGCAGCCTGGGGAGTTGACGACGCCAGTGTATTATGGCGAGGGGGATGTGGGGTGGTTAGCGGGGACGAGTCTGTTGGCGGCGAGGGAGCAGAAGACGAACTTATTGAGGGAGAAGTATGAGCGGGCGACGAAGGTGCTGGGGGAGTTGGGGTTCGAGGGGTGGGAGTTGTATACATGGTGAGTTTTTACTTCCTCCTTTTCCTGTTCTTGAGACGAAGGACAGCACAGCCTGTTAATGGTGATGATGTATTCAGGGATCTCTATATTTGGGCTTCGACGATCTTCGTCTCGCGCGCCTTCTCGGCCAAGGTGCTCTCTGGGGTCAATCCGGATGAAGAGCTGCCGGAAGAAAACGTCTCTGTTCTTTTGCCGTTCATTGATGTCTTGAACCATCGTCCCTTGGCGAAGGTGGAGTGGCGGGCTGGGAAGAATGATGTCTCGTTCGTGGTGTTGGAGGGCGTTTCTGCCGGCGAGGAGATTGCCAACAACTACGGTCCTCGGAATAATGAACAGTGTGAGTGACACCTTCTCTGAGGCACTATGCTATGAGGAACAAGCTGACAAATTGATAGTAATGATGAACTACGGCTTCTGTCTTCCGGACAATCCGTGTGATTATCGGATCGTCAGTCTACGCGCACCGCCGGGCAGTCCGCTTCAGGTCGCAAAAGCCCAACAGATCCAGATGTTCCCTGAGATGGCTAGTGCCCTGGCTGATGACCACTACTACGTGTTTAATGTCTTTTATCCCCTCCTTGCTCCCGACACTCCTATGGAGCATTCGATCTTCTCCCCGGCACTGTTCAATGGGGTGTCCATCTTGGCAGCTAACAACCGGGAGCTGGAGACTTTGCAGATCTCAGAGCAAGGGGTCCGGATCGCCGATGCGTATGGAAACTCGCGAACTATCCTCGCTGCTATCAGCCAGATCATCATCGAGCTGATCACTCACATCGTGAAACTAAGGTCATCCGCGGAAGGACTCTCGAGCCCTGCCAATCTCAAACAGACGCACGCAAAGATCTACCGAGACAGTCAGATCATGCTGTCCGAGACTGCACTGGTGATCGCGGCATGGACCCTCAATCGGTCGCGGCAACATGACTTCACCGGAAGCTGGGAGGAAACCAAGCGCCTCCTGAGCGCCCATATGGGCCGGATTCCGGCAGGCAAGTTCCCAGAGACCGTGCTGTCCCGGACACAGGTGCGGATTCTGGAGCGACAGTCCATCCTCACTAATAACGGGGAACTCTTTGCATTGGAGGAACTGCTGAATCTCCTCCCGGCTGAGATGCAACCCGCCTGCAAAGCGTGCTTCCAAGAGGTTACCACGACAGCCGAGAAAGCCATCCCCATGCTGCGAGGAAGCGGCGAGAATCCCTTTGTCTTCCCTCTGTTTCTTTGCGCAGTGGCCGCTACCTACATGACCACGAAGGATTCTGCCAACGACTCTCCGCTATCGCCTCGTCTGCTCAACTGGGCCGGCTTCCTGCTCGAGAATTACCCGCCCCCTCCTGACGATGTGCTCTGGGCTGTGGAGGACGAGGACGATGAATATCTACTGACTATGTTTGACGACGCTCTGGAGAACATGAAGGGCCAGAACAATGGGGTCTTCTCCCGTTTGGCCGCGTACACGGGGGCGTGGGCAGGCGACAACTGGTGGCTTTCTCCTAACTGGGTGCGATGGGCCTGGATGATTGTCGAGCAGGAGAGTGTGTCGGTGCCGGAGGATCCGCTGGGACTGTTGGCGACGGGAGAAGCTGGACAAGGGTCGGTGACGCTGTCGACGGTGTCGTATCTGTATGTTCCTCAGGTGTAGGCAGCCAGAAGTAGACCAGATAATAACAGTGCAAACACATCAAATTACCGCATCGGGAAGGTCGAACCCTGAGTAATCCGAAATGACTCAGCAACACCACGTGATGCCACCGGGACCAATCAGCAACGGGCGAAAGGCGGATTCTCAGCAGGCGCAGGAATTGCCGCGACGTTCAACTCCACGACAGCATCATATCTTGTTCCGTTCCCCTTCCCTTCTCCCCTCTTTTCTCCCCCCTCATCCCCCTCTCCCCAATTGGGTACCAGCTGTCACCATGATATCTCGAGCGGCGGCTCCCACGCCTTCCTCCCTCGCCAACCTTTCCTCCCGGTCTCTCCGAGTCCAGGGCCCGGCTGCCCGCTCCTTCGCGACCGTCCAGGACAACGCCCCCCCCGTTCGCGGCCATGGCGGTCTGCAGGATCAGGACCGCATTTTCACGAATCTTTACAGCCACCATGGTGCGGATCTGAAGTCGGCAATGAAGTACGGTGATTGGCACCGCACCAAGGACATTGTGTTGAAGGGTCATGACTGGGTATGCGTCCCTTCTTTCCGGGCGAGAAATCGAATCAACCGATTTGTGGAATTGCAACGACAATTTATGCCATTGACTGGGCAATTGAGGCTAACGGATTCTTTTCGATTGATTAGCTCATCTCCGAAATCAAGGCCTCTGGTCTTCGTGGTCGTGGTGGTGCCGGTTTCCCCTCGGGATTGAAATACGTGAGTTCTATTCATCCGGACTCCCCGTAGGATCACAGGGGTAGGGGAAATTGATCCATTTGACTAACGTCTCAATTCTTACAATTCAGTCCTTCATGAACTTCAAAGATTGGGATAAGGACCCCCGTCCCCGATACCTGGTCGTCAACGCCGATGAGGGTGAGCCCGGAACCTGCAAGGACCGTGAGATTATGCGGAAAGACCCCCAGAAGCTCATCGAGGGCTGTCTCGTTGTCGGTCGTGCCATGAACGCCAACGCCGCCTACATTTACATCCGTGGTGAATTCTACCACGAAGCGACCATCCTCCAGCGGGCCATCAACGAGGCCTACGAGGCCGGCCTGATCGGAAAGAACGCCTGCGGTACCGGCTACGACTTCGACGTCTACATCCACCGCGGTATGGGTGCTTACATCTGTGGTGAGGAGACCTCGCTCATCGAATCCATCGAGGGTAAGGCCGGCAAGCCCCGTTTGAAGCCCCCCTTCCCCGCTGCCGTCGGTCTGTTCGGCTGCCCCAGTACCGTCACCAACGTCGAGACCGTCGCCGTGACCCCCACCATCATGCGTCGTGGCCCCAGCTGGTTCTCCTCGTTCGGTCGTGAGCGTAACGTCGGTACCAAGCTCTTCTGTATCTCCGGTCACGTCAACAACCCCTGCACCGTCGAGGAGGAGATGTCCATCCCTCTGCGCGAGCTGATCGACCGCCACTGCGGTGGTGTCCGCGGCGGCTGGGACAACCTCCTGGCTGTCATCCCCGGTGGATCTTCGACCCCCGTTATCCCCAAGGCCGTCTGCGACGAGCAGCTCATGGACTTCGACGCCTTGAAGGACTCCCAGACCGGTCTGGGAACCGCCGCCGTTATCGTCATGGACAAGTCGACCGACATCGTGCGCGCCATCTCGCGTCTGTCCACTTTCTACAAGCACGAGAGTTGCGGTCAGTGCACTCCCTGCCGTGAGGGCAGCAAGTGGACCATGCAGATGATGCAGCGTCTGGAGACCGGTCAGGCCCGCGAGCGTGAGATCGACATGCTTCAGGAGCTCACCAAGCAGGTTGAGGGTCACACCATCTGCGCTTTGGGTGAGGCCTTCGCCTGGCCCATCCAGGGTCTGATCCGTCACTTCCGCCCCGAACTCGAGACCCGCATCAAGGAATACCAACAGGAGCTGGGTGGCCAGTCTCCCTACGCCGGTGGCTGGCACCCTAACAGCAAGGCGGAGGGCAAGCTGATCTCCCCTGGCATGTAAAAAAAATGAAAACAAAAAGAGAAAGAAAAAAAACAAACCATGATCTTCTGTCTTATTCACATCTACCGTCGTCTCTCCGTCTGTCGATTGCCTATTGACTAAATAACATCAACAGCACGAGAGAGGATGGGCAAGCAAACAATGAGAAGAAGATTGACCTCAAAAACAAAGGAAATAGTAACCTCTCTTATCATGTTTCTCTAGATAAAGATGTGTGTTTGTGATATGGTTACAGCAGGAGTGTCATGTCTTTTTTTCTTTTGCTTTTTTTTGCTTCTCCTCACCTTCCTTCCCCCTTTTCCTCTTTCAAAGCTTCTTCCGACCTCTTGTTTCCCTTTTTATAATGTTCTGTTTAGGTTCGATCTCATGTACAGTTCCCTGGTAGCAGCAATTTCAAATTTCTTTTTCTTTTGATTCATTTCTACATCATTCTCATCTTGGTACCACTGACCAAGTAGGCTCATGCTAATAATTACCTTGGCTGAGGTAAAGAAAACGCCCTACCGAATGTCATACTAGACAATTCTAGATCTATGTTATAGATCTATGTCGGTCTAGGATAGTTCAGGCTGTTTGGTTATCATACGTCCTAACTGACTCGGCACTATAGCTACACCATGACCTGATACTTGATGTCGCGATGTATATTATTCTAGCCTGTTATTACGATTGATCCAGAGCATTGGACTTTTCTTTGTTCTTCCTGAATCTATGCCGCGGAATCGAGAGAAATTGCTACAGTTTGAACATGCATTCCTTCCTTGCCTACCAAGACCGTGTCATCCAGAAGCCCCTCGACCGAAGTTTCCTCATTATTCAACTCGCATTTGATCAAACTCCCTGCATCAACCCAGGAAAGAAAGAACCCGTGGTGGACGAGTCAGCCACTAGCAGCTGAAGTTCGGCCCGCGAGCGGTTCCAAAGCATCTTGACTTCATCATCCTACGGGTCATTTTCTTGATTTACTCTTCTGATTCGGAAACCGCGTGAGATAGAGGTATACTATGCATGCCAAATCGCCGAGCAACGGAACTAATCTCCGGCAGCAAGCTGTCGCAGTGGATCGGTTACAAGCAAGTGGCCTATATCCCCATGCGCATGCCCAAGCCCAAGGAGCGCTTCCTCTGGGTGGACCTGACGTATCCGATTCGCGGCATCTACATGCCGTCGGCGTTCCATGGGTTCCCTCTGAAGAAATACGAGAAGTGGACGCGCTATGTATTTGTGAAATTCAATCAGGCCAGTATGAAACTCACCACCTTCCGAGAAACATTTGGAGCCGGGACTCCTCAATGGCCTGCTCGGTGCCATCGGTATGTCGGCGTCGGCTGGACCAAGAGTGGAAACTGTGGATGAGCCCGATGTCCCTTCATCTGAAGACAAATACCCAGGATAGGAACCGTCATTCAAGAAAGGGAAGCTGGAGATCGAAGAAAGGGAAGCTGGAGATCGCGGAAGACGCGCAGCTCGGTCTATGGTTCCAGCCGCGGTGGACGGCGCGATTCGATATCAAAAGCCTGCTGAACGTCCACCACGTGCCGTTTGAGATGCGAGCGCCCGAGGTACAGGATGTGTACCAGTATATCGTCCTGTTTGCAGCGCAGGACGTGGATTCCATCGAGACCTGGCAGAAGAGTCAGGCAAAAGAAAGCACGATGGGCGACAAAACCTATATCAAGCTGGCCGACATGACCAGCAAGCATGAGGGCATTAGAATGGAGGAGTCAAAGACAGATGGAGATACGGATTGGCTGAATGTCGCTATATCCACGTTCGTTGGAATTGGCCTGGGTCTGGTTCCTTACGTTGGACCCTTTTTGGCATTGGGATTTGACGCCGTCAATGATTACCTCGCTAACCCGGAGGCGTGGGCGGCAAAGAACAACTTGAAGCTCAGCGCACAGACTACGGCGGAGCTGGTCAAGTCCGGCGCGGACATCTTGAAGTTCTACAGGAGTGGTAAGGTGCCGCAAATCAGGTTCAAGTCACACCTGAAGGCGGACGCTCGTCAACCTGTCTACGTTGGCGAAGACCCCAGCGGCACCAGCGAGTCTCAGCCTTCTACTCAAAGCTCCAACGCACCGAAGGAGGCACGGGTCCCGCCGAATTAAAAACCAGTGATAAAGGACCCTTTCTCAGAGGAGAAGACCTACTAGAGCCAGAAAGCGGTCTCCATGGATAAGAAGGCTAAATGATGAGAGCCAACTATGTCCATCTGTAATAGCCTCACCTTGTCTAACTCTCTTAGTATACTATCAACAACTACTACGTGTTCTAACAGACGACGAAGACAGTTAACTGACGGAGGGTATGCATTCCGGTATTCATGGGACTAAAAAGCTGGAGTAACTAACACAAGGTCTCGAATCATCATTCTCTCGCTTTACCATTTAGATGATTAAAAAGAAAAAAGGAATCCTCCATCTCACATAGTGACGGAACGGAAGAATTTTCAAGTAGACAATTGAACAAAGACGAAATAAGACTCATGATGTGGAATACACTAGGGATACACGGGGATGAAGTGATGCAGATGAACTAAACCGGCTGGATGAGACAGAAACAATGTAACGTAGTGAAAAGGTGGGCAAAAGAGAGGGGGGAAAAGGGTGTACAAAGTGATAGTAAACAAAAAGGCCTGCGAGGAAATGGAATAAGGCAAATGACGACGACTTCAGATTTTTAAAGAGAAAAGGGACATGCAAAATGATTATTGAAACCGCTTAGTAGGCGCCCGCCATGATGACACTGTAATAGCGGCGACTCATCTCTGCCATTTGGACAAGACGTGCATCACCCGTGAGAGGCAAGCCGAGGACGTTTGACATTTCCACCGTCTGGAGAAAGAAAAGGTTAGTCGAAGTACAACAGTTTGTATCGTGAAGATTGCTGCTTACCTTTGCATCTTCATGGGCCGTCCAATTGGCAACAGCTCGGCTCATTTCCTTAAAGGCCACTCGTTCCTCCAACCCTTCCACCCCGGATGCTTGGCTGATCTTCTCTCCCATGGTGACCAACGCGTTGACCAGTCGGTTCAGTCGAGAGGCATCCCGCTTTCCATGCTTGGCTGTAGCAAGGTGAAGGAAGTCGTCGTAGATGCCGCCTCCGCTGGCCCACCCTCGCACCTTGCGCTCTGGCGCCTCGCCGAAGCCCCAGACCAGAGTCTCGAGCGTCGCGTAGTCACGCTCAATCACAGCGGTGGGACCGACAATGCGGCAGAACGTAGCATGAGCGTCGTTCCAGTTCTTGCCGCGCACGAGACAGTCGACCTCGCGGGCCGCATCGCCAATGTCACGAGCGTAGAGAGCCTTGGCCACCCAGATCCACCCCTCCGGAAGCTGCAGATCGTGAGTGAGGCATTGCCAAGTGGCATCAGGCGATCCGTCTGGGGTGCTGGGTTCAGGCAGCCGGGAGGCAAACCGTGCCAAAGTTTCTTTCACGGCACGCTCGCGGTCTGACTGGCGGGAAAGGTGGAGCAGAACAAACACAACTCGTTCCAGTTCACCACTGCAGCTGAGTTCCCAGGCATAATCTTGCACCAGCTTGTCCACCTGCGCAGTATTTGTCTTGAAGCTCTCATGGTGTCCAATGGCGGCAGCCAAAAGCTGGTGCAGCTGGAAGGACAGCCGACTTGAGAGTTTATCACCAGTCACCGACTCCGGAAGGAAGGCAGCAGGCAATTCCAGCGCAGGAATACTCGACGAGCCGATAGTGGCCGAGTAAAGCTTGAGCAAAGCCCACAGTGGGGATTCACGGCCCGAGACATCAGTCGTAGTTTGAGGCACCTGGGTGTTGTCTTGATGAGAGGGATAGGGGAAAGCGGATTCTTTTCCGCTGCTGAGGTCGTTGAAAAATTTGGAAACAGCATATTCCAGCGGCTCGTCATCAGTGATGGCATACCACAGTCGGAGACCGAACGCTTGATACCAGTCCAACTCGAATCGCTCAGTGAAGGTAAAAGACGATGTACGGTCCTCAAGAGCACCCCCAGATTTGCCCTCGCTGTGAAGCGCGTTTCCGGCCAGAAGTTCATACAAGGCTCGAATGGGCTCGCTCATCTCCGAGTAGACATTGTGTTGACGCCACATCTCAACTTGCTTCGCCATGTCCGCGCGCGAAGTAGGGTCTCGACCGATCTGGGCGAGGAGTGTAGCAAGGTGAAAGTTTTGGCTAGCTATCAACACATTACATGCCTCCTCGACTCGGTGAGAGCAGAGCAAGTACACTGCACGCTCCTCGGCAGAGTTGGCCTTGCCCATTGTGTGCGCATGTCTCTCGCGGATGACGCGTTCCCACAGACGACTCAAGCGGTCCTTTTTGATGCGGGGCAGATATTTAGCCCGAAGTTGCGCCGGCACGCCGGCAGAGATGTCGTCTTCGATATCGTCGTTGAACAGGATGTTGCTCAATTGCCAAACAAGACGTTCCTGGTCAGATACTGTAGAACTCGATGATGCTGAGGCAAACTGCCCGAAATCGGCATCTGCCAAGCGTGCAAAAGGAACACCCTCGACGCGGTTGATGACAGATTGCTTGCTCTGAACATCCAACATCTCGTTGGAATCGGCAGAGTTTTTGAATGCGAGCAAGGCAATATCTCTCTCTTCGCTGGTAACAGAAAGTTCTGGCTGCCATCGATCATCAGAACCTGCATCTCTTAACCCATTCTGAACGCAGATAAGAGAGTTCACGGGACCCCAACGAGGTTTGAAGGAGTGATGGAAAGCAAGGTCGTCTTCGGTCAATTCGTTCGATTCACCAGCAAAGGTCTTTGGAGTTTTGCTGTAAGGCCACTTTGTGAGAGATAAAAGTCAGTTATATACGTCAGAACATGCTGAAATCAGCAAGTTACAAAACCTACCTCGAAGCCTTTAGCCTTCGCACTCTGTTCCTTGGGAGGACTTGGTACTTGCTGCTTTCGTGGCTGTTGAAACAACGAATTCATCAGGTCAATGCTCGTTGAGAAACCTTTCTGCCCAGGTTCCGTGCCGTTTTCCTTCGGAGAGCTCGCGTGGGACGACTTGTCGGCAAAAGCATTGCGTTGGATTTCGCGGAGTGCGTCTCGGTCCTGCTTTCGGGGGCTGATTGTTCGTTGCAGTTGCTCGGCCCAGTCGTCACTAAGATCGAGACGAGCCTTGGGAGGCGTACCCCAGGGTTTCAAAGAAGGGATGGTGTCCTCGGTAAAGTGGTCGGTGCTTTTGGTGTTGTCCTGCTCCACGGTATGATGAAGGTTGGGGAAAGTACCCGCCATGTCCATTTCCTCACCTTCATACGATTCTACTTCTGACTCGCCAGAGTGCTGGCTCTCGGTGATATCATCACCTTCTTGCTCAGTAGTCGAACCCGTGGAGCCTTCCCCTAAAAAAGACTCGTCTTCTTCAGAAGCAGACTGCTCATCCATCTCCATGGCTTGGTTGCCAAAAGAGCCCGGGACCATTTTGCGCTTTTTAAAATCGAAAGTGTCGTCATCTACCCCTCCCACATCGTTGAAGAAGGATTCTTCTTCATTAGAAAAGGTGGACATTTGCTCCGAGCCCACGGTGCTGTCGAAATTCGCGGGGGACTGAGCCTTCGGAGTCGGAGTGTCAGGAGCAGCACTCAAAGTGCTTTGGTTATAGCTCTCACCTTCATCTTCTTCATCGTCATAATCAAGGCCATACGTGGTAAAGTGAGGCACTCTGAAAACCCATGTGCCAGTTTCCCTAGTGTACTCGACAAACTCGGTGTTGACGACCTTCCTCAAGCGGTCGATGTGCTTCTCGAAAAGAGGGCCACTCGTGAGCGGGTTGGGAGAATTCTTATCTCTGCCCCGGGGCCAGGAGTTTTCGATGCGCAGAGTCGATGGGACGTTCAAACCCTTACCCATCGGGGGCTTGATGGTTTCATCGGGGTACACGGTGATTTTGCGCAGACCGATGTCGACCAATCCTCCAAGGATGTTATCCAAGTCCACAGTCGTCAAATCAACCGGCTCATCGAAGGTAACTTGACCGCATCGTTGACGACCGACAACCAAGCCGACAAAGTTCTTCTGCTCGTCGCGGCTCATGTTACTGATTTCACCACGCGTGGGCTTCATCCAGTACTCACCGGGCCTAGGATCCGACCCAGGAGAGAAGGAAAGTCGAGAAGCGCTGTCGTCGCTCACTGATGTTTGCACACCGTCCTCGGGGACAACGGCGAGGTCTGTGGCGGGGGCCGTCTTGATACCACCCCCATTGGTGCCATTGATCGTACCACTTTTGCGAATCGAGCGCAGGAATCCCAGTTCTTCGGGGGTGGGCTCCGCACTTTCAGACTCGGCCGGGACAACAGCTGCGGGAGACATTCCGTCAGAAGAAGAATCAAAGCTAACCCTCTTCTTGGCTTTGTCCGTCGACGGGCTCGGTTCAGCTGGGGCAGGAAGGGGCGCAGTGGGCGAGCTGGTGGAGCGCGAGAAGAGATCATTCTTGACGCTCACGCTGCGGTCAATGGTCAGGCGCTTCAAGCTGCTGCCCGACGCGCGAAGTGGACCCGAAGAGACCGACGAGAGAGCACCAGGGGCGAGAACGCTATGGGAGTCTGGGTCAAAGCTGTTCCGGAGGTTGCTGGTGGAAAAGCTCTTGCTGAAGCCGTTGCTACGTCCAAGGCTACCACCGACAGTTGCGCGTCCACCAAGGAGGCTGTTGCCAAGTCCATTAGGCGTGCTACCAGCGCTAGAGGGAGATCCGTAGGTTGAGTAGGAGAACCCATATCCTTGACGCTTTGGCGGCGTGATGAGACGGTTGGCGGCACTGGGGGCAATCTTGTAGACGGGCAACGGTGTACGCTGCTTTTGCTTGATGGAAGAAGAGAGCGGGGTTGCCAATGGGCCGGGACTGGGGGCACTCGGAGCGGGCAAGCCTGAGAAGATCGACTGGTTTCCGTAAGGATTTCCTTCGAGTAAAGAGGCCTGCAAGCTTCCGGGTGCTGGCTGTTGGGGTTGCTGGGGTTGCTGAGGCTGGTTCTGCTGTGTGCTCCCACCAAAGAGAGAGCCACCCAAACCAAGACCGCCACCCTGCTGTTGTTGGGGCTGGCTGTTGCCAAAAAGCGAACTTCCAGTATTTTGAGCTCCGGTATTCTGGCCCCCGAACAAGGAGCTCCCCGTGCCGCCGGCGCCGCCGAATAGGCTGGGCTTTTGCTGCTGCTGATTTTGAGCACCGCCGAACAAGCTACTGGTGCCGGTTTGCTGGTTCTGGGTGCCTCCTAAACTACCACCAAACGGGCTGGCGCCGGTGCCGGTGCCGCCAGTGGTATTACCGAATAAGCTCTTCTGGCCTTGCTGTTGGTTCGCGCCACCGAAAAGAGAGCTGGTTCCGGTTTGCTGGGTGTTGGCGCCTCCGCCGAACAAAGAGTTACCAGCCGGCTGCTGCTGGTTTTGCTGCGGGTTTTGTCCGAACAGAGACGACCCCCCGGTATTTCCTCCCGCGGTGTTGCCGAAAAGGCCGGTGCCACCGGACTGCTGCTGGTTGTTCTGTCCAAACCCGCCAAACAGCCCCTTGTTCTGAGTCTGGTTCTGATTCTGGGCCTGGTTTTGCTGACCGAAGCCACCGAATGCTCCCGTGCCACTTTGCTGTTGCTGTTGGCCAGCACCACCAAAGAGCGACGAGGTGCCACCAGTATTGGCGCCACCACCGAATGGGGAAGCCGTGGTGTTGTTTTGCTGCTGCTGCCCGAACCCGCCGAAGCCCCCAGTTCCAGTAGACGTTCCGCTGGCTCCGAACAAAGGCTTGTTCTGCTGCTGCTGATTGTTGTTGTTACCAAACAACGAACTACCGCCGGTTCCACCGAAAGCGCCAGTGCCTCCTGATGTGCCCGCTCCAAAGCCACCCGCCGTTCCGGTCGTGCCACCGAAAGGGCTGGCCTGAGAGGTACCGGTTGCGGTCCCTCCAAACAAAGAGTTCGCGGGCTTAGCAGCTCCGAACAAGGGGTTGGCGGAGGTAGAAGAACCGAAGCCGCCCGTTGTCTGAGTCTGACCAAAGGCAGGCGCCGCACTTGTCCCGCCGCCGCCGAAGGGAGAGGCGGTATTGCTCGCCCCAAACCCGGTGCCAGTGCCAGTGCCTTGTTGTTGAGCACCGAAGCCCGAGCCTCCGAAGGCTGAACTACCGAAAGCGCCAGCTTGTCCACTGCCATTGCCGAACCTGCGTCCTTGGTTGTAATCGCCCAGTCGAAGCTCCTCAAAGCTGTATTTGCTGTATGGCTGCATAAAGGAAATGCTCTGGTATTGATTGGTCACGTTGCTAGTGCCTTCCTTCTCAGTATATGCACTGAAGGGGGTGCTCCCGGTACCATCAGACGGGGGGACACTCTGGAACGCAGAGCCTGCTCCACTGCCGAAGCCAGTATTAGAAGTGGCATTATTGCTTCCGAAGCCGCCTCCCGAGCCAAATGCGCCACCAGTACCCGTCGAGCTGCCAAAGCCTGTTCCACCAGACTTATTTCCAAAAATGCTACCGCCCCCGCCAGCGCCAGGGCTACCAAAGCCTCCAGTGTTCGCAGAGGCGCCGAAGCCGGTGCTTCCAAAGCCACTGCCACCTGCCGTAGTGGTGCCACCTCCAAACATGCCGCCGCCTGTTGATGTACCGGTCCCGAACCCAGATCCGGCGGGTTTCGAGAACAGAGAGTTCGATTGATTTTGGGTGTTCGCTCCAAATCCTACATGATGTTGACGTTGATGGTTAGCCTTTTTGTGATGAGAATGATGGGGATTTTGCTTTTGCGGGTGCTTGTGCTGGGGCTTTTGCTGGGGCTTCTGTTGGGGCTTCTGTTGGGGCTTCTGTTGGGGCTTTTGCTGGGGTTTTTGATAGTTGGGAGTGGGGTATTTGGGATTGCGCTTGAAGCGGGTGGAGGGAAGTGCGTGATATCGGCGGCGATTCATAGCCAAAATCAATCGACAAAGATATAAGCATAAAAAATTGAAATGTCACTCCTCGGACGGGAAGTTCCTGATGGGCGGCTGCGGCTTTATACATGGGCATTTTCCCCTCTCCTTTGTTTCCGGGCTGGTACAATGCCGCCTTTGAAACTAGAATCGGGTCCAAGGGATATAAAGCGATTCTAAAACGCCAGTTGAGGGATTTGTCCATTGTTGGCGAGTCCAGGTCCGTAGGATTCGTCCATCCAGAGTTGAAGCAAGAGAAAGGACCGCAAAGCTCATGGAGATATAGTCATTGAGCACCTACCTCCACCGGAACCAAAGCTGCTGGAATTGTTTCCGAACAGTCCACTACCTGAGCTTGTACCTCCACCGAAAGGTGACGAAGTAGATCCAAAGCCTAGATGACGGGGCAAGACGCTGTCAGAGACTGTAATGAAGCTGCGATCCTTTCTCTCATATCGCTGCTGTTACTCATCGTCGAGGACATCCGCGGGACATTGTCGAGTGAAAGAAGTTTTGATGAAACCATCGCGGGTCGACGTCAGGAGCACCGATCGCAACCGATAAGGAGGCCCAATAGAAGTGGGAGGAAACCAAAGTGATCAAGGCCCAGAGATACGGAGGTAAACAGGAAGGGATAGGAAAAAAGCGACCTACCTCCGCCAGTACTTGTGCCTCCAAAGCTAGAGCCGGTACCGAAGCCGGAGCTCTGCTGGTTGTTTTGTCCAAACCCTCCGAATCCGAAAGACATAACGCTGTTCGGTGAATCCTGAGATCTATGGGTTCATCCGTTCAAAGGTGGCCTGTGACCGAGAAGACAGAAAAGAGAAAGTCGGGGAGAAAAGATCGGCACGATGCGAAAAGTCGGAATTCCGATCTAACGGGGGTAGGCGAAACTCTCAAGAAGCTCGAGGAGTTCAGTCGTCGTCTGTCGGAAAGAATCCTCGACGCGCCCACGAACGGGAGTGAAAATGTTGTTCAGAGGCTGCTGTTTTGCTCTGTCAACCAACAAGGAAGTGGGGTCCACACTAGCTACGGACGGACAGTCACCGCCAGAGCCAGAATGCACACAAATTTCCGGGATGAACGCAAGTCTGCAGCGCGCAGGAAGGGGAAGAGGGCGAAGGGAGGAACAGAGCAGAACGCGCGACGGTGAAGGGAAAAGATGGCTGCTGTCGGAAGGAATTGAAGTCGGCTTAGTCAGCGGGGGACCTTCCTCTTCGCTTAGTTACCGGAGGGTGACAGAACCGGGCAGCAACTGATGCGGACGTCGTCGCCCAACGCTGGTAAGTTTCCGTAATCTGACGGTTATTTACCCGCCCGTCGATCCACGTGATGCAGATGCCTGAAATATCGGACAAGACTGCTCCAGGCTGCCTAAACCGGGGTCCCACCTCGTTGACGGATATCTCGCCGATGATGGTTGCGGAGGCCAGGACGACCACTCAGTGAGCGAGCTGCCAGTGAGTCATCTTGGTCATACGCAAATTTCTATCTTCCCGAGTCAAGATGAAGTAGCACACTCTTCCTACGATTGATTCTACGGTATAGACAGGCCTTCGTAGGCGAACCCGCTGGTCACGCGATCAAACCAACAGACACGAGAGCTAATTGAACGATCATTGGGAATAGATTGTATGGTATGATTTACACAGAAACATCAACAGGAATTGAATCGCTTGTCAACACGACAGAAGGCGGGAATCACATAAATAACCAAGATAAATGATGCGCGTCAGTAACTTGCCATCCGGCATATTATCAGCCCAGTGCGAGTGAATCAATCCATCAGACAAACTCAAGAAGTTATTCCTCTCTGCAATTGGGGCTCAAGTTTTTGGTGTTTTTCTCATTTTTATTGAATTTATAAAGTTATTTCATTAGTCATTCACTTCGTCGTTGACTGCTCTCTTATTTGCCGCGAGCGGCGTGAACCGTAGAGATGATCGTATCCACGACGGAGGGGTCAGACAGCTACAATCCAAAATTAGTTTCCTAGATATCCCAAACTGCTGAGAAAGGATAGATAAAAGCTTACCGTGGAAGTATCACCCAGGCTGTCCTCCTCGCCACTCAAGATCTTGCGCAAGATACGGCGCATAATCTTGCCACTTCGAGTCTTGGGAAGGTCATCGATGACAAAGACCGCTTTAGGGGCAGCGAAGGGTCCAATCGACTTGCGGACCTGCATCACGAGGTCCTTGCGGACTTGATCGCTCGTTTCGTTGCCCTCCTTCAGGGCCACAAAAGCGTTGACGGCCTGGCCGGTAAGCTCATCGGCAATACCGACCACGGCGGCCTCGGCAACCATATCTGTCATTGAAAGTCAGACGGAAATGCTTTTAATCAAGTTTTAGCAGCGAGACTTACGGTGCTCAAGCAGGGCAGCCTCGATTTCAGCGGTCGAGAGACGGTGGCCAGAGACGTTGACAACGTCGTCCACACGGCCGCGGATCCAGTAGTATCCGTCGTGGTCACGGCCAGCACCGTCACCGGTGAACTGTCGGGGTCAATATGTTAGCCAGGAGATATCGGTGGAAATGGGTAGGAGTCGGCTCTTACGTAGTATCCCTTGTAGACGTTCAGGTAGGTGTCCATGTAACGCTTGTGAGCACCCCACACGGTGCGCGCCATGCTAGGCCAAGGCTGCTTGAAGGCCAAGACACCCTCCACATCGTTGCCCGAGATCTCCTCTCCGGAAACTGGGTCGATGATGGCGGGCTCGACTCCAAAGAAGGGCAGCGACGCACTTCCCGGCTTGGTCGGTGTAATACCACCCAAGGGAGTAATAACGTGCGAACCGGTTTCGGTTTGCCAGTAGGTCTACCAGAAGAAAAGTCAACCGTCAACTCTATGAACGTAGCAAAGTTATGGGGTAAACTCACGTCGCAAATGTGCGCCTCTTCCTTTCCAACCTTCTCGAAGTACCACTTCCAGACCTCGGCCGCAATGGGCTCACCGACAGAGCCCAAAATTCGCAAGTGAGCCATCTTGTGGTGGATGTGCTCATCACCAGCGCGCTTGAGCAGTCGCAGCGCAGTGGGGGCCACGTAGAATTGAGTCACCTTGTGCTTCTCGATCACGTCCCAGTAACGCGAAAAGTTAGGGTAGGCAGGGGTACTCTCGAAGACCACGGTGGCACATCCCAGCAACAAAGGTGCATACACCACGTAGGTGTGACCGGTAATCCAGCCAACGTCACCACCACAGAAGAAGCGGTCATCATCATGGATGTCAAAGACGTATTTACCGGTCATGGCAGCGCCGAGCAAGTATCCGGCGGTGCTGTGCATGACACCCTTGGGCTTACCGGTGGAACCGGAGGTGTAGAGCAAGAACAGAGGGTCCTCGGAAGCCATCGGCTCAGGGGCAATATAGTTGGGGTATTTCTCGACCTCTTCGTGCCACCAAATGTCACGGCCCTTGGTCCAGGGGACCTCGGCGCCGGTGCGCTTGTAGACGAGAACGCTGGAGACGTCGGGGCACTGCTTGAGAGCCTCGTCGACGATGCGCTTGGTACCGATCACCTTTCCGCCACGCTTGCCCTCGTCCGTCGTAATCACCACCTTGGAGCCGGCGTCCAAGACACGGTCACGAAGAGAATCGGAGGAGAAACCGGCGAAAACGACGGAGTGGATGGCACCGATACGAGAGCAGGCCAAGAAGGCGACGAGGGCCTCGGGAATCATGGGAAGGTAGAGGGCCACGGTATCACCCTTCTTCACGCCGTGCTGCTTCAACACCCAAGCGACACGGGACACTTCGCGCAGCAATTCGCTGTAGGTAATCGTGCGGCTCTCATTGGGTTCGTCGGCTTCGTAGATGATGGCGACCTTGTTGGGGTCTTTGATGGCATGACGGTCAACACAGTTGAAGGAGGCATTCAGACGGCCCTCGGGGAACCAGGCGCTATCTCCATTCTCTAGGGAGCCGATGTGAGTCGTTTGGAAGTCTCTCTCAAAGGTGAGAAGCTCGCGGGCCATGCGGGCCCAGAAAACGTCAGGTTTACGGATCGACTCTTCATACAGCTGCTTGTACTCGTCCAGGTCTTTCAAGTGAGTGCCTGTGGGGTGTTTATCGTAGAATGCTTTGGGGACATGGAAAGTGTCGACTTCGTGGGCCTCCAGCACCTAATGTCAGGCAATTAGTCGTTATCCTCTCTCGCTCTCTCATCTATCCATAGACCAACTACTTACCACAGACGGCTTGGGGGGTAGAACGGAGCCGTCGGACATGATTGCGATAACAAGGATAGAATCCTAAGCCGTACAAAGATGGGAAAGAAGAAGCGGCGAAGAGGGGAAAAGGGTATGGACTGGGGGAAGAGAATTAGCTAAGAAACGAGCTTCCCCACGGAAAGTGGCGAGGATTAAACTCACGTTAAATCCAATTGTAACCCAACGGGAAAGTAAAATTATCGTCGCCGCCGAAGTGGGGTGGAGTTAATTATATAAGGAAAAAGAGGGGGGGCGTTCGTCGGTCGATCAGGAAGCCGCTCCGCAAGAAGGCTGCAGTATACGGATTAAGAAAGGGGAAGAGGTAGAGGGAAGAGGAGGAAGTGAGAAAGGATGAAAACGGAAAGAGATGGGGATTGGGGAGGGGGACGAAGGGCCGTTATTTAAAAAAACACGAACAGTCTAAGGCAAGAGAAGACAATCGTTGAGGTCCCGCTCCCCGGGTGTCCGGTGGAGGCAGCCAATTTGCAACGGAGACGCTCTGGATGGAGTCGCGCCGGCCGCACTAAACCCTTTCTTCCGCGCGACCGTATGGCATTTTATTGGAACGTGGAGGCTTGGGAGTTCATCTACTCGGCGCATTGGAGAGCACCGCGTTTGACCTGCATTAGGTCGGGGTTCTAAGGATGTACCTCGTCGATTTGAGTATTTTGATTCATTTGTACTGTACGGAGTATGATTGTATTTATTTGTGATATCCTGGTCTCCTGATTTATCTTTGTACGAGTATAGAAAATGAGTATATCCCGATACTCGTATATCTATCAGGTGTACATATTCCGTACTGTCGGTCCTGCTTACTTCCACTCTGACTGGCCGAATGCATCCAAAAAGGTTGGGCTCGGCCATGCGGGGCTTGACAGCCTCTCCTTTCCGTTGCTCCGGGGAAGAGATTCGACGATCCGCCACGGTTGGCATCACCTTCATCTCATCCTCTGTCGCACCGCATCCCGGTCGATTTGATGCCCGCTTACGGTGTACTCTCGGTTCCCTCCATGCTCCCGACCAGGTTCCCGGGTGGGATCCAAGGGTGTCAACCATCCAGTACTGAGTGAAGACTGAATCGTGATTTTCCAGCTCCTCGTTGACGCTGGTGGGAATGCCGGACTACCTAAGCGAATTAGATTAATATCGCCAGTACCCCGGTCAATAACGACGAGATCCTTGTCTCCGGGCCCTAACAGACCGGGGGAAGGCCAGTCCCGCATCACAAGAGCAGCGGCCAAGCCGTGGGATTGGAGGGGTCGCTGACCGATCTCGTCAAGTCGTCATGCTCCGTGCGGGGAAGCAATCTACTTGTGTACACGGTAGACAGACTGGAAAAGACTAAAGAAGCATTCAGAAACTCTCCTATTCCTGGGTGCCGGATGCCCAAGGCTCAAGACGAGCTTTCCCCGGTGAGTTGCCCAATGGTTGGTACCGCCGAGTTATCGCCGGTTGCGGCAGACCCTCCAGAATGGAACTCCGAGCCATGGATCCGGCTGAATCGTCGCCAGATTGGGTAGAATCCTCTATAGGGAGGTGATCTCAACCAGGTGCAGCTTGCTATCGTAGTCAAGGTCTCTATTGCATGAATTACGGTAGATATTATGTTCTTATGACTTATCCAGGAGGCAAGTGGGAGGCCGCTAATTGCTCGACGGGTCGGTGATCGTCCCTGACCAACCCTGTAAAGATTAAAGACTAAACAGAATCATTCATCGTGATAGGGTCTGACAGCGGATTCCCACCTTCCGGGCTTGTCGGTGACAGCGCCTTTTTGCCTGCAATTGGCAGGGAGTTATGAGTCCGTGGGGAGTTTGCTTTTAATGAATTAGACCAAAAAAAATTCTTGTTAATTTTTTACCTTCTGTTAACTGAAGTTACTGAACAGGGTAACGATACATTCTTCCCGGATGCCTATCTAGGACAAATGCGAATAGAGTAGGTGCTACCGAATCTCGATCAAACCACGCTTCAGAGTACAGCCTCACAGTGACTGTCTACACCTCCAGGATGATCTCTCAATTGCTAATCAACGTGACCTGACCGTATGCTCCGGGATTCAAGCTGCGACCGGCCAAAGCCAAGTAACGATGAAGCCGCCAAGGACATCCCCACCACATGAGGGACTGTGTTGTGGAGAGCCTTATTGTGGGTGGTGGCTTTTTTTTTTCTGTTGGTGTGGTAAATGTTGATTCAGATTGTTCCAAATTCCCAACGTCCCGAAGAAGGGAGCCAGAGTCAAGACTCAAAGACTCAAGTCAAGTCAAATGATCCTAGGAGATCGACATTCGGCTTCCCTCGCGGTCGGCCTCGTTTTGCAGGCATTCCACGACGGTCACACGGAGCTTCGGTCGTGCACGCCCCGAGGTTACGGTTCTTACGCTTCCTGCGCTTCTTCCCATTTTAAGGTTATCTTCCCTTCATCCTGCTCTTCTCGTGCCCTCTGGTCCTTGGTTATCGGGAAAGGAATAAGCAGACTTACCCGAGGGCTTCACGGTTCACTTGAAGCCGAATTGCTACCACGCTGCCTGTCTTTAATGGGGCCTGCATGCCGGAGGGCGCGACAAACTCTTCTCCATGCTACTCGACCTACGGAGTAGGCTGGCATTAGCTTCTACGGAGGATCCTTGATTGACGGTAGTCGCTCTAGCCCGCGCCATCTTAGTGAGCCTTCGGGGCGATGTCGAGCCCACCGCGATGTTAATCCTTATCACGGATCAGTTGCCTCCCGCCTACTGCGACGCCAGACTGCGACGTTGCTACTCCGTAGTAGTTGCTACTACTACATAGTATGATAGTACATACTGCTTGCTGCACCTTAGCACCCGACGTGGTAGCTAATCCATCCCCCCATGTCGATCCTCTCTACGGTGTACTCCGTACAATCTGGTTTTTGGTCTTTACAGCGCACAGCAAATATCGCGCACAATCTTCTCCATTGTTTTTTCCTTTCTGTTCTTTTTTTACCTGGTCCCTGCCCTGTTTCACTCAATGTTCGCTGCCGTCCCGAGCACCTCATCCACCACTAACCTTTAGTGCATGCACCGGTGTGGAATTGCATTGCAGGTGGGTAGAAAACTTCTACTCGAAGGCTCTAAGCCTTTCTGCCAGTGAAACAAGCGGGAAGAGTGACTCGTTTGTTGCCAAACAATAATCCTAACAGACGCTGGTTTGGCCCCAGCGACGGGCCGAGCACACAGTAACTAGTTTTATCTATGTCCACATCTAAAGACTCTAATTCCCTTAACTATCCTTTTCTTGACGGCTGACAGAATTTTAACTTTGAGCTACGGAGTAGGTGAACTGCGTAATTCATCTGTTGCTGTCAATCGCAACCCCTCCTTGAGAGAATCGGTGTATGGTTTGAAATATAGTGGGGAATGAGACGTCCTCACCCAGCTAGGCATGGCTTTTACTGCGTATGTACGGAGGAACTCCATAGTAAGAATGTCTGAGAAGAGACAAGCCGCCGTGTTAACACTCTTGAGTTGCTCCTTAAAGCAAGGCACGATTTATGAAGACTGAGTAGACAAGGCTCGTCCCAAACTCACGATTCATGGTTATCCCATGCGAGACCAGCACGGCCCAAAGTAAAAATCAACATGACCCTTTAATTTAGAATCAGAGTGAAGGCAGGGCAATGAATGCGTTTCCATCTCGTAATAAGGCAGATATGCACGGTCCAAGAGACTTTTTTAATAGTTACGGAGTACGGATACATGACTCGAAGTTTATACCAGGATAATCAGTGAACAAACCCTTCAATTGCAGGCTTTCTCGTGCTTGATACGCTTGAAATGACGTGAAGTTAATGCATCATATCGAATAGAAAACATCATAGAATCATATCCTCCTCAAATAAGATTTTAAAAAGGACTCGCCACTTCTCAATAATTCACCTATCCCCTAAGGCAGATCCTTAAAGCTTTTAACAGACAAAACATCCTCAAAGATAGGGAGCGATGATCAAGCCGTCCACTCCCCATTCCACCAAGCACCCATCCCCAACAAAAACACAACCAAGCTCCCATCCCTCACCACATCGCGAAACAAATGGAAATACATCCCCAGCCCAGCCTGTCCGTTCCCTCGTCTCATGAATACCCTCGCCCCCGTCATGACCATCTCGCCCGTCGTGAAGAACAAGAACGGACTGCGCGCCGTCGCCGGCGGCGGCGGCACCTCGCCGTACAACGAGACCGACGAGCCCAGCAACACGAGGAAGTAGACACCCACAGCGATGGCGAATACCACGTGCATGATCTTCCACGTCCAGATGGCCTTCTTCTCGGATTCGGTCTGCGGTTGGGATCCGCCGGGGAGCATGCTTGCGACGAACGGCGGGAGACCCAACGCGGTCGCGAGGTCGGCTTGCGAGATGGCCGGCCCATTGCCGTTGTTGCCGGCGCTGGGTCCTCCTTCGCCTGCGGCCATCCCGCCCATGAGCGAGTTGAGGAGCCTGACGGTCGGGTCGTCTTCGTCGAGGCCGAGGCTGTTGGTGAGGTCGCTGCCGACGCCGCCGGCGCCTTGGTTGTTGCCAGGGGGCGGGCCGCTCTGGCGAAGCAGTGCGCGGAAGGCTTCTTGTTGGGCTTGTAGAGATTCGGGCGATTGGGCCTGCGTGTCGGGGAAGGGGTGGGTGGGTGCGATGGGGGGTACGGATTGATTATTCGCGGCGGCGGCTGGGGATGGAGATGGCGATGGTTGCGTGTCTAGTCCTGAGGAGAAGGACGTAGGGGGTTGAGGAGACGGAGAGGGGGAGGCATCTTGGTCTTGTCGTTCTGTAGAAAGTCAATGAGGATTAGATCATATGGTTTCGGGGTGGAAGGGACTCGTGGGACTTTCGAGGGAAATAAGGAAAGACGTACCGGCAGCAGGAGTGCGTCCACTCAAGCTGGTGATTTTGTCCAGACGAGCGGCGCCGCCTTCTTTGATCTTGGCTTCGCGACGCTCACGGCGCTGGCGAGCTGCTCTCTGAGCGGGGGATTCTTCAACTGAGGACATGGTTCCGAGTGCTGATGTCAATGTTGATGTCAATGTTGATGATGGATGAAGAATTAATCGATTGTGTGGAGGGACACCTATTGACTCCCTCGGGTAGTTGATAAGCAGGTAATCCAGTCAGTGCGACGTCTCTGTATGGACGACTCCGTACAGATGCCAGGCTTATTCAGGGAAATCCCGATCGTCGACGGTGAGAAGTGGCGGTGTTGTCGGGTGGCCTGTGCACTCTAGCCACCTGTGGCGGTCATCTACCAGTGTCTACGAAATACTCCGAGTATAAAGTAAACGTGTGAGAAATCGGATATTTCTGAGGAATTTGCTGTGTTGTCACGAGAACAAGATAGTTGTGTTATGGAATCGCCAAAGTGCGTACAATTGACCCAAAATTCAGTCACTGCCACATCGGCAAGCTATATATAGTTACGCGAATATACTTGAAGCTCCTCTCCACCCAGCCTGGCAGTAGAAAACTAGGAAATGGAAGCAGAGAATGTAGGAAAAGTATTGTTTCGAGAAGATTTAGAGCAGTAAAGGAATAAACTACAAATGACCAAAGAACCTGAAGAAAGAAAATCCCCCAAAACAGCCCCATATTGAGCTCAGCTCCAAGAATCGCTGCTTGTTAACCCTTGCGTCTGATTTGTCCAGATGCGCGACAAAACAATAGCGCCTTCTAAGTATAGGAAGGACAGCAACGATGCATTGCCAATGCAGTGTCATCGCCCTGCTTTAGCGCTCACTGGACCAGCTCGTATTCTGGGCGAACCAACGGACTTGCTCGATGTAACTTCTGCCTTCCTATCCCGCAAGCGACCGTCTGGCATTCCTGATCTCCTTTAATTCGCGGCATTATGCCATCGATTTTGATCTCGCCAGCGCGTCTAACATTTTCACTCTCTTGGCTGTGTTCTTAATGTCGACCTCACCATGGCCAGAAGTCCCATTAGTCGACTATTGCTAATCTGCCTCGCTATCATCTGCCACCTCTCTACCATTCACGCAAAACCCGTCCAATACTGCAAATTCGGATACGACAAAAATCCCAGAGATGCCGAAGTCGACTTTTGCATGGGTGTCACCATGCACCAGAATCGGTCTTCCGATGCCTACGATATGTACCTCAGCATGACCGTCACGCGAGATTCGGATCTCGGTTGGACCGCAATCGGCACGGGTCCCGTCATGGCAGGCTCGCTGATGGTGATTGTTTATGGGGATCCCAATTCGAAGGAGGCCCCGACTGTCAGCGTCAGGACGGTGGAGGGACATCGCCAGCCCAAGCTGCTAACCAACGAAACCGCTGGTGGTACAGACATTCGTATCCTCAACGCAAGTTGGCAGCCCGTTTCTCACGACGACTCTCCGTCCTCTTCACCGACCTTTCTGGCCAAGATTGCCCTCGTCTGCTATTCCTGTACGTCCTGGCCGGGAATTGGCGACCATCCCATCTCTGCCACGGCGACCTCGCTGCCGTGGCTCTGGGCATGGAACGATAACATGCAGTTCGCGAACTTCTCGAGCGACGTGCACCTAAAAATGCACAAACACCACTCCCGAGACGGCGGATGGGGGAATTTCTACGTCGACATGTCGCGATCCGTCGATACCGCCGAGAAGCCCCCCTCCCCTCCATCTATCCAACCTGGCGTTCGGACGATAGGTACGACGGATAAATCATCGACTGCTTTCAAATGGCCTCGTCTCGGACCTGTCGCCCAGGCGCATGGCTGGTTAATGGGGCTCACATTCCTGTTATTCTTCCCCGGCGGCGTGATCGCCATGCGGTCCCAATCCAGTCGAGCTTTCCAATACCACTGGGTTATCCAACTCGTCGCCTCCCTCTGCGTTGCCGTCGGCGCCATCCTCGGTATCGTCATGAGCCATACCTTCGGTTCCCCTCACCAGATCGCCGGATTGGTGGTGTCACTCACCCTCGGCATCCAAGGTGTTCTCGGCTGGCGACACCATATGGCCTTCCTACGCATCAAGCGCCGGACCTGGATATCGCATACCCACATCTGGGCCGGGCGGCTAATTCTGGTAGTCGGATGGTTGAACGTCATCAGCGGCATGCTCCTGGCCGGGTTCGGCTGGTTCTGGGTACTCCTGATGTCCGTCGTTCTGGTAGGCGTGGCAGTCGGCCTCATCTTCTGGGTTCGGGCTTCCACGAAACGGAAACAGCGCAAGGGACGCGAAGGGTACGATGAGTCGGAAGACGCCCTTATGCCCTGGAAAGCGGACCAGGAAGGAGAATATTTTGTTCTCGGCGACGAGGAGGAGGAGGAATTCTTGCCCGATGATGTGGAGCTGAGTGATATGGGTGATCCGGGTAATGCGAGAAATAGAAGTGGCCCGTATGAGCCGATCCTACGCAAGGGGGAGGAGAGTTAATTGGGGGAAGATACCTGCAATATGACATAGTCAGTGTATTCGAGGAGATGTCCCTATAGCCAAATGAATCTTAATAACTTCTCAAGCTTCTGCACGAGGTAGAAGAGCAATTTCTCCCTTTATGACATACCAATCTGATAAGTGTGTTGGCAAGAATTGCAGTTCAATTTGAATGTCTGATCGATTACACAATTATCTAGCAAGTGACGGCACATCATACCGAATTATTAGCACAAAATAAGATTAGCTGTTAGTTTATTTAGTTGCGCGCAGTCAGTCATGGATAGGAATATCTTAGGGGAGAAAGACAGCACGACAACTATACAAAACTTGTAGTACTGCAAAATCAAGCTTACTATCCAACTATGACATGTTATTTACTAGGAGGGACTGCACAGAATTTACTAAATAATTGAATATTAAATGCCAAATTAAGGCCCGCCTAGAATCAGCGGTAACACATGAGGTCACGTTGACCGGGAAAAACATGAGACGATCGATGACGCACCATCAACAAAGAAAGCCCAGCAACTGCCCGGCTTCCATCGTCCCATCGTCCCATTGACCGATCTACGGACTGACATGCTCCTTCTGGGGGTGACGAGTGGATGAAACCTTACTTGCCAGGTCTTTCCAGTTGGTCTTCCCCCGGGATGGTCGTGGACGCGTCCGCTGTGGATTGGGTGGGTGGCCGGCGTCCCTCCACTATGACGTAGTGCTTGTAGGGCTGGGCAGGACAGTATTACTTCACCAGTGCTTGCACCCTTTTTCCCAACTATTCTTCCAATTTGGCCCTATCATTGATTTCAATTGACCCTTTTTCATTATTTTCTTTCATTTCTAATCTTATTGAGTTCATTTTTAGTCCTTCAGTGCTTCCGACCGCCCCCGAGTGCTTCATCCTCGTCGCTCTGTGAAGCTCCCAGAGGATGGGAGCGTCGTTGACACCATAACGTCATCATCAGATTCTCCTCCGATCGTTCATACCGCTATCCTTACTACCGCACATCGATTACTTCACCCCGAACATCATGCCCCCTCATCCCAATGGGACCGAGTCCCCCCAACAACACCGCATTGGCGAACACTGGAGCGGACATAACCCCGTGCCAACGATCCATAAATTCCTAGAGCATCTCGAAAAAGACAAGCAAGACCGGAGAATCCACGAGGAGGCGCTAACAGCCAAGGAAAAAAGAGAGCAAGAAGCGAAAGAGGCGAGACTGAAAGAAGGAAAAGGCGAAGAACATGGAGATGTCGCGCCTCATCGACCGCGGAAAGTGCCCAAGGGCAAGACTAGGATGGTGACGGACCCGACTACGGGACGGGAGATTGAGGTCGAGGACCAGGATGAAGATTCTATGGACACTGTGAAGAATCCGATGGTATTGAGCTCCCCTGCATGGATCCTGTTGACATGATTGCTAATTGTTCTTTCTAGTTGGTGGTTCCTAATGCCAATCTTGGGAAGCCAACGGTAAGTTGACATGAACAAGACTCGTGTTTGACGTTATCATTCGTTAATTTGTCGATAACAGGAAGCCAAAACCGATCCCAGCCAGAGCTTGGCCGATTATAAGGAGAACCAGGACATCACCGCACCCCCGGACCCCATCGCAGAGGGTACCACCTCGGACGTCCCCATCCATGGCGAAAAAACCAATGTTCTCTTCCATCCTACGCCCACAGTATCCTACAAACCGATGTACGACCACTTGCATAAACGGGGAGCCACTTTGTGTATCGGAATTGTGGTGGGCATTATCTTCGTAGGCCGCATGTTCGGTACCTCGCTATGGGGTCTGCTTCCGCTGGCCGCCGTTATCGGAAGTGGCGTATGGTTGTGGGTGGAAGAAGTTGTCAGGAGTGGTCGTGAGATGGAATGGAGCAGCGAGCAAATTCGAGGCCAAATGGTAAGTTGTAAACAAGGAAAGGCTCACTGAGGCTCTCATCACTAACGATCTGCCACAAGGCAACGGCGAATCTCCTGCCAGAGTCAGTCGAATGGATGAACAGCTTCCTTGGTATTGTCTGGGGTCTAGTAAACCCAGAAATGCTGTCCCCCGTTGCCGACACCATCGAAGATATCATGCAAGCATCTGCACCAAGCGTTGTCGAGAATGTTCGCATTGCCGAGATCGACCAGGGAAACAACCCCATACGGATTCTGAGTTTACGGGCACTCCCAGACGAGCATGTGCAAAACCTCAAGGAAAACATACACGAGGAGAATGTTAAGAATAAAGATCCCCAAGAAGCGGCCGCTATAGAGGAGGGCGGCAGTCATTACAACATTGAAGTCTCGTTCGCGTACCACGCCAAGCCGAGTGACCAAACTGCGTCATCCAAAGCTCGCAACATGCACATGCAGCTGGTATTCTACCTGGGAATGAAGGGCCTTTTCGGCATTCCATTTCCTGTTTTTGTCGAGCTCATTGAGATGGTGGGCACTGTGCGTGTGCGACTCCAGATGATGCCCGAGGCACCCTTCATGAAGGACATGACATTCAGTCTGGTGGGGATTCCTCATATCAAGGCTGGTTGTATGCCCATGGTCAAAGGAGGTGTCAACATTCTGAACCTGCCCCTGATCTCCAATTTCGTCAACTACGCCATCGGAACGGCATGCAGTCTGTTTGCGGCCCCTAAATCGATGACCATGGATCTTAGCATGATGCTAAAGGGCGATGATATTCTCAAGGAGACGCAGGCCCTGGGTATCATGTGGGTTCGGATCCATCGTGCGGTTGGATTGAGCAAGCAGGACCGACGTGGCAGCTATGGTGGAGGCAGTGACCCTTACATTAACCTTTCTTTCTCGAAGTACGGGAAGCCCATGTATTGCACACGGGTGATAACGGATGACTTGAACCCCGTCTGGGAAGAGACGGCCGCGTTGCTTGTGACCCCTGAACTGATCAAGGCCGACGAAAGTCTCAGTGTTGAGCTCTGGGACTCTGATCGCAACACCGCCGATGATATCGTTGGGAAGGTCGAGCTGCCGATCCGAGAGATGATCCAGCACCCAGGCCGCATGTACCCGCAGGTCTCAAAGTTGCAAGGCCTCAGCGAGGGTAGTGAGATGCCGGGTGAACTGCATTGGGAAGTTGGATTCTTTGGGAAACCGAGACTGCGACCGGAATTGAGGACCGACGGCAAGAAGAAGGATCTTCCTGATAACTTCAAGGATATCCCTGAGTTCCAAGACGAGAAGGGTGTTATCACTAATGAGGAGGAAGACGCGGTTGTGCACACGCCTCCGGATCCTCTTTGGCCCAGTGGAATCTTGAGCGTCGTGGTCCATCAGATCGTCAACCTCCAGCTCGCTAATATCAAGGGAAGCCATTTTAAAAGTGGAAAGGAATACGAGCCAGCCAAGCCGTATGGAGAGAATACTGAAGAGCAGGGCAAGGATCTGCCCACCAGCTACTGCAAGATCGTTCTGAACGACCAATTGGTAATACCGACCACTCCATCGAAAAACTAGACCTGTGAGGCTGACACTATCTCAGATTTACCGCACTCGAGCCAAGGCTGTCAGCTCCAAGCCCATCTTCAACGCCGGAACTGAAAGGTTTGTGCGCGATTGGCGATCAGCTATCGTCACCGTCACCGTTCGAGACCAAAGATACCGGGAACATGACCCAATTCTAGGAGTGGTCCCGCTGAAGCTCTCCGACCTCTTCCAGACGAGCTCGCAAGTCACCCGATGGTATCCTCTGGATGGCGGCATTGGATTTGGGCGCATCCGAATCTCCCTCCTCTTCCGGCACGTCGAGACCAAACTTCCCCCCCAAATGCTGGGATGGGATGTCGGCACATTCGAGTTTGCCTCCGAGAAAATCATCGCTCGCGGAGTCCACCAGCGTTCCAAGATTAAGCTACGCACTGGGGGCAGTAGCGGCAAGATCACCCGACATGTGTGCTCGATCGATGGGCCGGATACAGTCTGGAACCTGAACTCCCTTCGCAACAACGTCCTTCTTCCCGTGAAACACCGCTACCGCTCGCCAGTGGTCTTTGAATTCCACGCCCACGGCAAGCACCACGCCACCGGATACGCAGTCCTGTGGCTCCAGCACATGGTCGACAATGAGGATATGCCCATTGACATCCCGATCTGGGCGACGAAGAACGGCAAGCGCCTTACCCAGAACTACATCACCGAGGACAACTGGGAGAGCAAACGCGAGCCGGGGCTCGAAGACATGCACGAGATCGGCCGACTCCAGCTCACCGGCCGCTTCAAGCCGGGGATCGACGAATCACACGAGCAATTCGTCGTCGACAACCATTCCCGCGAGACCTTCGAGACATGGGAGGCTTGTATTGCCGAGGGCGTGCGGACCCGCGGCGTCTCCGTCGAAGTGCCTGAGGAGGTCGAGCGCCTGCATGAACAATCCCTGGTCAACGGCCGCGACGTCCTGAAGCACGCCGACTCCCGAGAGCGCCGCCAATGGCTCGACAAGCAGGGCCAGGACTGGAGCGGTGCATTTGGCCACGACCCGCGCGCCTACCTCAGCGACGAAGGCAAGAAGATCGCTGAGCCGGGACGCGACGAGCCACCACTCCATCCGACCAACCCTCCGCACGCCGACATTGAACACACCCGGGTCGGAAGTGATAGCACCTCCGGCGAGTTCGAGGACGCCGAACATCGTCCCTCACACGAGCAGCAGCCCCAGAAATCCTCCACCGACAGCCGCAGCCGTCCGTCGACCGGTGTATCGGCCGACACCTACCCCTCGTCCACCGAACCGAGCAGTTCCAGCAAGCCTTCCTCCGAGGGAAGCGAAGCCGGGCCTAGCGAAGGACAAAGCGACAAGGCCAATCGACGAAGTGAGCAGCGCCAGCAGCGAGGCATGATGCAGTGGAAGCCTGCGCGGAATGTGGTGTTTGCACGAGACGAGGCCAAGTTCGCGATGCGCAAGGTGCGTAAGCGTTTCACGGGAGACTTGACAGGACGGGAGCCTGATATTGAGACGGAGACGGGGACTTGATTGATTGATTTGTTTTGGACTTTCTTCTGTTCTTTGTACTTTTTATTCTACAGCTGGGAGTCTTGGTGTTTCAATGTCGCTGTTGATATGTCTGTATATTAGATTTGGATATAATGAGTTCATATGATATAGGCTCTTCTTGATTAAAACATGCCCCCCTGATCTATGTCAAACAAGCAATTTATGCATGAATAATCTGATAAACAAACAAGCCTAGTAGCTGGTCCCTGACTACAAATCCGTGACTGACACCTACTGTTCACATTACACAATCAAGATCAAAGAGACATTCGACCTTCAACAAGGCTGAGCAGCATGATCCACCCAGCCTCCACAGAGCCCTAGTCTACATATTGGCGTTAAATGCTCATCTCCTACTTCTACACCGCTTAGAAGGCTATGTTTCTTAACAGGAAGTATGAGAATGTGGACTTCTTGATCTCGTCGCCTTTCCTACACGATATATGCGGCTATGTCGCTCACCATTAAATTGACTCCGTGATGCCAGGATAGATAATTCCTGATTATAACGAAGACCATGGATACGAATCCTTTGACAAAACCTCATCATGGGACCACCTTAGTACTAATGGTATGTTCAATAACTGAACTACGTACGTAACTGGGCGGGATGAAGGCTCTGTCCTGTCCTTGACAACGCTCCACCTGATTGTCCATGCAGTTCAAAAGCAGAATACAATTGTAGATGCTACTTACAGTAGACTCTGGCCTTGGATCATCGAAGATGTTCTAAGCTTCTACAGAGTAGTTGAAATCCTGGTAGGAGGCTGAAGGGTAGGTTGTAACCGCTGTACTTGTAATAAGTGGACTACCTTACTGGAGTAACAGTCGAACTGAGTTTACTACGTCAACTACGGTGGGAGCTTGAGGTAGTTACAATTCATTGAGCTATCGGCCTGACGGTGTAGACTGAGGGGTTTCTATTGTGTCTTTCTTCTTGTATTCTTTCCTCGTTATTTATGATGATTTGGTGGTTTAGATCTAGAGAGAAGTATTACCCGCATAAACCTTATAGTTTAGTAGTTAGGTATAGTTGAAAAAGATACATTCATCATGCTCGATATCCAGTTTCTAGAGGATAAGTTATAGCTAAGCACAGCCAAATCCCTAACAAATCCTTTCAACCGCACTCGTACTCGTTTCTGTTACGATATACATCCGTACCTACTCCGGTGTGCAACTGCAAGGCTGCACTTCCATAGCGAAGAATCAACGTGGAAGCCATGGATTTAAAGCGTAAATATCAGGGACCAAGAACACACCGAGGCTCTGCCTGCCTCTCATCCTCAAGTGTTGGTGATCCGTTTCTTCTGCACATCCTTTGTGATTGGGGTTGGTGGGTTGAAATACAAACTTTCATACCATTTCAACACCAGCTAATCACATAAATCTATAGGAACACCCCCCAAAAACAGCAACCAAAGCCAAGTCACCATCTGCCTCGGCGTGACCATCATGCTCTGCTACTATGACAAGTCGACTCTGTGGCGTCTGCCGGCGACGCGCACTTCGACGATAACAGTGAGAACGACATGAATGATGGCAACACGCAGGATTTCCGGGGTTTGGGCTTCGATGCGGGCTGTGGGTTGTTCGAGGACGGTGGAGAGTGGGCGAGGGTTTGTGATTTGCAGTAATCTTCTGAGTTGGCTTTGGGTTTGGGTTGGGCTGTACGGAGTATTCTGTAAGGTGCTCGGGGAGTATGCGTGTACTGTACATAGATAGGAAAGGGAATAGAAGGGGTATGGATCTGGTTCTGGGGGAAGTCCGTGGACTGGAGGTTGGGGTCTGATGAAGATAGTTAAACAATTATTATCGAAATACGAGGGAGAAGGACAGAGAAAATGGTTGCCTATCGTCTGGATTCCCCCGTAGTTATACCGACCTAATTTTTGGTGATTAGGTGGCAAGTATCTCGCGATGAATGATCTGCATTCGGTATACCAACCGAACCAAGTATGTGGCAGCTGGATCGACAGAAGAACCAGCGAGGGAGCAAAAGTTAGAACCATGGAAGCTGCATGAAAACGCAACCGTCGACACGTAAGTAGTTCCATATGAGGTCGACTGGACCCTTCATTTAAGATCTATTTTTGGGCAGCAGGCAGCAGTGAACTCAACCACGTCTCTGCGCAGGACCATCATGAACGTTGAGAAGTATCCCTCCCGATCAGGAGCATATATCCGACCCAAATGAACAGATAATAAGTACAATGCACGGCAAGCCATGGATGCAGGTGATCGTCATAATACGGGGGAAGTGGATTCATGGATCCACTCGTTTCTATATTAATCGCCAGTCGTATTCGCGTCGTTCTGGAGATACGACCCAGTCGGATTCCTTGCCAAAAAGGAAGAATGTGGTAAATTGTGATTGTCTATCAGACAGGAATGAGAAAGTATGTATATGAAATGAAAAGAGGGCGTCCTCTGTATATGCAATGTCATAGTCGTCGCCGGCCTTGCTTCCATAGCGCCGGTGAATGCAAAATAAATCCCAGCAAAATATAAGTAAAAACCCAACCCTCGAAGAAAATAACAAACAAAATAAATAGACCCATATGTGACGGTGAGTAGTGCTCGGAATGATTCATCTCCCATGCTTTCTATATGCATAATTCGTGATGGGGGTTGGAGGTTAAAGTGAATAGTGAGATATAAATAAGGAGTTGCAAGCGAGTGCAAAGTAAAAATAGAACTGTAGGTCGTCTCTCCATGCAAGGGTGACTTGTGACTTCATCAATGGTTTATTCCGGGGGATCGGCATGTGCACGTTCAGGTTCGTGACTCGTGGTCTTCCAGTATTCGTCGTTCTTGTCCGCCACTTCCGAGGCGACCGAGGAGCTCGGACTGGAATATGGTAGCGAGGCGGCGCTCGAGGCCGAGAGAAGGTCCGAGGCCGACGCAGGGCTCTCAACGTCTTTGCTCACCCATTTCGGAACTGGGTTCGACAGTACGGGAACCGTCATCGTTGTCGTTATCGCCAGATCCGACGGCGTCTCGTTCTGAGCCGGCAGAGGCTTCGCGCCTTCATTATGGGTTTCCAGAGGTCCCAGCGTCCACCGCCATTCGCACCGGCGTTTGACTCGTTTCTGGCGAGGCGTCTGAGGAGTCGTCGAGCCGTAATTTTCCTCCAGTCCGTCCATCAGCGCGACCGCGCGAACCTGTTTTTCCGCGCTCAGGTGTTTTCGTTTCTTCCGTTCCAGCGTGGATGACGGGGAGCGGCGCGTGCCGGCTGCGGAATCATCCTCGTCCGAGGTGCTGGCATCCGACGGAGCCAGGCTGGAGTTGGAATCTGAATCTTGATCGGAGCTTGTCTGAGGAGGTTGTTGCTCGGCCTCTGGTTCCCCCGAGAGATCGGAGTGCCGGGCGGTATAGTGTACGGTTTGGATTTCTTCTTCGAGTGGTTGTCGATAGTTGACTTGCTTCTTCGCCGGAAAAAATACCCGGCGCGAGCCCGTGCTTCCGGTGGCACTCGTGGCTAGCCGACATGTCGGCTCCAGCGGGGAGTTCCGCAGGATGCTCTTCACTCCCAGAGGGAGCTGGTATGGATTATTATTGGTGTTGCTGTTGTTCTGGGCGTATAAAGGATAGGGTGATGAGGGTTTGCTGAATCGACTGGCGGAAGATTTGGAGGGGGAGGCGGTAGCGGAGGAGGGAATCGCTGCATCGTAGGCATTCTTGAAGGTATTGCGAACAGTGGGAGAGGCCGTTGCACCGCCCGCCAGCGAGAGCGAGAGTCCAGTCGAAGAGGTTCCAAAGGTTCTCGGTAACGAGGTCGTTTGGAGTGTGAGTTTCGGGCGGGATGCCACGGTCGGCCGGTGTTCGGCAGTTGTATTCGAGGAGAAACTGCAGGTCATATTGGGATGCGAGACAGTCGACTGCGACTGTGACGGCTGAGGGACGATGGAGGTCATCGTAGAGAATCGAACGGCATGGGAAGAGTGAGACAGAGGATAAAGGTAGAGATCGATAGAGGGGCAGATCGAAAGAAACCAGTCGAGCACCGAGCAGGGGTAAGGGTAGAGAAGAAAGAAGAAGTAACGACCAGGACTGGGAGTCAAAAGAGAAAGCCAACCCCCGCACGAAAGCGCCGTGATATCACCGAGAAGAGGGAATCGCTTCGAGGGCGATAAGAAAGACTAATAAGACTAACGCACTTAAGCGTGTCGACGATCCAGGGTGTTTGGCGCAGGAAATGAGGAGAAACGATGGGCGCTTGTCCAATCCCTTTTTTTTCCCTGTCTTTTTCTTGCGTCCAGTTCTTTTATTATTTTTATTTTTCCTGATTGTTCCTAATTTAGGATTGCCACTCTTGACGGGTGGACGATCATTATTGACGAGCCATGATGACTTGGATGGTGGGAATCGGGCACAACGGTCAGATGGAGGAGAAGAGTGAGGATTATGTAGTACAACTAGAAGACGAGGACAAAGAAGATGGGAAGGATGAGAAGAAAAAAAATCGGGACGAGGTGTTCAGAAAAATAATAAGAGCGAGAACTATAACTAAACGGTGAATGCCGCAATTCTGGAGGGTGAAGAATTCCAGCGAATGGAAGGAATGGAAGGCAACACAAAGCCGAAGCGCATGGACGACGTTAATTAAAATATTGTGATAGCCTCGAGATAGTCGCGCCGACTAATGCGGTGGTCCTACACCACGCTGCGACTCTGCTAATAATAAAGCGAGACTATCGAGTGGCATCGACGCCGCATCAGCTCTCTATTCTTGTCTGGACCCGGTCGAATTTCTCCGCTGAGGATCCCTGACTGGTCTGGCTTTGGCTCACGACACGCGGCCGATCCATCGTAGCGATCGACTGTCCTCCACTTGACATCATCCCATGTCGGGAACAATTCGACAAATCCTCTGGTACTGATCTACTGAGTATGAGGATAGAGGATTCTTTGATCGACTGAACAGAGCACAACGAAGTGTGAAGAGTACTGTACGGAGTCAAAAGTAGAGACAGTTCCAGTCTGACTAGTTATTAATAGCCGCCGGTCTCGTCACGCTGCAGCTCGAGGATGCAGGGATGCTATAAAAAGATCCCTGTCGGTGGGGTCGCCAAGACTGCGCTAGTCCAGTTCGGCCGAGGTGGCGTCTACGCGCTAACCCGATGTGCTCGCTTAGTCAGTTCCCCCGCTCCAGCCACCGCGCGAGAGAGCCACACCCGTGACTCCCCAGCCGCTCGCTGCGTGTGATTCGGCCTGGATTTACCGCCGGGAGTGACGGGCGTTGCATTCTTATGGAATAACTCCTCATTCTCGGTCCCTGTCAAACGTTCCATCCTATTCATCTTCTATTCAGTATCCATTCTGGCGACATTGACTGGCCCTTCCCTCCGCAAGTCGGCAGTAGCGTGCTGTAGGATTCTCGTCGGGAAAACTCTTAAAAGAAATTTACATGGCGGCGGTCCCTGCCAGAGATGACCGTCGAATCATTCTTCATTTTGTTAGTGCCGCCCAACGGAGAAAATTTGGAGGAGACAAAAAATAAAATAAAATAAAAGTCGACAATGAAAATGAGAGAGAGAAAAAAAAAAAAAAGCCGTGACTCAGACTAACCGTCGGATTTTGGTCCCCACAGGATTATGATTGCTTCTATGCCTCCGTTTTCGAAGTCGAACAGCCCGTCTTGAAATCGTTGCCTTTGGCCGTTCAGCAGAAGCAAATTGTTGTAACTTGCAACTATGAAGCCCGGCGCCGGGGTCTGCGCAAACTCCAACTCATCCGGGAAGCCAAGCAGATCTGCCCCGACGTGGTGATCGTTCTGGGTGAGGATCTAACCAAATTTCGGGATGCGTCCAAGGACCTTTACCTCTTCCTGCGCGATTTTGTCTGGGGAGGTCGCGTGGAAAAACTGGGCTTCGACGAGGTAGGTTTTACTCCTAGTTTGGTCTTGTCTCTGTTGCTCTTTTCGCCTCTTGCCTTCTTGTTTTCTTGTGTCTCATTGACTTGATGCAATACTTGGTCCTGTCGTCTTTTGTTTCCATTTTTGCTTGCCGTCCCCACAGACGGTGGATCCTGGTGCCTGATTAGTGATTTCTGATAACGGGAGCGCAGTTGTTTTTGGATGTCACAGACATGATCACGTACAACGTGGATCTGCTGAACCGAAACGATCTAGAACATTCATTCTTTCATCTCGACCGCCAGGAGCCCACCGTAGGCTTCCCCTACAATGCCTCCAATCCGCTTGGTCCCACGTATCCGTCGGACTCGGCCTGGTCATCGCCCGCTGCCCTACCGGATTCGTCCTCGCTGGACACCAAGCTTCTGGTTGCCTCCCATCTAGCAGGTTACCTGCGAAGTCAACTCGAGGAACAGAAGGGTTACACTGCCACGGTGGGCGTGTCGACCTCGAAACTTCTTGCCAAATTGGTGGGAAACATTCATAAGCCCAATAGTCAGACAACCCTCCTACCGCCATACGTTGCGGCGCAGCCTGGCGCACATACCACCGTCCTCGATTTCCTCGACGCCCACGAGATCCGGAAAATCCCCGGCATCGGCTCGAAAATTGCCCAACGGATCACTTCCCATCTCGTCAAAACAGGCGCTCGATCGGAAACCATCCAAGATGAAACAGCCCCTGTCGGAGATGCCCCTGTCACGGTTCGAGACGTGCGTCGGTGTCCCGGCATGAGCCCCTTACTTCTAGATAAGATCCTCGGCGGCCCCGGATCCCCCAAGGATGTTGGAATCAAACTCTGGAGACTTATTCATGGCGTAGACCATTCGGAGGTCCGGGAGGCTCGGGACCTACCCACTCAGATCAGTATCGAAGACACTTACGGGCGCATGGATACTCTCGATGCGGTCAGACGAGAGCTGAACTCTTTGACGGTCAGTCTGATCCGGCGCATGCGGACTGATCTGACGGAGAGGCTAGATGAGAGCGAGGCAGCGACTGGGAGAGCCCCTGGCCCTCGGCAACCTTTAGAAGAAACGAGGCGCACGCGATGGCTGGCTCACCCTAAGACTCTACGTCTTTCTACGCGACCTCGGCCGCCTCCCACGCCGGATAGTGGGCAGTATCGCAGCTTCAACCGCATCTCGCGCTCTGCACCTCTCCCTCAGTATGCGTGCAACCTGGACGAGAACGTTGATGCGCTGGCGGAGCGACTCGTGCAAGATCTGGTCATGTCCATGTTTCGGAAACTTCATCCCGAGAAGTCCGGATGGAACCTGCATCTGTTAAACGTCGCTGTGACGAATATGATCGAGACAGCCGGGGAGCGGAAGCAGAGTAGCGGTCGGGACATAGGGAAAATGTTCCAAAACCAAGATAAAGCAGATCAAGGTTCTTTCCGCCAAAGGGAACTAGGCTTGCTACCGGTCACGCAGTCATCCATACCAAACGTCTCCAGCGAATCCGACCTCCAACCCGAGGGGGTTGATACATGGGAGGAGAGCGACGAGGAAGAGGATATGGCCTGCATAGCCTGTACCATCTGCGGAGCATTGATCCCACATTTTGCGCTTGTAGCCCACGAGATCTATCACTCAGCGCCGGGGGGATGATAGAAACATCTCGTCCTAAGTCCCTGGCATTGGTGATGCTAAGGTTAACTCTGCGTACCGAACCGAAGGTATGTTGCGGATTCGCATTCCAGACCACTCAGTCATGATGTTGTTCTATTCATGACTCATTCACTTGGAGCACGCAATCTGAGTAGAATCGATATGAAATCACTTATGCTTCTCCTATGTCTTCTACTTCTTCTTCGCTCTTCCATCCTCGATCATGTGCTCCTTCTACGTCGTGCTCTCAGAGCTCCTCGACCTCATAATCAGCTACCTCCCTTTCGTAGACTTCATATCCCTTCGCCTGACATGCCACGCACTAAGCGAATGTGCCGCGCGCTGGCTGTTCCGCAGTGTTTGTGCTATGCATTACCAGCCCACCGATAACCCTAGACTACACCCAGGGTTCTTCGAGCAATACGCCCCTTTAATCCGACAACTGTTACTTCTAGATTTTGGACATCCCGATCGAAAACTCGGCCTCCCAGCCGACTATTTAACAAAAGACCTGTCGATATCTGAAGCCTCATATCTTTCAAGCGCATGCCCTCTTTAGAACCGCTCGAAGTGGGAACGATGTCGCCGTTGTTCCGCAATGATTCTATCGCCGGTCAATTCGAGAGCCTTATGTTTCAAGCCAGCCTACTCACCCCGCCGGCGGAGTGAATCCTGCCGCAGCTGCGGTCATGTATGTACCCCCTTACGCAGGTAAACCAACAAGCGGATGGTTGACCACTATTCACTATAGTGAGCCTATGTATCCGACTAGATTCCAAAAAAGAACAGTGGTACCTCGGCAATCTGGCGGTTCTATTTATCATCCTCGCACTAGAGCACCTCTGGCTGAACCACCTGATCCTGTGCGATCAAGACCCCAAATCACTCGTGAGTTTTGATCTCATTCAACGACAAACTAATCTAAAGTCCTTGGAGATTATCTGTACACATTGCGACATCACGGCGTTGGAGAAGATATATTATTGTCGATACCCCGAGCTTTGACCCGTCTGCAGCTCCACCATGGTAATCCGCCGAAGATGAACCACCTGAGGGCTGGCCGGAAGAATCTAGCCTCCTCCATGAGCGTGTGTATCGAGCTGTTTTGCAACAAGGGGCATCTCTAGAGGACTTGACTCTGCGTTGGGATATTGGCTTTCTGCCAAGTTACGCGTTTGATTTGTCGTGTGAACGGTTTCCGAGGCTGCGGAAGTACTTGGGCAATTTTATGGATTCGTCGAATAGATTTGCACGACATGTTGAGAAGAAATGGTGAAGCAAGGGTTCGATTCCTTGTGTACGCTGCGCGGTAGCAAGCGACTCATCCGGACTAGACGTAGTATAGAACCCTACTGAAATCAAGAGAAGTCTTGCTGCTCTAGCTTATTCGGTTGATATGTAGTAAATAGTACTGTAGTAGTCGGCACTTGGACCTAGCTTTGGCGCTATTGGGCCATAGCCTATACCCACTGGATAAGTCCGGGGTACGGATCTGAACCATAGATCTATACCAATTTATTGAATCATTCTCAAGATCTCAAGACATGACTCTACTAAATCTTATCTACGATCACGATCTACTGTAAAGCCTTCCAAGTAGGGCTGACATGCCGAGAGTCACGGGGGTTGGCGCCAAGACCCGGTCCCTTCTTTCCTTCTCGTTCTCAGTCGTGGAATCTCGTCTTCATTTCCCTCCATCCACTCGCTTCCGTCGACATCAAATCCTCCAACCCCCTCCAATACTTCGTCGTGAGTCTTTCCCCTCTTTTCTGCGCCCGTCATTGCGGTCATTGTGCAGGAGACAACACCTTGCCCAGCACCCACGCGCCGTGGTCGACGATCGCCGTCCGACCCCGTTACATCGTTGTCGCGGACAACCGATAGAAATCGCAGACTCGCCGACGCTATTGGTTACTAACGCCTTATTAACTCCAGGGTCCATAGTGTTATTCTCGACTCCGGACACCGAACTCACTTCCATGCAATCGGCGTGAGACATTAGTCGCTCGACCTTTCGTCTGTTTTCTTGTCCTTCTCCACCCTTTCCATCCGCTCTGTTCCGCCTTCTCCTTTCTCATCTTTTCCTTAACTTTTACCCTTACTCCCTTCCATCCATCAATTCACTGTCCGGCGGGGTTGCAATCCACTCTTTGAAGCCCATCTTTCACGTTCGTTCGCCTCTCAAGTCGATCTCGCCTCGCACTCCCTCCGGCTTCCCGCCAAGCCTGCTGCGCCTCGCGGCCAAGCATATCTCCGTCGCTTTCGGTGGCTTGCTTGACTTGACCGACTTCTCTCATATACCAGGAAGGGCCGATCAAAAGAAACTTATTGACATTTATTGCATCTATTGCTTGCATAGTGCATGTCAATCCACGCGTTCGGGAGCCACGGAGGTATGACCGGTTTCTAAAGACCTCGACTAAAGCGCCGAACGGAGATCTCGATTTGTTCGTCTGCACAGGGAGAACCGCTGTTCTTTTTGGCTGTTGCCTGATGCTACTCGTCGGTCGTTCGGTTCTCCAAACTTAACTTTATTCTTCATATTTCATATTCTTTTTATCCTGTCTAGTTATACCCATACTTTCTTTTTCGTTTTCGATCGAACAACCTCTCTTCGTCTTCCTGGCCGTCAGTCCAGTTCCTCGCGGCCATGAGGCTTTTCAAGCATTCGTTGCGCCTTGTGGCAACGACACTTGCACTCCTCACGGCGGGCACTGATGGTGAGTATTCTTTTCTTCTTACTTTTCCTTACCTCGTTTTACTTTTGTTGAAGCCGTTTTCTGATCCGAAAACATCTAGCCCGGTCGCAAGAGCCCAATGCTATCCAACGTGTTTCAACCCTCGATCATACAACGATAAACACGCCCTCTCATCAAATAGACCATCTTTCTCATTTTGATATAACGTTCAACCTTCGCGACAAGAACCAGAGAATTAAATTAGAACTAGAACCGAACCATGACATTCTCGCCGAAGACGCTTATGTACAATACCTAGACGCCGAAGGTAAAGTTCGGAGAGAGGAGGCTATCCCACGACACGAACACAAGGTCTTCAAAGGAAGATCCCTGAAGGGGCGAGGGAAGGGCCAGTGGGACCCGGTAGGCTCGGCCAGAATCTACATCAAGAATGACGGACCCCAGCCACTGTTCGAAGGTGTATTCAGTATCAACGGCGACAATCATCACGTGGAATTGAAATCGACTTACTTGGAAAAGAAGCGCTCCCAGGACGTCGACATTCCCGACCGCAAAGGCGATTACATGGTCTTCTACCGTGATTCTGATATGATTCGACAAATCCATACCGATCTCAAGCGTTCGCTGCCCATCGATTCGTCGTGCTCAGCAGACAAGTTAGGCTTCAATGCCGATCCCAACCACCCAGTTCTTCAACCTTTAGAGCAGGAGAGCATGGGTAGCTGGGGGGCAATGTCCCTGAACTCTTTGTTTGGACTGAGCAAGCGGCAGTCTGATATTGGCGGCTCTTCGGGAAATGCTGGCGGAGTGAATTTGAAGTCCACTATTGGTAGCACCTCAGGCTGTCCCAATACCAAGCAGGTTGCGCTCATCGGAATCGCCACCGACTGCGAATTTACCGGTTCGTTCAAAGACGAAGAAGCGGCCAAACAGTGGGTGATCAATACCGTCAACAGTGCATCCAACGTCTATGAGAAATCGTTCAACATCTCCATCGGTCTGCGAAACCTGACTGTAACAGACAAAGAATGCCCTGAAAACCCGCCATCCTCAACAGAATGGAACATGCCCTGTTCTAAGGGGAATATTACCTCACGCCTGGACCTTTTCTCCAAGTGGCGTGGACAGCAAAAAGATGATAACGCCTACTGGACTTTGATGAGTGACTGTCCTACGGGCCCCGAAGTCGGATTGGCATGGCTGGGTCAGCTGTGCAATAACGAGGTCTCTAGCGATGGTTCCAACGCTGTCAGCGGCACCAATGTCGTCGTTCGCTCCTCGGGGGGTGGATGGCAAATCTTTGCTCACGAGTCGGGCCATACGTTTGGGGCGGTTCACGATTGTGACTCTCAGACTTGTTCACAGAACCTCGCGGCATCTTCCCAATGCTGCCCGCATACTTCGAACGAGTGTGATGCTAAGTCACAATACATCATGAACCCCAGCACGGGCCAGGATATCACCAAGTTCTCGCCGTGCACAATCGGCAACATCTGCTCCGCCCTCGGTCGCAACAGCGTCAAGTCTACCTGCCTTTCCGATAACCGCGGAGTTACCACCTACACGGGTGGCCAGTGCGGCAATGGCATCGTGGAGTCCGGTGAAGACTGCGATTGTGGCGGGGAGGAGTCTTGCGGCGACAACAAATGCTGTGATGCCAAAACCTGCAAGTTTAAGGATAATGCGCAGTGTGACGATGCCAACGATAGTTGCTGTTCGGACTGTAAATATGCCAAGGCCGACACTGTCTGTCGAGCTAGCCGCGGTGAATGTGATGTGGAGGAGAAGTGTACAGGAAACTCGAGTACCTGTCCTTCCGATCATTTCAAGGATGATGGTACGAAGTGCGGTAACTCCTCGTCTGGCTTGACCTGCGCCAGCGGCCAGTGTACCAGTCGGGATTACCAATGCCGGAGCGTTATGGGCAGTCTGCTTCACAGCAATGACACCAATGCATGCAGCCAATTCAACGACAAATGCGAGATCATCTGCTCCTCACCCGGCTTTGGTCAATGCGCGAGTGTCAACCAGAACTTCTTGGACGGGACTCCTTGCGGCAGTGGCGGTCACTGTGACAATGGAAGCTGCAAGGGTTCTAGCGTCAAGAACTGGATCGATGACCACAAAAATGTCGTTATTGGCATTGCTTGCGGTGTGGGAGGGTTCATTGTTCTTGCTATCCTGTTCTGCCTCATCAACCGGTGTCGCCGGTCTCGACCGACCGCAAAGCCGGTGCCACCGCGGCCTCCCTACGGCTGGACAGCCCCGATGCCACCACCACCGCGCCCTCCCATGGGCCAGTGGCCCAACGTACCGACGCGAGGATACCAGGGACTAGCCACAGAGCCTCCTCCCCCTCCTTATCCCGGCCCATCGTACAACAACCCCGGGGGCGCAGGGTACATGCCGCCTCCGGCGCGATACGCATGAGCGTGCCGCACTCGATGTTCTTTCCATTCTACCATCTTGCTTTTTGATTTAAGATGCATATATCTATGCGATGAGTGTCTGTTTGCATGACGAATCTGTAAACACTTATTGCATCCTGACGATCCTTTTAATTGGCACCGGCGCAGACATAGATCTTTTATTCTTGTTATTTCTTGCTTATATTGGAAGATATCATATCTCTTTTCATCTGGCTAATACTATTCATTTTCTCTTACATTTATATGTCTGTTATTCTTCCCGTATCTGTACTGCTTGCTTTCGGATTGCTCCTTCGTGTGTGTTCCTACTGGATATGTCGTGTCAACCCTGTTATCTGTACAATCATGATTATCTATGGATGACCCTCGGCATCCATGATCATATAACCAGCCAGTGTTTTGAATGCATGAGGTGATGATCTTCGTTTGGAATTGTAGGGAATAAAAACAAAGTCCAGAGAAATAGAAGAAATAAACAGCTAGGCGCCCACCCAATGCCCAAACAAAAGCAGCCAACAATAAACTAAACACTTCACCTAGAATGGCGAATGCAAAAACCAAATATCGGAAAACCAAAAAGAAAAAGACCAAAATGAGAAAAACAGTGAGATCCCCTGGTGTCCAATGCACCAGTTATCTCGTGGACATTGCGTCCTCCGTCCTTTTTTGCTCTGCTCTCTCTCCCCTTGACCGGATCACTGAACCAACCCACTATTTTTGATAGATAGAGTATGTATGTATGTGTATGCCCGGACCGATGACCGTTGATCGTTCAGCGTTGATAAATAAGAAAGAAGACCGTGCCAAAACACCCTAATGTCAAAAAAACAAAAGCAAAAGAGGAAATAAAAGTTGTACAAAACACCAAGTATCACTGCCAGCAGATACTCACAAACGCCTCCCTCGTAACACCGCCCACGCCCTCCAGATCGAACTCCTCGATCATAGCGCGCAGCTCCTCCTCCTCGAGGCCCGTCTCGCCCAACTCGCGCGCCACGCGTCGCAGATCCTCCAAATCGATGTATCCCTTTCCGCCCTCGTCGAAGAGTTCAAACGCCCGCAGGATCTCGTCGCGCGGATCCCGCTCGAGGATCTTCAGCGCCGTGACGGCCTGGAAGGCAGAGAGCGGCATGAGCAGGTTGGATGGGTGTTGGGGGTTCGTGGCCGGCGCGGCGCGCGACTGCTGCTGGTGCTGTGATTGTTGGGCTGCGGCTTGTTGGACTTGGGGGCGGGGTACGCCGTAGGTCGTTAGGAGGGAGATTAGTTCTTGTTTGGGGAGCGTGAAGCCGAGGGCGCGGAAGGCGACGCGGAGTTCGTGGTAGTCGAGGTGTTGGTCGCGGTCGAGGTCGAAGAGTGTGAACTATTTTATGGGGAGGGGGGGAGGCTGGGTTAGCTATGTTTGTATTTGGGGTTCCATTGAGGTTTGTTTCAGAGGATTGGTGTAATAGTTGCGTCTCTTGTAAGGACGGAGAACGGATGGAAGGATTTATGCATGGACTCGAGGCAACGAGGAATAGAATCTCTTACAGCTTCATTGATCTCCTCACGCTGCTCCTCCGTTAACCGACTCAGCGGATTCGAGTCCTGCGAGGGACCGTGAGTCTGCGAATGCACCGGGGGAGCCGGGGCCTGCTGCGAGGCTTTGGCCGCCTCGGGCCCAAAGTCGCTAGGTCCGGGCCCGCCTAGTCGTTGCCGCGAGAACGACGAAGCACTGAGTGGCATCGCATTGGCATTGACGGATCGATCGGGCAATCTGCCTGCGTTGTAGGAGCGCGTCCCGAACGGTGGCTGAGCGGACGCCATGGTGGTGGGAATGAATCCCCGGGAAGGAAAGGGGGAGGAAAGAGAGCCGGTATTTGCACTGGGAGACACAGACGAGAAAAGGCAATGGCGCAGAGGAGATGAAACGAGGTCTTTTACGTCGAGGGGTGGACGCCGTGGATGGTGGATGGATTGTCTGCGGCGGTTGCGACGACGCGAATTCGGAGGACGCGAGGCGGTAAGCAGAGCCCGCGTTGCTTGGCGGCGGTGGTTACAGATATACTATGGACTGCAACAGGAAGATTCCAGCCATGAATGATCTAATATGTACTCCGTACGGAGTATACCGATGTTCATTTATTCTGTACGTCTGTATGTCATTTGGCTCATCTATTTACACAGCGGCCTGCCTAAGTTCCGCTATCTTGTCCCTTGCGGCAGACCGTTCTCCACCGCTTCTAAGTTGATTTCAGACTAGCAGAATAGGCGGTTGTTCATGAGGACTTCCTTGGCCTATCTTCATGTTGCAGTGTTTTTTGGGGATGGTCGCTAATGAATAGCTGAGATGTCCGATAAGGTGTCGATGGTGCCGATACGATGCGGTCCTCGACCTCCAAGGCGGTTGTCGGTCGAATAGAACAAGGATCACGTTGCGGAGTCTCGGCGTGAAGACCAACGCATTATCTCTTGCATAATCATTCAGCGAATCCATAGCTCGTGTGTTGTGGGTGTATCCTGGGTTCATGGGGTCGATCGAAAGATACATCAAAACGGACCATCCGAGAAATCCATGTCTTGAGTTTGGAGATTTGGGTCGACTTGATAGCCCAGATCCAGGTCTTCCAAGAATTTCCGATCCTTCAGTTTCTCCGGGAGATATTCTTGCGCCACCTCACCATTCCTATAGTTCGGGTTGTACTTGTACTCCTTTCCATATCCAAGTTCTTTCATCAGCCTGGTCGGGGCGTTTCGGAGATGGATTGGAATGGGCAGCCCGGCGACGCCCGGCTCTGCAAGCGCAGCGTTGGCATTGTTTAGGCCTCTGTATGACCGCGTGCTCTTCTTGGACAACGCCATAGCTACCGTGGCGTGGGCTAGGTTGATGCGTGCCTCGGGAAGCCCAATCTTCTCGACAGCCGAGTGAGTTGAGATGGCAAGCGTGAGCATACTGTTGTCTGCTAGACCAATATCCTCCGAGGCCACCACGATCAAACGCCGGGCGATATATAACGGGTCTTCTCCAGACTGTATCATCCGTGCTAAATAGTATAGAGCCGCGTCCGCGTCGCTGCCCCTGATTGACTTGTGAAAGGCTGAGATCGTATCATAATGCTGGTCTCCCGCACGATCATACACCAAGGTCTTAGTCAAGGACCGCTTCAGCTCTTCGCTGGAGATTCCAGGTCGTTTCGATAGGTCCATTGCTAGTTCGAGGAGGTTGAGAGAAGTTCGAGCATCGCCGTCGGAGAACTTGGCCAGGTACTCAACTAGCTCATCGTCAACCAAGCTAGACGGCGCATAATTTGGTCCCTCAACCTCCAGAGCACGGTAAAGAATCTGCGCGACGTCTTCATCGGTGAGCTTGGACAACGTAAAGGTTCTGCACCGGGAGAGTAAGGCACTCTGAACCTTGAAGGAGGGGTTCTCCGTGGTGGCACCGATCAGGGTAACCTGTCCGCTTTCCACGGGCCCCAAGAAGACATCCTGCTGCGTTTTGGAAAAGCGATGGATTTCGTCGCAGAAAATTATGGTCTTCCTCCCGGTAAGCCCTAATTCGCTTTTCGCTTCGGAGAATATCTTCTTGCACTCCGCGACTCCAGTACTGGTGCTGTTTATTTCCACAAACCGACTGCCCACCATCGATGCGATGACCCTGGCAATGGTTGTTTTACCGGTTCCCGGGCCTCCCCATAGGATCATGCTAGGAACCCGGTCTTGTTCAATCAATCCGCGAAGAACGCCATGTTGGCCGACTAAGTCCTGGCCGCAGACCTCGTCTAGGGTGCGAGGACGCATCCGTTCCGCCAAGGGGGCCGCTTTCTTAAATGCGTTCATCTTTGGTTTCTTTGACTGCGGCTCCGATTGAGAGGGATCCGAGCTCGATGCGGGATTCGTCTCCGCTCGGTGATCCGAGGGTGGAGGCATCGTTCGCTTGCGGGTGACATTTTGTAGAGGCGAGGAATCGGAGCGTATATCTTTCTGCGCGTTCGGTTGTGAGGGGGTTTTACGCGCTGATGCTGGCTGGAAGATGCTTGGAACTTGGGCCTTCTGAGAGGACGAGTCCCCCGCAATGGAGGTCGGTTCCTCGATAAAGCTTTGACAATTGGAATCAATGTGATCGTTGATCTTCACGGAGGGGACGGAGTTGCTGCAAATGGGACACGAGACCATCGTGAGCAGCCGGCGAGATGAGAATTGACGGACGGCAGCTCCGGAGGCACCGTCGAAGGTCGAGATGGATAGATCAACTTGAACTATCAGGGACAACGCGAGAAACGCGTGCGGAGAACCGCTGAGTCAGCCGTCATCTTCCCCTTTCGGGCGATCAGGCACGGAACGCGCTAGTCCGGATTGGGTCAAAGCACGCCATTTGCGGTGTCTTACATAAGCCCCCGTCGTCATTCCCCGATTCTGCGACTCATCGCGCTCTCTCTTCCTCTTACTCCCTCTCCGATTTCCGGCCCAATTCCCCTCCATCTCCCCTCCGTCCGTATCTTACTTATGTTCTCGGGATATCGTGCGTCGGTCTCATTTGCAGCTGCTGCCAAAGTCAACTCTCCGTCAAGTCCTCTTGTCGCCTCCGCGTTTAGATCTCAACCCCGCCTTATATTTCCCCGCGCTAGAGAAATGTCCGCAACGGCACCTCGGCCTGACCCTTTTCGACCGGCGAGGAGGGTCGCTGGCCAAAGACAAGATGTTTGGTACGACATGTTTTCTAGTAAAGGACGCTGTAGAATGGATCTCTAACTAGTCCGTAGGTCAATTGTCAACGAAGCTGCCGCCGCTTCTCCGGTCCAGCCCATTGTGAACATGGGCCAAGGGTTCTTGTGAGTGAGGAATAATTCCCCGTAGGAATCTGCTGTCACATGCTGACCAGGGTCACTATGTGCTCAGTGGATACAACCCTCCTAAATTCGCTATCGATGCCGCGAAGGATGCCCTCGACCGAGTGGAATGCAACCAATACTCCCCGACAAAGGTACCAGCATAACCGAGCGTCATGCGGCAACTGAGCTTCTGCTCACGGTAATCATAGGGTCGCCCCCGCCTGAAGAAGGCTCTCGCGGATGCGTATTCCCCGTTCTTCGGCCGGACTCTGAACCCAGACACGGAAGTTTCGATCACAACGGGAGCAAATGAAGGAATGCTGAGTGCGTTCATGGGATTCATTGAACCCGGTGATGAGGTTATCATTTTCGAGCCTTTCTTCGACCAGTAAGTCTGTGCGGTGTAACCAATAAAGCCATGGTGCTAACAATTAGGAAAAGATATATCAGCAACATTGAAATGCCCGGCGGCACTATTCGATATGTGCCCCTTCATCCGCCCAAGGATGGAGCCACCAGAACTTCCCCTGCTTCTGAATGGACCATCGACTTCGAAGAGCTAGAGAACACCATTAACCCCAAGACAAAAATGATCGTAAGTCTTCTAATTGAATTCACTATCGTGTCAGCTTCTGATCTTTCTTTTTAGGTCTTGAACTCACCGTGAGCGATGTTCAACCTTTCCCTCCTCCGACTTACTGACCAAAATCACAGCCATAACCCCGTTGGAAAGGTCTTTTCCCGTGCTGAGCTCGAACGGATCGGTGATCTCTGCATCAAGCATAACCTCATCATTCTCTCCGACGAGGTTTATGACCGTCTATTTTATGTTCCCTTCACCAGAATCGGTACCTTGTCTCCTGAGCTCTACGAGCGCACCCTCACCGTTGGCTCGGCTGGAAAGGCCTTCTATGCAACGGGCTGGCGTGTTGGGTACCTGATTGGGCCCGAGCATCTGATCAAGTATGTCGCTGGCGCGCACACTCGGATTTGCTACAGCAGCGTCTCCCCGCTTCAAGAAGCTGCTGCTGTCGCCTTTGAGCAGGCCGACAAGGTAGGCTTTTGGGACGAGAGCCGAACTGAGATGAAGGGTAAGATGGAGCGTTTCTGCCAGGTGTTTGACGAACTGAAGATCCCCGTAAGTGTTTTGCGTCTGCTTCGCTTCTTGGTATTTCCCCCCACTGACGGCTTACTACAGTACTCGGATCCTGAGGGTGGCTACTTTGTTCTCGCAAACATGTCGTCGGTCAAGCTCCCCGAGGACTACCCTTTCCCTCCCCACGTGGCCAGCCGCCCTCGCGATTTCAAGCTCTGCTGGTTCCTAATTCACGAAGTCGGCGTGGCAGCAATTCCCCCGACCGAGTTTTATACCGACGCGAACGCCCATATCGCCGAAGACTACCTTCGTTTTGCCGTCTGTAAGAATGACGACGTATTGGAAACCGCGAAAGAGAGGCTACGGGGTTTGAAGAAATATATTGTGCAGTGAAGCCAACGAAATTTGAACAATCTTTTCGGGGCTATACGGTCATTGCAAAACAAGAGTGGGTCAGTCAGTCTCTCTCCAGGTAGGATATGTAGAATCTATCAAAGAATTTATGAATAGGATGGCAAAGACCGCAAAATAGAAAGATTGATTTGGGGTTTTTTTCAGCTATTAAAGTCTTGTTGCTCTAGTTTTCCATGCGCATCCCTCGTGAACCGCTTCTAGACCATCTGGTTTGCTTTCTTCGCCTTCCGCCCCCATTCTCACAGTCGCAGACCATGGACCAACGGCACAGATATCTACCAGAGTTCTTCAACGGAGTTGAAAGACGCTTGACGAATATGTGAAAAGTTCGCGAAGGAACCCAAGACATGGTGGAAACAAGAAAGAAGGCTTGAAAACCGCCGAGAAATATGATAGTACCGAAAAGAAATGATGGCCAAGCTTTGTCGAAGATCTTATGAACAATGGCGGAAGAGCAGCCTGCAGCATTTCCAGCCCTCATAGCAGCCAGAACTTAAGCATTCACGCCCTCAATTTCTCTTTCGCCACTACCGGCCCCATCCCATTCTTCTCCACGGCGGAACACTCGCTGATCTTCGTCAGCCACTTGATCGAAACCCTCTCCTCGCATGCGGGCAGCAATGTTGGTAGCACTAGGATGGGTCGTTCTTGCCGTTCGAAGAATCCAGTAAGTTCCCTCGAGATGATCAACCAACTGACCGTGACCTCTACCAGGGGGAGATCCCAGCAGACGACGGTATTCAGCCCGACATGCAGCGTCAGGACAGTTGCGACGGTTCTTCCCATTCCAATCTGTCTCACAGGCGTGTCTGTTCCCAGTGATGCCCTCCTGTATGGTCACGCTGAATTCATACTGAAATTGATACTTGAGCTGAACTTCCAAGTCTTGGGCTCTCTCATCTGCGCGCAGTTTGTCTCGGATCAACCGGAATAAATAATCCACCAGTTCGTGAACGTCGATCGTCACTGCAGAATATCACAGGGTTAGTACTTGGCTACGAAGTCAAAGCAGAGATTAATATGGCGACTTACAGAAGAGACAAATAGCGAGCACCCGACGGAAGCGATCTTTCTCCGCTGGGTCATCAAATTTGACTGTGTACACCACCCTGTGAGGGCAGCGTACATCCAAGTTGTTCTCGGGGAACCCAGCTTCAACGAAGTCTACCCAATCCGAGAATATGAAGTAGTCTCCTGCGCGGGTGTCTGCGCTGAAACGCACCGCCTGACGATGACGCTCAGGTGCATCGTAGAGATGAAGACATGGCACCATAATGGGGCCTACTCTGACCTGACGAGGGATTGAAGACTCTCGACAGGGATGCTCGAAGGTCATCTGTCCGCAATATAACCAGTGATATTTGACATCTTCGAAAAGGTGCTCTTTGCAGCAGTAGCGGATCTCAGAGTAAGGGCCGCAACGAGGGCAAATCACGGTTGCTCCATCCCATAAGTTGCAGCGTTTATCACATCCCGGCTTTGCACAAGGGAAACCGTGACTATCCAGCTGCCAGAAGAAACCCTCCGGCTTTTGTCTCGAAACATTTCCTTGGGAAGTGGATTGCTCGCTTTTAGCCGGCGACCCAGGGTGAGTGTGAATGGGAGTGGTAGTCTGCGATTTGCCAGAGCTTTCCGGATGTTTATTTCCAGTCTCGTTGGATTCGGCGGTAGATCCTTCGCTTTGCGGCGTGGCCTGTGGCCCGAAATTGCTCCAGACGGTGGTCGACGATTTGGGCGTGCTTGTCAGGAGGCTGCGTGTTTCAGATGTGAGGTTTTTGGTATCGGTATCAGTGTCTCCTGCTGCTTCTTGAATAGGGGACAGCTTTTCTCTGTGAATACTGCTGGCCCTGCGCGAGGACTGGGCTGGGCGAGGAGGCGGCGTCGAGATTGCTGTTGAGGACTCATCAGTGCTGGAGTCAAGAGCGATGTTTTTCATCTCCTCTTCAACGTCAGCAATGGATGTATTGCTCGCTGGCAAAGAAGAGCTTTCTTGGGGTCCTTCTGGAATCTCATTTCCGGTGACTGGATCGACCCTGGCAACGCGCCGTTTTCCTTTCTTGTTCGATTTTGCAGATTTCGACCGTTTGGTTGGCACGTCATGGGACTCCTTGCTTTCTTGTGTTTTCTTTTCCTCTTTAGTCTGGGCGCTCTTGGTCTGGGGGATTTCCTTGGCCTGTGAAACCTGTTTGTCCTGATAATTGGTTCCTTTGACAGCCGCAGAATAGTCGACAGCCTGGGATTCTTTCGTGCTGTAAGGCAGCTCAACTCTTTGAAGGGTCTTGCTCAGTGCTGAAGATGAAGCAGTATCACAGAGATCATCTTCCTTCTTTTGAGGCTGAGATTCTAGAGCTTCTACGCTTGGCTGACCACTGGACGTGCGAGATAACCTTCTGTGGGCAGAAGAGCTAGCATCGGGTGCAATCGACGCGAGATCGACCTTTTGGTACTTTTTGCCCTTCTTCTTTGCTTTCTTTGATGAGGTAGTAGGCTCTGTTGTGGTCACCTGAGTCTGAGGTGCAGTGGCCGACCTAGATGAATCCGCTGGACCGGACGCCTCGCTTGGAGAAGAGCGAGAGGCTGTTCGGGCACACAGGAAAGTGACAGCATCTGAGCGGGATTTTGGCTCCTCAGTTGCTGGGACTTCCTGCCGCTTGTCTAGTCACCGGTAAACATGTTAGCACTCGCGTCTTGATTCACTAGGGTACTGGAAGATAGAGATTAAGCGATGTAAACTCACCGGTGCAATTGTTGTTGCCACTCATTGGATCAAACTCAAGATCGATGCTTGTGGTCTGATCTGTTTCTGTGGTAGTAGAAGCGCGAGAGGAAGACGGGGAAGATTGTTGAAGAAGTAAGAACCTGTTACTGGAAGACTTCACTTGGTGAAGATCAAGTTCACTCAAGCACTTTGAAAAGCCAATCACCGCCTCGCTCGCCTGCGAAGGGTGCACCTGTTCAGACAAAGATGAAAAATCCTGGAAAGTCCCTTTTTTCTCTGTTGCCTTCTTCTGAGCTGCTTTCTTTCCGGATCCCTTCTTTGCTTTCCCTTTAACCCCAGTAGGAGCAGAATGGCTCTGGCTTTTGTACCTGGCCATCATGTTGATAGGTGAGAGTCTCAATGGGAATCGGATGTTTGCGGTAAGTCTTGACCTGGCGTTGAGATTTTCTACTGGCGAAGTTCCTTTATTAACAGAAGGATAGAAATATACCGTGTACTCTGAAGATATCCGCCTGTCAACTAGAAGGATCTTCCAATGTCTGTCGTTCACGTTTTCTGTGCAGCTCACACAAGACATCAGAGGAGGAGGGGGAAGAAGAAGAAGAAGAAGAAGAAGGAATACAACGTCCAGGCTACGAGAATAGTCATTTCTATCTCGCACAGCCGCATCGCCCTGGCGATTGCTCTGGTGAAGCTCCGCGTAACGGGGCCATACGGGGCCGCTACGCGGGTCCTGCGATGATTCTTTGTGGCTAACAAAGGGAAGCTGCTCAGGTTCACAACTTGAACTTGTCGACACAAGATACTTTTGATACAAAATCTGATATCAACATCTTGAATAAGTCAATAGTGTATATGCGTTAACAAGGTTGTCAAAACGGCTTCTGTATATTAGTCTTGCCCAGAAGCTTCTGTGGAGTGAAAGATTTGACTGGATATTATAGCTTCACTATTTGAATCATGAACGAAAACTACACTTTCTGCTTGTGTCCACCTACCTGTCTTACATTTCACTGCTCTTGTGATACTAGCCGACTTATAAGATAGGATCGGGGTCAAGATATTTTGATTGCGCTTTCTTCCAATGGCAAGGTCGTTATTTGCGTCTATTTGCATCCCATTGATTATATAAATCAATCTCCCAGTACTCTCGTATCTTGCAATACCGCTCTATGGTAGACAGCTGCCCTGATATCCTTAAGAAAGTGGTCTATATCTTCCCAGATGTTCGGTTCAGTTGCATTTGACCCTTTCTGTAGGTGTTGCCCCCATTATGGACATGATTTGCCCTACTACGACATTTCTCTACGTAGGCCAGACTTAGCTTCCAGATTGCATAGTATGGAGCTATCCGAATTATTGAATTTCCTCATGGTTTGGATCGCATCCTATCAAGCCATGACCGCAGCTCCGCCGATCTCCGAGATAGCAATTGTCCCAGCAGGGAAGGTCTGCAATTTTGGAACGGCCCACAAGAGTGTTAGATACAACACCCAAGGCCCGACCTCCCGATAAGGGTATTTTTCTGGGGATTTAATGCAGCCATATCTCGCTCGTTCCTGCTAGGTAGTATACATATCAAGCTCCCGAGGTTATGGCGCCTCTATCCTGGGGTCTCAGTTACTCAGCTGGAGCCGTTCAAAGTCGGAGATCTATACGAAAGTGGGCTGGACGAACTATCCGTAGTTACTACGATTCCTACGAGCTCAAGAGAATCCTAGATAATGTACTCGACGCAATTTGTGGAGTATTTGGTCCGTTGGAAGGGTTATAGATGGATTCGGAGTGACGATTTCGACGTAGACGAGCTGATTGCTAAATTTGAAGCTGCTCGGAATGAGTAGTGATGAATTATAAATGATATTGATTAACCAGAGTGTGCTAACTGCCAATTTTGATTTTATCAGGTCCTTGTGTTGACTGTTTTCCTGTTTACCAGTCGAGCTTCTTTACTACGTCGTATGTCACTTGCCCTCTTCTATCATCCCGACCAAGCTTATCCTTCGTTTTGATCAACCTCTTTTTGCCATTACAGTTGCCGAGTACCACATCAATCTGATCGCAGTCATCTTCAATTACACGTCGCTGCCAGCTACGCGTCAAGCCGGCGTTCACTTTCCTTGTCACGGATCTCCTTACTTCGTCGTCAAGCCTACCCGGCCATTTCGGCTGTCTATAATCTGCCATATTCGTCCTACCACGATACCTGAACCCCAATGTGCTCGTGCCGACCACTTGCAAGCCGAAAACGCTAATTTGCAGCGTACCGTCCAGCAGCTTCATGCTGCGCTTGATCCGCGAGAACTCCCTTACCTGCGACTCGAGCTTGCCAACACTAGACATGCTACCAGAATCATCATCTTCATCACATACCATACCTTTCCGCTCATAGCAAGGTCTTTACAACAGTGGTAACATGTGGGGGTGTGGCAGGGACGAGCGAGGTGTGGTTGTATCCGCTCCCTTATTGGCAGTTAGTGGACTGATTCTGAAAATTCTGCAAAGCTTTTAAGGTATTGGAGGCACTGGATCAACGCCTGTTCCTGCTACATCGCCTTTAAGTCTCAGTCGAAGTCTCGAGGACCATCAAGCAGAGGGAAAAGAAATGACCCCGAACGGCATTGTGCCCGTGAAATGGTAAGGATCTTGTTGTGCAACGCCTCTTGCCAAACCCCCGCAAGCCTGACTCCCTCTATGATCTTGCATGGTCGGAGATTCACGAAAACCAGGTCCTAGCCAGCTCCGGTGACGGCAGCATAAAGCTATTCGATAGCAATCTGGATGACTTCCCCGTGCAGAACTGGAAGGAGCACTCTTTTCCCGAGATGCGATACGAAGCTTTACTTTGATTCAAGTCATCTATTATCATATTGAACTGACTAGGTATTCACCCTGTCCCTGTTGATTATATTCCTTCCGGGACTGACTACATACAGAGAATGTCCACCGAACCAACGCAACTTCCACCGGAGAAGATCTCCTCCAAAGTCTCCAGAACCCAGCACAGAGCACAGCAAGTTGAGTATAATGGCCCACTGCGGCTGAAACATGAGTATCTTGATAGATTATATGTATCCCTCATCTAGGTGCACTCCTCTTATCCTGACTAACATTTCCCGCTCTTGTATAGAGAATCCCCAAACGTTCCGCTTCCTAAGAACTCAATCCGACGTCCCGCTCAAACACCAAATACAAACCCACGGTAATCAATCTCAATCATAACCCGCCAGAGCCGAGACCCGAAGAAAGCCAGGCCACAATCTTTGAGTACAAAGTAGTGTCCGAATTCGATCCTGAAGATATGTTATGAAGCGGTCATATAAAGATCTTTTATCTACATTGATCTTTTTTGGTATCATCTTTACCATCGTCCCGGTTGATACGAACCTTCTGATGGAATCGCCCCCATCCGCGGGTGTCGTTGGATTTCCCGTTCTTCCTTGATCTCAGAAGTAACCTCGAGTTCCTGCTCAACCTCTTCCAACGGTACTTCAAGCAGGGAATGCGGATCGGCGAATGGGCGGGAAAGATCTATAGGAGGATCTTTGACTGTGAGACACCGGAGGAGAGCCCATAGGCAGATTCGAGGCTATTGGAGCACCAGATATAGACGGTGCCGGGGACATGATCGTGAACGTATTACTGGTGGCCTGCTGAGACCGGATCGAGAGGTCCGGAGCCGGACTGCTCGAAACAATGCGTTTCAAGTTCGTCTTCAATTTGCTTCTCACTCTCTTTCGACACCATTGGGAGCAGCTGATCACTACTTCGGAATATGAACGACAACTTGTAAAACACTCAAGATATTCCCACCTTCTTATTATCAACTCTTTTAGAACGATGCTGGAATACAAATTGGTGTTCGCATATCGCGGTGCTAGACGGCATTATGCGTCATTCTGGGCGCTCGCAAAAGTAAGGTCAGTCTCCCTGCGATCGACGAGTTTCTGGATAAAGCCCCCATGTGCCTTGTCGTTTTTGACACTTGTCGGATCAGTCCCTTTGTCCAGCAGAAGTCTGACCATTGCAACATTCCTCTTCCTAGCAGCTAGAAGTAACAGGGGCACCTTGGACCGTTTATGCATGCGATGAGGGACACAGCAAGCGTTGACGTCTGCCCCGTAACTAGTCAACTTGCTAGCTATATCAAGGCTCCCTTTTTCGATGGCCCGCTGCAACGGCGTCCCATTCACGCCGGGGTATCTTCCATCCGGTTTGATTCTGCCCTCCAGCAACAGCGTCAATTTCTGCAGTTCTGCGTTCAAGTATTTATTTTTTTTGATAGCTCACTGCAACGGCGTCCCATTCACGCTGGGGTATCCTCCATCGGTGTTGATTCTATCCTTCAACCCCGGTTCTAGCATAGGTATTGAATTGAAGTGCCTTGATGCCAGCAGGATTGTAAAGATAGAGCCTTTCGGGTACTATTCTATCCACATTGTCCGATCGGCAGACAAGTTGAGATCGGGTTCTCGTGGTGAGTGGCATTGCAAGGAGTGGGATCGTCTTTTTTTCCCTGAATTCAACTCAAGCTTTTGTTATCTATTGCGAAATAAACGGCAGTTCTGCATTCGTAGTATGCATTGGGGATCGGTTTCTCGTGTGCGGGCCTCGGCTAGGTAGACGAGGTAGTCAGTCAAGTCATCTGCGAACGTTCAATAGGCGCTGTTGCTGCTAGATCTTTCTATTTCCCATCTCGAACTCACCTAAGGCAAGGTTTCTAGTCCGCAGATCCTGGATGAAAGTAGGAACTTTTCTACTCAAGACGAGACCTCTCCTGTCTGACGAAGACGGACCAGCGCTCTGTTTAAGGCTTTTTGGCCTGTACAGCTGTTCTAGAGTCTGCTGTTCAGGTTGCCGCAGAACTTTCAGATATGCCTGTCTCGCGGCAGTACTCGTGAGGAAACTACAGTTCCGCGCTGCAGCCTCCGTGCGTCGACAGAAGTCCACTCCTTGAACGAGGTACAAGTGCTGAGCCTCTGAGTTTGATGTGCACGTCTGATCAAGTAGCCAGGTGATCCCGTCCGACGAGTCTAGAACATCCATTGGTTCTTTCTTGCAAACATCCAGAATATTGCGGTGTACCTCGAGTGGGGCAACAAAGGTTATTGATGAGGTGATTGTTTCGTTAATGATCCCCTGAAGCATATGCTCCAGGGGGCCTGCAGTTCTGCATTCATAGTATATGGGAAACATCAGCATCAAAAGGGAGACAGATGTGCATGTCTGATCAAGTAGCCAGGTGATCACGTTCGAAGAGTCTGGAAAATCCATTGGTCCTTTCTTGCAAACATCCAGAATATTGCGGTGTACCTCGAGTGGGGCAGCAAAGGTGATTGACTGGGTACTTTCCAGCTGCCTTAGCCTCATTACAGCTAGAAGAAAGGTCAGAGACACTGAAGGTTATACGTTGAGAATAAACATACCTTATACGAATTTATTCTTTGTCTGTTTCGAACATCAAGGACAAGTTCTGCAATTCTGCGTTCGAAGTATTTGTTGGGTCTCTTGCGCTTCTTTGATGGAGATTTGGTCTTGTTTGAAGTGGTCCGATTTGTGACAGTGTCAACATCTGAGCAGACCTTTCTGAAATAAATGTCAATATATAGTCTGGATGTTTGAAAAGCTCATCTTACCTTGTCGACTTTGGTCTCAGGCGCCATTATGAACGGTCGAAACGCAGGCGCGAGGGAGGAGATAGCGGACAGGCTGAGATAAACACGCAGAATCGCATAGAACGATCGACGGAACGACCGACAGCAACACGTACACAGAAGGACAGACAGCACGTGTAAGACAGTAACGCAACAGAGAGTACAGTGCGACATGCAGACGCGCAAGGCAGATAGGAAACACGCCAAACAAGAGGCATCAACTGAGGGCAAAACCGTTTCGAAGACCCAAGGGAAGAAACAAGAGAAGATCAGTGACAGGATCAGCTGCACTTCAGCCCGCATATTGCAGTCCCGTGGCGCTGGCGCGACCCAGGGGGAGGTTGCCTCGTTCATGGCCCCCTGAAGCATTGCGTTCGTAGTACATGGGGTAAATTGAAGATCGGGAAATGAACATCAAAAGGAGAACAAAAGGAAAAAGAGGAGCAAAGGAAAAGAAAATGGTGGGAAATGGCGAAGAAGGTGAAGTGAAGATGGAGGTGAAAGGAAGGAAGGAAGGAGGAGGAGGGTGAATATGTGATTTCAGTAAGTACCGGAGCAGGGTTATGTCACAACAACCAGGGAACTTGTGCGCTAGTGTAGCTATGATTAGAGGTGATAAAGAACAAAGTATTGTACAACACCTTGAATTTGTTATTTTTTCACCATGATATTCCCGCTGCGGCGTGAAGTTTGAAGTCACTTCTAGCACCCTGATGAATAAGAGCCTTTTCTGTTCCTGTTCTCCCGGTGGGGTCTGGCACATAACAAGAAGTGAACGCGTGTAACTGTGCCTTGCTGTACAAGAGTGAAAGGACTGGACAGTCGACCGAGAAACTTGTTGGTGATGAATTTGCCATAACCCTCATCTTTATCCATCCTGACAGGAACACATAGCGCGTATTACCCAATGTGGTAATACTGCGCTGTGGAGGATTTCAGAGGTCAACTAGGATTAGAAGCTAGCAGCCTCGAGGTATTTAGTAATCTCTCTACGGACCCTAGGCCGCATGAATGGAGAATTTTGCAAAATTTTGGCCAGAAAGTGTAACGCCCTTAGTAGGTAGCACGTGGAAAGGTCGGACATGCCGAGTGTTATGCGACTACTAGTCGCGCGGTGGTGCCTGAGATCTACAGCTACTTGTCTACCAACTAAGCTGGAATAAACGCCAGGCGTGGAGTAGGAACAACAAAAAAGACAGTCAAGCTCAACATCCTCACATCTTAACTAATGGTCTTCTACAAATAGATCAGATACCTCTCACTTTCCTCAGTTTCCTCGTGCGCGTACTCTAACATGTTCAGCCAATCATCGTCACCGGTGTTATAGAACCCTCTCCATCTATATCGACACTCGCATTGAAACGTAGAAAGATCCGAGAGATCCGAAACGTAAAGCTATAGTTCGATAGATAGATCGAAGAAGCGGAAAGGTGCTCGTGAAAATGGGTGATAGAGCTGAAACCAGGTCTCTTGTCCGACACCACGGCATGACGAGCAGGTATAGCCTCGAGATGATGGCGAAGCCGACAACGATGTGCCAATCGCTGTAGCCGGAGTTGGGGAAGTTGAGAGGTTTGCGGTAGCACCGGGGTGAAGATGAGGCCGATGGCTAGGAGGAAGTTGAATAGGTTGGAGGGTTGCATGCTTAGGTCGACAATTGTAATCATTAGTACAATTGAGAAGACGTTAAATATGAGGTTGGCATGAGGATAAGGGGCTGAAGAAAAAGAATGAGAGGGAGGGCCGAACCGAAGTTGAAGGCGTCCCCAGCGGGAGGAGTCAGGATCATGACTACCGTGAGTACTCACACTGTGTCGTCACTCATAGTCGTGATATCTTGTACAAGACGCGGGGGCCGTTTTCTCTATCGAATCAGATCACACGGATTAGCTTCAGATTTACGGAGCTCAACTGTTGCGACACTTCTAGTTGCGAGTATATACGTACCTGACCTCCGGAAGGACGGCATCAGTAGGCTCTTTGAAGCCCACATAAGATCTTCTTGTTGTGACTTTCGTACCAGGCAAAAGAAAGGACGCTCAATGGCAAGAAACTCGGGCTGCATTGTACCGAGGATCAGGCGATAGAAGATCTTCGCTTTATGGGAGGTTGGTAGATCGGTTGGCTTCGAAGGACAGTGATACTCGTCTCTGTTGACATTTGGGCGTTCGCACTAGCGAGGTGGAGCGCCTCGAACTATTCCCTGGAATCCGGTCGCTGGCAGGCCATGGTAAGTCTTTTGTTCTCCTTCGCTTTCATCTTCCCGATCATCATGCCTGATCCTTACTTCAGGTAATCCCATCTTGAGTTAGCAATTCGGGTCTCAAATAAACTCCCGGCTCAACAAGAGGGTCTGAGAAGCCAGTAAAGGATATTCGCTAGATAGCATTTGGGCGGAAGGCTGACTTCTTTTTTCCCAACTCTCTGGGTGCACGGTGTTAGCTTCAAGAAACATACTCCTCGCGCTATCAAGGAAACCCACGCCTTCGCCGAGCAGGCCATGGTAAGCCTTTGATTTCCCTTCATTTTCCTTCTTACAAACCATTGTGGCTAATGGATGGCGTTTTCTTCTACACTAGAGCACCAAGGATGTCCGTGTCCACGACCGCTTCTACAAAGCAAGCGAGAAACCACCCTCAAGCAGCTCGTCGCCCAACCGACGATGAAATCCGCGCCCATCAAAAACATCAGCGACAGTGAACAAGCCGACATGGAGGTCCCCTCGTCAGACAACGACGAGGCTTCCCAGCCTCGCAAGAAGCGCGAGATAGAATCCGAAAGCAAACCTGCCTTGCGATCTCTAAGCGTGCTTCTCGCGCTATCAAGGAAACCTACCCATCTCAAATCAAAGCACAAGCCCGAGACCATCGCTCCTTCTGGCCATGATCCGCTTCCCGTGCAGCCTCTGCAGGATGAGCCGGCTGCTTCACAAGATGAAGCTTCTTCTGCTGAAGAAGGGCCTCCCGCGCCGGTGAAGAAAGCGCCGCAAGCGTTTTGTACATGATCCATCCATTCCTCTGCGACGATCCTCGCGTACTCGCAGTCTCTCCCAGCGCTTGATTGAATCGTTGAAATCAAATATTGCGAGGGTTTATACGCAGGATCCTGACCTCGCTCTGCGTGATATTCACGCTCTAATGACTGACATTCCCATAGAGACGTTCGATAAAGTCCTCGTTTCTATCTCCACCGACGAACCATCCCCCCGCCCTCCGAGTGTCCCGGCCGATCATTACGAACCTCACGATTACACCTCAGCAATAAAGTGCAAAGACGCACCGAAATGGAAGGAAACGATAAACGCGGAGATGCGTCAGCACCTCAGAAACGGGGCATTGAGCATAATAGATCGGGAGAAGAAGATGAAGCTTTTACAGCCTCGTTGGGTGTTCAAGGTCAAACATGACGGCCGCTTTAAGGCGCGCCTTATCGTGAAAGGCTTTTGGCAACGCGCTGGCCGTGATTTTTACGAGACTTACTCCGCCGTTGCAAAATCCATGAGATTCAAGATATCCGTCACCCTTGCCACGAAACTTCGCTGACTCTTGCATCATCGGGACATTACGACTGCATTTCTACATGCCGACTTAAAAGAGACAATTTCATCGACCTCCCGGAATGCTTTAGTACAGATGACAGCTTCAAGTCGTTTAGTCCATTCTTCACGGTCACCGTCCTTCTCCAGAGAATCGGCTTCAGCCTTGGGTGGTTGATTCAGCATTTTTTCCCGCCTTCTTGCAATCGGTGCAATAAGAATCAGAATGCTTGAAGAAAAGGTCTGCGGTTATTATTGGTCCGATTAAAACTAGTAGTGATCCCTGGGCGTCGGGTACATTTCTTAAGTGAGATAGCAGTAAATTTATTAAAATGGGGAATATCCCACCCAGAAGCCTGCAGCGGATTGTTTTGCATAGATCATAAAGACAGAATTTTTAAGAAAAGAAACAATAACGACCGTAAAAGGCAAATGCCGCCACATTGACCACTGTCATCGAAGTTGATAATGTTCCAGTTTCAAGCCTCTCTGGTAGTGTTGTAGATGCGTGAATCCATTTGTTACATTCCAAAGGTGAATCGTCGTATAGTTGAAACCGCTCGCAGGCTTTACCAGAATTGCTTTTCATCGATCCCTTGATGGTAGAAGAAGAGGCAAGTGAGTAGAGTTGCGATGTCGAGGTAAACCTATTCCGTTTACTCGGAAGGGACACCTTTCGACCTTTCACATAGAATGGTACAGCCACGGGATAACGCCCTGGATGGAGCCCATGCTGCGCATTCCAGCGCTTTTTCAGCCACAGTAGCAGGATTCCATGCACACGTAGCCCACGGAGCAAGTAAGAGGTATACAAGGCTATAGGAATCATTGTAACCCTGTTCTTCGCTCGATCTTTCATTGCGGGCAGGTGTCTCCCGTGCCTTTTTCATGCTGGACATTTATTCCATACCGAAATGTCGTTGCGAAGCATAGTATTATTCTTGTTCGAGTCCGCAATTGTAGGGGACACCTGCCCGCGTCTGCGCCCATAAGCCGCCGTCATTCGTATTAGTTCGATATCGTCACTTTTCCCATATAGAGGGAACAGAAAAAGTTCCCAGAATTCTTCTTCAACTCTTTGGTCCTTGTCCTAAGAATTTTCCACAATCTTCTGTCCCTCTCCATCCGTTGCCCGCCAAAAAGAGAAAGAAAAAAAAAAGAAAAATAAAAGTCAACATGACTCTATAAAAGAGCCAAACAAGAAAAGAGGCCTAAAGCCCACAATCATCCAAATAAGATATCTATTTACAGCCCAATCTGCTCTGGAACTTCCTGGAATTGAACCTTCCCAAGCCTAACAAGAAGAAGGTCGTTCTGGGTGTTACCGACAAGACCCTGGCTGGTAGCATCAAGTCGGCCTTTTCCTTCGTCTTTTGCCCGGAAAAGTTCCAAATGCCTCAGCAAGAAAATTTCGCACGTTTTCGAGTCTTGTTGAACTGCAGTTCCGCGTCGCGATGATACCGGCTCTGTCGATAATCAAGTATGCGATCTGCGATATCAGGTCGCCGGCACAGTGGATTGGGCTCGCACCAGCCCGGAATCCGAGAACCTCAACTGTCGGCCCTGGATTTTCGATTGAACTCAGCATCGGCCAGTGCCTATTCGATGCGCACGAGTAACATGAAAATCTGCATCAAATGCACCAGGACCAGGTTCCCTCTGCCGCGTCTGCCGGATGCGATGCGGTCTGGAGCGATGTGCAGCCAAGTCTGGGGACTTGGTATTCTAGCCTTTGGTAGCTCAGTCGGTAACCGTCCCACAGACTTACTCCCGTAACATGGATCAAGCTCTAGGTCAGAGGCCCTCCATAGGAAGGGCACGGGACTATGAACGCAGACTGATAAGATAACCGGGAATCGACCCAGTATAACCTTCAAGGCTACCCCTAGGGAAAGATTACGCACACCTGGAATCGACAGGAGCGCTCTAGAATACCAGCCCAGTGTACTACCACTAGACCATCGGGGCCTCGCTGCTCAATAATGATAACGAACTCCTCAAGTTCTGCGTTTTTATGACTGGACAGTAACGATGAAGTGGAAGGAGGTCAAAGGCGCAGTTCTCGCGTCAGCTCAAATGAGCTTTTAGCGCTATCCTCTTCCACGTGAATTTGATGCCATGTATGCAGTTTTCCTGCCGGGTTAGAACTCACCATCACGTAGGCTTGCTCCGCTCTATTTAGTCTATATAAAGCTTACATCTGGGACCGTGGTAGCGGTCAAGCCTTTACAAATCGCGACAGCTAAAAAAAAACAGCAAGTGGCAGAAACGGAAAACCAACATAACAGCTGTTAATCGGCTGGCTCCCGACACATTTAATGTATCCGTAAAGCAAAGATTCGGGGGTGTCTCTATTCAAGACGCGGGGTAATGGGATGATAATAGGTGTAGGAAGACTTCAAACAATCAATTATCTCCACATATATAAAATTTATAATCATTGCCCGGATGGTCTAGTGGGTAAGTTTAACAATTTCCTACCCAATTAGGATATGATGACTAACGAAAAAACAGTATGATTCTCGCTTTGGGTCACGTGACTAAAATGCGAGAGGTCCCGCGTTCAATCCGCGGTTCGGGCCTTTCTTTTTTTTTTTTTTAATTTTCTTGTACTAGAGCAGATCTACTCCAAACAACATAGAAATTATTGATCGGGATGCCTTATAACTGCACCGTATGTCGTGGTTGGCACCGATCCAACCATCAGGCGTCGCAGCTCAATCCCGGGTTCGGGCCATTTCTTTTTTCGTTTTTGATAGAGGCATGTGGCTTGGGGCAATTAAACCAAATTCCGCTAAATCTTTAGACTGCGGGAATGATATTCAATTGCACAGCTATATATAGTCTCCATACAAAGAGATCCGCCAACGTCGCAGCCAGGATGGACTGCCTATAGGGTTGAATCGAGCAACTCTTCTTATATAAGAACTTAGGACTGAGTCTCTTAACTTAAAGTCTACTATAATTATTTAGCTAAGGAATCAAAAATTGAGCACTAGATAGAGAGCTGTTGGCTCCGGGTTAGACCCAAAACGGTCATGTGAAGTAAGACGGGATGATTAATCGGCTGATTGATGATGATCCGGAGTCGGTTGAAAGATGGCAAGGTGGGCAGTCGCATGTTCCAAGTACCGTCCGTAGTTAACCCGAAGGTGTCTGATGGGTCATGACGGCCGAGGGAACAGCGCGGCGTCAAGCGGCGGAAGCTCCGGCGCTCAACGGGCATCGTCATCAACCACAATATACGACCAAGACATCCTTTCTTAATGATTTATAGATTATCCAAAGTAGATCTTGCTCTACACCGTGTAGAATACAAATTAAAAGAGATAAAAAAAATTAGGGCCCAATCCGCGATTCGAACGCGGGGCCTCTTCCAGATTGGGATCTCGGATCCCGGATTAATGTTAACCCGAAGGAAGAATCATACCACTAGACCAATTGGGCATTTGATAATATACTATTTACAAGAATGTATCACCACCATACATGACACATACAGAGATGTGTTTTATGTCATTTATGAGACTCACCTTGGATGATGCCAGCTTTCTCCTCTCCAGAAACCGGGTAGGTAGGTAGTCAATCAATCAATTCGATCAATCAAAGAAGCACAAAGCTGGGTATGCTTATGACGGTTATATATTGCTCTTTCTACCGCTATTCTACTTGCCTTTTACTCCTTCTGCCACACTTCCTCCCTTTCGTCTTTCTCTCTTTTCATATTCTTTCCTCTCCTTACTGCGTATGCTCTGCCGTTTGTTACTTTGTTTCTTTTCTTGGTCGGTTATTTCGTGTCCCTCATTACAGTCTCTGGGGGAGTCTTGTTATGCTGGACTCGGCTGTAGGGGAAAGCCTTTGCTCCACGTTTCCGATCCTCGGTACAATGCAGCCCGAGTTGCTTGCCATGCTGAGCGTTCTGTCTTTGGCCTAGTAAGAAAATCATATTAAGAAGTTAGCATTACGTTGTTCAATCTTCTGGGTCATGATCTGGTCAATTCCATTCAAGACTCAAGTAATGCCTTCCAGACTTAGAATATTGCTTTCGCTATTATCGGGGAACATCCTATGTGCTCTAGAGGGCCTACTGAGGCCGTTTTTCCTGTGGTTAGGTAAGTATACATTCGCAGCTCTTTGCTTCTTTATTGGGGTATTGCGACGGTTGAGCTCCGCAAATCAGACGAGCTCTGCAAATCTAAGACTAATATATATAATCTACTTTTACCGGTAAGACAGCCCCGCGGCTTGTCTAAGACATTCATGAACTTGAGTAACAACACAGCGTGATAGTATCCTACAAGGAAGAGACTGTTATTTCTGTACTCCAGGCGAAGACTTATATACAGAGATTATCTATACGCATTTAGCTATCTAATAAACTATTCATAGATTCATACCCTATTATACCAAACATTGAGGACTAAAGCAAATCTTCCTGCGAATTAAAATTTGGATATACCACTTGAATCTCGCAACCCAACCCTAGATAGACGATTTAACAGAAATAACTCTTTCCCGCGAGATTCGTTGCCCTCTCACAAACCATGTCAAAGGAGCAGATTGTGCTTATCTCGCTTCTTCTTTCATCCGAGTTGAGGGCGCCCACTTCTCCTTGACGGCCAGATCGAGTTCATTTCACCCTAGGAATCACCACAAGCCAACCAGCGTCTGTCTAGAGTCCCATTTACAGACCCTGCGCTTGCAGGACGCAGGATAGAGCCAAGCAAGCCGCCGAAGCCCTCGCAGGCTCGCGCTGCGGCGACAAGGTCAGTGTCTCATAAACGCTGATGGGATACGTGGTGCAAGAAAGACCCCTCCGGAGCGATCGTCTCTTCTTCCAGGGTCTAAGAGCTACACAAGTTATGGCTAATATAGGTAGCGATCGGCCCAGTAGCCCCACCGGCGCCACTGTGGACAGTGATAGAGTTTCCGATGTCAATATCTATTTCTTTTAGATCGCAACCTTTTCGTTGGCCACAACCAGAAAGGGCTACAAATTGTCCATATGCTGCGAGAGGGTAGCAGGTTGCTTAGGGCCTGGCCTGTTCTTCTATGGTAATGCATAAAAGTATGAAGCATGAGAATATATTAGCAAATCGGTAGAACCTCTTGAGTGAGTATCTTAAGTACTATAATAATTATCTCTATATTACCCTAACTCTTCACCCTAGACGTAGAGTTACACATATAACGGCCCGGTTTTCAACTTTAGGAATATATTAGAGTGTAATAGCCTTTGGGCTGTCCCCCGAATGCACTCCTTTAGGCCAGGCTCGAGTCCACTCAGTGAGTATTGAAACAGAAAAAGGAAGCTTTCAAGATATCCAGAATAGATAGGTGCATATACACTCAGTGTACAGTGTATATCGTACAGCCAAGTAGGAAGCAAATTTATCCTCCAATAAACTCTGTACATTATCATCATTACATTCATCACGATGGTATCGCCCATTATTTATAGATAGAACAACCCAACAATAACCCACTACCATACAAATGTAAAACAAGACAACAGATAAACTTCTTTCAGATAATTACAAGAATTGGAAACGAGATTGCCCGAGCACCGGCTGAAATGGCTTCCGTGTTCGGCCAGGAAGGTGAGTCGGAGCCGAAGGACTGGCCATGGCCCATGCGGCAAAAATAATTTTTAGTTTTAGAATCTACTAATAATATTCTTATCTTAATATAATAAAACCTTTTACTACTACTTTCTAGACTAAATACACGCAGTTTCTTCTCTTATTACCTCTACTTACTGTGCCTACCTGCCTACCTGCCTACCTGCCTACCTGCCTACCTGCCTACGTACATGTCCACCCCCAACTCGAACAAAGTGGGGATAGATATACTTATTTGTTCGGGGTCCGAGGAGTATGCATTCCTAGCTAGCCCAGCTAGGTCCAAGTATTCGTCGATGCCGCTCGTAAATTCCAGGCACAGTCCTGCGGCGCTGGCGCGACTAAGAGGGAGGGTAGGGGTTTTAGTTTCTGTCATAAGTTCCCTCTGGGCGAGTGGCGAATGGTCTAAAGTTATCTCGCGGAATTGTGAATATTAAAAGGGAACATAAGAGTGAAAGAACAGAGGCTAAGAAGGTGACGAAGATGAAGGTGAAGATGAAGGTGAAGATGAAGGTGAAGATGAAGGTGAAGATGAAGGTGAAGATGAAGGTGAAGATGAAGGTGAAGATGAAGGTGAAGATGAAGGTGAAGATGAAGGTGAAGATGAAGGTGAAGATGAAGGTGAAGATGAAGGTGAAGATGAAGGTGAAGATGAAGGTGAAGATGAAGGTGAAGATGAAGGTGAAGATGAAGGTGAAGATGAAGGTGAAGATGAAGGTGAAGATGAAGGTGAAGATGAAGGTGAAGTGGGTAGCACATCCACGGGTGTAGACGGCCACCATATAAATAGTCCATCCCCCCCTCTCCTTCGGACCCCAATCAATCAACCTCCGTCCCTCTGGCAAATATCGTGTCGGCAAGCCGAAGGCTCATGGTCAGCCCTAGCACCAACCTCCCTTCGATCAAACAATGGCCAACGCGGCCAAACCAAGCGAGGTGAGATGAGCCCTTCGAGGATACGGACGTAGAAATTGATTGTTTGGTGAGAAACGTCGTTGCTTCTATTGTCAATCCCCGCGCCACTTCATGAAGAATTGTCCGAAAAGAAAGAGAAATGAACGTGCTGTTGAGACTGTGAGCAAGTTGACCGAAATCATGCATGTGAGTCTTCTGATCCTTTTGATTACTGGGTTTGCTAACAACACTAGGGAGCCCAGTCTTTCCGCGTGAAGAAATCGAAGAGAGGCAAAAAGGCGGAGCCGGCTGAGCCGCCGGCTGAGCCGGAGGACGTTCAGATGCAGGAGAAGGAGAAGGAGAAGGAGAAGAAGTAGTCTGGTTGTGTCGAACCGGATGGAAGATACCCCGGCGTGGTTAGGATGCCGCTATTGCGAGCTATCAAGAAATAAGATACTTGAACGCAGAACTGCAGAACTTGATACCGTTACGGCGAGATATAGAAAAAAAAAGTCTTGAGGTGGCAAGTACATTAATCAAAGTTTATCGCTAATGTAAACGTCTCTTGTGTGCTCCATTGTATGCGCAAACAGTCTAAAGTGTCTCTATTGCGTCTGGCGGTTAAGAAGAAGAATATTGAAATAATCCGACATTTGCTACTACTACACGGAACAGCAGTTTTTTTACGAGTACTGTGACTAGACAAGTAAGTTGTTCTACCGGAAACAGTGTTGATAGTGAGGAGAATGAGCTTGATGACAGTGGTGATGTGATGATGAAAGGCTGGAGTTATAGAACCGTCGGTTATAAACTACTAAAGTATCTCTCTTTTTATCCCATTGAATTGGAGTGTCATGGTACCGGCATGATTGTAAAGATAGGGCCTTCTAGATACTTTCACCTATACCGCCCGATTAAATTCTCCACAACTTACGATACCTATCACTATATCTTACTCTTCTTAATTAATAGTTTTAATAAAAGCAATATAGAGTAAAGTAGCAAAATTATGATTAAATTATTTAGATACATAATATTTTTCGCTACTACCTACATCAGATAGTCCACATTGAACTACAGGTACTCATCCTTCGTCTGTCGTAGATAATCAAGCCAGACCTCCAACACGCCCATCTGTTTATTCTACACAGCGGTATCTAGCAGGATATATCGTTAAACAGATCGCTTATAGAGCCAGATCCTACATCCCCGATCCAGAACCATGATCACGACTTCTTTTAATCCACCCCACACCGCAATACAAAGAGCGCTCCATCAAAGCCGTTCGCTTGACCCTAGAGACCAAAAACCAGATCCGATTGCCTTAATCTGAAGGAACTGCAGTTCTGCATTCGTAGCAGATACTCGTGATGAGGCGTCCAGCCGCGTAACCGTTCCTCCATGTTCTGATTTCCGCCTTGAAATGAAGGAACTGCGTATAGTATCGGTCTTATCCTTGGTCTGCTTGACGCTCTGAAGCCGCCCTAGGAAACGGGCCTGATTCGGTGAAGGGGCTACCGTAGGACTTTCAAGTATGATCCATCTCCGGCGTCATGTACGACCTGCGTTGTTCGCTTGGTTTGGAAGAACGGATGGTCGCTCTTCAAAGCTCTGTCTGGCCATTTTTGGCTTGTATAGCTGTTCTAGAGTCTGTTGTTCTGGCTGCCGCGGGGCCATGCCTTGGGCGAGGTATAAGTGCTGTAGTTCTACGTTCGTCATACATGCGCGTGATGGGAGAAGACGCATCGACTTGGATGGCGAAGGAGCAGGAGGTGCCTTGTACTAGGCGCTAGTACTAAAGCTCTGCGTGAGACCAGGGTAGGCTTAGATATGCTGAGGCATCCTCGAATGATGGAATGTGTAGTTGATATAGGTTTTGCATCTCTACAGGAGGAAGACAAGTTATAGAAGTTTCGGTTCCACTGACTTAAGCTGAGCGTATGTGTTAGTCAAGGACTCAAGAGATTTGGGTGGTATAAATACCGGGCAGTTGTACCAGGGGTGGTGGTTATACGGGCATGCATGGTTTGTAGACAGAACATGGACACAAGACGTTTGGAATCGTGGTTTGGAATCGTGGAGGTACAGAAACGAAGCTGTAGCTCGACAGGTAGATCGAAGAAGTGGAAAGGTGCTAGAGAGGACGGGTGGTAGTAGAACTGAAACCGGGTCTTTTGTCAGATGGTTATAATCATCTGTTGGATGTCCGGATTCCAGCGAGCGCCTAGACGGATGGATAGATTCTTTAACCGGGGTAACTTGTGAAGAGGTTCCAGTTCTGTGTTTAGGGTACATGTATCTGGCTGTCGCATCGCATGTGAACAGAAGTGCTTTGTCGCAGTTTCTAGGGAAGATGGTGGGACGTCGCGGAGAAGGTTGCGCCCTATACTCGGAGGATGGATAGAGTCATAGTCATAGAAATCTTATACAATATACGGCTTGCGTAAGAAACTAACCTATTCATATTAGTCTCAAATATTATAACGGGTCTAATAGAAAGCAAAGGAAAACACATTTATACATACCCAACCTACGGAAGGACGGCATCAGTAGGCTCAGTGAAGCTTACACGTACCGGAGGATCAGGGGACAACTCTAAGCAAAGGCTTTCCTATACAGCCAAGTTTAGCACAATAAAGCTACTACAGAGACTGCGTTCATAGAGTGCTAGAATAACCGTTGTTTAGCGGCGAAGTAACACACAGGAGACATAAAATGGACGAGCAAACGGTACTGTATACGCAAATAGAAAAGGAAAGGTAGTAAAGGAAAACGAGAGGAAGAAAATGCGGCAGAAAGTAATAGTAGTGGAAATAGCAACCTACCCTTCAAACAGGAGAATGCTAGAGATCCGACAGTCTTCTTTCTTATTCTTATACTTACTACCTTTAAAGAACAGCCACGGCTTCGGTATAATACATAAACTCATTCAAATACTAAGTGGATAGTTAATTAAGAACGTGTTAAGAATACATCTAGCTATCACTCTTATCTTAATACTAAATATTCAATGATTTCTGACCCGGCTCTGTATTTTTTTCAATAAAGGGGGAAGGAAATAATGAGCGTGATAAAGGGATTGATTAATAGACGAGCTGCAATTTAAGCTTTATGAAGGACCACAATTCATTCGGATAAATTATGTCATCCGTCGCCCATTTGGTCTAGTGGGTAAGTTTAAACGAGTTCCACCGAATTCAGATCTGATGACTAATCAGAAAATCAGAATGATTCTTGCTTTGGGTCACGTGACTAAAATGCAAGAGGTCCCGTGTTCGATCCACGGAATGGGCCTGTTAATTTTTTTTTTTTATTTTTGACGAAGCAGTTATTCGCTTTCTTCCTTTTCTAGTCACGCTGTGTTGTAGTCGTGTCTCAGATATGGACGTTAGAACGGTTAACAGTGAGCGGCAGCGATAAGCGGCACGGGATGGACTCGGTGATGATCCATTTCGTAGGCTCCTCCTGATTTGGGAGTGAGGTACTGGTAATAGAGGACGCGACTTTGATGTTACCTTTCCGAACGACGTCTGTGTTCTATATTCGCATGTTGGGAGTCACTCTTTTCGATATCTCGGCAGAGACAGGATTTGGTCTGTATCAGACGAGGCCTCTGGGGTTTGAAAACAGCCATGGAGTACTCCGTAGCACGGGCCATTATCTCGGTTAAAGATCTTCATTGCCCTCCCGTGCAGGATCTTGAATATTCCATATTGCCAGCGCTAGATTAAACCTGTTTGTGCGCATGGCCATCTAAATTTCGAAGCCTTACAGGGTAGTTGGCGAGCTGTACCAACCGATTCGCCATTAAATGTTCTAGAGGGCTTGTCGAGAGGCGAATTCATACTGCGCCATGCCAGAATTATGCCAACGAGAATGATGTTAACGCATAGTATAGGTGTCTGTGCGGAGAGTTCGCCTGAGAGGATGTCATGTTTGAAGAAGTAGATGCTGGGTGGGCAACGAGCGGCTACACGTGTGGGCGAGAGCACGGGACCCAGCGGCAAGCCCGCTTGACTTGCGGATGATCTCCGTCCCTCTCCATGTCGCCGGATCCGGCAATTCCTTTAAAGACCATCTCGCGCTATCCTCTCGTTAAAGCTTTGAACAACTCAATGTTGCAGTTACTTGTCCATTCTTAACTTACTACTTGTCTTCTCGAGAACCGATCGATAATGCAAATATCCGGATGCGCATGCGCTCCGTCTCTCATCAGGGAACAGTACCAGGAATGTCTAGCTACTCGCCTCAATTCCGCTTCGGCAGGTTCTCTCTCCGCGACCGGTCTCATAGTCTGCATATTTTCGGCCCTGTATCTTCTCTCTCTTTGCTACTACCAAGGTGCTAGCTATCGCGACCCACATCCTACTTCTTCGATGAGACTGGCGCTTCCGAGAAGTTGTACACATCCAATCGAATAACGGAGGCAGAGGCGTATCTGGGTGCAGCTGGCGATGTTAACCCCCCGGCGAGGCTCGCCGGAGAGAAACCCACGATATGTGTTGGCATAGTGACGGTTCGTCGACGCGGTGATTAATACGTCGGCCTGACAGTCGTGTCTCTTTAGGAGGGTCTCAGCGATCCCGAAAGAAGAGCGTATTCCTCGACCTTCTTCTCCGAAATTCCGATCCGACAGAGCATCCGATCTACTCGGAGAAATGGGCCGAATCGCTGCCCGATCGCCTCCTGACCTACTCGAAAGACGACCCCGACTTTTAACAAATACAAAAATGGGAGGAAGGCGGATGGTATGGAACAAGACGATTTACGATTATACACACGTTATGAGGAATTGCTATGAGACGGGTGCGGAATACGTCGCGATGGTGGAGGACGATACTTTGGCGGTTAAGGGCTGGCTCCCGTCCGCCTTGCAGGCTCTCAACACGGCCTAGGGGCACAGCGCCGGCCCCTGGTGTTCATGAGATGAACAAATATGATTGTTGCTCGCAAGGTCTTCTTTTTCCATCGCTCTATTATCCTGTCATTCCTTGAGAAGACCGACCTGACCGCAGATTGGTTGGTTGATATGATGATCGAGACGATTGCCAATCGCGAAGAATGGACTCGATGGGCTGTGGTCCCACCGCTGCTACAACATATTGGTGCCACGAGCTCCAAAGGATACGGATTTGACAATTCTGCGAAAACGATCTGGAATTTCAGATTTGAAGAATACCCTTACTAGCAGCATTCAGAATAGAAAACCTGCTGCCGTCTCAATTTTGTTCAAGGCACATGAGACAGATCCAACCTAATGGAAATAGGGGCACCAGAAACAGGTTTTAGTCTCTTATCTGGTCCATTTATAGACGAGTGTGACCGCTGGATCTTGGTATTCTCGATCGTCAGTCAGCTGCAACAGCCCCATTCTTTGCTTGGTAGAGTGGCACCCAGCGCTCTGCACCGAATTTCCATTATAAACCTCAAGTCATGCGGCAAACCGTTTGTGTCAGTTGCACATTTCACTCATATCAAGGTTCCTTTCCATATCTGACAAGTATTGAACCACTTGGCCATGACTGGATCACCACCCGATTCGACTCAATATGGAGACACTGATCGAATTGTCAAGGAATCCTTACAAAAGTCGGTACTATGCATATGATCAACCAAGCCACTGGCCTCAGATTTCAACTCCTGTCAGCTTAGTCGTGCTCAGATGTGCTCATGATCAAAAGCGACAAAATGGAGCCAGCCTCGGCGGAAGAAATGGGTCGAGACCGGCCAATGTGTGATATCTCATGGATGCTGATTCAAGATCTCCTCTCTATATGCTCTATTGTAGATATTGTCGGCTCTTGGTCTTTCTGTTCTTGGAACATTTTTGGTCGTTATGAACGACATGAATAATCTAACGACTGGTGAGACATGGCGCAGAACCTGTCGAGTCACAATGTCGGCTTCGCTTTCACCACTTGTACGCCTATGGAACTTCGAAAATGGGGAATCTAGGATTCTAGACACGTCTCTTGCGTGGACTCTTAGACTGAATTCAACCAATGGAGGCCCCAAGACTGAACTATCGACATGCATCATGATATGAGACCATGTCTTTTGTCTAGATTTGTACCCAATCCCAACCACCGCGTCCGCTTTACCAATCGGCATACCTGCGTTCGACATGGCGGTGGACAGGTACCGAGATCGGCCGCCGATATGACCCCAGAAACGGCCTCTCCACGCTGAGTAATGCAACACATGCAATGCCGGTTTCATTGCCTAACTGATGAAGGGCCCTGCATCAGAAACCCGAGCCATGTGATTGATCGGGATATTCTTCCCAACGCTCAGTCGAACAGGAGTTCATGCAAGGACGGACGCCTCACTCTCAGCTGACATAATACGACATGCAAGGGACTCTCGAGTTCAACCAAGTTCAAGAGGTAGGATTTGGCTCATGCCAATTTGCATCACCCGTTCAGAGTGCTTGTGGCATACTCATCGGGGAGCGCTGTGTGATGTGTTCGGTAGGCTTGTCTGACGGCCAGTATCAGGCATGAGATAGATCTGATATGGGAGAACTAGGTGCTGAATTAACTTTCCCTAAAGGGACTCAAATTTCACTAGATTGAGCTTGTCTGACTGGCTTATCGAGATGAATCGGATCGAGGTAAGGCAATTAAGATCTTCTGTTTCTTTCACCCTAGGTAGTTATTTTTTTTTTTTTGTTTTTTTTTTCTGGCTTTCAAGCGAGAGCAAACACACTATGAATAGGTTCAGTTGGGATGATCTTACTCATATGATTCACAGATCCAGACAAGTTGGTCTGCCTTTTTTCACTCCTACGTCCGTCCCTACATTTCATGTCGCCTGCATACGCAAGGGATTCTTCGAATCTCACTTCCAAAACATGCATGTCAGATCCACAGCAAGCCGAAACTTTTCATTCTTACAGCACTAGCATGATGTCACAATCTCAATCTATCTGCACGCCCCACTCCCCGCCATTCCTCCACCGGTCTTCTTTGTATGCCAGTGCTGCCACTGCTGTTCCTCCACCACTACCAACCCATGCAAGTCTAGCTTGCCCGTGCCAAAAAGGACCATGCAGCACATGCCAGGACGCGCGTCCTACTCAGCGCCCACTCCATGCACTCTATGCAGGAGATGCTGCAATGTGACGTCCTTTATGCCATGTTCAGTTTGTCTTTCTGAGCGGCCATCTCGAGGTCGTCATATGGGCAATGCGCAGTCTCGTTCTTGTCCAGCAGGAAGTACTGTCTGCTCTCGGTGGTACCCTCGCGGGCGTAGTCGCTAATGTCCGGGCTGTGAGGGATCTCATCGTACTTGTCGACGAGGCCACGCACGGTGCGGGTGGCGGACTCACGGTAGCGCGGGTCCTTGAAGATGACATCGAAGATCATGCGGGGCTGGTAGACCATGGCGAAGTTGGGGGCGCTGCGAGACCGACGCTGCTTGTGGGCGGGGGTCAGGACGGCGAAGAAGGCCTCCAGGCCGTCGAAGTTCATGCACCATTGGCGGTTCTGCGTGTCGTGGGGAATCTTCTTGGGCCAGGGCTTGGGGTCGAGCTGACGGAGACGCTTCAGGAATGACCAGAAGATCTTGTGGTATTCCTCGACGGAGCGTTCGATCTTGGGCGGCGGGCACAGCAGCACGAGCGAAATGTTGCGACCACGGCTCTGGAGAATCTTGTGGTATTCGACAATAGCTTTGGCTCCGACCTTTGCGATCTCGAGGTTGTTCAGGTCCTCGGATTCCAAGAAGAGGAAGTCAAGCTCATTGGCCTTGTATCCTTTCGTACCATAGATACAGGGAAAGATCTTGTCCTTGGCAACCAGAGCGCCAGTGAAGTCGTCATAGGCTTTGCGCTGCCAGGTACTCTTGTCGTACTTCTCCTCAACTTGGTAACTAAAGGCCGCTCAGTTAGTTGGATGACATGGGGAAAACTGGGTCTGGGGCGGGAGCCAAACCGGTCCAGAAGCTCCACCGAGACCTGATCCAAAAGTCTGTTTGCCTTCGCAGCGCGGGAGCGACCAAACGAAAACCAATCCGACAGACCCGACTTGATCTGGGACAGGTTGCTCAAAAGAGGATTGAGGAAACCCTGAGAGTTGTTGTGGACCTTGGAAACCACCAAGCCCAGGAAGAAGGTAAATGCATGGGTGATGAGAACCACTGAAAACGGCTCCATATTGATAAAGAAGGGGAAACAGCCCTAATTCGACGAGACAGAGAGGAAATCCGAATCTCTATCAGAGACTTGATCCTTTGATCTGAAGTTGATGAACAACTACATGTCTACCCAGAAACCAAGCCGGCTTTATACCAGACATCCTCACCATCAGGCGAGTTTCGATGATGCTATGCCAATATCTCGGCGTCAAATCCAGATTTCCGTACGGGGAAATTGATTCACCACGGTCCATGTTCTGGTGCGCCGGACTTGAACTCTGGGCCCTCCTTGCAGCCGGCAACCGTACGAGCAGTTTGGAAGTGCATTCCTTCTTCCTCTTGGCCGACAACATTGATGACTTGTAGTCGACTTGGCTGCTTATACGGGGCGATGATCCACTGCCCGCTCTGACGTGATTCATTGCCTTCAACGTTTCTTGGGATGGCCGCCCTCTCCTTACTGGGGAACGTCTCAGGTGGAAAAGGTTCGTACGTCGATGCCTCTTGGCAGTTTGAGCCAGGTTCACCAATGCCATAATCAGGGAAATCAACCACTCGCACTCTCCGGATGTCCTCACAAGGGCAGCGTTGCCCTTGCTTCCCTAGCCGCCCTCCCCTCTCCCGGCGGGAGAAGATCGGAGGGAGGCGTACGTAGCCTTATGCCATCTCCAAACCGTGGTGTGCGCTGGAACGTGTAATAAGTCAGCCACACCGACACTCATCAACGTCGCACATGCGCCGTGGAATGCTTCAAAAGGGCAATGATGGCATTGCTCGGACCCACCTCCCAATAATCCGCCGCGACGCAAGAATGCTCCTTTCTCCAATGATTCCAGAATTGTCCCGATCCACTCGGAAGCAAGGGAATATTTAGCCGAAAAACTGAACCGAAAAGGGGAAAAGAACAAGACAAGACACACACAGAAAGAGAGAGAGAGAGAGCGGGAGGGAGCAAGAAAGATGGCCGAGGGCCCGATTCGATCACTGGGGGTGTTGACATTTCGCCATTCGAGTACCCGCCCCTTAGAATGGAATTAGCCCTGGATGATCTATCAGGGGGGCTATTTGAGCCTTTTCTGTCCCTCTGTCCCCCTCTCTATGTCTACTGGTCGCCCAAACCTCCTGAACTGTATCTTCATTGGCTACAGTCAAGACTAGAAACATGTCTGCGCTCGGTTCCTCTACTGGGATTACAATCTCACCCAACGACGGCGACAGCTCTGCAGATGACGAGTACCAGGATGCGCTGCGCCAGCATGGGCTCGTTCTGAACGAGGCCGGTTTCGTCCGCTGGGAGAATAGCAACCCTAAGCACCCGAGAAACTGGAATGCGAAGCTTAAGACCTACGGCACCATCGTGATTCTGCTGCTGGAATTCATCACCAGCGCCGTCGGCACGGCGGGCACTGCAGCCGCGCAGGAGATGCGGAACGACTTTTCTGTCGGCCTCGGCCTGTCCATCTTCTGTCTCACGTCGACATACATGATCGGTCAGGGGATTGGCGGTGTGTTTTTCCCGCCGTACTCGGAGATCTGTGGCCGCAAGACCCTGTACATCGGGTCGACCATAGTGTATTGTGTCTTCTCGATCATCACGGCGGCCGTCCACGCGCTTCCGGCCATCATCATTGCACGGTTTCTGTCCGGGCTGGCCTCGGCAGTGCCCACGATCGTGGTGGCGGGGAGTATGGAGGACATGTACAATATGAAGGCACGGGTGTGGATGATCTTCGTGTGGGCGGTGATTGGGAACGCGGCTGTTTGTGTCGGTCCTATCTACAGTGCCTACGTCACCCAGAACATGGGATGGTGAGTTTGTTTCTTTTGGGCGAGCCTCAAATACAGATGGTTAACATGAATCTAGGCGTTGGGTCTTTTACCTCGCCGCTATCGGCCTGGGGATTCTCTTGGGATTCTGTTTGTTCCTGCACGAGACTCGCCCCAGTCTCCTGCTTGAACGCGAGGTGGCGATTCTGCGAAAGTCCCAGCCGGGCAGAGACATCAAACCCCTGAATCCGGACAAGACGCTGGACTTCAAGACCATGGTCACGGTCACTTGCATTCGACCGGTGCGACTCCTGCTCACCGAGCCCATCATCATGACGGTGTCTTTCATGGGCGCCGTCATCTGTGCCCTTTTCTACCTTCAGGCCGAGTCCTTGCCCCTGGTCTACGAGGCCTACGGCTGGAAGACTGCTACGGCGTCTTTGGGCTTTATCCCGATCCTTTTGGGTTGCGGGATGTCCACGTTCGTGCGATTCTACGATCAGCATCATCTGGAGAAGGTCGCGCGAAGCGGCCGAACCATTGAACCCGAAGACAAACTCACCGGGTTCGCCATTGCGACGCCCTGTCTGGCCGGTGGTAAGTCCATACCCCCACTTGCCTTTCTTCCAAGTGACAACAAACTTACTCAAACAACAGGCCTCTGGCTCTTTGCCTGGACCATCCCACCCTTGACGCGAGTCCACTGGATGGTTCCCATGGTGGCGCAGTTCTTCATCGGTTTCGCGCTGAACGAGGGCGTCTACACGCTGACAGGCTACCTCGCCGACAGCTACACGATCTACGCGGCGTCGGGATTTGCCGGACTGATCCTCGTGCGCGCGTCGACCTGCGCCGTCGTCCTGCCGTTCACGCACCCCATGTACGTCAACCTGGGCTACAACGTGGCGACGTCGATCCTGGCGGCCATCGCCACGTTGTTCTGTGTGGCGCCGGTGGTCTTCATCCGGTACGGCAAGCGAATCCGCGAGGCCAGTAAATTCGCGCGGTTGAGTCTGACGATGTACCATGACAACAAGGTGGAAGGTGACGGGATGGATCAGGAGAAGGTGGAGGAGAAGATGGATTATGAAAAGTAGCTATTCATCTTTTGCCATCCGCATGTACAGACCGATAGAATGATCGGCTCTAGATAGAGTGATAGATTGATAAAAACCAACCAGACAAGGGGAAGAAGGGGGATACCCCATTGCTTCTCTTCCTGTCCCTCATTTCCCTTCGGTCTCTTCCCTCAGAGATTGTCGTACAGAATCGAAGGCCGATACAAACGCCGTTTTTATTTTTATTTTTTTTTTCTGACCTTTTCCTCCCTCGACTCCGAGCAAACTCCATTTCGGGCGAGTTGTTGTTGCGACGGAGAGTTGGTTACACGACAGCCTGTGTTGCAGATCGATAGATATCTTGCTATTTTTCGAAGAATTGGTCTCTACCTGTCAAACCGTCCGTTTGGTTGAACAAACGCAAGAAGACCGAGGGGGAGGGGCGTTTGATCCTCCTGCTCCCCTATTCTCTCCATCACAAGCATTGCCAATATTCACATTCAGTTATTCCTTCATTTCCACCCAACCCGACCAAACCACGCCCAACCCAGCCCACCGTACTTCTGTCCCGTCCTGTCAAAGTAGACGACAACCCCGGTTGGTCTGGTCTGGACACACTAACTCCCTTCTAGGAGTCTCTGTTCTCCACCGGGTGCATACATCCCGCCTACCAACGGTCCTGCAGACGGGTGGCATTGCAATCCATTCCAATCATCATCCCGGATGCGATATGTACCGGGCCGAGCTGAGTAGCTTTTTTTTCCCTCTAGGATTTGATTTGTTTTTCTTTTTTTTCTGGTGTCTTAGTTTTGGGTTTGGATTTGAATTTGACTTGGTTTGGTTTGGGCGTTTGATCGTCCCTCCGATTCCGATTCCTCGAGTGACTTGACTTGATTGATTTGATTTGATTTGATCTGAGACGTGAGTGGGGGTGGTCTGTCTGTCTGTCTGTCTGTCTGTCTGGATGCTTGACATCCAAGCACAGTATTATAGTTATTACTTGTGCATTAATTAATGTCTTGTTTTATTTCCCTCGAGGCCAAGCCCACGACAAGACCTGACAAGAAAATTTGTCATAAAAAGTACTCTTTTCCCCATTCTAGTGCCTCTGATTCCATTAACCCAATTTAGACACTGGTCTGCTCCTAAAGTACGATTTCCAACCCCTCCATCCCTCCATCCCTCCATCCCTCCTTGCCCTATTCCGAATCCGAATCCCAGTCCTGGTCCCTAATCATGAGACAGCCTAAGGAAATCAAGTACATACCGTACGTCAGATATAGTAATGTAAACGAAAAAAAGAAAAAAGAAAAGAAAAGAAAAAAATGTCCCTGAACCCCGACCCGAACCTAAATCTACCCTTGCAAGAAGGGTCTGCACTGCTGCGTCACGATGGAGGGGGGGAGGGAAGGACGGCTTCCTTCTGGGAATTGGAATTTAGATTTGAAATTGGATTTGTAAGAGTTGGAATGGGGAATGGGATGATGGGTACGTACTTATTTTCGGTTTGAGGGTCTTCTCCCTCGGGTTTGTGCCTACGGATCTCAAGGTAAGTACAGTGGAGAGAGGATATGGATGCGGGTGCGTGGGAAGTAGCAGCAGCTCCAGATCGATTTATTTAATTGTGATTGTTATTTTTATTTCCGGTGGTTTGGTCTGTCTGTCTGTCTGGTCTGGTCTGGTCTTGTGCTTCTTTTCTTTTCTTTCTTTGCCCTATTTATTTATTTTGTTTGTCGGTGGTACTTCTTCTTCTATTCTTCCTCTTGCTTTCCCTCTCCCTCTACCTTCTATTCACTCACCTCCTTGGATTCTCTTCTCTCCTTCTTTCTTGACTCTTCACTTTATTCTACTTTATTCCCTACTTACTTTCTTCCTCCCTCCTACACTTACTTACTATTCACCTTCTTTGTACCCTTGCCCACTCTACATACTCCATACTCGAACCACTTCACTCAATTCAATTCCACTCAACTCAATCCAATCCAAGAACCCCAAATCATCCGAGTCCAATTCACCAAAATGCCCCCCGTAGGCCCGCGTGCCTCCAAAGAGGAATTCATGCAAGCGTTGGGCTTGAATTCTCAGAATCCGCAGCATGAGCAGTATTACCGCGCGATGAGGGTATGTGCAATTTCTTTCCTTTCTTCCTGTTTCCTATGCGTTCTGGTTTATGTGTTGTTGTTGTCTTTTTTTCATTTTGTTCATGGGTGGATGGAATTCCTTGCTCTATTTCTATTCTATTCTTTATGCCTACTTTACATACAACTATGCCCTATGCACTATACATCTCCCTGTCTGTCTGCCTCCCCTACAAAAGAAAAACAAAGCAAAATCCCAACACCACAGAACAAGGGAAAATAAAGAAGAGAAAAAGAGAGAGACATTTGACAACATAACTCACCCCTCACAAAACAACAGGACGTAGCAATAATAATCTACAACCGCCTCAACGAAAACCCCACGAACCTCCTCGACAGCGTCGCCACGGACCCCACGACCCGCCCCCCTTTCTTCTGGCACCATATCCGTCCCGATCGCCAGCGCTGGGGCATCCTCGAGATCGTGTCGCATGCGGGCCCCCTCACGGAGCCGTTCTTTGCGCGCGGCAACACCGCCGGCGAGTATGGGCCGAATTGGGTCGCCGGGTGGTTGCTGTATAGCGTGTTTCGGTCGAGGGATGTTCGCAATAATCGGAATCGGAGGAAGGGGGAGGGGGAGGGTATGTCTTTTTTCCTTTCCCTTCTTTGTTGGTGGAGGGTTGAAAGAGAGGAAGGGAATTGTGGATATTGGCTGATCCTGATTTGGCCGTAGGGCAAGCCGCGAAGACGTCGCCGTCAAAGTCGAAACAGGATGAAAGCCCGCCGAAGAAGGAGTACTATGATCCGGTGAGGAATGGGTGAGGGTTCCAAGAGCGAGGCTGTTCAAAAAAGGTAGGAAGTGTGAGGATGAAACAAAATCATGGTCATGGGCGATAGCGTTCAATGTTATCTGTAGCCAATACACGGCTCTAGTTGTCATCGTGCTCGTCGCCATCTAGATCATCTTTCCGCTTGGATCCGTTCTTATGCGTGCGCTCCTTCTTCAGCGCCTCGGTCACGCGCTCGTCTTGCTCGTCTTTCTTCTCATCCCAGTAGACGTCGTACTCGGCGGCGATGAGTTTGATCTCCTTGCGCAGCGTATTACCCTCGTCGATCAGCGACTCCCACAGGTTCAGATCGACCCCTTTCGCCTGATACAGCTTGCGCTGGCGCGCGTTGATCGTAAAGTCCAGCGCGGATCGGTACGAGATCTCCCGATTGTGGTAGAGAAACCAGAGATAGCCGCCCATCAGCGTCGTCAAACTGACCAGGTACGTCACCGGCTCCATCGTATCCCATCCCAGATCCGTCTCGAACGTCAGCTTGTACACGAGATACCACCAGAACGAGAGGATGCCGAATCCGCCGATGGCCACGCGCTGCGCGCCCCGATGCGCCAACGCATCGCACTCGTGCTTGATCTCGGCAATACTCTGGATCCGCTTCGAGATGTTCCGCAGCCGCATGCGCAGGAAATGCGTGCGCTCGTCGAACGCAGGAACCGCCACGTGGATCTGGCGCAATCCCCCCGGCGACCCCTCGATGCTGACGATTAACTCGCGCGCGCGCGACGCGTCGCGAATGAAGTCGCCGACCTCGGTGGACTGCGACCACCGCACGAAACGCTCCTCCTTGGACGCTTTGCCGGGCGCCGTGCGCCGCAGGTAGCTGAAGGTATCGTCGTCTTCTTGCGGGTCGCGGCGCGATTCGCGGCTCTCGTCGCCGGAGTCCAGCTCCGCTAGCCGACTCACTTCGGAATCGGTCTCCTCGTACATCGGCTTCCGGGGCCGGATGGCGTTGTCGTCGATCTGGAGCGCAATGAACGAGACGGTGGGAGACCGTAGCTCCCCGGTGTGGGTTTTGATCTTGGGGACTTCGTTCTGGATGAGTCGTTCGAGGTATGATAGCGGCTGTTGCGGATGGACGAGGATAGCAATGGGTTCGAAATCTAGTCACTGTCAGTGCAACCATCCACCTCCTGAACTCAATAAAGAGAAAACCCACCCATATGCTTCCTATTATGATGCGCCGTCGGCAACGGAATCAACAACTTAAACAATCTCGACGGCGTCGTCAACAACTTTCCTACATTCGCCATAACCGTTAACATCAGACCAGCACAAGACTACCTCGCCACCAACACCCCTAACCAATTGTCACCAGGAGAGGAGAGGGACCAAAAACGAACCATTCGTCATCGCATCCTCAATCTTCTGATTCGAGTTCTTCTCCGTCCGATCCCGCTCCTTGATCTCCAATCGCTCCAGATGTTCCTTGGTCTCCTTCTTGTCCTCCTGCTTGATATCCCAAGGCGCCGCGTACCATCGTCTCTGGTCGATAACATGGGCATGGGCACGAAGTCGAGAGGGTCGAGACGAGCCAGACGAAACGGTACAGGCGGATAGGCAAGTCAATGCTGATCGAACGCCCGTCGTCGTCGACGAGGAGAAACCTGCTATCCCTCTCGTCCGGGGTACGAGGCCAACCCCGCAGCCGGGCCTGGCGCTGGCGCAAGCAGCGAAACCGAAAGTTCGAAAGGACCGCATTATTGGGCGGTCATCTGTCCGCGAACGAGGAGCATGTAGGATGGATGGATGGATGGGTGGAAGGGATTGTCAGGGACCGAAATAGTTGCCAAGGATGGTAATTCGTAGTTTATGTGTAATTGAACGACCCAATTCGGTAGGTTAGAGTGAGTAGTGTCTAGGACTGTAGGACAAGAATGGGTTTAGGGCCGGGTGTTGGTATATCGTTCGAGGGGGTGAAAAAAAAGCAACATCAAGGAAAGAAGGTATATAACGGAGCCCGAGCGGTCTCGAGCCTCGGAGCCGGTCCAGAGCCAATATTGCAGGGACGAGATGGCATCATCGGTCTTGTTGTTCGCTGTTCCTTCGTGGCGCAGAAGGAGAAAAGGACTCTACGTCATGCTGAGTCAGCGGCGGGTCGGCGTTAACTAACTAGTGACATGTCGATGATGTCGTCGTTGGCCGTTCCTGGATTCGATCATTTGCAGTGAGGTGAATAGGGGTAATGGCTGTGTGCTACAATCTTGTTCTGTATGTTTATGTGGCAGGTACGATTATTTGACGTGGTATAGTACTTAGTTGTGTGCAAGTTGCATAGATTAGCTACTAGTAACCGTTGCTATATATAAAACACCAACGTAACAACGCTTATCACCGAACACCACACCCTACTAATTGACAGTACAACACAAGAACAATTAGGAACAGCAATTCCGAGTCCCTGAATCGGACAATCCCGCCAGAGACTCGACTCCGAGCAACCGTGACAGCGCAAGGGAAGTCAGCTGTCTTTTTTAGTAGAGCCAGAACCTTCCTCGTCGCACAGTCACAGTATACAAACAGGAGTCTGACTAGAAGCAAGGTAACACCCGGAGTTGCGAGCTGGCAGCAGGTAACCGTAATCAATTAAATAGGTGAACAGGTAGACAGGTAGGTACGGTATTCTTTCTTCTTCATTCTTGTACAGACTTTGCTGGGCAGGGGGTGAGGTAATTTGCAAAAGTCCGCCGATGATAGGAAGAAGTCATAGACACTGGAAGGGCACAGAAACAGGGATGGAAGAAAACGATACGAAAAACAGAGAAAAAAGGACCGCTAGCCACCACCATGAAAAGTCCGTCATAGTCATAAATATTCATATCACATTCATTCTGTTCTGTCGTCCTCGCGTTGAAATCTCGTAGGGTTGTACCAGGTGGTCAATGCGAAAAGAAAAGAAAAGGAAAAACAAAAGAAAATAAATAACAAATAAAGGGGGTTTTCGATCTATCTGGATATTTCAAGTCATGTCGTAAGTCGTAACATCATAATGATTTTCTTGCCTATACTTTTCATTTTCCTCCGTGACAGCTGCGTTGACGATGTCAATTCAATGATCCGTGTGAGATGTAAATCCGACAGCCCTGCTGAGCAGAACTACGGGCCACGGCTCTCAAACGCCAAAGCCCTCGACGGACCAACGGGTCGATCACGATCGATGCGTCCACCCTCGTAGCTTTCAGGGCTGCTCCCTCCGCTTCTGCTCTCGCCGCTCGTCGAAATGTCGGTATCGTCCCCATAGCGAGTCTTCCGGCCGGTGCCGATCGCGACCGGAATGCCCTGGACCACGCCGCCGTGGTCATGGCCCGCCGGATACATGCCGTCGTTGACGGAGAAATTGCGACAGATGAGATAGGCCCGCATGGCTGCGCTCTCCCGGGCCAGGGTCTCGTTCTCGCAAACGATATCCGTCTGGTACTCGCGATTGTTGACGCGGACGGTGCAGGTGTATCCGGATGTGCTGGTGTACGACTCGTACTGAGGTTCTGGCCAGCGCCGACGTCGGCAAAGACCTATACAACTTGCTTAGTGGTTATGTTCTGGCAGTTTCCCCGGGGATAAGGTGTTGTGATGCCCGTCTCGCCTCCGCCCCCTGTGGACTCTCCAACAAATCAATGCCGGTAGTGATAAGGAAGACGGACGATGCCGAATGGATCAACGTCTTCGTCTTTTGCAATTTGTTCATGCTTTATTTTCTTTATTTAGAAACCAGGGACAGAGGGAAACCGGGCAAATCAAGAACAGGAAAACATTGCACAAGATCCATTAGGGACCAATGAGGAAACAAACGGAAACAATCATGCAAACGGGGGGGCAGGCGTAGATCTGGACCAGGACAAACGTTCAACAAAAGGACCCTACATACTGGCAAGGTAGAGAATATAGTACATCGTCAGAGGATCGGGGTGGATGCCCAATGGAATGTAAGGGACTGGGGCGGTTCGAATCAATAATTCGCTGCCTTGGATCTGTCGACACTGCACAGAATCCTGGCAATCACACAAGAGGCATTAGAAGCAAGCCTACGAGGTGAACGACGTTTGTTGATGCCCAATGGCCACGTTCCTCATATGACGAGCAGAAGAGGCGGTGCTATTTTGGTACGGTCGAAAACCGCCTGGCCCTCGTGGGAACCGATCAAGCTTCGTATAGATCAAACGGATAAACAGAGACGGTGAACCGTAGAAATTGGGAGGATGAGCAAACGATCGAAGAACTGCAAGATGCGCTACAATGGCAGAAAGAAAGGCAAGAGTTCAAAAACTAAATCCAAGGGTTCCAAAAAGAAAAAGAAGGGCGAGAGCGATGGTTCTTCCTGCTAGCCCTAGGTATAACCAGTCCAAATAAACAGGTGGGGCTGCCATTGAACAACAATTAAAGACTGACTTTGGAATAATCCACGGAGGAACAAAAAGAAAAAAAAACAAAGAGACAAATAACGGCCCTCAACCGGTTCAATTGAACAGCTCCACTCAGATTGGCGGAGGAACAGACAAGTAACAGGTGAATTCCATGATCCATTGCGGACCCCTCGAGGCCATTAACTTTCCATCGTCTCGACTCGTTTCTTTTTGGGCGAAGGGAAAGACAGGCAAGCGTTGAAACGCTGATGTGCTGGCATGGCTCTTCGCCAGTGATCCAACACTAGGAGATCCTCCATCTGCCACGGTGTAATTCGCCGCCGATCCAGGCGGCTCGGATTGGCATTGTTGCTCAGGATCAGTCTTTCTCGGTCTTTCCTTTATTGCTGCAGAATGTTCAGAAGTCGGAAGTCGGTGATCTTTATTTTTATTTTACTTTTCTTTCTGTTTTTCTGCCTTCCGTTTTCGTGGAATTTGATTTTCTGGCTCCTTTGTCGGTCTATCCAGGCGTCATTGATTAAAAATTCCCGCAACCTGTACATAGATTCCATAGAATGAGGATCATCAGGGAATTTCTTTTTGCTTCCTCAGTCTTATTCTTTCCATGAACGTCGTGAAAGGCCACTAATGCATACCATAACGGCACCCAGCTAGAGAGAGGGGGCTCATGTCGCGCGAAATTCCAGAAAGAAAAAGAAAACATGTCCCGGGATGACTACGATCAGACAAAGGCTCAACACCGTGGCGTTGAAACCAACGAGCACCGCCAATGATGGAGGTCGCCACAATCGGATCCGGGTCGTAAAGTAACATAAGAGACGATCGTCATGGACCACTCGGTAGACAAGAAGAACAGGCGGAAAGACGAAAGGAGGGAGGAAGGTGTTGCTCTGCCCCTCATTTTTCTTGTCATCTCCTGCAGTCTTGCAGGATGAGACCAAACCGACCGGCTAGTTCCCATTTTCTCGGGATGAACATCAGTTGGTAGTCTGACTGACTGGATAGGTGTTCATTGCTGGGAATTGAATTCCAAAAAAGAAAAAAAAAAGGACCAGGTCCAGAGCACAGTCCCTGATTGACGTCCCTCCTTAGAGAACCAAGGGACGGTTCATTCTCCGACGGATTAAAAGGATCGTCTGGATTCTTCGATTCCTGCGTTTAGTAGATCATCATTGGATTGGTCCAGTCCTCTTTTTATTTTTATTTTTGAAAAAAATATTTTCCTTATTGATTTCCTGTTTCGTGGTTGACAGGCAGGCATCGGATGCACCGATGAGTTGGCAGCTTGTCGCTTCGTGCGGCGGCGGGGAATCCATGCCACTTTGACACGAGATGCGAATGGGACACCGGTGTAGGGTATTTCAATATTCAATCCATAATCCAAATTAGAATTAGAATTAGAATCAGCATCGAAACCGTAGGAAAGAATCCTGCCGATTGATTTAGCCAACCGCGCTAGGGGGAGGATGGGATACTTTCGGGGAATTGGCACACCCCTCTTCCTCTCCTTTTCACTTTGCTTTCCTCTTCTTTTCTTTGTCTTTTTACCCCGGATTGCAGCGGATTTTTGTGGTGGCTGCAGGTTGGTGCACCGTTGCCTTCTCTTGTTTCTCTCGCGGGGCGGAGGGCAACCGGTGGCTTGTCCATTCGTTTGATTTCTAGGATTATTTCTCTTTTTTCTGTCGTTGTTTCTCTCAAAGGGATGGATCACCATAAGATTTCAGGAATGGATGGAAGTGCATAGTGCTGAGGGATAGTTGGACGGACGGATGGATTGGTGATTGAGGGGAAGTCACAGGCGTGAGTGAAAACCCCTTGAAAAAGATACGACAAAAGCAAAACATGCAAAGTCCGCCAACCGCATGGCATGACGACACAGGCGTGCGATGAAATCATCTGGCTGACTACAGCGTGGTGGGAAATGAGATTTGATTACGGAACTCGTATGTGTCTGTCTCCATCTCAATCCCAGGCTCCTTGCTTCTTGCTTTTCAATCAGCCCATTGCCATGACTTGCCTCCTGGTTGGATGATGTATGCGTCGTCAATTTTTCCAACGGAAGCAGTCTACCAATATGATACAAAACGTCATTCTAGATTAATTCGTAGTTCGTACACATCTTCCGAGTCATTGTAGCTAGAGCCAGATCCCTCCATCCCCAAAAACCTCGGATCAGGACATTACTATGTCTCAAATGGTTGACGCTCGTACCAGGAGCGCATCTCCTGGGCGGCCTGGTGGGGAATCACGTAGAGGGGGTGGGCGGCTATCAACCGGTCTTGCTTGCTCAGGACGCTGTCGGCCGGTCCGTCCGAGGCATCAACGTGAGAGTACTTCCATGAGAAGGCCGACGCAAAATCATCCTTTGAGCTGGTACTAGTGTCGGTATGGTAATGATAATATTGCGCCATACTCAACCCCGTGAGCGTGTAACATGTGTGGTACGAATCCGGGTGCCTTCGTTTGCGGATTGTCAGCATCCCAGGGAGTAATCGTAGAGGGTGACAAAAGAGGGGAAAGATGACTTACTTCCCGGGCTTATCTCGCAGACCCCCGTTTCGAGACTGACAGCAGGATAGAATGTATCTGGTCAAGCCTTCTCGACTGTAGAGGCTGCCAGTGGTTTGCTTCGGGGATGCAGCCGGTTGGGTGCCGTCCAGCGCGGACTGGAGCAGTGGCCAACAGCTTCCGACCCAATGGCTGTAGCATCCATCCACCAGCTTATTAGTTCTTCCCGCGAACCCTCCTTCGGGAGCATACTGCCTGGCCGAGAGCCAGGATAGGAGCAGAGGGACGTCCATGCATCTGCCACGGTCAGCAAAAAGGAAATATGACCAAAGGATGGATTCTAGTAGGCACTCACTTGGCTATGGTCACCTCGGGCTTGCCTAAGATGCAAAGGCATGCCAAAGCGCAGAACGCATAAGCCCCATGCGCCTCTGCTCCGGGGCTACCGGAAATTCCTCCTTCAAAAGTTTGGCCTACCGGCCGTTATCAATACTATCCAATGATATCAAAAGTGAGATGGAGTCTTACATCTTGCAAGATACTCGGAAAGGCCGCTGGTGAAGGACTCCAATCCATGTTGCCGAGCTTCGGCGTCAGGGGGAAGAGTCAGAGGTAGATCGAGTAGTGATATAATCACCATCGCGCAGTAAGCGCCTCTGGCATGGCGTCCAGTTAGCCATGTTGTCACAATTAAACAGAGAAAGACTTACCGCACGTCCTCTTCCCCGCCCTCGCAGACCCTGAAGCCACCGTCGGCCTGCTTTAATTTCCCGAGCCATCTCCACCTGATTAAGGGGTTAGGAATCGCATTGGGTCTAGACAAGACTTTTATGGCGCACAGCTCACATTGCTTTTCGATCAATCAACTGGAAGGCCTCGTGGCCGCCAACCATGGCCAGAGACAGCACGGCAGCATAGCTGGACGCGCAATGAGACATCTGGCCATGTCCACCTCCGAACCCACCCGTGGGATTTTGCATAGATTTGAAGGTAGATGTAACGCTGTGAAAGAGAGAGGAACATTTTTAGAAGACGTCCAACGAGCCGCAGATCATCTCTAAGATGAGGGAATAGGATATATGCACACATGCGCAGGTCGAGTCTACGGACCGTGAAAGCGAACCAGCCTCTACTTACCGATAGTTGAATTTACTGATGTCCTCCTCCAGCAGAGACAAGCCCGCCAAGGCCCAGTAGACCAGCCAAGGACGACTGGCATCGAGTCCAACGAAGGAGCCGGGGTAGTCTTCTAGGGAGTCGTAGAGAAAGGCGATATGGTCGTCGCGTTTGAGGGCGGGCACGCCGAATTGATTCAGCGTCCCTCGTTGGCTGCTCTGGGTGCCGGCCAGGAAAGGCAAGCATTTAGTGACCGTTTCATTCTGAAGGTCCGTTGTCTCGGTGGAGAGCGAATCTCGGATCAGAGGCAGCTCCGTAAAGAGCGGCGGGATCCCGGGATGGGCCTCGGAGCCAGACATGGTCGAGGTGGTACTGGACTGCTGGTTGACTAATGTGTGATTCCGGGAGTGAACTGCAGGCGAGGAACAGCCGTTGGTCTGTCGACCGGGTCTGGAGCTGCCTGTCGGAGGCGTTTGCGCGGTCGAAGAGAAGCGAACTTTTCGACGATGTTTCCCTGTCGCTGCAATGACCGGCATGAAATCATTCAATCGAGGGGATATCCTTTTGGTAAAAGAGCTCTTAATATCCGGAAAATCAAATGAGGGCCTGTAGAATAATACGGGGGTTCCAATGTGATCGCTGCGATTGTCCGGGGGTGGTCAATGGGCTTGCAATGGCAGCTCTGGCCTTCATTGTTCTTTTTTGCCGGTCAGGTGGGGCTCTCTTCCCCTCAGTGTCTTCACCTACGGAGTGTACTGAGCACTGAGCACGGAGTAAGAGAAGCAGGTCAGGGGCAGAATCTTTCTCTCTAAATTTTGCTTATTTCTATCTTTACTTTTTCTCTGTCGACAATCGGCTGACTGAATAATTTTACATTGTTATTGTTTGCTCTCGTCGCATTCTATACTTTAAGGGAAGACTATTGGAAACTCCCCCCAACTGGGCTAGACCTGCCTAAGGCTGACAATGTCCCGTGACCGCCAAGAGTCCACGACCCAAAAAGGTTAAGCGATCGACTCCTTACGAGTTGGGCAGAGTGAGGAACACTAACCATCGAGGAGAATGTGAATCCTAGCTTGAATGATCGTCTCCCTTGATGAGGGGTAGGTGTCTAGGTGGGAGCCCCTCGAACAATGGACTTGATCCGAGACACTTTCCGACAACACATCTCCTATGATTCCAGCCTGTCAAGACAAGACGACCCTGGAATTGCTAAACCCTCTGCGTCCTCGCATACAGCAGGTAACCAGACTAACTACCGGGTACCCAAGTATCATAACGCACTAGTACTACGTAAGTCATGATGGCCTGCAGCTGCCCTGCCCCCTCTCAGACTTCGAAAAACTCACCATCGGGGATGGTGCCATCCGGTGTTGATGAATCGGGCTCGATTCCATGAGCTTTGCCTCTCACAACGGATACAACGTGCATGTGGAATTGCTAATAATAATTCGTCTCCGATTCCCCAAGTCTCGGTAAGCGCCAATATACTTCAATACGGCGTCAAAGTCAAAAGACGACTGACGCGTTTGGCTGGTTTGTTGTGATTTCTTGCGGCCGCTGGCGTGGCCAACCTGCGAGTCAGAACCGAGACTTCTCTCTCTTCCGTGGCGGGCGAATGGATTTGACGGCCATCATCGAAAGTGGAGCCCACGGGCCCTGATTTCATATGCACGACGTTTTTTTTCCTACGTTGGGACTTGGGTCTTGCCCACTTGCCTGCAGTAACCCTTTGCCTTTTTTTTGTGTGTGTTTTTTTAAAAAAAGTAGTGACTTCGTCGCCAACCCTTCTATCCGACCTACCTCTACCCGTGGAGAATGTGCAGCTCTCCGGTCCGCCTCGCTATTATCCATTCATCGTGACTTCGCCCTTGATCGAATAGGGTTTGTTGAGACGCCGTATCTGATCTATCCACTCTTGGCCATGAAGCCGTGCACATTCTTACCTGGGACCCTGTCTCTAATAATCATGACTACGGAGTACTCCGTACGGTGTACACCGTCGATGGATGATTTCAGATCGGCGGCGGCAACGAAGGACCTAAATAAACCTAAAATGCGAGAGCCAAAAATGAGATCAAGTCAGTGGCACACAATAAGTATATCGGAGTTTAGCTAAATCGACCATCCCAAAACAAGACGAGAGAAAAAACATGGCAGAGAGAAGGGGAACTGCCAACGCCAACCAAACTTGTCATCACTTATCATCGTCACTAACTATCTGTCCTGTTATTGTCATCATCTCATCTTCAACCTTACGGGCTGCAGATTAGATGGTCGTCCCGGTGGCTAGAAGGATCCCGTACAGTAGTGTAACTTTTCGCTGGAAGCTACTGCATCGTCAGCGGACTCGTTGGCAACAACTCAACATGTGTGCTGCAGCGATTGAGTCTTGACGGAGGACGACTACTATTATTGGCAGTCACCCTGACGGTGGACTATCTCCAACAGGGTAAGGTACCTCCGCTTGGTAGTTGGTACTCCGTACAGGGCACATACTAGACCCTCCGGGCAATCATACATTGCGATCGGAACCCTTCCCGTACGGTTACTGTATAGCCGATACGGAAGATCATGGGTGTCTGAGTAAATGGAGCCCGGAATTGGAATCATGCCAATAAAAACCAGGCGATGCGAGGCTGCTGTCACCAGTACCAGTCAGCAATCACTGCCCATGCGGTCCCCACTGGTCCTCCGTGGTCGACGGGGGGATTCCGAGCCGGTCATATTGCCACGGCCGGGTAGAGTACTTGGATTAGAGGCTTAGAGCCTAGAAATCTCAATACTACGAAGAAATATACCCACTCAGGATGCACCCTCGGAGCAGAGTCCAAACTCCAAAGGGACTGGGGAGGGTCCCAGATCGGCGACATGTGCCAATAACCGGGCGAGATTAGTCAAGGCCATGCCAATTGTAACCGATCTTGACCCGTTCCCACTGATCTGCCTTTCCCGAACGCGCACCCGTGTCTCGTCCACGGAGAAACCGTCGCGGTACCGTGGTATAATCCCATGGTACTCGCATGATTCTGATTCACAGGAACAGCTGTCCCGGCGTCTCGTCGCTTCCCCCGCTTCGCTCGTTAATGTTTATGAATGCTGATTGATGATGGATGATGGATGATGGATGGTTGACTCGTCTCATCGCCTTCCCCTCCGTCTTCGGCTGTTCCTCCATTCTCCCCGCATTCTCCTTCATTCCAAGACAATGAGATCATCGCTGTCAATTGTTGTCCTTTTTTGTTGTAATCCACTCCCCCTCTGAATGTCGCATGTGGCTGAAGGCGCAGAGGTGAGGAGGTTACTGACTGGTAAGTGGTAACGGACTAGGAATCCGGAATCTGCATCGGTGGATATCCTTTCCACTAGACCCATTGGAGAGAGATCGGGAATGATTATCATCAGACTGATCATGAACGTAATACCCTAACTGGGCATGAGTGCACATCATGTAATCTTTTTTTCGTACGGAGGATGCTTTTAGTTGGTCCCCTAGCAGGATGGATCCATACTCCGTAGAGCGAAAGAGAACAAAACCAAAAAAAAAAACAGGCCACGGTAGTTCCCAATCGCCCTACACCCGACGGGGTCAAGTTGACCAACCTACTGTACAGGAATCCCGTAAGCTACGCCACTTTGCACGAAATGCCAATGGGTTGACCCCCGTGGCATTAGCCATCAAGTCCTCGGCGGGTGACCCAGCCTCCCTCTCTCCTCCCCCCCCCCACTTTGATAGCGAGAAAGGCCCTTCCGACTTTTCCTAGCATTTCTTAGCGCATCGCCCGCCGACGCAACTCCCGCCTCACCGCTGCTTTGGCTCCCCACCGCTTCATGCCCGCCATGGCGCCTTCATCCTATCATCCTCCCTCTCTCTCTTCGGTCTCTTCTCGCACCCCGGATTCTGGGCTTTCTGCTCATCCGAAGCCCTCTCTTCTTCCCCTCTGGCTTCGCTGTCAATTCCCTTTCATTCCATCCCCCTCCTCTTATTTGTTTTTTGTATCACCCCATCCTGTCCTGCCTGTCTTTTATATTACTCTTTTTTTGTTTTTTGTTTTTTATACATTCTTATTTCCATTCAATTACTTTACTGTTTTTTATTTCGCCGTCATTTTTGGTTTTATTTTACCTTTTCCTTTTTTCTATTTCCTTTTTTTTTATTCCTTATTTTCTTTTTGTTCTTTTTGGTTATCTCCCCATCCTTCCTAAGGGGAATTTTTTGTCCCTTTTTCTTTTTCTTCTCCTTCCCTTTTCCCCTCCTCTCTCTTGTTGGTACATAGGTTCAAATTGCGACAATGTCAAATGTTGATTTATCGAGTGACGGCTTCATCGGCCTGGACTATGACTCGAGGGGGTATATTCAGCCTCAGTCATGGCCCGTGGCGGTGGACCAGCAGCAGCCTGCCCACCGAACGGAAGGAGGGCGAGATATCTCTCCCTTGCAAACCAGCGGTCACGCTTTCGAACAGTCGGTATCTCAAGATCCTAACTTGATGGTGGACTGGCAATTTCAGCACTTGCAACCCCACCTCCAGTACCCTCATGAAGAGGCCTCGTCCGCTCCGCAGTTCACGGCCGCAAGTTATGGCATGCCCATCCAGTCGTCGCCGGTCGATCTGATTTCGGGAACCCAAGCTCAGTTGAGCACCGGTCTTTTGGACGGTCCCTATCTGCCTCTCTCTGCACCCGTGGATATGGTCCCGTTCCCTTACCAGGACCTTCAAACCGAACTGATGGCTTTCCCTACGGATCACGGCCTGCCGGATCTGTCGTACGCGGCACCGCAGAACATGATAGGCGGCAGCTCGCCCGCAGACACCTACCTCGAGGTTCGGTCCTTGACCAGCTCCAGCAGCGACAATGGCTGGAGCACCATCGAGCCGCGTCGTTCCAACGAGTTCTCCTTCCCGGAACAGGGCATCTTCATCAACCCGACTCAGACCCTCCACGATCGCAGCCTCTCGGAGTCGTCATACTCGACCTCGTACGGCAGCTTCGTGGATCTCGCCAACCCCGTCAACTCGCCCAGCTCCGAAACCAACTTCGAGTCGGCCTTCAACAACTCCGTCAACCGTCGGGTGTCCTACGATCACACATCGCACGGCTCGCAGTCGCCCACGGCGGTGAGTCCCGTGACCATTGTCCGGCCCATCCCCGTTCCCACGAGGAAGCCCACGTCACCGACCCGGTCTGCCGCATCGCAGTCCTCGTCGGCTTCTCCGCCGAGCCGGAAACCCTCGCGGAAGAGCCCCATCGCTGCGAAGACCGCCGAGACCAAGGTTCGCAAGCAATCGCAGAACGGAAAGCCGGAGACCGAGAAGCGGGTCGGAAAGCGTAAGGGTCCTCTGAAGCCGGATCAGCGGAAACAGGCCAGCGAGATCCGCAAGTTGAGAGCTTGTCTTCGCTGCAAGTTTTTGAAGAAGACCGTGCGTATTCCCCCTTGGCTAGTGTTTCTTCCCGCGGTTTATGCAAGGAGATCGCTGACTTTGATGAATATAGTGCGACAAGGGCGAGCCCTGCGCGGGCTGCCAACCTTCACATGCTCGGTTATGGCAGGTTCCCTGCACGCGAATTGACATCAAGGAAATTGGGTACTTCATGAAGGACTGGAAGGCCGACTATGAGCGCCATATCAGCCTCGGATTCTCCGTCGGAAACATCAAGGGATTCTCGGACCAAGAACGGACCCTCTTCATCACCCACGGCTATGGCCAAGTTCTTCCGATCAACGCCCGCGAGGTCTACGTGCGGGACGAGCAGTGCTTCAGCGTCGACTGGGTCGAATCGATGCACCGGGAACCCACGCAGTACGAGGTGGAGACCGCCAAGCTGTCCGCCGGAATGGAAGGCATTTCTCACGCTTTGCTGTCCGACTACCTTGACCGCCATATTGACGGCAACGGCACCTTCGAGAAATTCGTCGATGATTACTTCGAGGGCACTCCGTTCCTGACGCAGATGCTGAAGACTGCGTTCCGGTACTACTTCCGCACTAAGCTGCCCGTCATCCGCAAGGCCCTGAAGCTGATCATCGCTTACAACCTGACGCTTCACGTGACCATGGTGGAAGGGTTGGGCGAGGAGGAATCCTTCCTCGGAAAGATCCAGGAGGGCTCGTCGAAATTCAACGGCAAGACGATGGCGCCGGTGATGATCAACTTCCAGATCAAGTGTGCCATGGCCAACATGTGGCGTGAGCTGCAGAAGGACGTCCTGGAGGAACTGTCGAGTCTCTACTCGAGCGTCTATAGCGGCGACAAGCTCAAGAACTGGCCTACTATCTTCATCCTAGCGTCGATCCTTCTGGCGGTCTGGGAGGAGATGCAGTTTGATTGCCACTACCGCACTCCTGTAAGTCTTCGTGCGACGACATTCACGGTTGTCAATTACTAACCATTATTCTCTCTAGGACGCCGCTGCCGTCGAGAAGTTCTGCAACGATATGGAGACTACTCCCGTTGGTGTGATTGTCGGCCTCTTCCAGGCCATTTCCCAGAAGCTGCCTGCATTCACCGACTGGGAGACGCAAAAGCACCACCACCTGTTGCACTCGAATCCCGACGTCTGCAATGCTATGACCGAGGTCCGCCAGCATGTCACTCAATACGGTATGTAATCCCTTGGTTCATTAGGTTGCCGCTTACTGACAATCCTTCAGAGAGCTACCTTCGGAGTCGCTCCGGCTCCAAGTTCAACCGCAACGACTTTGACTGTCTATCCAATAAATTCATCTCCCGACTTGTGATTCGCGCGAACTAGAATGACTCAAGCGGAGAATGAGGGATTTGCACATGTTTTCCCGCAAGCAAATGTGTTACGGCTTTGTTTTTTTAAAGATGACGGCATCTGCACGATACGAAACTATGAGATATGCCGGCATTTACGATTATGAGACTCGCATCAAGCCATTCTTAGCGACTACGATCGTTTCCACTCAACTTCTGTCTTCTACCGTCTCGGCTTCTGTTTGTTTTCCTTTTCATTTTGTTTACTTGATTTACTTAAACGTGTGCCAATTTTAGCCCGAAGCATCTGTCGTTTTTTTCATGTTTTCCTCTCCTTTCCTGTTTCCGATCCACGCTCTTTCTTTACTTCTCAGTGGTATACCTTTCTCACGCACAGTATTTAAACAACAGCGATGATGAGGATCACGAATGTCATGATAACTGTACGGTCACGAAATGTTTGGCAGCAGCAATGACGAGCGCAACTGAGTTGCCGACGCGTGCTGGAGGCTAGTTCTCGCTTCATGGTGCTGCGATTTTTTGCATTTGTGTGTCCTTGATTTAGCGTGAGTGTGTGAGTGATGTTGAAATGCAGTTGTGGTTGTGTTGATTCAGAATCTTTTTCCTTTATTTATTTTGTCCTTTTTTTTTTTTTTGCCTTGGTTGTTTCAATATCGGAGTGTTGGTTGGAGAGGGAGTGAGGATGGGGCGGGGAAGGTATCATCAAGAGCTCCTGAGCTCCTCCCGTTGTGATTTTCTGGCGTGCGAGCATGCCGTGTCCAATCGCCTCGCTTAGTCTCGCCAGTTGAGCTAGTTTGCAGGTTTTGAATATGAGTTATATACGAACTTGATCCGGTTGCGATAGAGGATTGTAGAGTCTTAGGGGATGATGCGATGCGTGTCGGAGATGACGATCGCTCGGTCAAGGTCTGCCTGCTCGCCATGGGATTTCTCTAAAGGGAATCGGTGTTCTCTCGGTAACTAACTAATGAAGGATCTGGTATCTCCGTCAGTCTCCCAATCCTCTCTCTATCCATGAACTCCTTCGGAGTCTTATTGAGGACACTCAGGTACCCCAAAGCGGGGCGGCGGTGGCCGGAAGCGACGATCACCTGACCCCTCCCGGGCGCCTTAGTGCCTTAAGCCGAAGTTACTTCTAGACCGACTAGTCGCCGGTAGTCGGTGAATCGTGTCCACTTTCTCCCCCTCTTTTGGGCGATAAACCCGCTTTCCCACGTCATGGGCCGAGGTTGCCTATGACGCATCTGGGGTGGGAGATAGAGAGGGAAAGTGTCCACGGTGTACGGAGTAGATACTGAGTTACGGGATAGAAAGACGAGTGACCGAAACCTTTACTGTGTCAGCCACGTTCGTCCGTCCTCAGGCAAACAAGGAACCTGAGGCATGGATGCTTGCGTTGGGGAATCCGGACTGGTGGCGTCAGTGGCGGATGCGGACGGAGCTCTCTTTCTCGGTCTCTCTGAAGGGGATCAGTCACTGCCACAAGACTCTTTACCTTTGTAAGGCAACGTGAATTTTCCATTAAAATCTTCAAATTTGTTCAAGTAAAATTCTATCGTCAAGGTTGTCTCTTCCCCCCAATAAGACCATGGATGCCGTCCGAACCGGAGAGGACCTCCTGAGTCATTGGCGGAATGGCCACCACTTCTAGTAGTTTCCCCAACTTCCATACCAACGGAGTAAGAAGGGATCGCCCGGTGACTGGACAGGATAACGGCAAGAAAAAGTGAATAGGGAAAAGGAATGTGCCAGGAGGGACCAGAACCAGAATCTAGAATCTGTTTTAAGGGAGCCTGCCTTCAGTAGTTCAGGTATCTCCCTACGATTTGACCGCCGGTCTCCTTTCATCACGTTATCGGCCTATTCCTGACTAAGGCGCTTCGCCTCCTTTGCCTCCCCTCATCTGCCCTGTTCCTGCCTACTTAAGGCTGACGTCTCTCCTCTTCCTTATCTCTTCCTTCTTTCTTCCATCTCCCACCTTACCACCCACCCTTTACCTTTCCCGCTTCGTTTTCTCTTCAGCTCTCACACCTTCTTCTCAGCCTCATACTCAGTTCTCGTCTCTACAACTCTACATTCCTCGACTGCTTTCGTTGCCATCATGCAGATCTTCGTGAAGACCCGTAAGTTATCCCCTGTCCCTGACCCGACCCTCTTGCCACCCTGGCTTCGACTCTAACCTTTCCTGCTTTCCCATAGTTACCGGCAAGACCATCACCCTTGAGGTCGAGTCTAGCGACACCATCGACAACGTCAAGTCCAAGATCCAGGACAAGGAGGGCATTCCCCCTGACCAGCAGCGTCTGATCTTCGCTGGCAAGCAGTTGGAAGATGGTCGCACTTTGTCCGACTACAACATTCAAAAGGAATCCACCCTCCACCTGGTTCTGCGCCTGCGTGGTGGTATGCAGATTTGTAAGTTGCCACTTCATCGTCTCCCGTTATCTACTCGCCACTCGATAATCATACTGACTCATTTCTCTTTAGTCGTCAAGACCCTCACTGGAAAGACTATCACCCTCGAGGTTGAATCCAGCGACACCATCGATAATGTCAAGTCGAAGATTCAGGATAAGGAGGGTATCCCTCCCGACCAGCAGCGTTTGATCTTCGCTGGTAAGCAGTTGGAAGATGGCCGCACCTTGTCCGATTACAACATCCAGAAGGAATCTACCCTCCACCTGGTCCTTCGTCTGCGTGGTGGTATGCAAATCTTCGTCAAGACCCTCACCGGCAAGACCATCACGTTGGAAGTGGAATCTAGCGACACCATCGACAACGTGAAGAGCAAGATTCAAGATAAGGAGGGCATTCCCCCCGACCAGCAGCGTCTCATTTTCGCCGGAAAGCAGCTGGAAGATGGCCGTACCCTGTCCGATTACAACATCCAGAAAGAGTCCACTCTTCACCTGGTCCTTCGTCTCCGTGGTGGTATGCAGATCTTTGTCAAGACGCTCACTGGCAAGACAATCACATTGGAGGTCGAGAGCTCGGACACGATCGACAACGTCAAGAGCAAGATTCAAGACAAGGAGGGTATCCCTCCGGACCAGCAGCGTCTGATTTTTGCCGGCAAGCAGCTCGAGGACGGGCGCACGCTCTCTGACTACAACATCCAGAAGGAGAGCACGCTGCATCTGGTTCTCCGACTCCGTGGTGGAAACTAGAATGTCTTGCATCTTGATTCCGCATGGCGTTTGGTTTGGTTCTTACGGGTTTTTTACGATATGGTTGCTGGGCAATACCTTCTGTATCACCATGGATCATGGTGCAATACATAGTTCTATCCTTTACTTTTACCTTCAACAATGAATGAATAGCCATCTGAGCTATATACAATGCTAGCATTGACATAGTTCTTTATCGCATCTTTCTCTTTTGTGTAGCTTTGCGTAGAATTTTCTCAAACATGACCCGTTGTCCATGTCCCATTTCAAGGGCGACCACCGCATTGATGAGCTGTCCCTGCATGCATCCGCATTTAGCACCCGCGAAATAGGAGAGGGTTACCCTTGTGCGACCGTGGAACCAGTCGTGAATAATTCAACATCTCTGGAGAATGGAGATGCAGATGCAGATGTAACAACTGTCAAAAGGCCCAGAGCGTTGCCACCGTCATGTCACATGATCGTGCCGACCCGAAGGCTGACTGGCGCAGGCAAACCGAGCAAACCGACGGCCATCACCAGCAATCCGGAAATGGCTCGTCTCTCTCCAACTTCACCTGTTCTTACAGCCATGTAAGAGCATCGGTCGGGATGCCCTCCTATTTCTACCACCTCGCGATCGAACTATTTTCCCGCCCTCAGTCCGACCTGCGCGGCGCCTCTTTCCACACCGTGACCGACCCGTCGCCAACGTCGCTATCTTTTGACTCCGCATGTGAAGCCCTACTACCCTTCCAGAAGCGTCGCCGGCATTCACCTCCCTCAAATCGGAGTCCTCATCATCCTCTGTTCACAAGCGGAAAGCATCGATGTTCGCCCCCTGGCTCCTCCTCCAGCAGCGACGCCCTACCCCTTGACACCGCCTCTTTTCTGTCCGCACACCGTCCCACTACTACCCCTCCTCCGCCGTCCTACACCCGATCGCCCACCAGCGCATCCGAGCTCGAAACCGACCTCCGCCTCGACAAAGTCTCAATCGAGTGCATTGACATGATCCCATCCGAGCCCAGCACCCTGAGCAGCTCCAAGCGCAGCGCCGGCCGCCGCGAGCCCAGGGACAACAACAACCCCGTCGCGACGGGCATCGGCACCGATATTCTCGGCGGGCTCCGCACGCGCGGCAAATACGTCCCGCTCGATCAGAAGACCTCCGACAGCGTCTGGGGCATCGTGCACCTGTACCGCGACTCGCAGGAGACGCCGTACCTGACCGAGCAGGAATATCCGTCTTACCTGAAGGGCTCGGCGGCCGCGCGACAGCCCTACGATGAGGTGGGCGGGAGTAGTGCCCCGCGGCAGGATGGGGACCGCTCGTTAGCACTGCATCAGCAGGATGAGGAGGACTGCACGACGCTGTGCATCCTGGCCGTGCCGTCGTATATGTCGCCGTCGGATTTTCTGGGGTTTGTGGGCGAGGCGACCATGGATGACGTTAGTCATTTTCGAATGATCCGGACGGCGCGCGCCAATCGGTATATGGTTCTGATGAAGTTTCGGAGTGGGAAGAAGGCGAGGGACTGGCAGCGGGATTGGAATGGGAAGGTGTTTAATAGTATGGAGGTGAGTTTGTATAGATTCTGGTCCGTCTGGGTTCGATGATGCTAACTCGCGCTGGATTAGCCTGAAACATGTCATGTTGTTTTTGTGGATACGGTCGAGATTCAAGCGGTGGATCCGGATACGCAGACGGGCCTCTCCTCGACTCATCAAGGCGTTCTTCTATCGCCTCATACCGCAACCGCCGCGTCAACAGGCCAATCGAGCACCATACCCTCAGCAACCCTCTCCTCGCGACCTCTCGCCCCGCCGACACCGGCTCTCATTGAACTACCGACCTGCCCCGTCTGCCTGGAGCGCATGGATGAGACGACGGGCCTCCTCACGATCATCTGCCAACACGTCTTCCACTGCACATGTCTCCAGAAATGGAAAGGCAGCGGCTGCCCCGTCTGCCGCTACACGCAAGACGACTTCCGCAAGAGCAGCCAAGGCATCCCGCTGGACGATGACGAAACAGCCGAATGCTGCTCCGTCTGCCACTCCGACCTCAACCTCTGGGTGTGTCTGATCTGCGGCAACGTGGGCTGCGGGCGCTACGACGGTGCGCACGCTTTCGACCACTACAAGGAGACCGCGCACGCCTTCGCCATGGACCTCTCGACGCAGCGCGTCTGGGACTACGTCGGCGACGCATACGTCCACCGCATCATCCAGAGCAAAACGGACGGCAAGCTCGTGGAACTGCCCGCGGCCGACCACAGCGCCCTCGACCCCCCAGACTGGACCGACGCCGTACCCCGCGAGAAGCTCGAAAACATGAGCGTTGAATACACACACCTCCTGACCAGCCAACTCGAGAGCCAACGCGCCTACTTCGAAGAGATCGTCGAGCGCGCCGTCGACAAAGCCTCGCAGGCCACCGCCGCCGCGCAATCCGCGCACTCAACCGCCACATCCGCCACCGCGCACCTCACGACCCTGCAAACCCAGTACGACGTCCTCACCAGCACGACCCTCTCATCGCTCGAGCGCGATAAACTCCGCGCCGAGAAACGCGCCGAGAAATTCGAGTCCATGGCCCGAAAAATGGAGAAAGAGTGGCGGGAGGAAAAGGCCATGAACGAAAGCCTCATGGCGCGTATCGACCATCTCTCGTCTGAGGTGGAGGGTCTCAAACTCGCCAATGCCGACCTGACCGAGCAGAACCGTGACTTGACGTTTTTTATCAGTGGCTCCGAGCGTCTGAAAGATCAGAGTGAGGATGTCGTTCAAGGGACGGTTAGTGTTCCGGAGCCGGTGCCGGAGGGGAATAGTGGGAAGAAGAAGAATAAGGGGAAGGGGAGGAGGAAATGAATTGGATTGGTTTGGATTGAATTGAATCCACCACCTTATTCAGTTATAACTACGAGCTGATGAATCCATCCAGTTGTTATGGCTGCTAAGTTCATAAGATCACTGGAACAAGAACGAATGACATCATTTCTATATAAACTAATCCAAAAAGATAATATGTAATACCTACCTACCTACCTAACCTACCTGTCTATTCCTACTTGAGTGGACTCTTACTTTTCTACTAGTTCAACATCTACCTGACCAATGTAAATACGTTATACCTTGATACTGGTTCTCACCTGTCTTGCATGCAGTGCAGTCAGTGCCAGTGCCTCGGCGAGAGACCCCGTCTCATATCTACTTCTTAGTACTTTTTACTTAACTAAGATGCAATGGAGAATGTCTTCGCGTCCCTGCCTGCTACTACTCCCTCCGTATTAATGTGCCCATTCGTTCACATGTATCGAGTATTATGGAATCATATTATATGATAAAATAGAAATAAGAATACAAGTCTATATCATACAGTAGATACAAAAGGTAAGGGAATCATTTACAACGAGGGATGGTTTGAGGGGGAAGTAACAATTGGTATAAAGAGAACAAAAGAAAAGAACAAAACGGGACAAAAGAAACATAGGAAAAGGGTTCGAAAAAGGAAACAAGAACATGCAAGGAATAACCATGGGGGAATATAATCTCACACACTCTCTCTCTTTCAATCCACAAGACACAAGACACAAGACAAGATATTACATATAGACACAAGGAGATAAGAAAAAGGAAATATGCAAGGGGAAAGACAGACCAGAAAACCAGTGAGAAAGCAAAAACCCCGAATAATCCCGAACCCCGTTCCAACCTAGCCAGAAACCTTTCCCACCTCTCTATTTATTGATGCTTTCGTCCTCGTCATAGCGCATAGTGAAAAAGCAGAATGGAAAATGGTGGAAAGAGAACAATCAAAAACACAACACACGGGGGATAGAAACAGCTAGCCCGGACTCCTTCCGACGCTTGTAACCCATATCAGGGCAATGCTAAGATGAAAATGACAGTATGAAAACAATGTATGACGGGAATCAGGGGGCAAACAATGCTGGTGTGCTAAATGTAAGATGGGAATGAACAAAGGAAAGGTGAACAAAGGAAATAACGATTGATGGTGGTTTGTTTGAGTCGCATTTCGATTAAGCGACGTTATCTTCCATAGTGCTGAGGCTCAATGGATATTAATCTCATTCACGATCGGTCCTGCCGTTCGAGGGAGACTGAGCCGATTTGTTGTCCTTGACACACTCCCGTTATACCGGAGTAGTCCATGAGTGTTCGCCAAGTTTAGGCTTCATCTCATAGTTCTCGGGTTCGGTACTGGTAGGTCGCCGAATAGTAGAGTTGGGAAAGTACATATGGGGAGGCATGGAGCTGGCATACGCCGGTCCGTTGGGCTCGGGATAGGCGAAGTCGTGCGCGGAGCCCGGAGACGGGATGCTGCCGTGAGAAGGCGAGGCCCAGCCCAGGTTTGACATATGAGGACTGCCGCTGACGCTATTCGGCCGGTGGTCATTGTTGGCAGGGGGCTCCAGAGGCTGAGGGGGGGCGTAACCCGAGGGATGGGAGGTCATCGAAGGTCGAGGCAGGGGAGCACTGCTGAAGCTGGACAGAGACGGAGAGGTGGCCGTGGGGGAAGCTCGCGGGCTAGCCTGCGAAAAGTCTCCACGAACATGGGGCGGAATAGGTCCGCTGCCCATGTAGTAATCGGGACGCGACATGTTCAAAGGAGGGAGGTCACCAGCTGGAGAGATCGGATGATGCGCCGGAGAGGGAGTCGAGTGTACCGACACCGAACCGTGCTCCGAGAACATCCCCTCGCCGACTCGCGCCCTCTCCTTATTCTGTCGGAGATTGGCTTCGGTCTCCGCCGCGGCCTCTTCGATCGTACCCGTGTGATGGTTTTGGTGACGAGTCAATGTAGTGCGACGAGTGAAAGTCTTTTGGCAGTTCGCATAGGGACACTTGTACGGTCGTTTCCCGGAGTGGATTCTGCGGTGCCTGGCCAACGAAGACGAATCGCTGAAAGGCTAATAATCACAAGGCTGTTAGAATTGATTTGGATGAGCGAGAATAGGTCGCATACCTTCCCACATCGTTCACACATGTGTGGCTTCTCGCCCGTATGAACACGAGAGTGGACCGTCAGAGCAGAGCGCTGGATGAACTGCTTCCCGCAGCCCGGCCAGTCGCATGCGTGAGGTCGGACGCCGGAATGGATTCGCTCTGGAGTTATCATCAGCCCAATCAAACTCGTTGAACATAGAGATATAAAGGGTTCCTACCGTGCCTTGCCAGGTCGCTGCGTCGAGCAAAACCCTTGC